GCTGTTTTTCAGCTGCGGTGGCGAAAGAAAACCTATTTAAAACGCCAGCCATTGTTTCGTTCGCAAATTTTCACATTTGCAAACTTTATTGCGACATCCAAAGCTCGTATTTGATTATTGATCAATCAAAATGTCTGAGTTGTTACTTTCTTTGTACTGAATTAACCCTCTTCCGCACTGAATTAACTGAAAACTGCATTATCTTAACCAATCAGAACTGCGTAATTTTTCAATGTATATTATTAGCTACAAAACATTTCAGTTTTTTAAAGCGGGAAAGAGTGTATATATATTTTTTACTGCTAACCTTTTCCACAAGAAACTTGTATTGTTTGATATTCTGGTCGTATGACTGATGAAACCAAAAGCAAGAAACCAAAATAAGACTTCCCCTGCAAAACAAAGATAAATGCAAACAGCTATTGTAAGAAAGACGTGAAAGCTTCTGTAAAATGGAAGTAAAATGGGGGAATAAAAAATTTATGACTCGAAGAGGGAAAAACGGTTACCAAGTATAAAGATTGAGCTCGATTTGCACTGAACAAAAAAAGGAGGCCGTTTAGGAACCTGAAAATCAATCGCTCATCATCCTTTCTATAAATTAAGCACACAGGGTTGAATTATCCAACAGACTGGATTTCGCCGCCTCGAATTTGTTTGAAATTTAGCCTAAATACTGTGAGATTTGTATCTACTCTGCGTTACAATTGACACTGAAAAACGTTAAACTACTTATGAAGGCCAAGGAAACAACATTAGAAGAGCCAGTTCAAACGAAGATTTTATGGGAAGACGCAACACTTCATTCTCCAAAAATATTTCCTGAGATATTTTGAACTCATCATTTTATTTTGCAGACTTTGATCAGTTGAAGTCAAGTTTTAAGCAACAAATCTTTGCCAAAATTTAAGACTGGTTCGAGGTTAAATCCTCTGGCTTTGAATGTCCAGTGCAAAACATTTCGGTTTTGTGAAGCGGGAAAGATTGTTTCTAAATTTATTTTTTTACTACTAACCTTTTACACAAGAAGCTTGTCTTGTTTGATATTCCAGTAGTATGACTGATGAAACCAAAAGCAAGAAACCGAAATAAGACTTCCTCTGCAAAACAAAGATAAATGCAAATAGCTACTGTAAGAAAGACGTGAAAGCTTCTGTAAAATAGAAGTAAAATGGGTGAATAAAAAAAATAAGGAATCGAAGAGAGAAAAACGGTTACCAAGTGTAAAGATAGATCTCGATTTGTACAGAACACAAAAAAGGCCGTTTACGAACCTGAAAATCAATCGCTCATCATCTTCTCCATAAATTAAGCATACAAGGTTAAATTATCAAACAGACTAGATTTCCTCGCCTTGAATTCATTTGAAATTTAGTAGTGCTGTGCGATTTGTATATACGCTGCGTTACAACTGACACTGAAAAACGTTAAGCTACCTAGGACGGCCAAGGAAACAACATTAGACGAGCCGGTCCAAACGGAGACTTCATGAGAAGAAGAATTTCTGCTCATTTGATGAACATATTCATGAAAAAAAATTTCAATTTCGAATGGCCTTATTTCATCCATTGATTACATTGGGAACACTAAAAACGGTTACCATCTTTCTGAATCTTAAAATTTTTTTGCCGAAGATAACAGACTCCCCGCGTAAAACGTAATGTGTAAATCATGTTGGCATTCGTAAACTTCTCATGACGTTTAGGGCACAGATTGATCATGTCTATTTGATTAAATTCACACAAGCGGTTTGATTATTAACAACTGATTGATAGGTATGAATGAAACGAATTTGACTCAACACGGCAGAAGTACCGATGTTAATGCGTCAGACATTTTGCACTCAAGGGGTATACAAAGAAAAGTTTGAAAAGAGATGGAGTTTATTAAAAACGACGTCCTTATATGACAATTCATGTTGTGTAAGAATATTAATCAATATAATAATGGTCTATGTAAGAGGAGCTCTGATTATAAAGGCGCCGGAATATGAATTGGAAAATCGATGAGAGGTCGCATTAACACATCAGCACATTAACAATTAAATATCGTACTTACCTCGACTCTAACTCCGAACGCTTTATTGCTTTGTGTAGTGAAGCAGCCAAACTTAGAATTAGAATTAGCAGTATGTGTCTATTTTGAGGTTACTGGCGCGTGGTGAATCTGAGCCCACCCCTAAGGGGCTGAGACTGAGCATGCATTGTAAGACAAGTCGGGGAGAGGCTTGGGGGGAATCTGGCACTAATTATCAGTACCAAAGTCCGGACAGACTTCTCGCTGGCTCATGTTCCTGAAGACCTCATACGTTCGCGCGGGCGAGGAAGCGCCCGTGACCAAATGCCAATAATGAGGTCTCGCATGCTAGCGTATCCTCCCTCCTAGCCTTTGCTCACTCCCGTCACGCAACGGGAGGAGAGAGAGCCTGTTGCGTGACGAGACCAAACAATAGCTCTGAAGGAGACAACAGCGAGTGTTGCACCAATGCAGTTTATTTTTGCTTACAATTATTTAGACAACAAAGACAATAGACTGCAAAAGACCTGTGCCTGAGTTTATTTGGAATGAATTGAAAGAGCTTTTTTTCGCTCTCCATTAGACGATATTTTCGTTGGAATCTTTGATAGTAACTATTTTTTTCTTGCTTGCATGCGTTGCATGCCTATGTTTACATACTGCGTGGCCAAGAGAAGAAGAACCTCGTTTTAATGCGTCGTTTAACGTAACGCTTGATGCGATTAACGATCTGTCAGCCTGCAGGCTTGTCCTCTTTAGCTACACGTTGCCCCGCTGCCTAATCAAATTTGATTATTCGTGCGCGTGTAAGCTGGCGCAAGTGAAAGCTGGCGCCCGTGAAAGCCGGTCAGACTTCCGAACGGCTGTTTTAAGTAGGGTATTTTTCTATGTAGATTTGAGGTTGTGATTTATCTCCAGGAAAAAAAAAACTGAGATCGAGTGCTGAAGACTCCCTTTGAAGTTACTGTTACTGTAGAGACGGTATCGAAACGTCCCCAAGAACCCCCATCTGTGAACATATACCGCAGGTGTCACGTCTCGTGGAAAAGCAAAAGATTATTTCACGAGAGCATAACTCTGCCTTATAACAGGAATGACAGCGATGACAAAGCAAGCCAAAAGCGGCAGAGAACACCACAAACCACAATGGACAAAGAAAGAGCGAGTAAGTTCTATTATCCTTACGTGTAGAATGTTCATATCCCGAAATATTTAGCGTTATAGATCGACCATATTTCTTTCCCCATACGATTCCTTACAGCATGTTCAAATTCTCAACGTAACTTAACCCCACGTCACACAGCGCGTAACGCTTTCATTGATTTTAAAATCGTTTGCTTTTCTCGAGACGTAAGCTTGGAACCGGAAATTCGCTGTTGCTTCCGTAGTTTCCTAGTTTCCTGCATTGTTTGCCTGGCCTTAATCCATCTCTCATTCGATTTTTCTCCAAGCCCAGGTACCTAATATATTAACCGTGTTACCACTTGACAAAAGTGTAGAAAGCGAGGTAATTTTCGACGACGTTCCAAAGGATATATGCTCAAGGTCTTTCTATTCATCATTTATTTGAGTACCCGAGGTCTTAAAGGTAAAATAAGCACGTATCATGTCCACTTAGGCGATTTCTGCAACCGACCAGTAAATATGTTAAGGCCACAAGAAATTACAAAGCGTGTCGTCTGAACCATTAACCAAAATAATTTTACAGCAAGCGCACACGCCGAAAACTTAGCAGTAAATTGAATTATTTTTTAAACTCGAAGCCACGTGAGAAGCTAAACCATGAAAAGATCGTCTTAAATTTCATTGCACTTTTAAACTGCACAATATTTTCAACTGAAGAGCTGTTTACAGTGTTCGCATGGCGAAATTAGCTCGAGGAAATGAAATTCCATGTTGCAACCGCAATATTACTCTGTAAAACTGAATTCTGACAACAGCCCACGCAGAACACAAGTATAGATTGATGAAATGAAGCAGAATTATAAAAGACTATAGCTGATTGCGAAAATCAAAGAGGCCTCGTGTAGCTACTTTTAAACTCACGGTATCGTGAGTTCTTAACCATTAGTTCTTAGTGTTAGTTCTTCGTCAGGGCGTCTGCTAACACCCGCAACAGCAAAACGAAAATAACCAAACAAGTTAGAACACCAAAATAACCAAAACGTAACAACCCGGCGAAACGAATGAAAAAAAAAACATCAGCAAAAAGCAGTCAATGGCAAGCCTATCTACCCCGTAGAAGATCGAAAACATCGGAAAATGATCTTGGCTAACATCCTGGGCGATGTAGAGGGGGGGTGCGGCGTTCTTGACAACGAGTATTGCGCAAGGAACAACTCATTCACAATTTTATAATGATTAAATGCTTTTAATATAGTTAACAGTGGTTATAACACTCTAAGACGCTCATATGATAACGTTTTTTTTACTTTGTTTTAATAAGAATATTCGAAATAGCAAAAATTGTTGCAGTTACAGTTCTACACTGGATCGAAAAAGGCAACTTAGACGGAAAATCGTGACTATATGCAGGTATAAGAAGATTATATCACTTCAAAGAATTGAAGCCCTATATAATATTCATAAACTAATCTGGATAAAGGTGAGTCTGCTTTTACTCACTTTTTATCAGGGAAACAACGGTGCCCTATCTATTTGTCTTTCTAATGGAGAGAATATAAGAGACACTTATTTTATGGAATAATAGGCTACCGTACTTTGCGAGTAACCTCTTATAAAACGTCTCACACCTGCTCGGCAAATAGATTCTGCGCTACCTTTAGCAACGCGTAATAGTGTAACTACCATCCAAAAGTCTCGAAAAGTTTCAGCTCGAAGGTATTAAGCACAAAACCAAGCGTGAGACAGACCATCTGTTACGCATTATAAGTCTATGTTTTCACGCTCGATAAACAGAAGAACTAAATCTATCTTCTTGAAAGACGCGAGTATCTTTTTAGTAAAGCAATTTGTTCATCATCATGACCAACACAGCGATGGTTCCAAACAAGACAACTTTACCACTTGAGATCTCTGCAGCACCATTCAACTGGGTGCTGTTGCAGGCTTTATCAGAACACGGATCCAAGGTCTTCCCCCAGTTTGGAGGCTTGTGTGACACTGCCAGTGTCTGGATGCTGGTGCAGGCTTTATCAGAACACGAGGCCAAGCTCTTCACCCAGACATTGTGTCCATCCACTTTCAAAGGTAGCGCTCCCTGTTTTACAGCTGAGGCAAATTCAGAGATACGCTTGTTGAAGTGGACGGATGGAGTGGATGTGATGGCGATGCCCAGGGCTTTCTTATCAGCTAATAAGACGACAGTTTCCAGGTTTTCTGGATCTTCAACTCTCCCAGTATAGGCAAGCCAGTCCATTACATCTGAGTTCCACTTCAAGGCACTCGCAATGGCTGAGCCAACTCCATCTGCGAATCGACTTTGAGCATCAGATTTAGGAAGATTATCAGTTGAGCACCTCGATCGCAGAAAAAACTTTTTAATCTTCAGCTTGATAACTCTGACTGGGCCCTCTTTCAGCTCTCTGTAACATTTCTTGATATTAGCAGACCATCCACATTTCTCTCCTATGTTCCACATTCCCTTGAGAGATTCCCAGAGTGTATCGACTTTGACAAAGGAACCCTTGATGGTCCAAAATATCTGGAAGTAATCGGAGCAGTCGAGATCACAGACGGACGACACACCATTTCCTGGATTCAGGTAACATGGTGTATGAGAGGCAAACGCTTTTTCTCGAATCTCCTCACAGGTTGGATCGTCGACCCATGGCCGCAATAGTGGCGTCAGTGAGACTTGGAGGCATTTGCGAACTCCATTAACCCAGTTTTTCCCGGTTTGACTGAACTTTCCAAAGTTTTGGTCATACAGCTTGCAAAAATGTTCGGCGTATTTGATTGCATATCCATTACTTGTAGCTTCACAGGGATACCTCGGCTCCTCTCCAGGCAGTTGCGATACCAATCACAGGAATCCCCTGATGGACTATAGCACTCTGGAGGCAGTAATGTAGTAATGTTTGGATGTGAGGTTGGATTGCTGGGAGTACAGGAACAATCACTCGTCACTGATCCATAGTCCTTGTTATGCACTTCAAGCATACACTGATAACAGCAGTAGGTTGCAGCTCGGTCTATACACTGATGTTTTTGGTCGCTCTTTTGCTTCATGTAGGTATCCGTCACGCACGTCCCCCACTGGTACTCGTTATTGTACGACCTTAATTGAATACATTCAACAGTTCCAGCGGGTCCAGACCACTTGTTACACTGGGCGGCCCATCCCAACTCAACCACAAGCAATAGCATAAACGTAAGAGCTAGCATCGTTCAGAGCTGGAACCTGGGAAATGTAATTACGCCATTTTAAGATTAAGTATCTAAGAATACATTAGAAGCTCCCGAAAGAAACGAAAAATGGTCCGAGATGGGGGAGGGGGTGGGGCTCCGGTTAGCTTGTTTTGAATATCAGTTATTCTTTTAATGATTGATAGGGAATCATGTTTTTATTATTCTGGCACAAACAACGGTAATATCTGTACATTTAGTTTGTTTTAAAAGAGCTTTTTAATAAGAACATTGAGCTTGGGAAGTTTAGCTAAACATTACGCTTTCATTAATGTTATCACGTTCATATCAATCGTGATGAAAGATTAGGACGTATCAATCAGCTATGTTCTGACACTCTCAAGTTCGAGTTATCAGGGCAAATTTGAGCTCAGGGAAAGTAAAATTAGCTTGGGTTAATTGAGAGTCCGACTTAACCGAGTTCGAGCAAGCTGATAGCGGGGGATTCGTGTAATTGGGGCTCTACTGTATTACAAAAGTTTTGCATAGACCGGGAATTTGCTGTTGTTTCCGTAGATTCCTAGGAATGCATTGTTTGCCCGTATCATCACGGCCAAGAAAAATTATTTATAGTTAATCTGTAGCTCTGCTGGCCTGAATCCAACTCTTATTCGATCTTTCAGGCTCCTAATATATTGACCGTGCAAAAACTTAGCAAAAGTGCAGAGAGCCGGGTAATTTTCGACGACGTACCAAAGCGTATATGTGTGAGGTCTTCTTATGAGGTCAATTCACTATTTATCTTACTACCCTATTTATAGGCACGTATCACTCCCACTTGGCCGATTTCAGCGACCGACTAGCAAAGCCACAAGAACTTAAAGCGTGTCTTCTTAACCATTAACCAAATTAATTTTACAGCAAGCGGACACGCCAAAAACCTCGCAGATTATTGAATTATTTTTCAAACTCCACGAAATGTCGAAGCCACGCGAGAAGCTAAACCATGAAAGGATCGTCTTAAATTTCGCTGCAATTTAAAAAGTGCAATATTTTCAAAGAGCTGTGTACGGTGTTCGCATGGCGAAATTAGCTCGAAGAAATGAAATTCCATGCAGCACCCGCAATAATACTATGTAAAACGGAACTCTAATAACAGCCCACGCAGACGGCACAAGTTTGGATTAATCAAATGAAGCCGAATGGTAAAAGACTGTAGCAGTTTGTAGAAGTGGAAGAGGCCTCGTGTACCTACTTTTGACACTCACGGTATCGTGACATCCTTCCCCGGTTGAATTAAAAATGCTATGATCATGTTCTCCAGCTATAGTATAGACTTGTTTTCATCAAACCATGAATAATAAGCGGCATACAAGAGCTGAACGACCCTGTGTTTTTCGATGCATGATTAGTTTCAATGCTCTACATAGGACCTTTCAAAGTATGCAATTCAGTAGCACTCCCCCCTTAGCGTGAGCGTACAAGCTGATATAAATTTTGAAATCCCTCTTTTGAAACCTCCGAGAACCCCTTTTAGAATGGCTTGATCTAAGAGACACCTTATAGAGAAAGAAATGAAGATTCGTCTTCGACCCAAAGCAAAATCCTTTCTGTAATTTGCGCAAGCCGTCGTCTCCCATTAATTATTCCTCTGAGCGGGTCGGGCCGCTTCTATTACATCCACTGCTTACCAACTTGAAATCATTTCGCTAATATTTTATCTAGCACTACTTACCAAATTAGCTTTTATAATGAATCCAAGGGACGCACGATCACTCTGCCAAAGTCTATCGTCTGTGGTAAAGTTTGAAGTGGGTATTGACTCTTCTTTGAATCAATTATTAACAAAGGTGTATCTACGTCTGTATGTGGGGGTGGGAGTGGGGACATTAGGGGAAACCTTGTACACAAGCTATCTTTTGCCATTTATCTTAGATAGCGAATCATTAACAGCTGTAGAGGCATATAACCTGCAGGAAACAAGAACTGATTGTTCCTTTGCGACTGCTTTTGCCTTAGGTAGGAATTACGCAGCTGATATTCCCCTGAACACCACCCCACCCCCCTGCTGTGATTATGTATGGTGAGATCACAGCTGCTTGGTCAGTTTTCCTAGAAAGACGGACATTGTCTTTGGGTGTTTGCTTTTCTCTCATGATGATGTTATTTAATTCACAATCCCTAAAGACTCGCTCCTTTTTTTACCGAGTACCTGAAGTTGTTATAGTGAATTTCAACAATAATCTAGTCATTAAAAAAGGGCAATTTTTATTTTTTTTTACGAAATTTCAACGCTTTGCCTAACAGTGATTAATAACAGACGATACCTAATATCATTTAAAACAAGGTATGCTTGTGAAACAAGCATAATTTTTAAAGGTTTTTCAGTCGAACGAAGGCAAGCGCTAGGCGACGCGAAGTGTGAATCACGCGCAAGGCGGCGCGAAGTGCGAATCACGCGCAAGGCGGCGTGAGGTGCATGTCACGCGCTGGGGAGGAGCGCATAGATATGCCCGCAAATAGGCCCTCGCATTAGCGCTAAAAGAAGCGTGTTTCGCCTCCCGCAGGAAAGTTTGAGTTGTGTAGAAACGAGGTTTACCGAGGGTCTGGCATAAATATGCAGACCTCTGACCGGCTCGTGTTATTCAGGGCATCATACTTTCACGCGGGCGAAAAAAACACGTGCCAAGCATTAGCAAGAAGAGAAGATAAACTGGGCATGTCGGGGCTAATATTGTAGAAGTTTCTCCGCCTTATTAAAACTGACACTTCGTGCACGCACTTTGTCGTGATGACAACACCTTGAAAGTAAAGCATTCTGCTCATGAAGTATTCCACTGGCTTAAAAGAGCAGGGATGGTGATACACGTTGTTTTAAGTGAAACGAGTGCGATTGGCATCGTTCACCTCTTAATTAGAGACCAGGCTATGATAATATTCTAGTGATCCTCCCTCATTGGCAGACAATTTTCTATAGCCCCCCTTTTATACCCTGTAATTAACGACTGATCTCCCCTCCGTTCCCCTTAAAAGCCACGCTCAAAACATCCTCTGCCTCTCCCTCCCCCCTCCCCCAGTGATAAATATTGACTGGTCCCTTAGGTACCCAATTAGTAATTTTGTACCCAGATCCCACCGTGTTTCTGTAACCGCCAACCGAAATCAAATATTAAGGAGTTTGTTACCAATGATAAACATATAGTAGTGTGCTAAATTCAGTTCTGTAACTTTTTGCCTGTTTTAGGGTTCAATATCTCGTAATAAGAGCTGTTCGTAAACTAAATTTTATAAACTAGTTTTGTTTTCCTCAAGACTAAAGGGTCAATGAAAACGCTGTTTTTTGTTTTTTTTTTGTTGTTTTTGTTTTTGTTTTAACCCTGGGCAATAGAATGTAAAATCTTGCCCTTGGAGAGTAGAATTAATTAATGTACTGAAAAAATTTCCTCTCCATTATTTCCTTCCCATAAGTCCTTGCATGCGATTTCTATACTCTCGGGGGATTTGACCGGTTACCTGTATGACAGAATGATTGGTAACACCGTCAATTAGTGGTCGATCATGAATAGAAAATAAACAATGACATTTTGACTTAAAAACTATTAAGGTGACTTGGAATTTGAACCCAAACAAAAACCAAAATTTAATCCGAGATTAAGATCGATATTAAAGTCTGATAAATATAATATAACTATAATAATTAATTATTAATTAATTAATTATAATTGTTAATATAATATTGTGTTTAAAATAGGATCGCCTGTCATCACGAACTGACTTGAATCGCCTTGACAGTTTATTACAACTATACATACCTATATACATCAACTTCATTTTGGCATTACATTGTCATGCGTGTAGACAGATGTTGACGCATAACAATTGGGAGAGGCCATCTGATCGATCGTAATCTTAGATGACTTAAAATGAAACCGGTGCACATCACTGAAATGACATCCAAATGCGTTTGTGTAAGGAAGACTATGAACTGCTTGAGTTGAGTTTGTAACAATTGGGCGCCGGCCAATCAAAAATAATCTGTCTTTCTAGAACACTAAAGTGGAGGGGAGGGGAGGGTATAACAAGCTTAACAACGGCACCCTATCTAATTGTCCATTCAACAGTTCCAGCGGGTCCAAACGTTTTGTCACACTGGGCGGCCCATCCCAACTCAATCACAAGCAATAGCATAAACGTAAGAGCCAGCATCGTTCAAAGCTTGAACCTGGAAAATGTAATTAAGCCATTTTAAAATTGAATATCTATTCATATATCTGCGGTGCGAAAAAGAATACAATAGTAGCCCGCCAACTCGAACTCCCAAGAGAAAGGAAAAATGGTTTGAGATGGGGGGAGGGTTCCAGTTAGGCTATGTTGAAAATCAGTTATCCTTTTAATTATTAAAAGGGAATCATGTTTTTACCGTTCCTGCTCAAAAAACAGTAATATTCATCGATTTACTTTGTTTTAAAAGAGTTTTTGATGAGAACGTTTAGTTTGAGACGGTTAAGCCAAATTACGTTTTCATTAATCGGTTATCACGTTTGTATCAATCGTGAATAAAGATTATTGGGACGTGTCAATCAGCGATGTTCTGACACGTAAACGTTTATCAACCGACGGTTTTAGTTCAAGTTCGAGTTTTCAGGGTAAATTTGAGCTTAGGGAAAGCAAAGTTAGTTTGAGTTTATGGGGAGTCCAAGTTCAAGCTAACTGATAATAAATGACTGGAAAAATGAAGTAAACGTCAAACGAAATCGGATCTAATTTCAGTTAGTGGGGGATTCGAGTTGACCGTTTCGAGTTAGCGGGGCTCTGCTGTATTACTTTAATTTTTCTGGGAGCAGTGATTTTAGAAACCCCCAACATTTCTACATTGTTATCATAGCTCAAGCATCGTTGTTACAAATGGATACGCTATCGTGTTTCATATCACTCTTTAGACTCGATGATACTTTGCCATTTGTTCAGATACCTAATGGCAACAAACATTTCTGCATTTTAATGTGTGCAATATTTCTCTTTTTTATAGCTGGCTCCACGAGCAGGAGAAATAAAGGGAATCTTAAGTTTCAGTTGGTTGCCCGAGCAAAACAAATGCGTCTACCTTACCTGCTCGGGTCACCCACTTTGTCTCGCGAAACAAAAATGCCGGCTGCGCTTTTCGGCAGGGTTGCATACCTCTAAACTCTACCAATCGTCTTTCCTATCCAGTCAATTCACTATTTATTTAAGTACCCGAGATCTTATAGGTTAAATAAGCACGTATCATGTCCTCTTGGCCGATTTCTGCAACCGACCAGCAAATATGTTGTCGCCATAAGAACTTAAAAAGCGTGTCGTCCGAACCAATGGTTGTCCATGATACGGTTCCCGCTTGGTTTGAGTCCTATTTAAAATCTCGTAAGTACTATGTGCAAGCTGAGGGAAGTAAGTCGACTAGGCGTCCTAAATCTATGGGGTTCCTCAAGGGTCAGTCTTGGGCCCCCAACTCTATATATTGTACACCGCGTCTGTTGCTGACATCAGTAAGTCTCATAATCTACAGTACCACTATACTGACGACACACAATTATACGTTGCCTTTAAGACCAATTGTGATGTTGATGCAGGTCTTTCTACATCAAGAGTTGAACGCTGTGTTACAGATATCGACTGATGGATGACTTATAATAAACTAAAGCTTAACGAGGATAAAAGAGAGCTGTTGGTTATGAGCTCTAAGTTTCGATCACGGTCAATGGTCACATCCATTCGATTAGGAACTGAAACCATTCAACACCGGCCCTTTGTAAGAAATTTGGGAGTGATACTTGACCAGGATATAGCGTCGGATAAACATATACGTATGATCTGTAAAACTTCCCAATACCATCTTTGTAACATGAGGAACATAAGAAAATTCTCAGATCAGTGTTCTGCGGATACTTTAGTTCATTCCTTTGTTACGTCTAACATTGACTATTGTAATGCCTTTTTGTTTGGATTACCTAAATATCAGATCAGTAGGCTGCAATTAGTAGTAAACACTGCTGTGCGTGTTGTCACTAACTCGCAAACGTGATCGTATAACTCCTGTAATGAAATCGCTGCACTGGTAACCTGTATCTCAACGTATTACTTTTAAGATTTGTCTATTAATTTATAAGACACTCAATAGCTTGGCGCCAATTTATCTATCTGACCATTTGGCCCCGCGCCGTAATAAGTGCTCACTTAGATCTTGAACTCTGAAACTTTTAACTCTTCCGAGATCCTGAACAGTGACTTATCGAGATAGAGCGTTTTCCATTGCTGAATCAAGGATTTGGAATGAACTGCCAGTTTCTTTGAGAAAGGCTGCCGACATCAATTCCTTTAAGCGTCAACTGAAAACCCATCTCTTCAAGAAAATATACTTTTGCTGGAGTTTTTCATTTTCTTATCATATGTAATTAATTATTTAGTGTATTCATTGTAAACATATTTTGATATTAGATGAATTTTAAATATAATTGAACTGTTATTAATATGAATTGTAAATGGATATTGTTAGTTGATTTTATATGATGATTTTGTATAATGATTTGTAAAGCGTTATGGGCAATTAGTGTAATAACGCTATATAAATAAACTTATTATTAACCAGTAACCAATATGATTTTAAAGCAAGTACACACACCGAAAACATTGCAGTATATTGAATTATTTTTCAAACTCTACGAGATGTCGCAGTCATGTGAAAAGCTAAACTTTGAAAAGATCGTCTAAAATTTCTCTGCAAATTAAAAAGCACAATATTTTCAACTAAAGAGCTGTATACAGTGTTCGCATAGCGAATTTAGCTCGAAGAAATGAAGTTCCATGCAACACCCGCAATAATACTTTGTAAAATTGAACTCTAATAACAGCCCACGCAAAGAACAAGTTTAGATTAATCAAATGAAGCTGAATGGTAAAAGACTGTAGCTAATTGCGGAAGTGAAAGAGGCCTCGCGTAGCTACTTTTGAAACTCACGGTATCGTGACACCCTTCCCCGGTTGAGATCAGGTTCCCAAGCTATACTATAGACTTAGTGTTATCAAACCATATATGATAAGCGGCGTACAAGAGCTGAACGACCCTGTGTTTTCAAAAGCATGATATGTTTCAATGTTCTATATAGTACCTTATAGTACCTATATACAATACAATATTTAATTATTAATGAGATACATGAAAAAAATTACTCAGTTCTTATTGGTTAAGAAAATGCAGTTTTCAGGTAATTCAACGTATTTTTTCATGAATATTATTGTCACGTAATTGCATGATTTTTCTCGTGCGATTTGGAGTAAATAAGCACGAGAGAGCTTATTATAATATTATTCGGGTGGTTCGGTCGAACCCCCCAAACTGAAAGAAAAAACATTCTAACACGTGCACACAAAAAAACAACGAAACAAACGAAACCAAATGCCGGTCTAAAATTCGTTATATATAAGCGCTTCCTATTTTATTTATCTACTTGGTCAAATAACAGGTTCGTTATTCACTCTCCTAGCGACCAAAGTGGTCATTATCGGAAATTACTAAATTAGGGTCCCGCTCTTCGTTTGTCAGTCAGCTAATCAACGTGCAATAATCTGTGATTAGTTAATGATTATAGATCTATAATTAGTTGTTGTGTCCAAATACACAAGCTCCATTGCGTAAATTACTGTACAATACCACTTACACAAGTTACTATATTTGTACGAGTAATTCTACGTAGGTAATGTTGCATAAAATGTACTGTATAAGTGAGAGAATTGTTGCAATAAAACTTTCTTGAGACTGGAAGAGTTACAGTATTCAAGAATACTATCTAGTTAAGAGGTGAGCGACTGCCAGCAGCGCCCAATTGAGAATTACTTTTCCCAAAGGAGTCGGTATTCAATTTGAAGTCGGTCGAGTCATGTCCAAAAGGGAGAAGCAACAGGAAATTAATCGTTTTTTCAGTCCACTCCTTAAGCATGCTAGTCATGAATTATTCTATTGATCATTAATCAGTTATCTTGACTCTGAATTAGGGTACACCGTTTGGTCATTTTACAAGCGAGATGACAGATCTTGTCATAATTTTGAACCGCGTGTAATTTTTTTCCTTTAGATCGGACAGCTACGAAAATGATGAGCAATCGTCAGCCAGTGAGAATTCGTCGAGTACAAAGAGGATTCGCTCTGCCAGCGATTCCGGTAAGCATTCATTCATTTGTATGTTGAATTTAAGTTGATGGTGATATTTTTTTCGTTTTGTAGGGACAGAAGAACTAACAGAATCACAAAGTAATGCAGGCTGCAGCCAGAATTTAGTTTTGACCGTCACTGATCCCAAATTGCTCTGAACAAAAATACCCTTAGAACATTAATTTACGATATTGCCTTTTCTTTGGATTTGTCAATAGAATTACCGAAAATGTTGTAACTTTGATTAATAATGGTAATTGAACTGAGTGGAGTGCAATTTGGGCTGAAATCATACGCGTGATTTCAAAATCGAACGAGCTCGTAGCGCGAGTTCGATTTGAAATCACAAGTATGATTTCAGACCAAAATTGCACGACACGAGGTTCAATTACCACTTTATTACATCCATTTTGAAATCAGCCAAATACAGGACTTGGTCAATTCGAATATTTTATTGATGCAGTACTGAGCCGGTTTTTAAATAAAAAGCGGAACCGGAAACGCTTTTACATCTCATTTTGTATGCAAAACAGAAAGACTTTGACGTCATGTGTCAAAAACTCAGTCAAGCGTATCAAAAGAAAGACAACTTTCATTCAAGAAATTCGAGAAGTCCTCAATAACTCAGAAAAATAGTGAAGCGTTAAAGTTCAGTCCTCGTCGTCTGACTCAATGATGTAAGCTCTTCGTTTCTTCTGTGGTTGGGGTGGAGAATTCTGGCTGTCTCTAGAGAAGAAATTGAAGGTGCAGCCTGTGTAATTCTGCGATGGAACGGGAGCAGCACAACTGAAGGCTTCCATGCGGTACTGAGACTGCAACGGAAAACGTGGTTGAAAATCCTGAAAATTCAGCCGGCTGAAAACCAGGATTGGAGCCCATGGCCTGATGCATTTGGCCTTGTTGTTGGACGTGATAAATAGGAACCAGAGGTGTTCGTTTATGTTGGACTGCAATCTCTTGATTTGAGGCTTCATTTGCAGTGTTTTGGCGGGAGACTTCGTTTTCTTGATTTTCGTTTGACACTTTTTTATATCCACTGATAATGTGAGACAGTTCTTTCCTGTGATTCTCGTCTATTTCATCGTAGTCGTCTAACGAAGATTCACGTGCATGGCCTGTTATTTCACAGATAACATTGCGCGGTTGACCAGACTTCTTCAGTTTTGATACCAATGTTTTCCTCATGCTGTGGTTCGTCAGCTTCTTATTCGTCCTGAGACAGGAGGCCATGGATTTCATTAAATTGCCGATGGTGTTTTGTCCCATTCGAACTTTGGTGTACCAAACATCTGCTGATTTAGGACGATTTATGATGCTTAGATAGAGTGGCCCTGTGTTCTTCATTCCTTCGGGTCGCTTGGACAACCAAAGCTTGAATAGCCGCACTGGATCGCTTTTTCCGCCATCGGTGCTGAACATTGCCTGTGGTGTTGTTCTTCGCCTGATGGTGAGACCACCGCTCCGCGTTTTAGTGGGACCTTCCCTGAACTCAACAACTTCAGTTCCATCTTCTCGCTGTCTTATAATTACGTCTTCCACGTATGCATCGTAGTGTTCTTGGACGAAATCCCAGTTGTTCTGTCAAATTTTTGAAGTTCACATTGGTCAAGACCTTTCCATTAAAAACACCCAACTGACCTTTTTCCCACAGGGCTGACTCTTCTTCAGGTGTGATTGGCTGAGCTTTGTTGGGTCTCTTTCCCTTTCCTTGTTGACGTAGGGAAATTGCTTTTGCATTGAGGATTTCTTGTGAGGAGTGAAACTCTCTCGATCGCACGATGCTCAATGGATAGTTCTTCTCCTTTAGATACCGTTCAATGGCACTCTGCATGATTTTAAGGGATTCTGGCTCGTAGTCATCTCCGTCCTTTTTTTTCACCTCGGCGTAAAACTTACTCAAGACCTTGTCAAGTTTTTCAGGCGCCATTGTTTCGATGGAGACATATTCAAGATGGCGGCATTGACACCAGCTTCTGAAAACATTCATCCATTGTTTTGTGGAGCAGGACGTATTTTTATTCGAAGCGACAGACTTAAGCTCCTGTATTTCATCGCTTGAAATGATAGGAAATCTTGAAACATCTAACTCTTGTGGTGGCTTTGATTTTCTTCGTTTGCTGCTGACTCGGTGGACTCGGGATTGTGCGGATTTTGAGCTTGAGAGGGTAGAAAATCGTCAAAATATTCAACAAAATGTACACGAAAAGTGGGAAAGTCCCTGGAATGTTGGTCTTCAGCCTGAAGGATCTCATTGTCATCATTCAAAAAAGGATCTCATTGTCATCATTCAAAAACTGGAAATATTAAATTCATCCATTTTTGGGGGAAAATAAGAGTTATGGAAACAAAAGTTGCAAAATTTACACATGGAAAAAAAAAAAATGAAGAAAATGATACTCTTTGTCTCTTTCATTTTCCTGCAAATTTATTGGTTACTTTAAACAAGCCTTGAAATCTGATTGGTTGCTTTGTTTTTTAAGTATAACGAATTATAAAAGTTTGGACCTGAAAATTTGTTACTTATCCCCAGTATGGGCAATGTATGTAGAATTGCTTACTATTCTTAACGCACGTTTCTGTAAGGTTTTCCATCTTTGACATATTATAATTGGGCTTCCATTTAGTCATGATGATCCTTCATACGTGCAAATATCTTTACAACGTTATGCACGATCCTAGTCTTTGGCGAACTGTTTATTCGAATGCTGAATTTACCATTTCCTCGTTTAAAGGCTTTAGGCATTCCCGTGCGTGTTAGACTTTTATAACCATTGTGGTAATGTTCTTTTTTGTAGTCGTTTAATTATATGGTGAGATCTGGGCTCTTTTAACGAGATAGATTAATAATTAGGTATACGGCTAAGTGGTTAAGAGGGACGAGATTAATAATTAGGTACTTAAGGGACCAGTCAGTATTTATCACCGGGGAAGGGGGGGAAAGGATGTTTGGGGAGGATCACGTGGTTTTTAAGGGGAATCGAGGGGGGAACAGTGGTCACTTGCAGGGTACAAACGAAGGGGAGGTGCCAATAGAAAATTGTCTGCTAACGATGGGAAATCACTAGAGTACCACCCCCGGGCGATGAGTAATGACTGGTCTCTAATGAAGAGGTGAACGATGGTAATCGCTCTCATTCTACATAAAACAACCTGTATTAGCATTCCTGCTGTTCTAAGCCAGTAAAAAACATCTAATTATGAAAACTATAAATGAATGCTGACCTTGCAAGTGTAAAAGTAAACCTCCCTGCAACAGAAAAGTTGCCCCAAGGTCTCAACTATTTACTCGTTAGCCTCTTTAAAGCCATACTACTTCTACATCATTCGCCTTTTTGCGCCTGCGCAGCTCAATCCTTTTCCCACAGTAAGGTATCCCGTAATCGTCTTCGGCTGCCTCAGCTTCTTCAATAGTTTGGTGCATAGGAGAATAGAGTGTCTCTGGAATCCAATACATTAAAATCCCAGCGAGCGTTGCAACCACGCCAAAAATCACAACTGGGAAGACAACACTGAGGCCTGGAAACTGACTCTGGAGTGAGAAATTCGATAAAATCATTTCAGAAGTGTTTGTGATCGCACAGCTCTTGAAGCTTGTAAGTAAGATTAAGATAAGCCGAGTGGCGACATCTTAGGCGGGTTGATGCTTGTTGTGTAAAATTTGTGTAAATATCTCTCAGTGAGTACGTGCGCTATGATTGGTCGATTTCACTGTACGACCTGCTAAATTCAAAAATCTGTTTCAAGCATAATTTCCCCCCTCTATTTGAACTCAGAGATATAATAAATATCTCATTAGCCTCGTTTACTCGGTCCGCAAACTGTAAGTTATGGAACCTTGTTTTTTTTTTTGCTATTGTTGTTGTTTTTTCAGAATTGGATTTATAGCATGTGCACTTCGCGCATGGGTCATAAATCCGGGCGGAAATATTAACTCGGTCCGTAACTAACAGAATGGACCATGGAAAAAAACGGACGGTTTCTTACCATCAAAACAACATAAGGCGCCAATATTCCACCAATCCGTGCACCGGTCGACCCTATACCTTGACCCGTGTTTCTATTGAGATAAAAAAGGTAAATTGCACGAGTTTTCAAGACCAATTACACTGCGCAGCGGAAAACAAAACAAGTGCCTCATCAAACGCAGACGTTCAAATGAATTAGCCCTCCATAATTACCTTAGAACGGTTGGAAACAACTCAGAGGTCATCAAGTAAATACTTGTCCGAGTGCAGTCGATCAACAGGTATCCAAAGAGGGACAATACCGTTGTTGCCACGTCAGATTCTGAAAATATATTGATACAAAAGGCTTCACTCAGCTGACCATTAAGAGATCCTGGTTCGGTCATGTCTGGAACTTGTTTTGATGTCACCAAAAGACACTCGACGAGATAGCGAAGCATGCTAACCAGCCTTCTTGGTCTCATTTTTGAGAGGAAGTTTCTGTGTTTTTTAACATATTGTCGAGGCCAAAAAAATGACTATTTTGCACGAACATAAAAGAATAGCACTCTGGTCCACGTTTACTATCCTCCTTGCTAGACATCACGGTCAAGGATGCAAGAGAGAAAGCCTGGAGACAAGTGTCGTAATTCAAAAACCAAAGAGAAATTTGTAAAAGAGTCAGTTAGAAGCAAAAGAAAAACAAACTTCCCGAGGCGCAGCAAAACGCGACCCGATTAGCATTGTTGTTGCGTTCAATTAACTGAGATGGTAAAGTGGGATTGATGCGAGGTAACGCATCCCAAATGCAATGTTAGATTCCTTTACTCGCTTAAGTTTGTTATAATGTGTTACCTTACCTTTGTGCACCAGCAAAACCAAGAGAAAGATGGCGCCCACGAGGATCATGATAATGCCATGACAAATGCGGCGACCAAATCTGAGAAAAATACGATCACAATCAGCATCCCTAGCAACAGAAACCTGACATACAGCCGCCCAGACAGTAATTACGACCGACAGTTTTTTTTTTCATTTCCATACGATGTAGCGTCCAGTCATTTTCTCACTTGACCCACAGCTAACAGCTCAGCGTTTGAACACCCAAAGGTGGTGGTAAATTTCCTTAGGATTTTGTTGAATGAGAGTTTGTTGTTAATCAGGAAAACACCGTTTATTTGATAAATCAATGTGTTAATATTCTGAGGGGAAACTTAAATTTTGAGCACCTTTGAGAGTCAAAAATTGCGTCTTTTTCCACACCAGTGGGATTATACTGTTTTCTGCTACTCACTTTACTTAAAAACACTTATTTTACTGTGATCTAAGATAAAACACTTCTTGCGGAGCTGAATATGGTAAGGATTGAATTTAAAAAAGTTACAATACTTGATACGGAAAAAACTTCCATGTTTACTTTAAATATAGAATCCACGTGACGGGTATTCGGACAACTGTGAGGATCTCTATAACAACGTAACTAACATAGAGGTCACCGACCAATTGGGAGATGAATATGAACATCCCAACATTGACCATGGCTACCACAAACCTGCGGGAGTGACAGATAAAAACTCTTTAAGGACCGTTCCTGACACCGGGGATACAGTATTTTAGGGACCATTCACTTTTTTTCCCCAGAGAAGGGAGGGGTGTGGAGGATTTTTGGGGTAGCACTTGGTTTTCAAGGAGAATGGAGGGAGTATCAGTCGTCGCTAACAACAGAGTAAAAATAGGGGACTATAGAAAATTGACTGTCAATTAACTTCCAAAGTGAGGCAACCACAAGAATATGATTGATCCTTATGAGGGGGGATCTGGTAAATTTGATCGTGACACAACCAAAATCCTCCAACACCCTCTCCCCTGGAGGAGAGACCCTGGGGAGAGAGACCGTTCCCTTAGGAAACGATTATGTTGACCTTCTCTAAATTAAGTGACAGCAATAACAACGTATTGGATGAAAGCACAAGTACCTTACGACTAACTTTTAGTTACCCTTATCGGATTAAAAAAAGTACCTGCACACGATAATAAACATGTTTGTTTGTTTGTTTATCATACCACTGATAACAGATGATTGCCGTCCACTTCCTAAGCTTCGGCGTAAGAAACATGTGGATGGGATTATACTTTTTTGCTGTCTTTTCTCGCTCGATCTGTTCCCTTCTTACTCCCTCCAATAGAGATCGTATCACTTCTGAATCTAAAGTTTTCTCATCTTTGCTTCCAAAAGCCTCGATGATGGATTTAGCCTCGTCCAGTTGGTCGTGAGCGACAAGCCATCGGGGAGATTCTGGAATAAGCCTGTGGAATTGCAAATCAGATTTTGTTAGTCCATCACTCGAAGGATTGATGGATTTTGGTTAGAATGTTAGTCAGCAAAACAGTCTCATTCTAAGAGTGTCAGTCAGGAGGCCAGTCAGTTAGCCAGCTAGCGAGTCAGTCTGTCAGTCAGCCAGTCAGTCAATGAGTCTGTAAGTCAAATAGTCAGTCAGTCAATGAGTTTGTAAGTCAAATAGTCAGTCAGTCAATTAGTCAGTCAGAAGGCCAGTCAGTTAGCCAGCTAGCGAGTCATTCTATCAGTCAGCCAGTCAGTCAATGAGTCTGTAAGTCAAATAGTCAGTCAGTCAATTAGTCAGTCAGCAAATCAGCCGGCCAATCAGTCAGCCAATCGGTCAGTCAATTTGTCAGTTAGTCAGTGAGCCAGTGAATCGGTCAGTCAGTGAGCTAGCCAATCACTCAGTGAGTCAGTGAGTGAGTTATTCAGTTAGTCAACCAACCAATGAGTCAGCGAGTCAGCGAGTCTGTCAGACAGTCAGTCAATCAACAAAGAAGCAAGCGAGAGAGACCGAGATAAAAGGAACACGTTGTCATTGTGTACATACTTCCAAAATGGGAATAGCAAAGCAGCTGGGACAGTAGCTATCAAACTCAGATTCCTCCAGTGGCGTTCAAGATAAGCGATGAGGACAAACAACATTTGAAAGCCATTGTAGTAAAAATACGTAATATTTCCAGTAGCTGTTCTACAATTCGGGCCAACCAATTCCATTCCGTAAATGTAAAGGGAGAGCATCACTCCAGTCAAGCCAAAACCGACCATGAAGCGAAGAACCGCGAATAACGGAATAGAATGAACAAAAGCTGAAGGAAAGCCGGTAATCAACTGAAAAATTACAATGAATCAAGGTAAACAAATATAAATGATTCAGTTTAAGTCGCCAGTAGAGGCGTGAAATTCAAACTTTCCACCGCAAAGGATCTCATAGACCCGATTTGCCCGTTGGATCATATAAAAGTAAAAATTAACATTGCCAGGAGCCCATTGCTGATTAATGACTAAGCCGTGGTTGCGGCCATCTTACCATGATTGCATTGCAGATGAAGATACATTTCTTTCGGCCCCAGGCGTCTGAAATCATCCCGGTCACAAGTGAACCTACCAACATTCCAGCAAAGAAACAGGACTGTATCGTTGCACCCAGGAACGCGCGGTCACAAATCAAGTTCCACTTAAACATAAATGGAAAGAAGGGAAAAGAAATTATTATTTGATTGAAATAATTCTCGGTCGTCTTTCTGTCCGTCTACCTATATGTCTGTCTGCCTTCATGTTAGTTCTTCGCCTTCCTCTTTGTCCGTCTGTTCATCAGATCATTTGCCTGTTTGTCTGCCCGTGTATATGCTCGTCTCTCCTCCTGCCTATCCGTTTGTTTGCCTGCTTGCGCTCATGGCCACCCGTGCATCATTGGCCTGACTTAAACCCCTGTTCACTCCTCCTCCCCCACCCCCCAGAAAAGTCTTACCTCAGACACGGTGCTCTGAAGAGGTCCTATAAATTCGTAAGCGTGACATCCATCACAACATTTCCTTGCCTCGCACGTGACATTTGGTGTCACACACTGAAACTTAGGAATACCAAAACCAAACACTAACAAAGAGAACTGGTTTGTTACTGGAAAAACAAGCAATAAAGTGCAGAAATATAAGATTTTTTGGTATTTTCCAAAGGAGGACACGTGTTCAAAAATATCGTCAAACTCAAATGAGCGGCTCTTCTCCTCTGTTACGGAACTGTCGGCCATTGTTCTAAAATAAGACCAACAAAGGCGAGTTATTCTCAGAGGTCAAGGTGAAAATAGCGGGAATTATGATCTGAGTCAATAAATGATTAACTACATATGGACCCTCGTTAAAAAACAACCTCGCAAGCCCTAGCGGTAAAAGCTATTCTTCTGAGAAAACCATTGTCCCTCTTGTTTCCTCTGCGGCCGTTGTTTGATTTCGTCAGGCAACGAGCTCTCTGATAGAGGAGAAACCAAATGACGGCTGCGGAGGAGACCATGATCTCTCTCGCACGCTTTGCGTGACGAAAAAGATTAGGAAACCTGTGCCTAAGATAATATAAGAAAGTTGCGTCGATGGAAGGGAAGAATCATATATGTGTCTTTTTTCCCGCAGCTCACTAAAAAAACTTAAAGCGCCACTCTGCAGATCAGCCGAGTTTTAAAAATCAATTAAAATACTTCTATGTAAAGTACGGAGTCTCATTCGAGTCAAAAGAGATACTTATCGGTTCTACTGTTTTCTCAAGCCAATCTTAGCTGCGAATAACATCGGTTATGCATCAGCTTTAATTTGTTCGAAGAACTTAACTTGTGCCGGATTTACCATTTCTCAAGAGAAAAACTGTAATTCAGCATTGGAATAATTCCAGCCCGTCTTAATCAGTTTGGGGAGATCCACAATGGAATTTTATTTTGACTCATGTGAGTTGCGGAAGCTCAACCTGGTCTGAATGTTTTCACCGGGCATTCTTTTGTTTAGAGCAGCAGATCGTTAATTAGAACCCGAAATAAAGTAGGTCGCGGAAACCAGAATGGCGAGGTGTCTCCGTGGTAAGTTGATTACTCATACTAATAAATACACACAACGTAGGTTTGAGATTAAAGAAGGTAACAAGGCTTGATAACAGTACTAACCTTAATTTCAAGGGTTCAAATTTCCGAACCAAAGTCTGAGAGATTTTTATTCTGTAATACGCATTCAGTTGCCCACAAGTAACGTTTATGTCTTGCAACTTGCTGCGTGTCAGAAAAGTATGCGATATACATTATGCAAAGAGGTATCAGATATAACTGTCGTCTGATCGCATTGTTTTTGTGGAGAGCTATTGTCAACATATTAAGTGTCAAAGCCGGCAAAGGATACGTTCTTCTTCCTCGTTTCGAATTGCAAGCCTGCTTCCAACTTGGAGATTTTGGCTCCTTCTTTATCCATTTTTTTTTCTTTCTCTTCCCACTAATTGCTTCTTGTTGCAGTGTGCATCAAAAAGCCTTCCTACGCCTTCTCATCTTTGTTATTCACTCATCTACGGTGGCAAAAATGTGTAAGAGTAATCTTGCCAAGGTCACGTACTCACTTGGCTGCCAAAATTTGACTCCGCTAGGGAACAAGCTGGAATGTCTAGGGCACCATAAGTCATTCCCTGAGGCTCTGATATCAATTGACATGCACGAACTTACTTAAGTTTGTACAAATCAACTGACAACCTTCTTAAAACTACCAGAAAACTTTGCTAAAATTATATTGATGTATTTTGTTTGTTATTCATTGAAATTGAGTTAGTGTACTAAAAAAAGATAAAAAGATAAAGTTAGCCTTCAGATACAATAAGTGGTCTAAATTCTCTTCAATTTTACATAAATTTTTTTGCTTCATTTTTTTTCTCCTTTATTTTCTCACTGCTTTTTTTTCTTATACTTAGAAGCAGAAACAAATTTGTCACCACTGTGTAGTTACGCAACAAGGTGATATACAACAATGCATGGTAATCTCGGCGCGCCATAATGACAGCTGCCTCAGATGATCTGGGTCGAGTTGCATCAGAACGAGGCATCGAGGGCCAGTATTTTTAGTGTTTACTCGTGCTAATAAGAAAATCATGGTCGAGTTGTTCATAGTCTGGTTAAGGTAACCCAGAGTTAGTGTGAAATCTGATTTCAGGGCTGAAAGCTTTAAAAGAAAATTCAGTCTAATTTTGTTGTCTACAATCTGATAACAGGATGTTCTAAAAGGAATAGAAAAAATTATCCTTTATTAAGGTTTTTGAACAGAGGAATAAAGAATCTCATGATGCCAGGATAAAATTGAACCATGGGTTAGCGCTAGTCGGCCTTCAAACATCTGGGCCCATGCCTAAAAACTGCTGTGTTTCAGAGTGTACAAAGAAGGTTTACGGAGAGAATGGAATGAAAATATCTTTCCACAAGTTCCTAGAGAGACCCATCACAGATATTACACCCATCTGGCTTTGCGGCCGTATGTATTCCTCATGAATCGATGAGCTTTTCTCAGATTGGCCTAGCGTTCAGATAAATTTCCTGTCAGGGTTAAAAGGGTCGTTTGAAACCCGCTTATCGCCCTTTCTTCAAAGAAGGTGAGGCAATAGAACCAATCTAAACTAACTCACGGCAATGCGAGATTTCTCTCACGAATTTCACAATGCATCTATCTATTATGCAAAATCTCAGTTAATATTCTGATTTTTAACTTGAATTAAGGCTCAAATTAAATGTCATCGTTCCTTTTTTGTGTATATGTGTATGTGTATGCAGTTTACACCTCTGATTTAAACAAACTTGTTCAAGAACTATAATGAAAATTCCTTCCTCTCATACATAGATAGGAAAGCTTTCATTATGTTATCTTTCATTATGTTATCTTTCTTTCATTATGTTTAGATTACCGACGGGCAGTAAATTAATTTAACCCTGCGGGTTAAATTAATTTACTACCCGTCGGTAATCTAAACATAATGAAAGAACGCAAATGTATCAAATGCGTGTATTTGTGTTTTCTAAATCAGGTTCAATTGACAATCATTTCCTTTTTCATCGAACTTTGAAAAGAAGGAGTATTTTGGTTTTCTTTAGCAGGTTTGTGTCTTGTTTATACTTAGTTTAAACTTTTGAATAATTCTTTCTAATCATTTTCATTTGGACTACGATGGCAATTAGCGCTGGAGAAGTCTCTCACGCAGTTTTGAATTTGGCTATTTTGCGTTCTCTAATTAGGAACTACCACATGCAAAGATTAAGCAATGTGTTAATTTCGAATCATCAGTTGATGGTACAGCTAAAGTAATTATTCTCTTTTTCTCTTAAAGATTATCAATCATAAAACTTGGAAAAAGTAATGACTAAGATTTCCTTTTTCCCGTCATCTTCGCTCAAATTTCACTCTGTTAACGGACCAAGGTAATTTGACAATGGAACGGGAAATTACAAAAGATTTCCTTTAAAATATTTCATAAACCAGCATACCTGTGGATTAATTAGATGAAAATGAATTACTGAATTGTATCATTGGCCCATAAAATGTTCACAATCAGTTAGTAAAGTCGCCAAGCGGTACGCGCTACAAATTGAACAACAAGGGAGGTTGAAAATTGTCGAACTTCCTGCCTGCACAAGTCAAGAATCCCATTCTTAGCAAGGAGAAACTCAGGCTTGGCTTGTCTAGTAAGATCGCTTCGCAAATGCAAGATTACAGGAACACCACAACAAATCCGGCAATTTTTGCCTGTCTATTGGGCTGGCTGCCAGCAATGCACTTGTAAAATTTGCACCTCCCGTGACCCGAACCGGAACAGCGAATCCTCACTGGTCAGCCTAGCGATGAGGCTCGAAGACCTTCATTTACAATCGAATCTCTTCTTAGCCGAAAAGATGAGAGAAAGTACAAAGTGAAGCCGAGCATGGAGAAATTTACAACTCTGAACATGAATTTGGTCTCAAGTAACTCTGCCACACAGTTTCAGAGTGAAAGATCCGAATTTCCTTTTGGATCTAACTGTCTCGAAAGTTTACAAAGGCAGAGTTTTGGCATGGAGCAGTTTTCTTTGTTAGCGAGAGGAAACGTTCCAACAAGCGGTAGGTAGATCGGGTCTCTGATCTTTTCATAGTAAATGTTGAGATAGTAAAAAAAAATTCAGATCGGCATAATCTGGCTATTTGGTTTTTTCGGGATCTGAGCAACTTACGGTTGGTGTTGGACGCCCTTGTAATATTTTCCAAATTGCAAACTGCTAGTCCGATAAAAAATAGACCGAGTTCTTGATTTGTGATTATTTTGGATTGTTTAGACGCGAAATATTCGTAATATTCATCGATTTTCATAAGAATAAGATTTTCCCAGTACTTAAAATGTGGAAGTCTACTTATAGAAGCAGACGGTATGTGTCGCCCATGGTTTAGAAACGTCTCCAAGGCCGAGTGGACGAGAGTTCTTGAAGAAATTAAAAAAAGTCTTAGTTCAAATCTATCAGGAAATACATTGCTATTTATTTCTCTTGTTTACTACTGTAAAAATAAAATCAAAATAGAATACTTTTCTTGGCAGCGAATTGCAGATTGAATAGTAGCTGAGCCGCTGTTAAAGCAAAACTTTTGTTATAATTCTATATAAAATCTTAATCTTTCCTTTAAAGATCTACTATTACGACTTTGTCTGTCTTTTCTTTTTTCATTGAGATGGTAAATTTGATTTCAAAACAGGCGAAGTTTTAAATATTATGAAAAATCTTCTCGTCAAGTCAGTTCCAGAGCAGCTTACATGTTTTTAAAAAAGAAAAAAGAATGTTAAAAAACATTTTTAATCGTAAAATGTGACTTTGAGAGCAATTTTTACAATTTCATGGGATGATTTTATAGTTCGTTTCAATATACTATTTTTGCTCCTTTGAAGCTAATACTCTGCTCATTAGAAGTTTCATAATCGATGAGATACTTCCTTTCCTGCGTGTTTAAATGCTCATTTCCGATGATTTAATTTCATTTAATTCTTTTCTTAATTGCCACAGGAAATTTCATCTCACACGGCGATGAAATCGACTGGACCGGTGAGAAACCAAAACGCATGCGCCCGATTTTTACCGTGGAACAGCTGGAGCGCCTGGAGCGAGAGTTTACACGCCAGCAATACATGGTGGGAGGGCAACGGTTTTATCTGTCAAAAGAGCTTGGATTGACAGAAACTCAGGTCACAGTTTGGTTTCAAAATCGTCGAATAAAATGGAGGAAACAGCTCATAGAGCAAGAAAGGAATAAGGTCAGGCAACAGAAGGAGCCAGACGCTGGCGGCAACATAAAGACAGAAGACGTCAATAACTGAAAATAGAACATTATTGATGAGTAAGGAGCTGGACTGTTCCGAGATGTCTGTCTCTGCTGTTTTAGTTTTTCCTTGCAATGGCGAATACTGTGTGTGTTTTTTTTTTTCGTGTTATTTTTTATTTTGTATTTCTCTCGTTCTTTGTTAAGGCATAATTATTCCTTTCATTTGCTTGATGCAAAATGGAGTGACAAATGTTATAGAGAGTCTCTCCTTTGATGTTTCAAATAGCTGGGGCGGATCCAGGATTTCAAAAAGTGGGGTTCGAACAAATGGGTCGCCGAAGGTGGACCCATCTGGGAGGGTCCGGGGGCATGCTCCCCCGAGAAATTTGGAAGTTTAAGTCTTCGGAAATGCGATTTCCGGCGTTTTGAGGGATGATAGTGGATGGTTTAATACTTTAACAAACCATCTCTTTTTAAAGCTATTTCATTAAACAAGGACTACGTTCAAGTCTTCACAATAATCGAGATCAACTGACTCTTAGAAAATGAAACTAAAATCACTGTAACATATTTGTCTTCGCTATTTAATGTGTTCTAAAAAGTCACGCGTAAGATTCCTCAAAAATGGGGTCAACGAGTAACATTCTACGAGGTTGTTGTTCGGCAAATTTCTGAACTATAGCATCGTAATCGACAGGCTTTTCATATTGAATACTTATCAAAGCCAGGCAAGAGAGTCTCTCGGTTGTCATCGTGGTCCGTAAGCAGCACTCGACTAGTTTTAAAGTGCTGTTTGAGCGTTCGTTATCAGCTGATGTTACTGGAATTGTACATGCAATTCGCAACAACAGGTGGATGTTCAGAAGGATGTTGGGATCACAAGCCTGTAGATAGACAGAAAGTATAATCAATAAATCTGTCATTTGTTAGCCTAAGGGAAATTTGAATATAAACAAATTGAGTTACTTCGAACCTGTAAGGCAGGTTGAAGCGCGTCTGGTTTGTCCGTCTCGGATTGCCATTTTCTCATCCAACGATCATATTCAATGTCGAGATTCTGCGGAATTGGGAGATCTGACATCTCGGGGACTTCAGCTATGTCTACATTTGTGCCCGCTACAATGGCACTTGGCACAAGACCAAGCAATTGCACGGCAGTCTTCTGAGTGGACCCAAATCTGAAAAAAAAATCCCTGTGATGAATAAGCCTGTTTGTTCAATCATGCATTATATCTGTAAATATTTAACGTTAAGTAGACAGTCCAGCGTTCGATAATTTATGTAGAATATCTTAAAGACATTTCTTGTGTGATGTGGTCAAAGGAATGGAATGAACAGATTGTGGCGATAATATTCCTCAGATGTGACATGGGGTACATTTGCCCTATGCTGTTGTCTTGACGCCGTTCTTAGAGCGCTTGGTTCCGCGCCCAGCTTTGAACTGATCTCCACGGCATATGCGTATCATCTTTTGAAGACAACATCATTCTTGTCTCGCAATTCTTTCAACTCCTTCTCCGTCTCCGAAATCATATTGTAAGCTTTAACAATGTCATTAGACTCTTTTTGTAGCTTTACGCTAATCGACTTTATGACTGCCAGAATTTTCATCGTGACCGTCAAGGACATGAGGAACTGGAAAGAACAACAGGTATGGTAGCAGCCGTTTGCTTTCTGGAGGGTTTCTCTGTCCCAGCTCCAAGGCGTACCAGTGCTGTATTGTTGGTGTTGCTGTTTATCTCAAATGACCTCAAACGTTTTAACAACTGATGGAAGTAACTGGACAAAAGTTTCATGCGCCTCATGATGCTCCACCCAACGAGTACGGCAAAGGTCACGAATCTTGGTTCTTTGAGACTCTAGCTAATCCAGGCTTATCCCTTTTTCCAAGCACCTCTGCCGCTTAGGGGAATAATTAAAAAAGTTTGCACATTCTGTTATGTGTGCAATATTTCTCTTTTTTATAGCTGCCTCCACGAGCAGGAGAAATGAAAGGAATCTCGTGTTTCAGCTGGTTGCCCGAGCAGACAAAATGGGTCTACCTTACCTGCTCGGATCACCCACTTTGTCTCGCGAAACAAAAATGCTGCGCTTTTAAGCAGGATTGTTTACATCAAAGTTCTACTAAACTTCTTTCCTATCCATCTTTTTTTTTTTTTTTACCACATTTTCATGAAGCAATGGAGTCGTAAAACACAACGTTACGTTTCACGAGTGACTTTCCAAGTCGCCTAGCAAATGACTACCGGACATCTCTTGAAAAGTTTTGCTTTTCTAACGAGTCGGCAAACTTCAATGCGATTTTAAAAAAGCCACCAGAGCTCGTAATTCAAGCAAATCCGCATACCGCGAAGCATTCAGCTACACGTTGGCCCACTGCCTATTCAAATTTGATCATTCACACGCGTGTAAGCTGGTGCCCGTGAAAGCCGGTCAGACTTTCAAAGGATTTTTCAACTAGGGTATTTTTCTAAGTAGATTTGAGGTTGTGATTTAACTCCAAAAAAAAAAACTGAGACCGATTGCTGAAGAACCATCTGTGAACATCTATCACAGGTGTTCCAAGCTTACTTCACGAGGAAAAGCAAAGGATTACTTCATGAGAGCATAAGTCCGTCTTCTAACAGCAATAACAGTGATGCCAAACGATTGTTTCAACTAAGGAATTTTTTCCGTGTAGATTTGAGGTTGTGATTATCTCCAGAAAAAAAGAATGAGATTGCTGAAGACTCCCTTTGTTAGTGTAGATACGGTGTTGAAACGTCCCCAAGGTCCCCTCCCATCTGTGAACATATACCACAGGTCTTCCAAGCTCACGTCTCGAGGTAAAGCAAAACATACTTTATGAGAGCGTAACTCCGTCTTATAACAGGAATAACAGTGATGGAAACGCAAGCCAAAAGCGGCAGAGAACACCACAAACCACAATGGACAAACAAAGAGTGAGTAGGTTCTGTTATTCTGACGTGTAGAATGTTCATATTTCGAAATATCTAGCGTTGTAGATCGACCATATTTCTTCCCCCATACTGTTCCTTACAGCTGTTCAAATTCTCAACGTAACTTAACCCCGCGTCACACAGCGCCTGAGGCTTTCATTAATTTTAAAATCGTTGGCTTTTCTAGGAACGTAAGCTTGAGACGTAAGCTTGGGACACCTTAGTATAGACCGGAAATTCGCTGTTGCTTCCTTAGTTTCCTAGAAATGCATTGTTTGTCTGTATTAATCCACAGTCAAGACAAAAATAACTGGTTAGTCTGCAGCTCTGCTGTCCTGAATCCATCTCTCATTCGATTTTTCTCCAGGCTCAGGCACCTAATATATTAACCGTGCTACAACTTAGAACGGTATAGAAAACTAGGTAATTTTCGATGAAGTACCAAAGTGTCTATGTGCGAGGTCTTTCATTACACAATTCGTCTAAGTACCCGAGGTCTTGAAGGTTAAATAAGCACGTATCACATCCACTTAGCCGATTTCTGCAAATATGTTTTCGCCAAAAGAACTTACAAAGCGTTTCGACTTTACCATTAACCAAAATAAGTTTACAGCGAGCGTACACGCCGGAAACTTTGCAGTATATTGAATCATTCTTCAAACTCTACGAAATGTCAAAGCCACGTGACAAGCTAAACCATGAAAAGATCGTCTTAAATTTCACCGCAACTTAAAAAGCACAATATTTTCAACTGAATAGCTATGTATAGTGTTCGCATGGCGAAATTTGGCTCGAAGAAATGAAATTCCATGCTGCACCCACAATAATACTTTGTAAAACTTAAATCTAATAACAGCCCACGCAGAGCACAGATGTAGATTAATCAAATGAAGCCGAATGGTAAAAGGCTGTAACTGATTGCGAAATTGAAAGAGGCCTCGTGTAGCTACTTTTGAAACATACAGTATCGTGACATCCTTCCCCAGTTGAATTAAAGATGCTCATGGTCATACTCTCTAGCTATAGAGAACCTAAGAGTCATACAGTCGAATCTCAATTATACGGACCTCGATTATCAACACTCATGCTCTGGTCCCAATTTTGTCATGAATATTTATTAGTCATGATCACGATCCGTAGCTATATTCTTTTCGAAACTACAACGTTGAAAAGTGAAGTAAAGGCGAGTTAGTTTCGCTTTCAAAAAGCAAAAGTAGCGCTCGCACGCGTCGTAACTAATGAAGAACATTTTTGTTGCTCATAAGTAGTCATACTCTTGATTATCCGGACCCTCAGTTATATGGACTATTTCGTCTAGTCCCAATGAGTCCGGATAATCGAGGTTCGACTGTAGTCAAGGCAATATTTTGAAAGAGCTGTGTACAGTGTTCGCATAGCGAAATTAGCTCGAAGAAATTAAATTCCACGTTGCACCCGCAATAATACTTTGTAAAACTGAAACCTAATAACAACCCACGCCGAGCACAAGTTTCGAGTACTCGAATGAAGCCGAATGATAAAAGACTGTAGCTGATTGCGGAAGTGAAAGAGGCCTCGTCTAGCCGCTTTTGAAATTCACGGTAACGTGCCATCCTTCCCCAGTTGAATTAAAGATGCTATGGTCATGTTCTCCAGCTATAATATAGACTTAGTTTCGTCAAACCATATAAAATAAGCGGCGTACAATATCTGAATGACCCTGTGCTTTTCAAAACATGATATGTTTCAATGTTCTATACAGTACGTTTCAAAATGCGCTATTCAGTAGCACATTGCGAATTGCACCTACGCGTGAGCGTACACACTGATGTAAATTGTGAAATCCCCCTTGTGAAACCTTCCAGAACCCCTATTAGAATGACTTGATCGACGAGACACCTCATAGGGAAAGAAATAAAGATTCGTCGTCGACCCAAAGCAAAATCCTATCTGCGACTTGCGTAAGTCGTCGTCTCCAAATAACATAAAGTATACCTATGAGCGAGCAGGCCGCTTATATTACATCCTCTGCTAACTAGCTTGAAATCATTTCACTTATATTTTATCTAACACTACTTACCGAGTTAGCTTTTATAAATGAATCCAAAGGACGCACGATAACTCTGCCAACGTCGATCGTCTGAGGTAAAGTTTGGAGTGGGCCGTGGCTCTTCTTGGAATCAATTATCAACAAAGGTGTGTCTACGTCTGTGGGGGTGGGGGCGGGGACATCAGGGAAAACCTTGTACACAAGCTTTTTTTTCTCATTTATCACATATAGCGAGTCATTAACAGCTGCTGAGGCATATTACTTGCAGGAAACTGAAATGGATTGTTCCTTTGCGACTGCTTTTGCCTAAGGTAGGACGTAAGCAGCTTATATGCCTTTGAACACCACCCCAGCCCCCTTCTGTGATTATGGCTCGTGATCATGTTTTAATCCGCATAAATCTCATATTCAATTCACAATCCCCAAAGATTCACTCCTTTTTTGACTCAGTACCTGAAGCTGTTATGGTGAATTTCAACCACAATCTAGCCTTGCCTAATAGTGATTGATAGCAAACGACAGCGAATAACATTAAATGCTAGATGTGCCTGGGAAACACGTCAGGAGCCCAAGTAATGGGCTTTTGACAGGCAGTCGAACGGAAGCAAGTGTGAGGCGACGCGAAGTGCGAGTCAAGCGTGAGGCGGAGCGAGGTGCGAGTCAAGCGCGAGATGGTGCGAAGTGCGAGTCATGTGTAAGGGTTAGGGTGCACAGATATGCCCGCGAATAGGCCCTCGTCATCAGCGCTACAGGACGCATGGTTTCGCCTCCCGCAGGAAAGTTTTAATTGAGTCGAGAATAGGTTTACCGAGCCCCTGGCACTTACATGCAGACCTCTGAACTGCTCGTGGGGCTCAAGGCCTCATACTTTCCCGCAGGCGAGGAAAGCTCGTGCCAAACCCCTAATAATGAGGAGCTGCCAGCAGGCAAGACAAGATAAACTACCGCAGGCTAATATCATAAAAGTTTCTCCACCTTATTAAAACTAACATTTCATGCACGTGCTTTGTCGTGATGATTACACCTTGAAAGTGAGGTATTCACCTCATGAAGTATTCCACTGGCTTAAAACAGCAAGAATGGTAACACAGGTTGTTTTATGTGAAATGAGAGCGATTGGCATCGTTCACCTCTTAATTAGAGACCGGATATTACTCATCCCGGGGGGTGATACTCTAGTGATCCCCCTTCATTAGAAAAATATTTCTATAGCCCCCCCCTCCTTCCCCTTTATACCCTGTTGGTGACGACTGACCCCCCCCTCCGTTCCCCTAAAAACCACGTGATCCTCTCCAAACATACTCTCCTCCTCTTCCCCCTCCCCCGGTGATAAATATTGACTGGTCCGACATGGTTTGATCCTACTCTGGTTTCCAGATTTAATGAATGTAACCGAAGAAGACCAAACGTTTCGACACTCCTGTCTAATGCCTTCATCAGGGGTGATCTAAACGCTGCAACAAGAGGTCCTTTTATACGATCACTAATTAGCTGCCTTTGATTTTTACCTTTTATTTACTTGTGATTGTAGCTTAAATTGAACACATAGAAAGTTAAATTTTCGGACCGATTTTAGATTTAAAAAAACAGGTTTCTTCTTTTTTTTTCGCAGTCTCAATAATTTCCATTCGTATTTTTTTTCTTGGCGGACGACGAAGCCGCCAGGTTTTTCAGCGCTCTTTTCGGTTCGTGTCAACCATATATCTGTGCGAAAAAAATAGTTTATTTTCACAGATACTGTTACTTCGTTAGTGAATCGTCCAAATAACAAACTGCTATAGTCTATTAGCGAAAAGGAGGAAGAAATCGCAGTGTATTTCCGGCGCGGAACCGGGAGGTTTGCTTTGAATAAAAGCCTCTCGAAACATGTAGGAAGTTGGAAAATTCATACTGCTACTCACTTAACGTGCCTCCACGGCCGCGTCCACTCCTTCATCTTCCACTTCTGATTTGACCAGTGAAAGCCTTCTCTCCAGTCCTCAGAGATATTCCTCACTACAATCGAACGCCAAGCCTCAAAGTAGATCATAAGCGCAAATTAAAACCTATTCCGGACCGGGAATACATAATTCAAGAGGAAATATACAAACAGAATGTTGAACCAGCGTTGAACCTATTACTGAAACAGCAGAGCGAAGAAACAATATGTCTCCCTCATTTGCAAATGTACTTGGTCATACTCCGACTTATTGTCATCAAGGAACACCAACAGGGAATGAAAAGTACAGTGACTGAACATAAACTACATGATCATAATCTTCCACGACAAAATTTCCCGTTCAGTGTCTATGTTCTATTTGGGTTCAGTCACACACTTAATTGGAGACACAGATTAATTAAATTAATTTAATTAAAGAGGAAATTTCCTTTAAAATCATTAATGGCAATGCCAGAAGCACAGCCTAGACATCTTCCAGAGACAAGTGGAATTTTTACACCTCTGTTCTCTGGAGATTCTCTAATTTAGAAGCATTCTTGATGTCCTCCCCCTGAACCTCATCTTGTCCAATTATATACCAAGGTGTAATTTGAACTTCAGGTCTTGACTTTTATACTTCCACTTAGTGTTCAAGTGACAAATCTTGTTTGTTTCTCTTCAGTACAAAGGTACTTATCCTAAACTACCACAGAGGGAAAGGTGCTATATGGGGCTTCCTGTGAAATATTTGTAAAGAGGCATTTAGGAAATATTAAAACAAAACAATATAAACAATCTGGACAATCCATAGAATAACATGTTTATAATATTAAATTATTACAAATTATATAGAATAAGACATTTTCGGTTAAACATGGTTGCTACAGCCATAGGTTTTTGAAATTCCCCAACAACTTTAAAATTTCCCTGACCAATTTTATGATTTCCCAAATTGGCTCTAGCCATGACCTCCAACTACCCTCACAACCATTCTCTCCACCCAATTATTTATTAATATGATTTCAGTGAGTCTCATGCAAGGCAGATAAATTTATAGTTCCTTGAAAAAGGATTGATTTTGTTGGAAACCTAATACCTGCACCTCTTAATTTTTATGTACCAATATTTAAACAGTCCAGCGCGTTTGTTGTCTGCTTTTTGTACATTACAATTCAGTCTGGAATTTGATAGATGAAGGAAGAGCTATTAAGTGGATATGCTACAGTATGTACCACTAAAACAAAATTATATTTTTTTTTTATGTAAACCAATTTATTTACATTTCATGTCTATAAAAACCTACTTAAATACTTGAATTTGTAAAAAAAAATATTTTATCTAACTTCTCTGAAAAACATTAATTTTCACTGAATTAGTGTGGAATTCCCTGAGTTTTCCCTGACCTTGAAGGACCCTTTTTTTTCCTAACCATTTCCTGACTTGTGGGAAGATAAAGTTAAACTTGTACTTGAGCCAAGTTGCCCATCAAGCCAGAGTTTGTCTTCAGCATGAAGCAACTAGAAGCCAAACCAAGGTCAACCCTCAAACGGAAAATAACATTCGATAACAGCGGGCTCTCGTTAGAAAAAGAACTATCGCTTAGTTTTGTTAAATACTTAAGTTCTGTTTGGGTAATAACTGCATAATGAAACGAGCCATCGTTGTTTTAAAAAAGGTTTCCTTACAAACTAAGTATTGTGCAGTGATAAGAAATCGTAAATTAGACAACAATGTTCGAATGATAAACAGAAAGATTAAAAGCATCGTAGGCACACAAAATGGCGGTTGGCGACTGATTAAGCGGTAAATCTAAACCACCCCATGTGCCTTTTTCCTGCAGATTGCATCACGATGTTAACAGATGCATCGAAAGAAAATAGATTGAAGAACCGTTGCATAATGTTCTGGACTCCGGAAAAACTCATTTACTGACCTAGACTTTAAGGTAAAGTTGAAAAACATACCTGAACCAAACGTGTCAATTCAACTGTTCTGTTATTTCTGTGCCAAAAATTTCGCCTCTATAACTCCTTGATGACCACCATCTTGAGTACACGCGAAGACTAGTATCTATTAACTAATTTCCAATAGAATTATCGGTACATACGGCGGGTAATAACCAATAAACAGTGAACATTTCGAATTGGGTACGAAAACCCTCGATTGCCGAAATGCTCGCTATGTTGTGACGTCACGTGGTTATCAAATCTGATAAATATTCTGAACTGGTTACGTTAATCAAAAGAAACTGTATTATAGTTCTGTGTCGGCGGGGGAAGGGAGAGGGAGGGGAGTATCAGGGAGGGGGGGAAGGGTATTACAAGATTGTTTGGTTTTACCAACTGAGTTGATAAAGTGAACCAACCACCGTAAAGACTTTCTTTGGCGTGTCGAGCATTAGTCCTTCGTCAGGGCGTCTGCTAACACTAGAAACGCCAAAACCAGAGAAACAAATCAAGTAAAAACAAAAAAATAAAATGACCAAAACGAAACAACTCGGTGAAACGAATTTAAAAAATAAGTCAAAAGCAGTCAATAACAAGCCTGTCTACCCCGAAGAAGATCGAAAACGTCGAAAACGTCAGAAACTGATCTTGGCTAACATCCCGGGCGATGTAGAGGGGGAGGGGGGAGTTGAGCGCAATGAACAACTCTTTAACGATTTTATAATGCTTAAGTGCTTTTAATGGTTAACAATGGTTATAACAGTCTAATATGCGTATATAATAACGTTTTTTTACTTTTTTTTGAATAAGAATATTCGAAAAAGCAAGATCTTTACAGCTACGGTTCTAAACTGGGACAAAAGATCTAAAGAAGAAACTTAGACGGGAAATACTGACTATATGCGTGTAATTAGGTATAGGTAGGTTATATCACTTCAAAGAATTGAAGGCCTATATATGATGACTAACATTCATGAACTAATCTGGTTGTAGGTGAGTCTGTTTTTACTCACATTCTATCAGGGAAACAATGTCCTTCCAATGGAGACAGACACTATACTAAAAGAGACACTGATTTCATCCTATAATCAAACAAAACTTTGACAGATGCGAGTGTCTTTTTAGTAAAGTACTCTTTCCATCATCATGACTGCGTTGGTCATCATCATGACCAACATAGTTATGGTTCCACAGATGACAACTTTACCACCTGAGATCTCAGCAGTACCATTCCAGTTTGGAGGCTTGTCAGACACTGCCAGTGTCTGGGTGCTGGTGCAGGCTTTATTAGAACACGAGGCCAAGCTCTTCACCCAGACATTGTGTCCATCCACTTTCAAAGGTAGCACTCCCTGTTTTACAGCAGAGGTAAACTCTTCGATGGTTTGCTTGAAGTTGACAGATGGAGCGGATGTAAAGGCGATACCCAGGGCTTTCTTATCAGCTAATAAGACGATAATTTCCAGGTTTTCTGGATCTTGAACTCTCCCAGTATAGGCAAGCCAGTCCATTACATCTGAGTTCCACTTCAAGGCACTCGCGATGGCTGAGCCAACTCCGTCCGCGAATCGACTTTGAGCATTAGATTCAGGAAAATTGTCAGTTGAGCGCCTTGATCGCAGAAAAAACTTTTCAATCGTCAGCTTGATCACTTTGACTGGGCTATCTTCCAGCTCTATAGATCTGTAGCATTTCCTGATGTTAGAATACCATGTACACTTCTCTCCTATATTCCACATTCCCTTGAGAGATTCCAAGACTGTGTCGACTTTGACAAAGGAGCCCTTGATGGACCAAAAGATCTGGAGGTAATTGGAACAGTCAAGATCACAGGCAGACAGTACACCATTTCCTGGATTCAGGTAACATGGTGTTTGAGAGGCAAACGCCCTTTCTTGTATCTCCCCACAGGTTGAATGGATCCATGGCCGCAGTAGTGGCATCAGTGAGACTTGGAGGCATTTATGAACTCCAATAACCCAGTTTCGCGCGATTAAACTGAATTTTGCAAAGTTTTTGTCATCAAGCTTGCAAAAATGTTCAGCGTATTTGATTGCATATCCATTACTTGTGAATTCACAGGGATACTTTCTCTCCAAGCAGTTGCGATACCAATAACAGGAATCCCCTGGTGGAATATAGCACTTAGAAGGCAGTAATGTGGTAGGTGTGAGAGTGCTTGGATTGCCGGAAGTACAGGAACAATCACTCGCCACTGGTCCATTTCTCTTGCCATGCACTTCCAGCATACACGGATACCAGCAGTAAGTTGCAGTTCGGTCTTCACATTGGTCTTTTTGGTTGCCCTTTTGCTGGATGTATGCATCCGTCAAGCACGTCATCCACTGGTATTCGTCATTGTAGCTGTGCATTTGAATGCAATCAACACCCCCAGCGGGTCCAGACAACTTGTTACACTGGGCAGCCCATCCCAATTTAACCACAAGTAAAAGCACAGAAGTAATAGCTAGCATCGTTCAAACCTAGAACCTGGGAAATGTAATTAGGCCATTTTAAGATTAAGTATCTGTACACACATTTGCACTGGGTAAAAGAATATAGTTGAAGCCCGCTAACTCCAACTCTCAAAGGAGACGAAAAATGGTTCGAGTTGGGGGGGGGGGGGTGGGGGTTAGGACTAGGGTTAATTGTGTTGAATATCAGTTATCCTTTCAATGATTGAAAGGGAATCATGTTTTTACCATTCTCGTACAAAGGAGAGTAATATCAGTTAATTTAGTTTGTTTTAAAAGAGCTTTAGATGCCAAATGTTTAGTTTGGGTAGTTAAGCTAAATTACGTTTTCATTAATATTATCGCGTTCGTATCAATCGTGAATAAAGATTGGAACGCGTCAATCAGCTATGTTCTGATACTTAGACGTTTATCAACTGACGTTTTTAGTTAAAGTTCGAGTTATCAGGGCAAACATGAGGTTAGGAATAGTAAAATTTGTTCAATTAATGTGGGATTCGTTTAAACCGAGTTCGAGCTAACTGATAATAAATGACTGGAAAATAGGGTAAATGCCTGAGAAAATCGGATCCTATTTGAGTTAGTGGGGGATTCGTGATAACCGCGGTCGAGTTAGCGAGGCTTTGTTGTATTACTATAGTTTTGCTGTGAGCAGCGACTCAGTTTTAAAGGCCTCTCAAGTTCACTTCGTTCACGTAAACTTGGGAGGCCTGTACGTTTTTCAGCAGGCCTGCATACCTCTGAATTCTATCACAATTCATCGTTTACTCACGCATGAATAAACAAATTTGAATAAGCAGTGGGGTAACTTCACATTTTCAAGATTGAAATCATCTTGAGAACGGGAAGGAAAACTTATAAGATTATAAAATAGATAATCATTAATTTTGTATTTGCGGAAGCAGTGGAAGTAGGGCGTGCTGACCGTTTCCAAATTGACAGATTTTTATGAGGAATGGCAGCAATTTTTGGCATACGCGGATTCGCTTGAACTACCAGCTCTGTTGGCTTTTTAAAGGCATTGAAGTTTGCCGACTCGTTAGAGAGGCAAGACTTTTCACAATAGTCATTTGCTAAACGACTTGAAAAATCGCTTATGAAACATCATGTTGAGTTTTACGACTCCATTGCTCTAATTGACTATTTAACTTAGGCCAATTTCTGCAACCGAACAGTAAATATGTTGTCACCACAAGAGATGACAAAGCGTGTCTCAATTCATAACTAGGATAATTTAATAGCAAGCGCATACGCTGAATACTTTGTAGTGTATTGAATTAGTTTTCAAACTCCACAAAATGTCGAAGCCACCTGAGATTCTAAACCATGAAAGGATCTTCGCATGGCGAAATTAGCTCGAAGAAATGAAATTCCATGCTGCACCCGCAATAACACTTTGTAAAACTGAACTCTGATAACAGCACACGCAGAGCACAAGTTTAGATTAATCAAATGAAGCCGAACGGTAAAAGACTGTAGCCGATTGTAGGAGCGGAAGAGGCCTCGTGTAGCTACTTTTGAAACTCACGGTGTCGTGACATCCTTCCCCAGTTGAATTAAAGATGCTATGATCATGTTCTCCAGCTAGAAGATAGACTTACACTCATCAAAACATATATAATAAGCGGCGTACAAGAGCTGAACGACCGTGTGCTTTTCAAATCATAATGTGTTCAATGTTTTATATAGTGCCTTTCAAACTGCGCTATTCAGTAGCATATTGCGAATTGCACTTTAGCTTGAGCGTACACACTGATATAAATTGTGAAATCCCCTTTGTGAAACCTTCCAGAACCCCTATTAGAATGACTTGATCTACGAGACACCTCATAGGGAAAGAAATAAAGATTCGTCTTCGACCCAAAGCAAAATCCTTTCTGCAGGCCATCGCCTCCAAATAGCATAAATTGTCCCTCTGAGCGTGTCAGGCCGCTCATATTACATCCACTGCTAACGAACTCGAAATCATTTCGCTTATATTTTATCTAACACTACTAACCGAATTAGAATCCAAAGGACGCACGGTAACTCTGCCGACGACGATCGTCTTCGGGGAAAGTTTGGATTCTTGGAGTCAATTAATAACAAATTAATAACAAAGGCGCGTCTACGTCTGTATGTGGGGGTGGGGTCATTAGGCCATGAGATAGCGAATCATGAATAGCTGCTGAGGCATATTACCTGCAGGAAACAAAAACGGATTGTTCCTTTGCGACTGCTTTTTCCTTACGAAGGAATTGAGCAGCTTATATGCCCTTGAACGCCACCCCACCCCCCTTCTGTGATTTTGAATGGTGAGAGTATAGTTTCCTTGTCAGTTTCCCAGAAAGACGGTTTGTCTTTGGGTGTTTGCTTCAAGTCTCTCAGGAAAGATTGGCTCGTGATCATGTTTTAAGACGCATAAATCTCTTATTCAATTCACAATCCCCAAAGAGTCGCTCCTTTCTTGATCGAGTATCTGAAGCTGTTACGGTTAATTTCAACAATAATCTAGTCATTAGTACTGAGATATTTTAAAAAAAAGGCAATTATTCTTTAATCTCAACGCCTTGCCTTACAATGATTGATAGCAGACGATGGCGAATATCATTTAATACAAGATATGCCTGCAAACCAGGCATAATTTTTTAGCGTTTTTCGGTCGAACGAAGGCAAACACGAGGCGACGCGAAGTGCGAGTCAAGTGCGAGGCGGCGCGAGGTACGAGTCACGCGCCAGAGTTAGAGCGCACAGATATGCCCGCGAAGAGGCCCTCATTATCAGGGCTTCAGGACGTATGTTTCGCCTCCTGCGGAGAAGTTCGAGTTGCGTCGAGAAGAGGTTTACCGAGCCTCTGGCACTAATATGCAGACCTCTGACCGGCTCGTGTGGCTCAAGTCGTCATACTTTCCCGCAGGCGAAGAATAGCTGGTGCCAAGCACTAATAATTAGGAGCTGCCCACAGGCAAGAGAAGATAAACTGCTGCAGGCTAATATCATAGAAGTTTCTTCGCCTTATTAAAACTGACTTTTTATGCACGTGCTTTGTCGTGATGACTACACCTTGAAAGTGAAGTATTTCGCTCATGAAGTATTCTGCTGGCTTAAAACAGCAAGAATGGTAATACAGGTCGTTTTATGTGAAACGAGAGCGATTGGTATCGTTCACCTCTTAATTAGAGACCAGTCTTTACTCATCGCCCGGGGGGTGAGGTTCTAGTGATCCCCCATCATTAGCAGACAATTTTCTACAGCCCTCCCCCCCTTCCCCGTTTATACCGTGTGTAGATCGCAACGCCTTACATTCTTTTTCGTTTGTTTATTGTTCTTGTGCAAGAGTGCTAGTTGTAGTAAAATTTTGTGTGCGCTTTCTTTGTGTCATTGCGTAACGTAGCAAGATCGTTTGGTTTCAAAGAGTTTCTTTGACGTGTCGAGCCTTAGTACTTCGTCAGGGCGTCTGCTAACACTAAAGACAGCTAGCGAGAAAAACAAATCAAGTAAAAACACCAAAATGACGAAAATGAAACAACCCGGCGCAACGAATAAAAAAATAAGTCAAAACCAGTCAATGACGAGCCTGTCTAACCCGTAGAAGATCGAAAACGTCGAAAAATGATCTTGGCTAACATCCCGGGCGATGTAGAGGGGGAGGAGGGTGGGGGCCGATCTTGACAACGAGTAGTGCGCAAGGAACAACTCATTAACAATTTCATAATGCTTAAATGCTTTTAATGGCTAACAATGGTTATAACAGTCTAAGACGCTTATATAATAGCTTTTTTTTTACTTTATTTGAATAAAAATATTCGAAAAAGCATGATCTTTACAGCTACAGTTCTAGACTGAGACAAAAGATCTAAAAAAGCAACTTAGACGGAAAATACCGACTATATGCGTGTAATCAGGTATAAGTTGGTTATATCACTTCAGAGAAGTACCCTATCTATTTATCCTTCCAATGGAGAGAGACACTATACTATAAGACACAATGATTTCATCTAATAATCAGACATAGGCTATCGTAACTTGTGAGTAACCTCTCATATAACGTCTCACATCTACTGGGCAAATAGATTCTACTCTTCCTTCAGCAACGCGTAATATTAGTTTAACTACCATGCAATGAAATTAAATGAGATTATTTACTTGGCTATTTTATCCTCTATATCCTACGGCTTCGGATAACTCTCAGTTAATTTAAGGACCTGTTACACACTGAAGCCTGTTTATGGTAAAAATAACACCGACAGACTGATTGAAACCTACAAAACAATGCAACTTGGTGGTTTACCACAATATTTGAAACGATCTTTTTCGTAAGCTTTTGAAAAACAGCAGCTATTTTGTGGTCCAGAATTGATTCGTGACTCAGGTCCTGGTTTTTGATTCAATGATGGTGCGGGAATGCTGTCTGAAGGGTTCAGCACCATGACCACGCCTAACATGCTAAAGCTAAAAATCGCCATGATTGTCGCAAGCATTGCAAGAGTAAAACTAGCGAGATGTACGTTTTAGTGAAGCTTTTTGCAGCAGGTAGGGACTCGAAATGTTTCAGCTCGAAGGCATCGAGCACAAAACCCAGGGTGAGACAGACCATTAGATCAACTGTTACACATGATAAATCTATGTAGCTCAATAAACAGAAAAACTAAATCTACCTTCTTGTCAAATGCGAGTTTCTTTTTAGTAAAGCAGTTTGGCAATCATCACGACCAACATAGCGATGGTTCCACAGAAGACAACTTTACCACCTGAGATCTCAGCAGCACCATTCAACTGGGTGCTGTTGCAGACTTTATCAGAACACGGAGCTAGGGTCGTCTCCCAGTTTGGAGGCTTGTCAGATACTGCCAGTGTCTGGGTACTGTTGCAGGCTTTATCAGAACACGAGGCCAAGATCTTCACCCAGACATTGTGTCCATCCACTTTCAAAGGAAGCGCTCCCTGATGTACAGCTGAAGCAAATTCATGGATGGTCTGGTTGAAGTTGACGGCTGGAGTGGATGTAATGGTAATACCCAGGGCTTTCTTATCAGCTAATAAGACGACAATTTCCAGGTTTTCTGGATCTTCAACCCTCCCAGTATGGGCGAGCCAGTCCATTACATCTGAGTTCCACTTCAAGGCACTCGCAATGGCTGAGCCAACTCCGTCTGCGAATCGACTTTGAGCGTCAGATTCTGGTAGAGGATCAATTGAGCGCCTTGATCGTGGAAAAAACCTTTTAATCTTCAGCTTGATCACTCTGACTGGGCCATCTTTCAGCTCTCCGTAGCATTTCTTGATGTTAGTATACCATCCACATTTCGCTCCTATGTTCCACATTCCTTTGAGAGATTCCCATAGTGTGTCGACTTTGACAAAGGAACCCTTGATGGTCCAAAAGATCTGGTAGTAATCGGAGCAGTCAAGATCACAGACGGACGGCGCACCATTTCCTGGATCCAGGTAACATGGTGTATGAGAGGCAAACGCTCTTTCTCGTATCTTTTCACAGGTTGGATCGACCCATGGCCGCAATAGTGGCACTAATGAGACTTGGAGGCATTTACGAACTCCATTAACCCAGTTTTTCCCGCTTAGACTGAACTTTGCAAAGTTTTGGTCATACAGCTTGCAAAAATGTTCAGCGTATTTGATTGCATATCCATTACTTGTAGCTTCACAGGGATACTTCCTCTCCAGGCAGTTGCGATACCAATCACAGGAATCCCCTGATGGACTATAGCACTCTGGAGGCAGTAATGTGGTAGGCGTGAGAGTGTTTGGATAAGAGGTTGGATTGCTAGAATTACAGGAACAATCACTCGTCACTGATCCATCGTTCTTGTTATGCACTTCAAGCATACACTGATACCAGCAGTAGGTTGCAGTTCGGTCTATGCACTGGTGTTTTTGGTTGCTCTTCTGCTTCATGTAAGCATCCGTCACGCATGTCCCCCATTGGAACTCGTTATTGTACCGCCTTAATTGAATGCATTCAACAGTTCCAGTGGGTCCAGACCACTTGTCACACTGGGCGGCCCATCCCAACCCAACCACAAGCAACACCATAAATGTAAGAACTAACATCGTTCAAAGTTGAAACCTGAGAAATGTAATTAGGACACTTTAAGATTGAATATCTATTCATACATTTGCAGTGCGAAAACGAATACAGTTGAAGCCCGCTGACACTCGAACTCCCAAGAGAAACTAAAAATGATTCAAGTTATAGAGGAGGGGGGGGGAGGGAGGGGCTGCAGTTAGCTTCTTCTGAAAAACAGTTATCTTTTTAATGATCAATAGCGAATCATGTTTTTAACATTCTCGCAGAAACAACAGTAATTTCTGTACATGTAGTTTGTTTTAAAAGAGCTTTTTGATGAGAACGTTTAGTTTGGGAAGTTTAGCTAAATTACGTTTTCATTTATGTTATCACGTTTGTATCAATCATGAATTGATTGGGACGTATCAATGAGCTATCTTCTGACACTCTAAAGTTCGAGATATTAGTTATTACACAACATTAGGTCTCATGAGCGATTTTCCAAGTCGCCTATCTAATGACTACCGGAAAACTCGTGAAAAGCTTTGCCTTTCCAACGAGTCGGTAAACTTCAATGCGTTCGAAAAAGCCACCAAAGCTAGTACCTCAAGCGAATTCGAAAGCCTTTAAAAATCTGTCAATTCTGAAACAGTCAGCGCGCTCTATTTTCACTTCTCCCGCAAGCACAAAATGAATGACTATTCATTTCATAATCTTATAAGCTTTCCTTCATTAAATGTCCCAGGCAAACAATTCTAGATGATTTCAACCTTGAACATACGAAGGATTCAGCAACATGTTGCCCCGCTGCCTATTCAAATTTGATTATTCACACGCTTGTAAGCAGGCGCCTGTGAAAGCGGGTCAGACTTACAAGCGATTGTTTCAAGTAAGGAATTTTTCCATGTAGATTTGAGATTGTGATTATCTACAGAAAAAAAACTGTGAGTGCTAAAGACTCCCTTTGAAGTTATTGTTAGTGTAGAGACGGTGTCGAAACGTCCCTAAGATCCCCCCCACCCCCCATCTGTGAACATATACCACAGGTCTTCCAGGCTCACGTCTCGAGGAAAAGCAAAAGATTACTTCATGAGAGAGTAACTCCGTCTTATAACAGGAAAAATAGTGATGGAAAAGCAAGCCAAAAGCGGCAGAGAACACCACAAACCACAATAGACAAACAAAGACTGAATAGGTTCTGTTATTCTTACGCGTAGAATGTTCATATTTCGAAATATTTAGCGTTGTAGATCGATCATATTTCTTACTCCGTACTATTCCTTACAGTGTGTGTAAATTCTCAACCTAACTTAACTCCGCGTCAGATAGCACTTGATGCTTTCACTAATTTTAAAATCGTTTACTTTTCTAGACACGTAAGCTTGGGCCGTGAGCTTAAGACACCTGTGCATAGACCGGAAATTCGCTGTTGCTTCCGTAGTTTCCTAGAAATGCATTGTTTACCTGTATTCATCCACAGCTAAGACAAATAATAACTGGTTAGTCTACAGCTGCTGGCCTGAATCCATCTCTTATTCAATTTTTCTTTAGGCCCAGGCACCTAATATATTAACCGTGCTACAACTTAGAAAAGTATAGACAGCTGGGTAATTTTCGACGACTTACCAAAGCGTATATGCGCGATGTCTTTCGTTTCCCTATTTATCTAAATACACGAGGTCTTAAAGGTTAAATAAGCACTTATTACGTCCACTCGGCCGATTTCTGCAACCGACCGGTAAATATATTGTCGCCAAAAGAACTTACAAAGCGTTTCGCCTTTACTATTAAACAAAATAGTTTTACAGCAAGCGCACGCGCCGAGAACTTTGTGGTAAATTGAATCATTTTTCAAACTACGAAATGTCAAAGCCAGGTGAGAAGCTAAACCATAAAAAGATCGTCTTAAATTTCACTGCAACTTAAAAACTTAAAATATTTTCAACTGAAGAGCTGTGTACAGAATTCGCATGGCAAAATTTGGCTCAAAGAAATGAAATTCCATGCTGTACCCGCAATATTACCTCTAAAACTGAACTCTGATAGCAGTCCACGCGGAGCACAAGTATACATTAATCAAATGAGGCCGAATGGTAAAAGATTGTAGCTGATTGCGGAATTGAAAGAGGCCTCGTGTAGCTACTTTTGAAATTCACGGTATCGTGACATCCTTCCACAGTTGAATTAAAGATGCTATGATCATGTTCTCTGGCTTAAATACAATAGAACCTCAACTATCCGGACCTCGATTATCCAGACTATTTCTCTGGTCCCAATTTTGTCATGAATATTTGTTAGTGATGATCACGATCCGTAGCCATATTCTTTTTAAAACTACGCTTTCAAAAAGCAAAAGCAGCGCTCCCACGCGTCGTAACTAATTAAGAACATTTTTGTTCCTCATCAATGTTCATATTCTTGATTATCCGGACCCCCAATTCTCTGGACTATTTCGTCTAGTCCCAATGAGTCCGGATAATCGAGATAATATCACTGCAACGCAAAAAGCACAACATTTTCAATGAGCCGTGTACAGTGTTCGCATGGCGAAATTAGCTCGAAGAAATTAAATTTCATGCTACACCTGCAATAATGCTTTGTAAAACTGAACTCTGATGACAGCCCACGCAAAGCACAAGTTTCGATTACTCAAATGAGGCCGAATGGTGAGAGACTGTAGCTGATTGCAGAAGTGAAAGAGGCCTCGTGTAGCTCGTTTTGAAATTCACCGTATCGTGACATCCTTCCCCAGTTGAATTAAAGATGCTATGGTCGTGTTCTCCAGGTATAATATATACTTAGTTTCATCAAACCATAAAAAGCGGCCTACAAGAACTGAACGACCCTGTGTTTTTCAAAGTACGATGTGTTTCAATGTTCTATATGTTATACGTTCTATAGTAACTTGAACTACCTGAATACCGCAGTCGAACCTCGAAAATCCGCACCTCGATTATCCGGATTTCTCGATTATCCAGACTTTTTCTCTGGTCCCAATTGTGTTTTTAATATTTATTAGTCATGATCAAGATCCATGGTCATATGGTGAAACCTCCGAGAACCTCTATTAGAATGGCTTGATCTACGAGACACCTCGTAGGGAAAGAAATGAAGATTCGTCGTCGACTCAAAGCAAAATTCTCTCTGAAATTTCCACGGGCCATCGCCTCCAAATAGCATTAATTATCCCTCTGAGCGTGTCAGGCTGCTTATATTAACTGCTAACCAACTTGAAATCGTTTCGCTTATATTTTATCTAACACTACTTACCGTATTAGCTTTTATAATGAATCCAAGGGAAGCACGATAACTCTGCCAACGTCGATCGTCTATGGTAAAGTTTGTAGTGGGTATTGACCCTTCTTACAATCAATTATTTATAAAAGGTGTGTCTACGTCTGTGGGGGTGGGGGTGGGGACATAGGGGGAAACCTTGAACACAAGCTATCTTTTCTCATTTGTCTCATATAGCGAATTGTTAACAGCTGCAGAGGCATATTACCTGCAGGAAACAAAACGGATTGTTCCTTTGCGACTGCTTTTGCCTCGGGTAGGAATTGAGCGGCTCATATGCCTTTGAACACCACCCCACCCCCCTTCTGTGATTATGTATGGTGAAATCACAGCTTCCTTGTCAATTTCCTAGAAAGACAGACATTGTCTTTGAGTGTTTGCTTTTCTCTCAAGAATTATTGACTCACGATGATGTTTTAATCCGCATTAATCTCTTATTCAATTCACAATCCCCAAAGGCTCGCTCCTTTTTCGGCTCAGTTCCTAAAGCCCTTATAGAGAATTTAACAATAATCTAGTAACTTTTACTGAGATATGTTCAAAAAAAGGCAATTTTTTGTTTTTTTTTTAAATTTCAACGCCTTGCCTAACAATGATTAATAGCAGACGATAGCTAATATCATTTAATACAAGATATGCCTGCAAAACCAGCATAATTTTTTAACGTTTTTCAGTCGAACAAAGGCGAGTGAGACGACGCGAAGTCCGAGTCAAGCACGAGGTGGCGCGAAGTGCGTGTCACGCGCAAAGCGGCGCGAAGTGCGTGTCACGCGCTAGGGAAGTAGCGCATACATATGCCCGCCTTTGACTGTTTATTACAACTCTACATACCTATATACATAAACTTTATTTTGGTATCACAATGTCATGCGTGTAGACAGATGTTGACGCATGACAATTGGGAGAGGCTTTTGATCGATCGTAGGCTCACATGACTCTTATCGACACAGACTTGAAATGAAACCTGTGCGTATCACTGAAATGACATCCATAGGCGATTGTGTAAGGAAGACTATGAACTGCTTGAATTGAGCTTGTAACAATTGGGCGCCGGCCAATCAAAAGTAATCTGTCTTTGGAGAAGACTAAAGAGGTTAAATTGATCTAAACAAACTGTGGTTCTTCTGCGTTTGCGGGGGGAGGGGGAGGGGAGGGGTACTTCAAGATTATTTGGTTTTATCAACTGAGTTGATAATGTAAACCATAAAGAGTTTCTTTGACGTGTCGAGCGTTAGTCCTTCGTAAGGGCATCTGCTAACACTAGAGAAGGCAAACGAGAAAAACAAATCAAGTAAAAACACTAAAATAACCAAAACGAAAGAAACTGGCGAAACGAATGAAAAAATTAGGGAAAACGTCGGAAAATGATCTTGGCTAACATCCCGGGCGATGTAGAGGGGGAGGAGGGTGGGGGCCGATCTTGGCAACGAGTAGTGCGCAAGGAACAACTCATTAACAATTTCATAATGCTTAAATGCTTTTAATGGCTAACAATGGTTATAACAGTCTAAGACGCTTATATAATACCTTTTTTTACTTTATTTCAATAAGAATATTCGGAAAAGCATGATCTTTACAGCTACAGTTCTAAACTGAGACAAAAGATCTAAAAAAGCAACTTAGACGGAAAATACCGACTATATACGTGTAATCAGGTATAAGTAGGTTATATCACTTCAAAGAAGTGCCCTGTCTATTTATCCTTTCAATGGAGAGAGACACTATACTATAAGACACAGTGGTTTCATCTAATAATCAGACATAGGCTATCGTAACTTGTGAGTAACCTCTCATGAAACGTCTCACATCTACTGGGCAAATAGATTCTACTCTTCCTTCAGCAACGCGTAATATCAGTTACACACTGAAGCCTGTTTATGGTAAAAATAACACCGAAAGACTGATTGAAACCTACAAAACAATGCAACTTGGTGGTTTACCACAATATTTGAAATGCTCTTTTTCGTAAGCTATGAACAACAGCAGCTATTTTGTGGTCCAGAATTGATTCGTGATTCAGGTCCTGGTTTTTGATTCAATGATGGTGCGGGAATGTTGTCTGAAGGGTTCAGCACCATGACCACGCCTAACATGCTAAAGCTAAAAATCGCCATGATTGTCGCAAGCATTGCAAGAGTAAAATTAGCGAGGTGTACGTTTTAGTGAAGCTTTTTGCAGCAGGTAGGGACTCGAAATGTTTCAGCTCGAAGGCATCGAGCACAAAACCCAGGGTGACTGACAGACCATTAGATCAACTGTTACGCATGATAAATCTATGTAGCTCAATAAACAGAAAAACTAAATCTACCTTCTTGACAAATGCGAGTATCTTTTTAGTAAAGCAATTTGTCCATCATCGTGACCAACACAGCGATGGTTCCACACAGGACAACTTTACCACCTAAGATCTCAGCAGCACCATTCCAGTTTGGACGCTTGTCTGAATCTGCCAGTGTCTGGGTGCTGGTGCAGGCTTTATCAGAACACGAGGCTAAGCTCTTCACCCAAACATTGTGTCCATCTACTTTCGAAGGAAGATTTCCCTGTTTTACAGCTAACGCAAACTCTTGGATGGTCTGGTTGAAGTTGACGGATGGAGTGGATGTAATGGTAATACCCAGGGCTTTCTTATCAGCTAATAAGAAGACAATTTCCATGTTTTTTGTATCTTCAACTCTCCCAGTATAGGCGAGCCAGTCCATTACATCTGACTTCCACTGCAAGGCACTCGCAATGGCTGAGCCAACTCCGGCTGCGAATCGACTTTGAGCATCAGACTCAGGAAGATTATCAGTTGAGCGCCTCGATCGCAGCAAAATCTTCAGCTTGATAACTCTGACTGGGCCATCTTTCAGCTCTCTGTAGCACTTTTGGATGTTAGCATACAATCCACATTTCTCTCCTATGTTCCACATTCCCTTGAGAGATTCCCAGAGTGTATCGACTTTGACATCAAAGGAACCTTTGATGGTCCAAAAGATCTGGAGGTAATCGGAGCAGTCAAGACCACAGACGGACGGCGCACCATTGCCTGGATTCAGGTAACATGGTGTATGAGAGGCAAACGCTCTTTCTCGAATCTCCTTACAGGTTGGATCGACCCATGGCCTCAATAGTGGTACCAGTGAGACTTGGAGGCATTTACGAACTCCATTAACCCATTTTTTCCCGCTTAGACTGAACTTTGCAAAGTTTTGGTCATACAGCTTGCAAAAATGTTCAGCGTATCTGATTGCAGATCCATTACTTGTAGCTTCACAGGGATACTTTCTCTCCAGGCAGTTGCGATACCAATCACAGGAATCCCTGGTGGACTATAGCACTCTTTGAGGCAGTAATGTGGTAGGCGTGAGAGTGTTTGGATAAGAGGTTGGATTGCTGGGAGTACAGGAACAATCATTCGTCACTGATCCAGCATCCTTGCTATGCACTTCAAGCATACACTCATACCAGCAGTAAGTCGCAAATCTGTCTTCACAGCCGGGTTTTTGGTTGTTCTTTTGCTTGATGTATGCATCCGTCAAGCACGTCGCCCACTGGTATTCGTTATTGTACGACCTTGATTGAATGCAATCAACAGTTCCAGCGGGTCCATACCTCTTGTCACACTTGGCGGCCCATCCCAACTCAACCACAAGCAATAGTATAAACGTAAGAGCTAACATCGTTCAAAGCTAGAACCTGGGAGACGTAATTAGGACATTTTAAGATTGAATATTCATACATTTGCAGTGCGAAAACGAATACAGTGGAAGCCCGCTAACTCCAACTCCCAAGAGAAACGAAAAATGATTCAAGTTAGGGGGAGGAGGGGGGAGGGAGGGGCTGCAGTTAGCCTCTTCTGAAAATCAGTTATCCTTTTAATGATTAATAGGGAATCATGTTTTTAACATTCTCGCAGAAACAACAGTAATTTCCGGACATGTAGTTTGTTTTAAAAGAGCTTTTTGATGAGAACGTTTAGTTTGGGAAGTTTAGCTAAATTACGTTTTCATTAATGTTATCACGTTTGTATCAATCGTGAATTGATTAGGACGTATCCATCAGCTATGTTCTGACACTCTAAAGTTCGAGATATTAGGGCAAGTTCGAGCCTGGGAAAATTAAAGTTAGTCTGAGTTAATGGAGAGTCAGACTTAACCGAGTGAAATGACTAGAAACTTGTGGGGTAAATGCCTGAGGAAATCGGATCTTATTTGAGATAGCGGGGATTCGAGTTAACCGTGTTCAAGTTAACGGGGCTCTGCTGTATTAGTAGAGCTTTGCTGCAAACAGCGATTTTAGAAACCCTTAACATTTCTACACTGTTATTATCGCTCAAGCACTGTTTGTTACATATGAATACGTTACCGTGTTTCGTATCACTCTTAAGACTCGATGATACTTTGCCACTTGTTCAGATACCTGATGGCAACAACTTTTTGTGCATTTTAATGTATGCAATAATTCTCTTTTTTTTTATAGCTGGCTGCACAAGCAGAAGAAATAAAAGGAATCCTGTGTTTCAGTTGGTTGCCCGAGCAAAAAAAAAATACGTCTACCTTACCTGCTCGGGTTACCCACTTTGTCCCGCGAAGCAAAAATATTGCGCTTTTCAGAAGGGTTACACACATTAAATTTGTTCCAAACTTCTTTCCTATCCATCTATGTTTTTACCACATTTTCACGAAGCAACGGAGTCGTAAAACACAACATTAGGTCTCATGAGCGATTTCCCAAGCCGCCTATCTAATGACTACCGGAAAACTCGTAAAAAGTTTTGCCTTTCCAACGAGTCGTTAAACTTCAAAGCCACCAAAGCTAGTACCTCAAGCGAATTCGAAAGCCTTTTAAAAAATCTGTCAATTCTGAAACAGTCAGCGCGCTCTATTTTCACTTCTCCCGCAAACACAAAATGAATGACTATTCATTTCATAATCTTATAAGCTTTCCTTCATTAAATGTCCCAAGCAAAAAATTCTAGATGATTTCAACCTTGAACATACGAAGGATTCAGCAACATGTTGCCCCGCTGCCAATTCAAATTTGATTATTCACACGCGTTTAAGCAGGCGCCTGTGAAAGACTTACAAACGATTGTTTCAAGTAAGGAATTTTTCCATGTAGATTTGAGATTGTGATTATCTACAGAAAAAAAACTGTGAGTGCTAAAGACTCCCTTTGAAGTTATTGTTAGTGTAGAGACGGTGTCGAAACCCCCCCCCCCCATCCGTGAACATATACCACAGGTCTTCCAGGCTCACGTCTCGAGGAAAAGCAAAAGATTACTTCATGAGAGAGTAACTCCGTCTTATAACAGGAAAAATAGTGATGGAAAAGCAAGCCAAAAGCGGCAGAGAACACCACAAACCACAATGGACAAACAAAGAGTGAATAGGTTCTGTTATTCTTACGCGTAGAATGTTCATATTTCGAAATATTTAGCGTTGTAGATCGATCATATTTCTTACTCCGTACTATTCCTTACAGTGTGTGTAAATTCTCAACCTAACTTAACTCCGCGTCAGATAGCACCTGATGCTTTCACTAATTTTAAAATCGTTTACTTTTCTGGACACGTAAGCTTGGGCCGTGAGCTTAAGACGCCTGTGCATAGACCGGAAATTCGCTGTTGCTTCCGTAGTTTCCTAGAAATGCATTGTTTACCTGTATTCATCCACAGCTAAGACAAATAATAATTGGTTAGTCTACAGCTGCTGGCCTGAATCCATCTCTTATTCAATTTTTCTTTAGGCCCAGGCACCTAATATATTAACCGTGCTACAACTTAGCAAAGTATAGAAAGCTGGGTAATTTTCGACGACTTACCAAAGCGCGATGTCTTTCGTTTCACTATTTATCTAAGTACCCGAGGTCTTAAAGGTTAAATAAGCACGTATTACGTCCACTCAGCCGATTTCTGCAACCGACCAGTAAATATATTGTCGCCTAAAGAACTTACAAAGCGTTTCGATTTTACTATTAAACAAAATAGTTTTACAGCAAGCGCACACGCCGAGAATCATTTTTCAAACTACGAAATGTCAAAGCCAGGTGAGAAGCTAAACCATAAAAAGATCCTCTTAAATTTCACTGCAACTTAAAAACTTAAAATATTTTCAACTGAACAGCTGTGTACAGTGTTCGCATGGCGAAATTTGGCTCAAAGAAATGAAATTCCATGCTGCACCCGCAATATTACTTCTAAAACTGAACTCTGATAACAGTCCACGCAGAGCACAAGTATAGATTAATCAAATGAGGCCGAATGGTAAAAGACTGTAGCTGATTGCGGAATTGAAAGAGGCCTCGTGTAGCTACTTTTGAAATTCACGGTATCGTGACATCCTTCCTCAGTTGAATTAAAGATGCTATGATCATGTTCTCTAGCTAGAAAACAATCGAACCTCGATTATCTGGACCTCGATTATTCAGACTTTTTTTCTCTGGTCCCAATTTTTCATGAATATTTATTAGTCATGATCACGATCCGTAGCCATATTCTTTTCAAAACTACGCTTTCAAAAAGCAAAAGCAGCGCTCCCACGCGTCGTAACTAATTAAAAACATTTTTGTTCCTCATCAATGTTCATATTCTTGATTATCCGGACCCCCAATTCTCTGGACTATTTCGTCTAGTCCCAATGAGTCCGGATAATCGAGATAATATCACTGCAACACAAAAAGCACAACATTTTCAAAGAGCTGTGTACAGTGTTCGCGTTGCGAAATTAGCCCAAAGAAATGAAATTTCATGCTACACCCGCAATAATACTTTGTAAAACTGAACTCTAATGACAGCCCACGCAGAGAACAAGTTTCAATTACTCAAATGAAGCCGGATGGTGAGAGACTGTAGCTGATTGCGGAAGTGAAAGAGGCCTCGTGTAGCGTGTTTTGAAATTCACGGTATCATGACATCCTTCCCCAGTTGAATTAAAGATGCTATTATCATGTTCAGTTCTCCAGCTATAATATAGCCTTAGTTTCATCAAACCATATATAATAAGCGGCGTACAAGAACTGAACGACCCTGTGTTTTTCAAAGTACGATGTGTTTCAATGTTCTATACGGTACTTTAAACTACCTAAATACTGCAGTCGAACCTCGAAAATCTGCACGTCGATTATTCGGATTTCTTGATTATCCAGACTTTTTCTCTGTTCTTAATTGTGTTTTTAATATTTATGAGTCATGATCAAGATCCATGGTCATATGGTGAAACCTCTGAGAACCTCTATTAGAATGGCTTGATCTACGAGACACCTCGTAGGGAAAGAAATGAAGATTCATCGTCGACTCAAAGCAAAATTCTCTCTGAAATTTCCACGGGCCGTCGCCTCCAAATAGCATTAATTATTCCTCTTAGCGTGTCAGGCTGCTTATATTACATCCACTGCTAACCAACTTGAAATCGTTTCGCTTATATTTTATCTAACACTACTTACCGTATTAGCTTTTATAATGAATCCAAGGGAAGCACGATAACTCTGCCAACGTAGATCGTCAATGGTAAAGTTTGTAGTGGGCATGGACTCTTCTTACAATCAATTATTTATACTAGTTATAGTTCTCACTAGAGCTGCCCCCGCCCTACAGTACCATTTTCTTTTTTTTTTTTTGAGTTGGGCTTGTTGTTTACAGTTGTGTAGTTATGACCATTTGCGGGAAAAACGTTGATACCTTGCGGCCGTGCAAGCGATCAAATCGAGATTTTTTTTGGTTACGATCAACCGAAAACACCTACATTCTCTCTTCTTCAGTCTTCCTCTATACTAGGACAAATCTCGTGTCAAAGACGCCGATCCTAAAAGTCCTCGCGCGCGTGTCTTTTTACTGGCAGCCCATGACCATTTGCGGGAAAAACGTTGATACCTTGCGGCCGTGCAAGCGATCAAATCGAGATTTTTTCTGGTTATGATCTACCGAAAATACCCACATTCCCTCTTCTCCAGTCTTCCTCTATATTACGCGGGGAGTCCTAAGGTGCCTCCTCGGGTTTTTGGCCCTCTGGGGCCAAAAACCCTGCGGGGGCAAAAAGGTGTGTCTACGTCTGTGGGGGTGGGGGTGGGGACATAGGGGGAAACCTTGAACACAAGCTATCTTTTCTCATTTATCTCATATAGCGAATTGTTAACAGCTGCAGAGGCATATTACCTGCAGGAAACAAAACGGTTTGTTCCTTTGCGACTGCTTTTGCCTCGGGTAGGAATTGAGCGGCTCATATGCCTTTGAACACCACCCCACCCCCCTTCTGTGATTATGTATGGTGAAATCACAGCTTCTTTGTCAATTTCCTAGAAAGACAGACATTGTCTTTGAGTGTTTGCTTTTCTCTCAAGAATTATTGACTCACGATGATGTTTTAATCCGCATAAATCTCTTATTCAATTCACAATCCCCAAAGGCTCGCTCCTTTTTCGGCTCAGTTCCTAAAGCCCTTATAGAGAATTTAACAATAATCTAGTAACTTTTACTGAGATATATTCAAAAAAAGGTAATTTTTTTTTTTTTCGAAATTTCAACGCCTTGCCTAACAATGATTAATAGCAGACGATAGCTAATATTATTTAACACAAGATATGCCTGCAAAACAAGCATAATTTTTAACGTTTTTCAGTCGAACAAAGGCGAGTGAGACGACGCGAAGTCCGAGTCAAGCACGAGGTGGCGCGAAGTGCGTGTCACGCGCAAAGCGGCGCGAAATGCGTGTCACGCGCTAGGGAAGTAGCGCATGAATATGCCCGCCTTTGACTGTTTATTACACCTCTACATACCTATAAACATAAACTTTATTTTGGTATCACAATGTCATGCGTGTAGACAGATGTTGACGCATGACAATTGGGAGAGGCTTTTGATCGATCGTAGACTCACATAACTCTTATCGTCACAGACTTGAAATGAAACCTGTGCGCGTCACTGAAATGACATCCATAGGCGATTGTGTAAGGAAGACTGTGAACTGCTTGAATTGAGCTTGTAACAATTGGGCACCGGCCAATCAAAAGTAATCTGTCTTTGGAGAAGACTAAAGAGGTTAAATTGATCTAAACAAACTGTGGTTCTTCTGCGTTTGCGGGGGGAGGGGGAGGGGAGGGGTACTTCAAGATTATTTGGTTTTATCAACTGAGTTGATAATGTAAACCATAAAGAGTTTCTTTGACGTGTCGAGCGTTAGTCCTTCGTAAGGGCATCTGCTAACACTAGAGAAGGCAAACGAGAAAAACAAATCAAGTAAAAACACTAAAATAACCAAAACGAAACAAACTGGCGAAACGAATGAAAAAAAATTAGGGAAAACGTCGGAAAATGATCTTGGCTAACATCCCGGGCGATGTAGAGGGGAGGAGGGTGGGGGCCGATCTTGACAACGAGTAGTGCGCAAGGAACAAGTCATTAACAATTTCATAATGCTTAAATGCTTTTAATGGCTAACAATGGTTATAACAGTCTAAGACGCTTATATAATCGCTTTTTTTTACTTTATTTCAATAAGAATATTCAAAAAAGCATGATCTTTACAGCCACAGCCACAAACTGAGACAAAAGATCTAAAATAGCAACATATAGACGGAAAATACCAACTATATGCGTGTAATCAGGTATAAGTAGGTTATATCACTTCAAAGAAGTGCCCTGTCTATTTATCCTTCCAATGGAGAGAGACACTATACTATAAGACACAATGGTTTCATCTAATAATCAGACATAGGCTATTGTAACTTGTGAGTAACCTCTGAGTAACCTCTCATGGGCAAAAACGTCTCACATCTACTGGGCAAATAGATTCTGGCTATTCTTCCTTCAGCAACGCGTAATATCAGTTACACACTGAAGCCTGTTTATGGTAAAAATAACACCGAAAGACTGATTGAAACCTACAAAACAATGCAACTTGGTGGTTTACCACAATATTTGAAATGCTCTTTTTCGTAAGCTATGAACAACAGCAGCTATTTTGTGGTCCAGAATTGATTCGTGATTCAGGTCCTGGTTTTTGATTCAATGATGGTGCGGGAATGTTGTCTGAAGGGTTCAGCACCATGACCACGCCTAACATGCTAAAGCTAAAAATCGCCATGATTGTCGCAAGCATTGCAAGAGTAAAATTAGCGAGGTGTACGTTTTAGTGAAGCTTTTTGCAGCAGGTAGGGACTCGAAATGTTTCAGCTCGAAGGCATCGAGCACAAAACCCAGGGTGACTGACAGACCATTAGATCAACTGTTACGCATGATAAATCTATGTAGCTCAATAAACAGAAAAACTAAATCTACCTTCTTGACAAATGCGAGTATCTTTTTAGTAAAGCAATTTGTCCATCATCGTGACCAACACAGCGATGGTTCCACACAGGACAACTTTACCACCTAAGATCTCAGCAGCACCATTCCAGTTTGGACGCTTGTCTGAATCTGCCAGTGTCTGGGTGCTGGTGCAGGCTTTATCAGAACACGAGGCTAAGCTCTTCACCCAAACATTGTGTCCATCTACTTTCGAAGGAAGATTTCCCTGTTTTACAGCTAACGCAAACTCTTGGATGGTCTGGTTGAAGTTGACGGATGGAGTGGATGTAATGGTAATACCCAGGGCTTTCTTATCAGCTAATAAGAAGACAATTTCCATGTTTTTTGTATCTTCAACTCTCCCAGTATAGGCGAGCCAGTCCATTACATCTGACTTCCACTGCAAGGCACTCGCAATGGCTGAGCCAACCCCGGCTGCGAATCGACTTTGAGCATCAGACTCAGGAAGATTATCAGTTGAGCGCCTCGATCGCAGCAAAATCTTCAGCTTGATAACTCTGACTGGGCCATCTTTCAGCTCTCTGTAGCACTTTTGGATGTTAGCATACAATCCACATTTCTCTCCTATGTTCCACATTCCCTTGAGAGATTCCCAGAATGTATCGACTTTGACATCAAAGGAACCTTTGATGGTCCAAAAGATCTGGAGGTAATCGGAGCAGTCAAGACCACAGACGGACGGCGCACCATTGCCTGGATTCAGGTAACATGGTGTATGAGAGGCAAACGCTCTTTCTCGAATCTCCTTACAGGTTGGATCGACCCATGGCCTCAATAGTGGTACCAGTGAGACTTGGAGGCATTTACGAACTCCATTAACCCATTTTTTCCCGCTTAGACTGAACTTTGCAAAGTTTTGGTCATACAGCTTGCAAAAATGTTCAGCGTATCTGATTGCAGATCCATTACTTGTAGCTTCACAGGGATACTTTCTCTCCAAGCAGTTGCGATACCAATCACAGGAATCCCCTGGTGGACTATAGCACTCTTGAGGCAGTAATGTGGTAGGCGTGAGAGTGTTTGGATAAGAGGTTGGATTGCTGGGAGTACAGGAACAATCATTCGTCACTGATCCAGCATCCTTGCTATGCACTTCAAGCATACACTCATACCAGCAGTAAGTCGCAAATCTGTCTTCACAGCCGGGTTTTTGGTTGTTCTTTTGCTTGATGTATGCATCCGTCAAGCACGTCGCCCACTGGTATTCGTTATTGTACGACCTTGATTGAATGCAATCAACAGTTCCAGCGGGTCCATACCTCTTGTCACACTTGGCGGCCCATCCCAACTCAACCACAAGCAATAGTATAAACGTAAGAGCTAACATCGTTCAAAGCTAGAACCTGGGAGACGTAATTAGGACATTTTAAGATTGAATATTCATACATTTGCAGTGCGAAAACGAATACAGTGGAAGCCCGCTAACTCCAACTCCCAAGAGAAACGAAAAATGATTCAAGTTATAGAGGGGGGGGAGGAGAGGGGGGAGGGAGGGGCTGCAGTTAGCCTCTTCTGAAAATCAGTTATCCTTTTAATGATTAATAGGGAATCATGTTTTTAACATTCTCGCAGAAACAACAGTAATTTCCGGACATGTAGTTTGTTTTAAAAGAGCTTTTTGATGAGAATGTTTAGTTTGGGAAGTTTAGCTAAATTACGTTTTCATTAATGTTATCACGTTTGTATCAATCGTGAATTGATTAGGACGTATCCATCAGCTATGTTCTGACACTCTAAAGTTCGAGATATTAGGGCAAGTTCGAGCCTGGGAAAATTAAAGTTAGTCTGAGTTAATGGAGAGTCAGACTTAACCGAGTGAAATGACTAGAAACTTGTGGGGTAAATGCCTGAGGAAATCGGATCTTATTTGAGATAGCGGGGATTCGAGTTAACCGTGTTCAAGTTAACGGGGCTCTGCTGTATTAGTAGAGCTTTGCTGCAAACAGCGATTTTAGAAACCCTTAACATTTCTACACTGTTATTATCGCTCAAGCACTGTTTGTTACATATGAATACGTTACCGTGTTTCGTATCACTCTTAAGACTCGATGATACTTTGCCACTTGTTCAGATACCTGATGGCAACAACTTTTTGTGCATTTTAATGTATGCAATAATTCTTTTTTTTTATAGCTGGCTGCACAAGCAGAAGAAATAAAAGGAATCCTGTGTTTCAGTTGGTTGCCCGAGCAAAAAAAAAATACGTCTACCTTACCTGCTCGGGTTACCCACTTTGTCCCGCGAAGCAAAAATATTGCGCTTTTCAGAAGGGTTACACACATTAAATTTGTTCCAAACTTCTTTCCTATCCATCTATGTTTTTACCACATTTTCACGAAGCAACGGAGTCGTAAAACACAACATTAGGTCTCATGAGCGATTTTCCAAGTCGCCTATCTAATGACTACCGGAAAACTCGTGAAAAGTTTTGCCTTTCCAACGAGTCGGTAAACTTCAATGCCTTCGAAAAAGCCACCAAAGCTAGTACCTCAAGCGAATTCGAAAGCCTTTAAAATCTGTCAATTCTGAAACAGTCAGCGCGCTCTATTTTCACTTCTCGCGCAAACACAAAATGAATGACTATTCATTTCATAATCTTATAAGCTTTCCTTCATTAAATGTCCCAAGCAAACAATTCTAGATGATTTCAACCTTGAACATACGAAGGATTCAGCAACATGTTGCCCCGCTGCTTATTCAAATTTGATTATTCACACGCGTGTAAGCAGGCGTCTGTGAAAGATTTACAAACGATTGTTTCAAGTAAGGAATTTTTCCATGTAGATTTGAGATTGTGATTATCTACAGAGAAAAAACTGTGAGTGCTAAAGACTCCCTTTGAAGTTATTGTTAGTGTAGAGACGGTGTCGAAACCCAACCCCCCCATCCGTGAACATATACCACAGGTCTTCCAGGCTCACGTCTCGAGGAAAAGCAAAGATTACTTCATGAGAGAGTAACTCCGTCTTATAACAGGAAAAATAGTGATGGAAAAGCAAGCCAAAAGCGGCAGAGAACACCACAAACCACAATGGACAAACAAAGAGTGAATAGGTTCTGTTATTCTTACGCGTAGAATGTTCATATTTCGAAATATTTAGCGTTGTAGATCGATCATATTTCTTACTCCGTACTATTCCTTACAGTGTGTGTAAATTCTCAACCTAACTTAACTCCGCGTCAGATAGCACCTGATGCTTTCACTAATTTTAAAATCGTTTACTTTTCTGGACACGTAAGCTTGGGCCGTGAGCTTAAGACGCCTGTGCATAGACCGGAAATTCGCTGTTGCTTCCGTAGTTTCCCAGAAATGCATTGTTTACCTGTATTCATCCACAGCTAAGACAAATAATAATTGGTTAGTCTACAGCTGCTGGCCTGAATCCATCTCTTATTCAATTTTTCTTTAGGCCCAGGCACCTAATATATTAACCGTGCTACAACTTAGAAAAGTATAGACAGCTGGGTAATTTTCGACGACTTACCAAAGCGTATATGCGCGATGTCTTTCGTTTCACTATTTATCTAAGTACCCGAGGTCTTAAACGTTAAATAAGCACGTATAACGTCCACTCGGCCGATTTCTGCAACCGACCAGTAAATATATTGTCGCCTAAAGAACTTACAAAGCGTTTTCACTTTACTATTAAACAAAATAGTTTTACAGCAAGCGCACACGCCAAGAACTTTGTGGTAAATTGAATCATTTTTCAAACTACGAAATGTCAAAGCCAGGTGAGAAGCTAAACCATAAAAAGATCGTCTTAAATTTCACTGCAACTTAAAAACTTAAAATATTTTCAACTGAAGAGCTGTGTACAGTGTTCGCATGGCGAAATTTGGCTCAAAGAAATGAAATTCCATGCTGCACCCGCAATATTACTTCTAAAACTGAACTCTGATAACAGTCCACGCAGAGCACAAGTATAGATTAATCAAATGAGGCCGAATGGTAAAAGACTGTAGCTGATTGCGGAATTGAAAGAGGCCTCGTGTAGCTACTTTTGAAATTCACGGTATCGTGACATCCTTCCTCAGTTGAATTAAAGATGCTATGATCATGTTCTCTAGCTAGAAAACAATCGAACCTCGATTATCTGGACCTCGATTATTCAGACTTTTTTCTCTGGTCCCAATTTTGTCATGAATATTTATTAGTCATGATCACGATCCGTAGCCATATTCTTTTCAAAACTACGCTTTCAAAAAGCAAAAGCAGCGCTCCCACGCGTCGTAACTAATTAAAAACATTTTTTTTCCTCATCAATGTTCATATTCTTGATTATCCGGACCCCAATTCTCTGGACTATTTCGTCTAGTCCCAATGAGTCCGGATAATCGAGATAATATCACTGCAACACAAAAAGCACAACATTTTCAAAGAGCTGTGTACAGTGTTCGCATTGCGAAATTAGCCCAAACAAATGAAATTTCATGCTACACCCGCAATAATACTTTGTAAAACTGAACTCTAATGACAGCCCACGCAGAGAACAAGTTTCAATTACTCAAATGAAGCCGAATGGTGAGAGACTGTAGCTGATTGCGGAAGTGAAAGAGGCCTCGTGTAGCTTGTTTTGAAATTCACGGTATCGTGACATCCTTCCCCAGTTGAATTAAAGATGCTATTATCATGTTCAGTTCTCCAGCTATAATATAGCCTTAGTTTCATCAAACCATATATAATAAGCGGCGTACAAGAACTGAACGACCCTGTGTTTTTCAAAGTACGATGTGTTTCAATGTTCTATACAGTACTTTAAACTGCCTAAATACCGCAGTCGAACCTCGAAAATCTGCACGTCGATTTTTCGGATTTCTTGATTATCCAGACTTTTTCTCTGTTCTTAATTGTGTTTTTAATATTTATTAGTCATGATCAAGATCCATGGCCATATGGTGAAACCTCCGAGGACTCCTATTAGAATGGCTTGATCTACGAGACACCTCGTTGGGAAAGAAATGAAGATTCATCGTCGACTCAAAGCAAAATTCTCTCTGAAATTTCCACGGGCCGTCGCCTCCAAATAGCATTAATTATCCCTCTGAGCGTGTCAGGCTGCTTATATTAACTGCTAACCAACTTGAAATCGTTTCGCTTACATTTTATCTAACACTACTTACCGTATTAGCTTTTATAATGAATCCAAGGGACGCACGATAACTCTGCCAACGTCGATCGTCTGTGGTAAAGTTTGTAGTGGGTATTGACCCTTCTTACATCAATTATATATAAAGGTGTGTCTAAGTCTGTGGGGGTGGGGGTGGAGACATAGGGGGAAACCTTGAACACAAGCTATCTTTTCTCATTTGTCTCATATAGCGAATTGTTAACAGCTGCAGAGGCATATTACCTGCAGGAAACAAAACGGATTGTTCCTTTGTGACTACTTTTGCCTCAGATAGGAATTGAGCAGCTCACATGCCTTTGAACATTACCCCACCCCCTTTCTGCGATTATGTACGATGAAATCGCAGCTTCTTTGTCAGTTTCCTAGAAAGACAGACATTGTCTTTGAGTGTTTGCTTTTCTCGCAAGAATTATTGACTCACGATGATGTTTTAATCCGCATAAATCTCTTATTCAATTCACAATCCCCAAAGGCTCGCTCCTTTTTCGGCTCAGTTCCTAAAGCCCTTATGGAGAATTTAACAATAATCTAGTCACTAGTACTAAGATATGTTCAAAAAAAGGCAATTATTATTATTATTGTTTTGAAATTTCAACGCCTTGCCTAACAATGATTAATAGCAGACGATAGCTGATATCATTTAATACAAGATATGCCTGCAAAACAAGCATAATTTTTTAACGTTTTTCAGTCGAACAAAGGCCTGAGACGACGCGAAGTACGAGTGAAGCACGAGGTGGCGCGAAGTGTGAGTCACGCGAAAAGCGGCGCGAAGTGCGTGTCACGCGCTAGGGAAGTAGCGCATACATATGCCCGCCCTTGACTGTTTATTATATCTCTACATACCTATATACATGTACTTTATTTTGGCATCACAATGTCATGCGTGTAGATAGATGTTGACGCATGACAATTGGGAGAGGCCGTGTGATCGATCGTAGACTTACATAACTCTTATCGACACAGACTTGAAATGAAACCTGTGTTCATCACTGAAATGACATCCATAGGCGATTGTGTAAGGAAGACTATGAACTGCTTGAATTGAGCTTGTAACCATTGGGGCCGGCCAATCAAAAATAACCTGTCTTTGAAGAAAACTAAAGAGGGCAAGTTGCTCTAAACAAACTATGGTTCTTCTGCGTTTGCGGGGGGGGGGGGGGGGGGGGGGGGGGGGGTACTTCAAGATCATTTGGTTTTATCAACTGAGTTGCTAATGTAAACCATCCACCGTAAAGAGTTTCTTTGACGTGTCGAGCGTTAGTTCTTCGTCAGGGCGTCTGCTAACACTAAAGACAGCTAGCGAGAAAAACAAGTCAAGTAAAAACACCAAAATGACGAAAATGAAACAACCCGGCGCAACGAATAAAAAAATAAGTCAAAACCAGTCAATGACGAGCCTGTCTAACCCGTAGAAGATCGAAAACGTCGAAAATGATCTTGGCTAACATCCCGGGCGATGTAGAGGGGGAGGAGGGTGGGGGCCGATCTTGACAACGAGTAGTGCGCAAGGAACAACTCATTAACAATTTCATAATGCTTAAATGCTTTTAATGGCTAACAATGGTTATAACAGTTCTAAGACGCTTATATAATAGCTTTTTTTTACTTTATTTCAATAAGAATATTCGGAAAAGCATGATCTTTACAGCTACAGTTCTTAACTGAGACAAAAGATCTAAAAAAGCAACTTAGACGGAAAATACCCACTATATGCGTGTAATCAGGTATAAGTAGGTTATATCATTTCAAAGAAGTGCCCTGTCTATTTACCCTTTCAATGGAGAGAGACACTATACTATAAGACACAATGGTTTCATCTAATAATCAGACATAGGCTATTGTAACTTGTGAGTAACCTCTCATGAAACGTCTCACATCTACTGGGCAAATAGATTCTACTCTTCCTTCAGCAACGCGTAATATTAGTTTAACTACCATGCAATGAAATTAAATGAGATTATTTACTTGGCTATTTTATCCTCTATATCCTACGGCTTCGGATAACTCACAGTTAATTTAAGGGCCTGTTACACACTGAAGCCTGTGTATGGTAAAAATAACACCGACAGACTGATTGAAACCTACAAAACAATGCAACTTGGTGGTTTACCACAATATTTGAAATGCTCTTTTTCGTAAGCTATGAACAACAGCAGCTATTTTGTGGTTCAGAGTTGATTCGTGACTCAGGTCCTGGTTTTTGATTCAATGATGGTGCGGGAATGTTGTCTGAAGGGTTCAGCACCATGACCACGCCTAACATGCTAAAGCTAAAAATCGCCATGATTGTCGCAAGCATTGCAAGAGTAAAATTAGCGAGGTGTACGTTTTAGTGACGCTTTTTGCAGCAGGTAGGGACTCGAAATGTTTCAGCTCGAAGGCATCGAGCACAAAACCCAGGGTGAGACAGACCATTAGATCAACTGTTACGCATGATAAATCTATGTAGCTCAATAAACAGAAAAACTAAATCTACCTTCTTGACAAATGCGAGTATCTTTTTAGTAAAGCAATTTGTCCATCATCATGACCAACACAGCAATGGTTCCACACAGGACAACTTTACCACCTGAGATCTCAGCAGCACCATTCCAGTTTGGAGGCTTGTCTGACACTGCCAGTGTCTGGGTGCTGGTGCAGGCTTTATCAGAACACGAGGCTAAGCTCTTCACCCAAACATTGTGTCCATCTACTTTCAAAGGAAGCGCTCCCTGTTTTACAGCTGAAGCAAACTCTTGGATGGTCTGGTTGAAATTGACGGATGGAGTGGATGTAATGGCGATACCCAGGGCTTTCTTATCAGCTAATAAGACGACAATTTCCATGTTTTCTGTATCTTCAACTCTCCCAGTATAGGCGAGCCAGTCCATTACATCTGAGTTCCACTTCAAGGCACTCACAATGGCTGAGCCAACTCCGTCTGCGAATCGACTTTGAGCATCAGACTCAGAAAGATTATCAGTTGAGCGCCTCGATCGCAGCAAAAACTTTTTAATCTTCAGCTTGATAACTCTGACTGGGCCATCTTTCAGCTCTCTGTAGCACTTTTTGATGTTAGCATACAATCCACATTTCTCTCCTATGTTCCACATTCCCTTGAGAGATTCCCAGAGTGTGTCGACTTTGACAAAGGAACCTTAGTCAGTTAGCTTCTTCTGAAAATCAGTTATCCTTTTAATGATTAATAGGGAATCATGTTTTTAACATTCTCGCAGAAACAACAGTAATTTCCGGACATGTAGTTTGTTTAAAAGAGCTTTTTGATGAGAACGTTTAGTTTGGGAAGTTTAGCTAAATTACGTTTTCATTAATGTTATCACGTTTGTATCAATCGTGAATTGATTAGGACGTATCCATCAGCTATGTTCTGACACTCTAAAGTTCGAGATATTGGGGCAAGTTCGAGCCTGGGAAAATTAAAGTTAGTCTGAGTTAATGGAGAGTCAGACTTAACCGAGTGAAATGACTAGAAACTTGTGGGGTAAATGCCTGAGGAAATCGGATCTTATTTGAGATAGCGGGGATTCGAGTTAACCGTGTTCAAGTTAACGGGGCTCTGCTGTATTAGTATAGCTTTGCTGCAAACAGCGATTTTAGAACCCTTAACATTTCTACACTGTTATTATCGCTCAAGCACTGTTTGTTACATATGAATACGTTACCGTGTTTCGTATCACTCTTTAGACTCGATGATACTTTGCCACTTGTTTAGATACCTGATGGCAACAACTTTTTGTGCATTTTAATGTGTGCAATAATTTTCTTTTTTTTATAGCTGGCTGCACAAGCAGAAGAAATAAAAGGAATCCTGTGTTTCAGTTGGTTGCCCGAGCAAAAATAAAATACGTCTACCTTACCTGCTCGGGTCACCCACTTTGTCCCGCGAAGCAAAAATATTGCGCTTTTCAGAAGGGTTACACACATTAAAATTGTTCCAAACTTCTTTCCTATCCATCTATGTTTTTACCACATTTTCACGAAGCAACGGAGTCGTAAAACACAACATTAGGTCTCATGAGCGATTTCCCAAGCCGCCTATCTAATGACTACCGGAAAACTCGTAAAAAGTTTTGCCTTTCCAACGAGTCGTTAAACTTCAATGCGTTCGAAAAAGCCACCGAAGCTAGTACCTCAAGCGGATTCGAAAGCCTTTTAAAAAATCTGTCAATTCTGAAACAGTCAGCGCTCTCTATTTTCACTTCTCCCGCAAACACAAAATGAATGACTATTCATTTCATAATCTTATAAGCTTTCCTTCATTAAATGTCCCAGGCAAACAATTCTAGATGATTTCAACCTTGAACATACGAAGGATTCAGCAACATGTTGACCCGCTGCGTATTCAAATTTGATTATTCACACGCGTTTAAGCAGGCGCCTGTGAAAGACTTACAAACGATTGTTTCAAGTAAGGAATTTTTCCATGTAGATTTGAGATTGTGATTATCTAAAGAAAAAAAAACTGTGAGTGCTAAAGACACCCTTTGAAGTTATTGTTAGTGTAGAGACGGTGTCGAAAACCCCCCCATCCGTGAACATATACCACAGGTCTTCCAGGCTCACGTCTCGAGGAAAAGCAAAAGATTACTTCATGACAGAGTAACTCCGTCTTATAACAGGAAAAACAGTGATGGCAAAGCAAGCCAAAAGCGGCAGAGAACACCACAAACCACAATGGACAAACAAAGACTGAATAGGTTCTGTTATTCTTACGCGTAGAATGTTCATATTTCGAAATATTTAGCGTTGTAGATCGATCATATTTCTTACTCCGTACTATTCCTTACAGCATGTTTAAATTCTCAACCTAACTTAACTCCGCGTCAGATAGCACCTGATGCTTTCACTAATTTTAAAATCGTTTACTTTTCTGGACACGTAAGCTTGGGCCACGAGCTTAAGACACCTGTGCATAGACCGGAAATTTGCTGTTGCTTCCGTAGTTTCCTAGAAATGCATTGTTTACCTGTATTCATCCACAGCTAAGACAAATAATAACTGGTTAGTCTACAGTTGCTGGCCTGAATCCATCTCTTATTCAATTTTTCTTTAGGCCCAGGCACCTAATATATTAACCGTGCTACAACTTAGCAAAGTATAGACAGCTGGGTAATTTTCGACGACTTACCAAAGCGTATATGCGCGATGTCTAAGTACACGAGGTCTTAAAGGTTAAATAAGCACTTATTACGTCCACTCGGCCGATTTCTGCAACCGACCGGTAAATATATTGTCGCCAAAAGAACTTACAAAGCGTTTCGACTTTACTATTAAACAAAATAGTTTTACAGCAAGCGCACACGCCGAGAACTTTGTGGTAAATTGAATCATTTTTCAAACTACGAAGTGTCAAAGCCAGGTGAGAAGCTAAACCATAAAAAGATCCTCTTAAATTTCACTGCAACTTAAAAACTTAAAATATTTTCAACTGAAGAGCTGTGTACAGTATTCGCGTGGCAAAATTTGGCTCAAAGAAATGAAATTCCATGCTGTACCCGCAATATTACCTCTAAAACTGAACTCTGATAGCAGTCCACGCGGAGCACAAGTATACATTAATCAAATGAGGCCGAATGGTAAAAGATTGTAGCTGATTGCGGAATTGAAAGAGGCCTCGTGTAGCTACTTTTGAAATTCACGGTATCGTGACATCCTTCCACAGTTGAATTAAAGATGCTATGATCATGTTCTCTGGCTTAAATACAATAGAACCTCAACTATCCGGACCTCGATTATCCAGACTATTTCTCTGGTCCCAACACTTTGGTCATGAATATTTGTTAGTGATGATCACGATCCGTAGCCATATTCTTTTTAAAACTACGCTTTCAAAAAGCAAAAGCAGCGCTCCCACGCGTCGTAACTAATTAAAAACATTTTTGTTCCTCATCAATGTTCATATTCTTGATTATCCGGACCCCAATTCTCTGGACTATTTCGTCTAGTCCCAATGAGTCCGGATAATCGAGATAATATCACTGCAACGCAAAAAGCACAACATTTTCAATGAGCCGTGTACAGTGTTCGCATGGCGAAATTAGCTCGAAGAAATGAAATTTCATGCTACACCTGCAATAATGCTTTGTAAAACTGAACTCTGATGACAGCCCACGCAAAGCACAAGTTTCGATTACTCAAATGAGGCCGAATGGTGAGAGACTGTAGCTGATTACAGAAGTGAAAGAGGCCTCGTGTAGCTCGTTTTGAAATTCACCGTATCGTGACATCCTTCTCCAGTTGAATTAAAGATGCTATGGTCGTGTTCTCCAGGTATAATATATACTTAGTTTCATCAAACCATAAAAAGCGGCCTACAAGAACTGAACGACCCTGTGTTTTTCAAAGTACGATGTGTTTCAATGTTCTATATGTTATACGTTCTATAGTAACTTGAACTACCTGAATACCGCAGTCGAACCTCGAAAATCCGCACCTCGATTATCCGGATTTCTCGATTATCCAGACTTTTTCTCTAGTCCCAATTTTGCTTTTAATATTTAGTAGTCATGATCAAGATCCATGGTCATATGGTGAAACCTCCGAGAACCTCTATTAGAATGGCTTGATCTACGAGACACCTCGTAGGGAAAGAAATGAAGATTCGTCGTCTACTCAAAGCAAAATTCTCTCTGAAATTTCCACGGGCCATCGCCTCCAAATAGCATTAATTATCCCTCTGAGCGTGTCAGGCTGCTTATATTAACTGCTAACCAACTTGAAATCGTTTCGCTTACATTTTATCTAACACTACTTACCGTATTAGCTTTTATAATGAATCCAAGGGACGCACGATAACTCTGCCAACGTCGATCGTCTATGGTAAAGTTTGTAGTGGGTATGGACTCTTCTTACAATCAATTATTTATAAAAGGTGTGTCTACGTCTGTGGGGGTGGGGGTGGGGACATAAGGGGAAACCTTGAATACAAGCTATCTTTTCTCATTTGTCTCATATAGCGAATTGTTAACAGCTGCAGAGGCATATTACCTGCAGGAAACAAAACGGATTGTTCCTTTGCGACTGCTTTTGCCTCGGGTAGGAATTGAGCGGCTCATATGCCTTTGAACATTACCCCACCCCCCTTCTGTGATTATGTACGATGAAATCGCAGCTTCTTTGTCAGTTTCCTAGAAAGACAGACATTGTCTTTGAGTGTTTGCTTTTCTCTCAAGAATTATTGACTCACGGTAATGTTTTAATCTGCATAAATCTCTTATTCAATTCACAATCCCCAAAGGCTCGCTCCTTTTTCGGCTCAGTTCCTAAAGCCCTTATGGAGAACTTAACAATAATCTAGTCACTAGTACTGAGATATGTTCAAAAAAAGGCAATTATTTGGTTTTTTTTTTAATTTCAACGCTTTGCCTAACAATGATTAATAGTAGACGATAGCTAATATCATTTAATACAAGATATGCATGCAAAACAAGCATAATTTTTTGACGTTTTTCAGTCGAACAAAGGCGAGCAAGACGACGCGAAGTGCAATTCAAGCGCGAGGTGGCGCGAAGTGTGAGTCACGCGATAAGCGGCGCGAAGTGCGTGTCACGCACTAGGGAAGTAGCACATGAATATGCCCGCCTTTGACTGTTTATTACACCTCTACATACCTATATACATAAACTTTATTTTGGTATCACAATGTCATGCGTGTAGACAGATGTTGACGCATGACAATTGGGAGAGGCTTTTGATCGATCGTAGACTGACATGACTCTTATCGACACAGACTTAAAATGAAACTTGTGCGCGTCACTGAAATGACATCCATAGGCGATTGTGTAAGGAAGACTATGAACTGCTTGAATTGAGCTTGTAATAATTGGGCGCCGGCCAATCAAAAGTAATCTGTCTTTGGAGAAGACTAAAGAGGTTAAATTGATCTAAACAAACTGTGGTTCTTCTGCGTTTTGGGGGGGGGGGGGGATGGGGTACTTCAAGATTATTTGGTTTTATCAACTGAGTTGATAATGTAAACCATAAAGAGTTTCTTTGACGAGTCGAGCGTTAGTCCTTCGTAAGGGCATCTGCTAACACTAGAGAAGGCAAACGAGAAAAACAAATCAAGTAAAATAACCAAAACGAAACAAACTGGCGAAACGAATGAAAAAAATTAGGGAAAACGTCGGAAAATGATCTTGGCTAACATCCCGGGCGATGTAGATTGAGGGAGAGGGAGGGGGCCTTCTTGAAAACGAGTAGTGCGCAATGAACAACTCATTCACAATTTTATAGTGCTTAAATGCTTTTAATGGCTAACAATGGTTATAACAGTCTAAGACGCTTATATAAGGAGCATTTTTTACTTTATATGAATAAGAATATTCGAAAAAGCAAGATCTTTATAACAACAGTTCTAAACTGAGACAAAAGATCTAAACGGGCAACTCAGACGGAAAATACCGACTTTATGCGTTTAATCAGGTATAGGTAGGTTATGTCACTTCAAAGAAGTGCCCTCTCTATTTGTCCTTCCAATGGAGAGAGACACTATACTACAACACACAATGATTTCATCTAATAATCAAACATAGGCTACCGTAACTTCTGAGTAACCCCTCTTAAAAAGTCTCACATCTACCAGGCAAATAGATTCTACTCTACCTTAAGCAACGGCTAATATTGGTGTAACTACCATCCAATGAAATTAAAGAGATTCTGTGCTTGGCTATTTTATCCTCTATATCCTACGACTTCGAATAACTCTCAGTTAATTTAAGGGCCTGTCACGCACTGAAGCCTGTTTATGGTAAGAATAACACCGACAGATTTGAAATCTAGTAAACAACTCGTTGGTTTACCACAGTATTTGAAATGCTCTTTTTCGTAAGCAGAATTGACTCGTGTTCTATTCCTGGTTTTCGACTTAGTGGTGGTGCGGAATGTTGTCTGGAGGGTTCACTACCATGACCGTGTCCAACATGCTGATGCTAAAGATCGCTGTGATTGTTGCAAGCATAACAAGAGTAAAACTAGCGAGGTCTACGTTTTACTGAAGCTCTTTGGCAACAGAAAGGGACTCGAAAAGTTTCAGCTCGAACGCATTAAGCATAAAACCCAGCGTGAGACAGACCATTAGAACAACTGCTACGTATGATAAACAGAAAAAACTAAATCTACCTTCTCGACAGATGCGAGTATCGTTTTAGTAAAGCAGTTTGTCCAGAATCGTGACCAACACAGCGATGGTTCCACACAAGGCAACTTTACCACCTGAGATCTCAGCAGCACCATTCCAGTTTGGAGGCTTGTCTGACACTGCTAGTGTATGGGTGCTGTTGCAGGCTTTATCAGAACACGAGGCTAAGTTCTTCACCCAGACATTGTGTCCATCCACTTTCAAAGGTAGCGCTCCCCGTTGTACAGCTGAGGCAAACTCTTGGATAGTCTGGTTGAAGTTGACGGATGGAGTGGATGTAATGGCGATACCCAGGGCTTTCTTATCAGCTAATAAGACGACAATTTCCATGTTTTCTGGATCTTCAACTCTCCCAGTATAGGCGAGCCAGTCCATTACATCTGAGTTCCACTTCAAGGCACTCGCAATGGCTGAGCCAACTCCGTCTGCGAATCGACTTTGAGCATCAGACTCAGGAAGATTATCAGTTGAGCGCCTCGATCGCAGAAAAAACTTTTTAATCTTCAGCTTGATCACTCTGACTGGGCCATCTTTCAGTTCTCTGTAGCATTTCGTAATGTTAGCAGACAATCCACATTTCGCTCCTATGTTCCACATTCCCTTGAGAGATTCCCAGAGTGTGTCGACTTTGACAAAGGAACCTTTGATGGTCCAAAAGATCTGGTAGTAATCAGAGCAGTCAAGATCACAGACGGACGGCGCACCATTTCCTGGATTCAGGTAACATGGTGTATGAGAGGCGAACGCTCTTTCTCGTATCTCTTTACATGTTGGATCGGCCCATGGCCGCAATAGTGGCACCAGTGAGACTTGGAGGCATTTACGAACTCCATTAACCCAGTTTTTCCCGATTAGACTGAACTTTGCAAAGTTTTGTTCATACAGCTTGCAAAAATGTTCAGCGTATTTGATTGCGTAACCATTACTTGTAGCTTCACAGGGATACCTCCTCTCCAGGCAGCTGCGATACCAATCACAGGAATCCCCTGGTGGACTATAGCATTCTGGAGGCAGCAATGTGGTAGGCGTGAGGGTGTTTGGATATGAGGTTGGATTGCTGGGAGTACAGGAACAATCACTCGTCACTGATCCATATTCCTTGCTATGCACTTCAAGCATACACTGATACCAGCAGTAGGTTGCAGCTCGGTCTATGCAGAGATGTTTTTGTTTGCTCTTTTGCTTGATGTATGCATCCGTTAAGCACGTCCCCCACTGGTATTCATTATTGTACCGTTGTATTTGAATACATTCAACAGTTCCAGCGGGTCCATACGACTTGTTACACTGGGCGGCCCATCCCAACTCAACCACAAGCAATAGCATAAATGTAAGAGCTAGCATCATTCAAGGCTGGAACCTGGGAAATATAACTAGGCCATTTTAAGATTGAATATCTAATCATACATCTGCAGTGCAAAAATGAATACAATAGAAGCACGCTAACTCGAACTCCTAAGGAAAACGAAATATTGGTTACGTTAACAGAAAGGGGGAGGGTGGGGAGGGAGGGTTCCAGTTTGGTTGTGTTGAAAATCAGTTATCCTTTTAATGATTAATAGGGAATCGTGTTTCTTCTATTCTCGCACAAACAACAACAATATTCATACATTTACATTGTTTTAAAAGAGCTTTTTCTGAGAACGTTTAGTTTGGGAAGTTTAGCTAAATATTACGTTTTCATAAATATTATCACGTTCGTATCAATCGGGATTCAAGATTGGGACGTGTCAATCAGCTATGTTCTGACACTTAAAACGTTTATCGACCGACGCTTTTAGTTCAAGTTTGAGCTAACTGATGATAAATGACTGGAAAAAAGAGGTTAAATGCTTGAGGAAATCGGATCTTATTTGAGTTAACGGGGGATTCGAGTTGACCGTGGTCGAGTTAGCGGGGCTCTACTGTAATACTATTGTGTTGCTGCGAGCAGTGATTTTAGAAACCCCAACATTTCTTCACTGTTACTGTAACTCAAGCATTGTTTGTTACATATGGATACGTTACCATGCTTCATATCACTCTTTAGACTCGGTGATACTTCGCTGTTTGTTCAGATATTTAATGGCAACAACTTTTTCTGCATTTTTCTTTTTTATAGCTGGCTCCACGAGCAGGCGAAATAAAGGGAATCCTGTGTTTCTGTTGGTTTCCAGAGCAGGCAAAATGCGTCTACCTTGCCTGCTCGGGTCGCCCACTTCCCGTGAAACAAAAATGCTGCACTTTTTACAGGCTTCCCAAGTTCACATGCGTTCACGTAAACTTGGGATGCCTGTACGCTTTTCAGCACGGTGCAGACCTCTAAATTATACGAAACTTCACTGCTTACTCACGCGCAAATAAACAAATTTGAATAAACAGGTAACGTGCAGCTAAAATGCTTCACATTTTCAAGGTTGAAATCATCTTGAAAGTAGGAATGAAAGCTTATAAGACTATGAAATAGATAATCATTCATTTTGTGTTTGCGGAAGGAGTGAAGGTAGAGCGCGCTGACTGTTGCCGAAATGAAAGATTTTTCTAAAAGGAATGGCAGAAACTTCTGGGCGGAAATTAATTGCGGCATGCAGATTCGCTTGAACTTCCAGTTTTGATGGCCTTTTTCCAAACGCATTGAAGTTTGCCGACTCGTTGGAAAGGCAAGACTTTTCACGAGATGTCTGGTAATCATTTGTCAGGCGACTTGGAAAATCGCTCATGAAATTTAATGTTGTGTTTTACGACTCCATTGATTTAATTGACTATTTGATGAAACACGTATCACGTCCACTTAGCCAATTTCTGCAACCGACCAGCAAATATGTTGGCGCCACAAGAACTTACGAACCTTGTCGTCTTAACCATTAACTAGGTTAATTTTATAGCAAGCGCACACCTCGAAAACTTTGCAGTATATTGAATCATTTTTCAAACTCTACGAAATGTCGCAGCCACGTGAGAAGCTAAACCATGAAGAGATCGTCTCAAATATCACTACAATTTTCAAAGCACAGAAGCAGTGAAAGTAGGGCGCGCTGATCGTTTCCAAATTGACAGATTTTTATGAGGCATGGCAGCAATTTTTTGGCGGAAATTAATTGCGACATACGGATTCGCTTGAACTACCAGCTCTGTTGGCTTTTTAAACGCATTGAAGTTTGCCGACTCGTTGGAGAGGCAAGCTTTTCACAATAGTCATTTGCTAAACGACTTGAAAAATCGCTAATGAAACATCATGTTGAGTTTTACGACTCCATTGCTTTAATTGACTATTTAACTTATAGCAAGCGCACCCGCCAAATACTTTTTAGTTTATTGAATTATTTTTCAAACTCCACAAAATTTCGAAGCCACGTGATATTCTAAACCATGAAATTTCACAGCAATTTAAAAAGCATAATGTTTTCAAAGAACTGTGTACAGTGTTCGCATGGCGAAATTTGCTCGAAGAAATGAAATTCCATGTTACACCCGCAATAATACTTTGTTAAACTGAACTCTAATAACAGCCCAGGCGGAGCACAAGTATATATTAATCAAATGAAGCCGAATTGTAAAAGACTCTAGCTTATTGCGGAAGTAAACGAGGCTTTAGGTTGCTACTTTCGAAATTCACGGTATAGTGACATCCTTCCCCAGTTGAATTAAAGATGCTATGATCATGTTCTCCAGCTATGATATAGACTTAGTTTCATCAAACCATATGTAATAAGCGATGTACAAGAGCTGAACGACCGTGTGTTTTTCAAGGCATGATACGTTTCAACGTTCTATATAGTACCTCCAAACAAACTGCACTATTCAGTAGCATATTGCAAATTGCACCTTAGCGTGAGCGTACAAACTGATATAAATTTTGAAATCCCCCATGTGAAACCTCCGAGAACCCCTATTAGAGTGGCTTGATCTACGAGACACCTCATAGAGAAAGAAATGATGATTCGTCGTCGACCCAAAGAAAAATCCTTTCTGCAAGCCATCGCCTTCAAATAGCATTAATTATCCCTCTGAGCGAGTCGGGCCGTTTATATTTCATCCACTGCTAACGAACTTGAAATCATTTCGCTTACATTTTTATCTAACATTACTTACCAAATTAGCTTTTATAAATGAATCCAAGGGACGCACGATAACTCTGCCAACGTCGATCGTCTGGGGTAAAGTTTGAAGTGGGTAGTGGCTCCTCTTGGAAACAATTATTAACAAAGATGTGTCTACGTCTGTACGTGGGGGTGGGGACATGAGGGGAAATCTTGTACACAAGCTATCTTTTCTCATTTATCTCAGATAGCGAACATTAATAGCTGCAGAGGCATATTACCTGCAAGAAACAAAAACGGATTGTTCCTTTGGGACTGCTTTTACCTTGAGTAGGAATTAGGCAGCTCATTTGCCCTTGAACACCACCCCACCCCCATTCTGTGATTATGTATGATGAAATCACAGCTTCTTTGTCAGTTTCCTAGAAAGACAGACATTGTCTTTGAGTGTTTGCTTCAAGTCGTCTCTAGAATGATTGGCTCGTGATCATGTTTTAATCTGCATAAATTTCATATTCAATTCACAATCCCCAAAGACTCGCTCCTTTTCTGGCAGAGCAACTGAAACTGTTATGGTAGATTTCAACAATAATCTAGTTATTAGTACTGAGATATGTTAAAAAGAGGCTATGATTTTTTTTTCCAATTTCAACGCCTCGCCGAACAGTGATTAATAGACCGTGATAGCGAATATCATTTAATACTAGATATGTCTGCGAAACAGGCCAGGAGCCCAAGTAATGGGCTCCTGACAGGCATTATTTTTTTGCGTTTTTCAGTTGAACGGAGGCAAGCGCGAAGCGACGCGAAGTGCGAGTCAAGCGCGAGGCGGCGCGAAGAAAAACTCGTGCCAAACCCCTAATAACGAGCAGCTGCCAGCAACCAAGAGAAGATAAACTGCTGGAGGCTAATATCATAGAAGTTTCTCCGCCTTATCAAGACTGACACCTCTTGTTTGCGCATTTGTCGTGATGACTACACTTTGAAAGTGAAGTATTCCGCTCATGGGTTTGAGTTTTCAAACACTTATGTCGTCTCATATCCAGACCTCTCACCGCAAAGTGGTTGTAAGTTACAATTACACGGTAAGATCTGGGTACGAGATAAACACTTATCTTGCTTTGGCGCGCTGCTAAATAATTATCTTCACATAATGCGAACGTTCTGAAGCTAAACTAAGAGTCAGTGATTCTATCTTGTCACCTATTCCTTAATCAAGAAAGGAACCTTGTCTGGTTTGCATAATCACTACTCCACAGTCCACACAGCATGATTGTGACTTGTCTTTCCAGTTGATGATGCGGACAGGCTTGTGAATAATGGTGTTCTTACCAATGGGGCTTGGCAGAGGGGCTGTCTGATGTGGCGTCAAAAGGGAAATGCACCAATGTAAGGAGCGCCTAGGCGTGCCTGGCCTTCAGGATATCCTTCGCTTACGTGCCTGTTCCAATCCCGAGCTCAGGTCATTTTGGCTCCTTTCCAGTGGTATTGTCGCCAACTGTTTTTATTTGGTGACCATACTGCTAAAAAGGGGCCAAAACGACCCTGGGCTCGAGATTGCGCTCGTTCCTGCACTACAGCCTGCAGTCTACAACTCCCATGATGCCTTGCTATATTATTTGTGTGGGGAGCCCTGGGTAAGAGTATCCGAAAGAAGTTGTCGAGTTGAAGACTAAAGGAAATGCATCCGATCCTTGTGTTATATTTTGCCTTCAAAGAAGAAGGAAGAGCTATTGAAAAGAGGAAGAAGTCCTACCAATGGTAAGAACGTTAATCTCATATTATCGGCTGAATGGAATTTGACGAAATCTTTGCGTTTCTAACTTATCGACTCTTTCGGTCCAAAGAAAAATCAGAATGTTTTAAAATATAACGTCATTTTGCAAACTTTAGGATGCTATCAGAGACAAGTTCCCAACAGTTTAACAAAACTGTGGAAATGACTTGGTTTGCAAATCCTTGTGCTGTACGCGTACCTAAATTGCAATTGTGTTTTAGGCCAGGCACGCCTAGACACTCGATTAGTTCTCAGAACCATGTGGGTGTCCCAAACTCCTCACAATTAACACAGTATTTAAACATTCTTTTCTTCCTGTCCTTCTATATTTCTTAGATATCCTTAGTAACAATGAGTTGTAAATTACTTTCGTTTCGTTTTTCGTTTTCTTATTGCACTATATTCTTTATATTGATATTTATAACGCTACTGTAATAATTATAACCTTCTCTAATACACTGTAATTGTGTGAGTTTAAATAAAATCGATTTGATTTGAATTGAAATTGATTTGTGTTTCAACATTTTAAACACATTTTCACATGTTTGACTTTTGCAATAATGCGCTAGAAATATAGGTTGCTTTTTTACCCAGAGCCGTGATTAGGTTTGAATTATAATTTCATGTAAAAATGGATCACTTGCTTATAATTGTCCATCAGTGATATATATATGTTATTTGCCGGCTGGGAGGTTCGTATGGTGAAAAACTGTGACCGAGGTCTTGAAAGGCCGAGGGCAGCATTTTCAAGACCGAGGTCACAGTTTTTCACCATACGGACCGACCCTTAGCCGGTAAATAACATATTTATTGTTTTTAAACTTGATGAAATTCTTTCCGAAAGAACCCGAATGATTTAGGGCTGTAAATACGGCAAGATCTTCCATAAACTGAACAATTTTTGAGCGAGTAAATGGTAGTTAAAATAGAGGTGATGTAAATTAAAGAGAGATTCCTCAGCGAAACATTTTCATTTCCGTAACGATAAAGGTGATTTAAAAGGCTTCCAAACAAACTATGAAACATTATTTTTACAAGTATCTGTCAGAATCTGACACCTGTCAATTAGAGAGCACGTAAGAAAAAAAAAATCATAAGAACATTTGAAAAACAACGGAACTAGTTTGGCAAGGACTGTCACGACAATGTTTTCTTCAAAATCAGTCAACGATCTAACGGAAAGTATTATTCACTCTCATCGACGATTCATTCATGTATGAAGATTTACTTCTGTTCATTAAGTAAACGGCGAGGAAAGTAATTGTGAGTAAATTCAATTTTTTTATTTTGAAGTTGTGAGAGTTTGCTCGTTTGTTTGCTGCAATGGCGTGTGTAAATCTGGTCTTTCCTTCACAAAAACTAAATTCGAACGGCACGCTCCAACGAGACACAAGGGAATTTAATGCGGCCTTTTCTCGAAAAATTCCTTCAGTTTCTGTTGTGTAATTTACGGTACAAATGTCCAAATTGAACGGAATTGGAAAGACTCACCAGGAGCCTATATTTGTTGTAGAACTTAAATTAAAACTTTGCTCGCTCTTTCACTACTAACAATTTTCTCGAGAAAATTCAGATATTAAATTAATGAAAGTTCCATCGTTCAGTTTAACTGTAACCAAATACCTCACGTTTTAACTTTCTGGGTACTTTTTGTGAATGATTAAAATTAATTGCAGACGGTTTTTAGGCCGCTTGTCAACCAACGTAATGACACTATGGTTTATACAAATTCATTCTGAAACCAATATTTTTCTGTCAACCAAAGTCATTTGAGAGAGAGAAAAGAGAGGATTTATGAGTTATTTATCGGCTTGAGGTAGTGACCGACTTGTTTGCTTTAAAATACTGCCCAGCCGGAAACGAGGTATATTTATGAAAAAATGACAACGAAAGTTGGGATGTACTCGGCGACTCACGAAAGCGTTACCGCGGCCCGTGGGCAGAGATAGGAAAATACTGACCGGGTAAAGAACCAATCAGATTGCAGGATTCGTTACCGTGCCCTCTGAAAAAACAATAATAAGAGTTATTTCCCGGAGATTAGGTCATAAGCGTTTCATCTGATGTTGTTTTACTTACATCAGACAGATTTACCTTTAGGCTTGCCAACCAGGTGTTGTTAGGGAAGTGAACCCTTGTCTCTCCTCATAGGAAGGTTCTGTTTAGGGAAGTTTCCTAAACCAAGCAAAATACAGATTGCTTCCTCTCCCTCCCTTCCCATACTTATGACCCACTTCAGGTTTTCATTTTTCACTGGGTAAATAAATCAAAACAGGGCAAGGGAGCACATTTGGTGTAACTGCGTTTTGATTGATTGATTGATTGATTGATTTACTTTGTTTTTGTTTTGTTTTCTTGTTGTTTTGTTTTTTTCCTCAAAGCTGGGTGTCTGGCAGAGCCCCTGATGGCAGAATCCAACACTACATGTTAAAGATTCGAGACTAGTTATGTGCAAGGAAAGATCTAGACAGGAATAGTGCACTAAATGACTTTGACTTTGTCAGTGAACAGAGTGAAAAGGGAAGTAAGGAATTGAGGTTACAAGATGCTTCAAACCTATCACTGAGGAAAACTGAGGAGGAAAAGTTTAAATCAACTCTCTGTTATAGAAACATTTATGATTCCATCAATTTGTCTGAGGGAGGATACTTGGACTTAAATGGCAGGAGGAATTACAGAAAAGCAAATCAGCAAAATACTGTTGAAAACATGAAAAAGCTGTACCACACTTCCTTATAAACTCACAATTTATTTGCTTGATTTGACAATTTGCTACTATGCTTCAGTTGACTCCCACTCACAATTCTTGGCCTATTACAAGGAAACACACTCAACATCCTGTTGTAAGCAGGTGGAACAGTGCCTTATATGGGATGACAAAACATGTGCCACATACATGTTTGCTTAGTTATGTATGAATAAACAAAATCCCATATAAATGTCAATCAAATTGAGAATAATTAACTTATTGTACAGTTTCCAACAATACAGGGTCTTTTCTTGGATATATTTGGTAATGTCATCATTGGAACCTGCAGTCTGTATCATTCACTCTTAGAATATCACTCAGTTATTGTGCTGTATCTCAAAATTAACAAGAACACTTACCTATTACATTTAATTGAACAATAGAGACTATTTCCATTTCTCCACTAATGTATTTCCACAAAAATTGTTGAAGGGGTGTATGGAGCAATTTCCACTTGATCTCTGATGGATTGTTAGGTTGTCCTTTCAAATTGTCTTTGATTCAACTTTAAGACAGAGGGAGAGGTACCTGTTGCATCAGGGGTCACACATGGCTTTATTTTGTGTACCCCTTCAATCACAGACCTCATTCAGAGGGTGTTTTGGTTAATGCCCTCTCTTAGCTGTGAACTAATCCTTCAAACTTTAAATGAAAAAAAATAGAAGAAAGAAGGAAACCTTTCAAAGATGCCAACTGCAAGATTTTCAAATCTGGATACTCATTTTTCATCCCAACTCAAAAGCTAAATCCACATGATTTGACTTACTAGTTCTTTAACAGCTTTTGACTGCATCATTTAACCACCAATCAAGACATATCACTTTAAATAGATTGCCATAGGAACAGAATGTGAGTTTAGTTGGAAAATGAATAAGAGGAAAGTGTTTGATATCTTTGTTTCAACTTTGTGAGAGATGTAAGAAATAGGAGCCAATAACTTTAGAATATGCATGGAAGGCAAAAAAATTCAATGTTTTCAGGATAAGCAGAAGTTAAGCTGAAAAAAAAACTAGTGAGTAACAGGCTCCTAAAAAGAGCCTTGGTTTGCATTCCCCCAGGAAATCTTGTGGGAAAGTTATTGTTGTGTCACATGCAATCTTAAAAGAGCTGATTTATTTCAAGATATCACATAATTATACAAATTTTCAGTTTTCAAAACGACGGGAAACAAATTTTTCGTCATCCCCTCGACGAAAGTCACTAGTCAGCAGATTTTGACAAGGAAAATCCCGCAGGGATCTGGGGAATAACGTGGACGTAAATGTGGAAAAGTTCCGCTCAGATCTCCCGAAAGTGTCCTTTGTCATTCACGCACGTGTTTCCAAATATGGAAAAATTGCACCATTTCGCGCAGTAACCGGCAACAAAGTGCGCGCTTGTCTCAAAATACAGAGTTAAACGAGAAAATCCCTTGAAATTCAGGATCGATTTTTATTTTGGGATATCCTTAAAGTACAGCTAGTCTAATCTGTTAGATTCTCGGTTTTCTCGCCAGTTCAAGGAAAACCAGGCATTTTAAAACAAACTGAAAAGACCTCGATCATGTCGTCTGATAACACAACAGAAGCGGCCGATAGAAATGTGGAAATATGGAAAATCAAGAAACTCATAAAAAGTTTAGAAGCAGCCAGAGGGTGAGTAGTAAAGATTTCTTATCGTGGAGTACGTTAAATGAGGTAGAACCATCGTGAAGATTAGTTCGAAGTTCATTCGTGATTCAATGGCTTTTACAATATCAACAGTACAGTAGTTATTCTTGACCAAACACTGTCTAAATTGTTGATGGCATATTTTAATGAAGCCGATAAGTCTTTTGGTTAACCCTCATTTTAGAATTATATTCAAAGAAAATATATAGAAAGAGGACTGCTCCTGGAGTTTCATGTTTGCGAAAGAACACACCAATTCAAGTTTACATTTTTCGCTATCGACTTCTTTTTGATAAAATACGCATCTTGTCGATCGGTAAAGGAACATCTCTTATTAAACAAAAGTCAAAGAATGGCTAGGTGTATTTTTCAGGTTATTCTGCTTGTGATAATTTCAAGGCAATATATCTAAATTAATTTTTTTCTCAGAAAATAAAATGAGTTAAAGTTTCTCTTCGGTTAGGTACAAAATTATGTATTGTATACGTGTATGCACATAATATATTGTCGATGATGACGATGGTAGTGATAATGACGATAATTGAATTAATTTTTTCCTTCACCGAAATAAGGCAAAAGTTCTCCCTTATACCAGGGTTAGGGGGGGAGGGGGCTGGTAATGAATTGAATTTCTCAGTATACTCAAAACCATTTTGATTAAAATTGCAATTGCTTCAACTAATCTTCCATAGAAATATCAAAAGCACCCTATAGCAATCAACTTCCTGCTTATTGGATAATTCATGGAAGAAAAGAAACCCTTAACCTGGTTAGCAGGCAAGCGTGAGCTCTTGGTCAGTGAGATAGGACCTCTCACATTTTCAGACATTTGTAAAATTCTCAATAGTATCACACTCTATGTTCCGATGAGTGTTTAAGCATCTCAGATCATGCTTCCACAACTCTCCAACTTAAAATCATAAAAGCTATTCACATTCAATGGGAGCAACCTACACTTAATAATCAACTTTATCATGTTGATTGAAACTTTCCTAATTGCATTCATTGATCTGTTTCTGCTGTTTGTTTTGTCCAATCAGCATTTTGTTACACACTTTAAAGTCAACTTTGTACTTTGTATGAATCAGAACTGAAGATGACAGAAGAACTTTCCAAACATGTCTTTAAAAAATGTTATATATTTTCCTAAATTTGTGGCATATATGCTGCTATCCCAACCTTTTGGCAGGTGTGACTGTAGTGAACAACCTTGCTTACTGTTAGATAACATTTTGATGTCTTTTTGTTGATCTGTAGATCCACTGCAAATTACAAGCATTGATTGATATTCAGTACTCTGCTGTATTTTTTGCTCATGTTGTATCTTGTTCTCAGGAATGGAACAAGCATGATCTCTCTGATCATCCCTCCAAAAGATCAAATCTCTCGTGTAGCCAAGATGTTGGCAGATGAGTTTGGAACTGCATCAAATATCAAGAGTAGAGTGAACAGGTGACTTCATGTTACCAAGTAGAGTTTTTGAAGAGTTAAATTACACATTTACACATTAAAATTTTCTTTAAACACTTTACATTTTGTCTTAGTCATTCAACAGTTTTTTCTCTGAATTACTATTTGCAGGTTGTCTGTCCTTAGTGCAATCACATCTGTACAACAAAGGTTGAAGCTGTACTCAAAAGGTGTGTTTTAACACTTGCTGCTCTTATAATGTATCTTTAACTAACCTTTTAGCAACCTGTGATGAGTACAAATGGCCTCATGTATCATGAAACTTAACATCTGCTTCAGCACTACATCTACCTTTATCAAATCTTTCAGAAGACCCAGACTTTTTCTCCTTACCCCTCTGTCCCATGTTTCATCACCAATTTCTTCCCAGGCACCTCTTTGCCTGCTCACCTTTCTCCTTCCCCAGGTTTTGTCTGTTTTGTCTGTTCTTGAATGTTATCATCCTTCTCTTCCTACTTTCTTCCATGCACCCTCTTGTCTCACCTCTCTATTCACATGAAGCTTCTATTCATCCCTCTTCTTTGAAAAGAGGAGTTTGTCTTTTCCCTTCCTTCAGAGGTTTTTGATGGATGCACATGTAACCTCCAACAGCTGTTATGGATAACTCCACTAGTCATATGTTCTGGTGACATTGTACCAAGCTTTCCTCTAGTTGTTATGATTCAGTGACAATGTGAGAAATCTGTTACAAGTTGTATCCTGTGGAGGAGTTTGGAAAATAAAAAAAGAAACTATTTAATGTGATGTGCACCCTCCTGATATTGCATTACATTCCACTAATTCTAAACCTCTATGGTTTCAGTCCCCACAAATGGTCTTGTAGTCTACTGTGGAACAATTGTTACTGAAGATGGCAAGGAAAAGAAGGTTAACATAGACTTTGAGCCCTTCAAGCCAATCAACACATCATTATATCTCTGTGATAACAAGTTTCATACAGAGGTTTGTTAGCAAATCTAGCATTGTACATTGTTACTGTTCACATGTAGTAATGACTCAGATGAGGAGTTGATAGTTGATAGTACTTAAGTGTGCTGAAGGAAGTGTGATTTGTGTTTTCATCGATCGGAAATTGAGTAGAGTAGAGTACTTAGTATATGCCTTTCAAATATAATATTAAATCTTCCAAAACCTTGAATCAAATTATCTTCAAGCAGAGTCAGAATTGCTTGTTTGATTTTCATTGGAAGAATAACAAAGGCTTTGACTTGTCTGGTTAGCAGGCAGGTGTGATATAAACTGAACAATTCTGCTTACTGCCAGACTACAGACATACTCAATCCCCTCTATCTCTTCACATCTGTGTTCTGTAGTAAAGAATGCACATTAGCATGTAATTATATTAGTTCTGATATAAATCTCTGTAACAGTGTTCCAGGGTTTCCCTTCTTGTGTGCTTTGAAATGAAATTGAAAGTTTGAAATTCCTAAGACTTCCTCACATAAGTAAATTTTCATTCATTGTTTAGATGAGTTTAAAAAAAGTTACGATATTTATGGTCATAAATTTTTTTTCCATCTGAATGATCAATCTGTAAATTAACCCTGACAATGAAAATATTACACTTTATAAGTTGTATGCAAGTGTATTGTGTAGTGGTAAACATTTGTTTTGCTTTTATGCAGGCCCTGAACGCCTTGCTGGCAGATGACAACAAGTTTGGTTTTATTGTGATGGATGGTAATGGTGCGCTGTTTGGTACACTCTGTGGAAATACCAGAGAAGTTCTTCACAAATTCACGGTAGATCTTCCAAAGAAACATGGTTAGTAAAATAATCAAGGAATATTAACAGTGCTTTCAATTAGACCTGGCTTCTGCTGGAGCTCCAGCAGGTATTCTGTTGTGAATTGCCAGGTATACTTTGGATGCTTTCAAGCAAACTCACAAAATGAGGCTTAAAACCCCTTGAGATCTTCTAGAGTTCTTTCAGTTGACTTTTGGGTTTATAAACAAGTTTTGATTAAAATGACTACATGGTATTATCTTATCACACATAAGCCAGTATATATTTCATACATTTCCAGCCAAAAAATTAGATTTTGAGTTTCTAAGAACATACTGACTCAGGACCTTTTGTGTGAAACTCAGGGAGCAGGCGTGCATGTAAGCAAAAGGAAGGTTTTGATTAGAAATAAAATGATCAGTGAAAGAATGGTTATAATTTAGACAAATATGTAATGATTGTCTATGGAAGTTTAACACCAAAAACTCTGTTTGAAGCCTGAATTTATCGTGAATGGAAGTATTGAGACAACAAGAGGGAAATTCTCTGGCGGCTGCTTTACTGGGGTAGCCACCTTCTTCAATCTTATTGAAAATCCTGATTTAGGATAATTTCTTGCTGACATTCTCTAAAAAGTAACTGCTCTAGATGATTTCCAATGCCATAAGCAAACCACTTTGACTGTATATTACATGGTCTAATCTTTTACTTTCACAATCAGAATTACCCAAATAGGGCAATTAGAGTGTACATGTATGCATGGATTGGAACACTGAAGCCTTATTTTACTTTTTTAACTAATACATTTTATTTCATTTTTTTTAGGACGTGGTGGACAGTCTGCTCTTCGTTTTGCTCGTCTGAGAATGGAGAAGCGTCACAACTATGTCAGAAAAGTTGCTGAGACTGCTGTTCAGCTTTTCATCACAAATGACAGGGTATTTAGTTATTTTATTAAAATCAGAATTTCAAAATGTCAATCCCTTCATGTCACCTAAGAAAATAAGACTTCCTAATCTGAAAATAAACATAACATTAAAAATTGCAGTAGTAGTAGGGGTAATAGCTATTGTTAGATGCTGTTGATATATACAACAAGCATAGAAGTAGTGTCATATTTCATTTTTGTGTTTTGTTTTAGCCAAACATAACTGGTTTGATTTTGGCTGGATCTGCTGACTTTAAGACTGAGCTGAGCCAGTCTGACATGTTTGATCAGGTGAGCTTTGTAGTTTGGTGATTTCCTAGAATCAGCGGGTATTTACCCATTTTCTTCACAAAGGACGCAACAAACTAGCTTTCACCATCTTTTTAAGGGGGAAATGCCTTTTGCTAGTGTCTGGTAATGATACATGTAATTGTGTGAGAGTTCATTGTTATTTTCCATAGCTTTGGGAGAAAGATAAGTCCTCTGGACCCTAGGTACAGTAGTTTTTAAGTTGACTTTTTAAGTCTAGCAATCAAATAACAAATGTTGAACTGGTGCTAAAATATCTTTTGTATACAATGGCAGCTGTTCCCCATGCATTGTGTAGTCTTCAGATGTATGGTTTTATGCTGTCTAAAGTAAACCTGTGTTTGAGTCTTTTCACTCTCCTTTGTTAATTTGCTTTCATAAGGCAGATCTTTTACTCATTGGAGAATTTTGCAGGCTCATACAACTTTTATAATATTTTTTCACAAACATACAGGTGTATTCATTTTGCCAAGTTGCACCATATATTCTTACTTATTTTGCAATTTTAACTCGCCTTGATACTGTATTCATATTTCTAGAGGTTGCAAACAAAAGTTTTGAAGCTTGTTGATGTTTCCTATGGTGGTGAGAATGGTTTCAACCAGGTTAGTACAATTTTAATTACATACAGGTATTCAATTCTATTAAAAAGAGTGGAAACATGCAAACTTATTTTGACTACCTGGAAAAAGTATGAAAAAGGGTTATGTCAGGAAAATGTAAAGAAGACTTGTTTGGTTGTTTTTTGGCTTTGCTGAAGTGCAATAAGTTTTTACTTTCTGGGAGAGATCTCTGGCAGTGGAATCAATGTACAAATGTAAATTACTTTGGCAAAAGAGTTTTCTTTGAGTGATCAGAAAATAAACCCTTAAAAAGACAAGTTAAAATTAGATCTCAAAATTGGTTTTAATTGTCAAATTAAAATGAACATCAAACCTTGATAGTGCAACCATTGTTACTGGGGTCAATAAAACAAACCAACCATTCTGCTAACAGGAGAAAAACAATGAGTTCCATGCTGTTTCTGCATTCTTTGTTCTTAAGTATTGATTGGTACTGTTACATTTAGTTGAAATTGTTGTTTGCCTTCGGTTGTGACATTGGTGAATTATGCTTTTGTGAGCTTGGTTACAGAAGTGGCACAGTTATCTTGTATTTTGATCATTTGCATTGTTTTTGTATGATGCACATTTCTACCTTGCACATCCTATAGCCTTGTTTCACATCACTTATTGTAAGTTTACACAAATATCTCTATGTTACAATATGATGTTTTATTTTAGGCGATTGAACTTGCCTCAGAGGTACTGGCTAATGTCAAGTTCATTCAAGAGAAGAAGCTCATAGGTATGTATCTGAGACAAGCTCTAACTTAAGGGTGCATCAAATTAAATTCCATCAGTAGTGAAGGAAGTGCAGATTCCACTTTTGTCTAATATTTGTCAACCTCAGCCTTGCTATTGAGTAACGTATTAGTAATTAACTCTGAATCAAATGATTTTTTCCTCTTTTAACTTTTAATCTTGGGGTTGATTGCTATATTCACACAAAATTTATACGTACACCTGTACATGTTCAGTGTAGCTGGAAACTTGTTTGAGTGAAATTTGTTGGAACACAAGGAGTGAATATTTAACATCATATTTTTTGATAAACAGGGAGATACTTTGATGAAATCTCTCAAGATACTGGAAAGTACTGCTTTGGTGTGGAAGACACCTTAAAGGTTTGTTAGTAGGTACAACTAGCTAGTGTGAACATAAATCGAGACAACATTGTACAGTGCTACATTTATCTGTTCTAAAACAGGCCAGAATAAAAATGGTAGAAAACTAAGAAAACTATGATTACCAGAAGTGATTTTGTTACCATGTTTCAAGGGAAAAGTCAATGGGGCAGCAGAAAAAAATGGAAAAAAGGTCAACAGTTTTTGAGTTTCTGAGTAAAGTTTCAAAGTGATCTTCTCAAGATTCCATACACATCCATTTCTGAATGGTTAAAGGCAGTTTATTTGCCAAAGCTTCAAAAGTGAAATTTCTTTGTATAATGTTCATTTTAAGTCAATTTATCCTATCTAATAATTCTTACATAGCTGATATAATTTTGTTTCTTGGATTTTTTTTTGTCATTGTAAAAGGAAAGGAGAAAATAAAATAATTATGGGCTTTCTCTTTTTGCTTATCAGGGACTCGAAATGGGAGCAGTGGACATCCTCATTGTGTGGGAAAACCTGGAAATCCACCGAATTGTTTTGAAAAATCATCAAACAGATGGTAAGCAAGAAATCACCTTGCAAAGCACAAAATTGTTTGATCTGCTGGTTTACAGTAAGAAAGATTGTATGCTGATTCATTAAGTTCTTAAAATGTTCTGATGCTAGTACTGGTAGCCACAACTTATAGGATTGGCCAAGTCCTATCTTGAGCAAGCTGCCAATGTGGAAAGCAAAAATCATCTTTGGGGTAGAATTTCCTGCAAGGACATTGAATGACAGTGGATCTCAGTAGAAAGCTCAATTTTTTGTTCTTTGCCTGAGGCTGATGTGTACTTGCAGTGACTGTAGATGTGTATTTGGTTAGCATGTTGATGCATAATTATTATAAAATAGCAGAGTAAATTTGTCCACAGAGGAGAAAATCCTTCATCTCAATCCGGAGCAAGAAAAAGACAAGACATACTCCATAGACAGTGAGGTACAATGAATTAGTTCTTTTAATCCTAAGTAGCAAAACATTGACAGATAAAGCCTGAATCACTAAGGAACATTTAGTGCACCTTTTTCTCTGTTTATGAGCACATGAGTACTGTGTTACTTTCATGGGCACAACTGTGCTATGAGAGAAACCTCTGGTTGTCTACTTAGAGAACCAAGTCCTGAAAAGCTTTTTGAAAGTCAAGATTATATGTGGTTTAACTAATAATTTGTACTGTTTTTTTTGTCTATTAGACTGGAGTTGAGTTAGAACTGATAGAAAAGATGCCTCTGCTGGAGTGGCTTGCAAACAATTATAAGAGTTTTGGTAAGTGAGTGCATTGTACGTATTTGATGTGTCATGATAAAACTATTCAGTAAAGATTTCTGATAAGTATTGTTATTGCAGACTTTTTCAAAACTGTTAATTGACTGCAATGCCATCCGAGATTGTATGAGTCGTGATCTTTATTATAATTATTATTTTTATCCCCTAAGGTGCAACATTGGAAATCATAACAGACAAATCACAAGAAGGAGCACAGTTTTGCAAAGGCTTTGGAGGAATTGGAGGTGATGCTATGGCTTGTTGTTTATACTCTCAACAACTTTAGAGTAGGTTTTAGGTGTTTCTCATCTTTCTCTGATGGTTCCTCGTTGGGTTACCTTCCTCTTCAAAGACCAAGAGTCTTTAATGTCAATTTGCTTGAAGATAGAGTGTGACAGCTCCCTTGCTGATGTGTTAAGTGTTGCTGAGGTAGGTTAAGTCTGTGCTCAAACCAAGTGTCTCACCAGTGTGAGCTTCTACCAGTTTCCTCAACATGAAGGCGACTACTCCTCCCTGGATGGGATGCTATTCCATAACATGGTTACCCATCAGTATGTCATCAGGCTTCCCAGACAATTCATCCTGCTACCCATTATATACTTCTCGGTGGAGAGGCACTGTGAGAGGAAAGTGTTTTTCCTAAGAACACAACGCAATGACCCAGCTAGGTCTCGAAGTTGGAGTCCAGTGCACTAACCATTACGTATTTTATTGTGTTCGATTTTTGTTTATTGGCCTCCATGATCTAATTGTAACAGTTGTTTCATTTTTTTTTTCCAGGTATTCTTAGGTATCGGGTTGATTTTCAATCCATGGACATGGACCCAGATTTGGAGTATTATGAGGACAGTGACGATGATTATTAGCAGGAGGAGAATCTTTCTTGTGTGTTGCATCTAAACATCAACTATGAATTTACAACCCTTGTTATTGTAAGAACAGTGGCATCGTTCAGTTTCATTAAAATATTATATACCTCTAAGCCCTCTCAGGTTTTAACAGACAGTCACAGGTTATTAAGCGAATCGATTGATGCTAACCAAGGAGACGAAGATGTCATTTATGTGGGCCTCTATATATATTCGTTTGTCAGCAGTTAGTATACTGTGTAGGAGTGCTCATAACTGATTGTCTAATACAAATACAACCAAACAGTAATGATTTAGCTTGGCCAAACCAGGCGTTCCGGCCAAATTTTGCTGTCATTGCTGTCATAGGACTGGAGTATTGATGAACCTTCCCAGATGGCGAGGAAGCTCCTTCTCAGCAATTGATAAAGTAGTCGTGGGAATTACTAATTTTTCCATGTGACAACTGAGGATACGAAGGATTTCTGCTCCTCCGTTAAACGCAGAGTCTAAACGAATTAACATAGCGTGCTCTATTAAGTGTAATACAACCAAAGCTAAACATGTCTCAGCAGCCAATCGTACAAGGGACAGAAATATGACAGGAAGCCAACACGAACTCAAAGTCGTAGAAATGTGCAGAAGACCAGAAGCGCGAGTAAACGCGAGTACTAAATCATGATTAGACTGTGGGTAACCTGCGAGCAAGTCCGCGGAAGTATGGAGTATAAAATAGTGTCAAACGCTCGGCAAACCTCTTCTCGTGGGTTGATGATTTCTGATATTACGTTGGAGACCTGCAGTTTCTGTAGTTAGCTTATCTTTATTGATGTATCGAGATGATATAGAAGGGTTATTTGTTCATTAAAAGGGTTTTACTTTACATTTTTACGATACACTGTTTAAAGGTCGGGGAAATAGAGTGAAATGTGTTTTGTGCGACGGTGAAAACTGTTTGAAAGTCTGACCTATGTGAAATGAAATTGGAACAAAATGGTGATTCACGTGCGTATCACTTGTGGAAAATCAAAATAGATAACTTTTTCGTTCATTTATTTACCAAAAATTGGTAAGAAAGTTCTGTTATGTCAGTTTTTGATTCAACAATTGTAAGATATCTCAACTGCAGATTAAAATGAGAGTTAGTGTTTACTTGATAATTTCTCTCTTCCCTTTTCTTTCTTTCCTTTTTCTGTTTAGGTCTTGTTTTGTCTCGGGGTTTTCCCTCTACCTTGTACTGGTGGCTGAGTTTGGATTTTGGACGCTAGTGGCCTAATTTATATTTTGGACCCTTGTGGCTGATCATTGGATTTTGGACACTAGTGGCCGATCTTGGATTTTGGACACTAGTGGCCTTTTTTTGGATTTTGGATCCTAGTGGCAGATCTTGGATTTTAGACCCTGGTGGCCGATCTCGGATTTTGGATAGTAGTGGCCGATTTTTTATATTGGAGACTAGTGGCCGATTTTGTTTTTGGACATTAATTTAGTGGCCGGTCTTGGATTTTTTGGATTTTAGACCGTATTGGCCGATTTTGGATTCTGGAGACGAGTGACTGATTATGGATTTTGGACTCTTGTGGCCGAATTTTGATTTTTGGACATTAGTGACATATTTTCGGACACTAGTAACTGGTTTTGGATTTTGGTTCTTAATGGCCGATTTTTGATTTTGGACACTAGTGAGCGATTTTGGATGTTGGACACTAATTGCCGATTTTTAAACACTTGTGCGCGATTTTTTTGGCAGACGCTAGTGGCCGATTTTGGATTTTCTGACACCAGTAGCCAATTTCGGTCAGTTATATTAGTCAATATGTTCTTGAATCATCTTTTTCTTGTGGAACAGGGTACTTACAAAGAGGTGGGATGCTGTGGTTTTTCTGTTTTGTATGTGAATACAAATCTCCTGGAAGACCACCTTGTTGCGTCATTATACAACCTCTAGTTCTTGTCAATGCTATAAAAATTGTGCCATATGCAGTCGTATACACTGCCTATTTTTCCCGTTTGCCCTAGATTCGTGGCAGATGTCCAACATTATTCATCATTCGGAGATCGATCTTTTTTCTTTTCCGTTGCTTTCTTACTAACTTTGATAACGTCGCAATTCTTGGAAGCCCGTATCAAATCCTATCGGGATATGAAGTTGTAACACAATCTTAAAGATGTGTATTTTCTGCCCTTCTAGCGCGTAACGGAATTGTAGGAACCATTCTCTTCGTATAAATATTATGGCAAAGAGGGGCGGTAGCGACGCTGGAAACCCAGAACGAGGCCATTATCTTTGCTCACTAACCCTGAAGACTGAGAAAACATTGCTAAAGGTAAAGCACACATCAGTAAATAAATAGTGAGGAGCAAACGTAAACAGAAATATTACTGTGGTTCGCTAGCCATCCCCATTTCTTTCCTGTTATTTTCATTCATATTCGACTGTCTTTGAATTCTCCGCAATTTTCCATTATCCACTTCCACAAATTATATCCATTTTCCTTGTTCGTGAACAACTCTAAATTCAGTTTCCATTCTTTATCCCTATTCCCCATAACTTATGCTTGATTCTTTGTTCTTTAGATTCTGTATCGTTGGATCGTATAAACTTCATTTAAAAAATACAGCTTTATATAGCTGTCAAATGTGAAAATGTGAAAAGTAGTTCATTCACCTAGGTCTGCCAAACACATGTTTGAAATAAATTTCTTATGTTAGCCAGAAAATACTACTTGAGACAAGATGACATTTTAAAAAAGTGTATTTTCTGTACATTCGTTCTCTCTACTTAGCGTCGTAATTTGCTGGTGAAACATTGTCTACGCTAAACAAATTACTTAGCGAATGTTGATAGACATAGATAGCTAAATCAACATGGCTAAAAAATAAATTCATCATACATTTTCTCGAACGGAAAAGGGAAACCTTCAACTCTAACAGAAACAGCTTCAGCTAACTCGTTTCCGACTGAATTATCATATAAAGGATCTTTTCGAATGTGTTGAGTTTTAATTTCGAATATACTTGACGAAAATTGCCTGTTTAATTCAAGCTACTTCATGCGCTTACTATAGATAGACAATTAAATGATATCATAAAAAATTTAAGTTCCGTGCATGTCAAATCAAATGAGTCTTGTCATCGTATTTACAGAAGTAAACAACTTGATAAGTGAGTGCTAACTAAAGTCACGCCACGTCAAGTTGCGTGACTCGCTTAATTATCATTGGTCCACCAATAAAGCGATGCGTCTTTTTGGTCGTTATTCGATGTGTTTGTGTTCTAAATGTCATTTGTGCAGGAAACGTGAAATCGCATCATGGACCCGCTTCCATTCCGAATATTTTTTCTTTTTACTGCAGCCAATCTTTGGTTCGAAGTGGCATTGGTAGGTAACAAATCTTGAAAACGTTAAAATTTGCATCGTTACGGAAAGCACTATTTCAAAACGGATGTAATTTGTTTTTGTGTTATCTGAACGCGCCCAGACACAAAACTATATTTTAATCGGTATCAGACAAGAACTCAGACTGGTAGGTCGTTCGATTTTCACGAGTTCCGTTTTAAAGGGCTCTCAAGATCACAGAATACACCGACGGCTTGATAATGGAAACACTTCAGGGTATGCAATCATGCTTAAAATGAAAATGATGTAAAGTTAACAATTATAACCTTGGTGTTGTGGAAATATTAACTTCAACCTCCTTCCTGCTTGCCAACGGGAGGGTACAAAGAAAAAATTCATTCTTATTGAAATCTTCTAATTGGAGATAGAATCCAACGATTACTATTGTGAATATGTGATAAAATTGAATGAACAAAATGGTCCAACTTTTCGCAACATTTGTTTAATAATACATCAATCGTAACTACGTACCGTCTGCATTCCTTAGGCAAAGGAATATTGCGGATCTGTGGATGGAAAAGAATACTTCTGTGATGAAGGTAAAGTCCATTAATTCTTACGTTTGGTGGGAGTCTTCTGTGACTTAGTTCTTTACACAACACTTCGGAAACGGCAAGAACGCTTGCTTAACTAAATATTCATACATTTTATGTCCTCGTAACATAATTAAAATTTACCCAAAACAAACTTTCATCTCAGTGATTCAGCCGTAATATTCAAAGTTTACACTCAAATCGAGGTCACAATTGTTACTTCCTACATTTAACTCCAGCAGTACATTGAAGAGGCCCGTTTGACTAGTCGACTTTTCTAATATTTTCATTTAATTTTTTTTCTTTGTTTACCTTTCTAAAAAATATCAATGTAGGCCAATGCTGTGGAGATTATGACTGCTGTAGCTACTTCAAGTATTACAAGACGTGGTGTAAGTGATCCTCTCTTAATTTTGTTCTTGTTTTGATTTTTGTTCTTCTTCTTCTTTTCTGTTTTGTGGGTCCGTGGGTAGGTGTGTGTTTTTGTGGCAAGAAAATCTGGTTTTATGAACTGAATTGGTAATGAAAATTGGCCTAGAGCTGGTTTTCTAGAGCTTTTGTTTTTCGAGTTCACCCTTTTTCCTTGGCTCTGACCAATTATCAGTTATGTAGCAATAGAGACAAATAACCATCCCTAAAAACCCCTAAATTTACTCTGAAAATGCTGAAATGTCTGTGGAATTGAGAACAATATTACTTGCTGACTTGCAGGGTTCTGGTTGGTTTGGGCTGTTATAAGTTTATTGGGGTGCTGCTGTGCATATCAACGCAGACGTTATTACGGATGGCATGGACACATCAGGAATTTTGTTTACCCATTGGCTCCAGCCAGAACAGAAAATCAACCACTGACTCCCTATGACGAATTTTTTTCTGATCCCAACTACAAACTGCCATCTTACGCTGAAGTAGAAGCCATGGGTAGTCTGGGACCTCCATCTGATGGGGAAGGTGCCCCTCCCCCTTATGTGGACCCACTTGCAAATGAGGATTTGGAAGATGATGCTGACAACATTGAAAATGGTGAAATATTTTTGGAAAGTAGGGTGGATGATGAGAGTTCCAGGCCCCTTATCCCCCCTTACACAGAAGTGCAGACATCAGAGAACTCATAATAATTATTCTCCTAAATTTCTTTTCTCAGCTGAGGGAAAAAAATATGGGTTCACAAAAATGTGAATGCACGGGCCATTTTTTCACACAAATCTTCAAGCTGGCTCAGATGCTGAGTTGACAAGTTATGAATACTAGTTGTATAGGTTTTGATAATACATACAAATTGAAACATATTCTCACATTGCTATCAAACATGAGCATCTGAAATATGAAGGAAATATCATTTTAAACTGTGTTCAGTAAGACTAATCAAATAGGTGTTCAGGGCATATTAGCAAACCAAACCACAAATTACTTATGCTCCTTTGTCCAGATTTCTCAAGTGGTATTATCTTGTTTTTATAAAAAAAAATCACATTCCAGACAAATTTCTAGTGTTCACAAAGAGTGGAATCAAGAATGTAGTAAGGACTGAACCTGGCAGGTGACATGCTTTCCCTACCAATGAGATAAATAATTCATAGATCCCTCTACCTGGATGAATCTCTTGGTTTATCCCTATAGGTCTCATTCAAATCTCCCTGTAATGTAAGCCTCAGCAATCAAACTTGAAATAGAGATATGATCATGATACAATTGAACTGTACATAAATGTAAATAATATTCTTTCACTTGTTCGGAATTGTTTGTGATGAAATATATGTCAAAAACAATATTGGCATATTATAGTGTATAGGATCAATGTATATCGTGGGTTTATGAACATTGTGAGGTAAACATTTTCATTTTACTTTCATGTTTTGGAAAGGCTAAACATGTAAAAAATTCATGCCTTGTAAGAATTGTTAGAGAAAATAACCATTCTTAATCAGCAAGTGATAGATTTCTCTAAAAGCCTCAGATCTGGCTGTGTTTATCATTATTCATACATTCAATTAATGTCTTGTTTGTGTGTTTCAGGTTTAAAAGAATACTATTAATGTTACTTAATAAGAAAGAGTTATTTTTAATATTCTTGCATGTGTATATGGTAACAACACTGATATAAATTTATGTACCAATTTTTCATGAATTATCATGATTAGTTCTGAGCTCTTAAATTAATGTACCACAATTTGTGTTCAATGTAGATTAAACTTACAAAGACCAAACAGAATTTTTATTCTTTGCTTTGACTTGTTCTGGCTCTAAGGTTTGGTATCCTGCTTTTGCATGCTGTCTGTTAGCTGACTCAGTTTTCAAGTTAGTCATAAAGTGACAACTCATAGGGTAATTTCAATTTTAGAGCTGGGGTTTCAGGAACTACTTGCACAGGCTGTTTTCCCCATTTCACAACACATCTAGTCTGATATTTCTCTTTCTTCCTCAATAATACTACTGGTGTTTCTGGGGCATGTAGGAGTGTTGAGGGTCTGTCACAATACTCTGCCACCTCATGAGATGTATGTGCAAAGAGAGGTGTCTCCGGTATAGTTGAACAGGCTTTCTGTTCTCCCATCTGATGTACTGCTAATGGGAAGTGTGGAGTCCTAGGAATTAATGGTTTGCCAAGCTGGTTTGCTTCAGAAAAGTTATTTATGTATAAAGCAGGTGTTTTAGAAATTTCAAACTTCTTTGCATCACTTAGTGTTATTTCTGATTTTCTAATTGCTTTAAATGTCTTTGGTGCTGAAAATTCTTTATCTGTATTGATGTTTTCAAGGCAATCTTCTATGTTGCTAAGCATTCCCTGATGAAAGCTGTCACCAAGGTTTTCTGGGAAGGTCATTCTATCTATAAAATTTAGAAATATGACAATCAACTACCTCTATCACAAATAAATAAATAAATAAATAAATGAAATAAAACACTCTCTGCAAGTGGAAATTCTGCAAGCAGGTTTGAGACCTATTATAGCTATTTCAATAGTCCTGTTAACATGACACTTGGTTTTGTGAGTTTTTGCATTCATTAATGAATTGATAGAAAATGAAATGAGGAAAACAGTACCAAGATACCAAACTTTAATTTTTCCCTAGGCCTGTGGTAGTAGAATTAAAAGAAATTTCAATTGGTATTATCAACTGAGGCGATAACATAAATTGGCAGCTGTAAAAGTTTCAAAGCTGATGTTTCAAGCATTAGCACTTCATCAGAGCAAATTGAGGAATTGTGGGTTTTTGAGTGGGTTTATATAAAGAAAATGGAGCTACACTATTGGTGGGATAATTGTAATGAGAAAAACAAAAATAAGTTGGTTGAATGAAAAGCATTTGATGATACCATAGGGATTAAAAGTGCCAATTTGAAAGAGAAAATTTTCCTTTAGAGTTTTGCAGCTTCCCAAACTGCCTAGTTGTAGGAAAAACCAGCTGCAAATTGGCAGCAAAAACTCTTGGTACAATCTTTCTAAGCTCAAACTAGAGAAACAATTTTCCTTTAACACTCTGCAGTTATACAATCTTACCAGCAATACTTCTTCTAGGTCTTTTCCTTTTCTTGATAGATTCTGTATGAACACGTGCTCTTCTCTTGGTTAAAGCAATATCAAGAGGACCAAACTGTTTTTTATTCATAGTATCTCCAGCCTTCTTCACTGTAATATGAAACTTTTCATCTTGAACATTTAACCTCTGCAAGCTGAAAAAAAGAATGGGTAAATGCTTAATAAATGTACAATATTAAGAACTTCTGAATCCCCCATTTCTTTGGATGTGGTCAGGATCACAAATGCAAAGGTAGATTTTTTTTTTAGTCTATAACAACTTTTCGGATCAGTTTTTTTTTATGTTTCTTTCCTTTCCATAATATAATTGTGAATTGTGATAACCTTTCTTAATTTATGTTTCAAGAAGTCTAACTTTGAGTATTCTATGTGCAGCTAGGGTTTCTATTGTCAGAAAACAGTTAATGTAGAAGAGCTTTTAAAGTTTAAAGATCATAATTTCTAGAAAGAAGTGATGGCTTATGCGCTGGATAAATTGTATCGTTTCGTTATTTCTGGATTTAGGAAAAAAATGAAGTACGTACTGTGTGAATAATGGCGTATCCTCCACGTTTATATCTCTACCTTGTAGTTACTCCTGAATAGTTTAAAAGCAATGGAAGCTTCATTCGTTTACACAGGCGTTAGTCTCGGAGATATTATTACAATTCTCCGCCGCTCTCTAGGCAGAATTCGCTCTAGCTACGTATACTTCGATGCCTTGAGTTTTTTTCGTTCATAGAGAAGGGAAGAATACATCCCTCTCTTGCAGCTGTATTTTTAACGGTCTAATGAAAACTTTAAACGGTCTGAAATTCCAAAATCAAGCTTAAAAAAATCAGCGGAACAATGATTTGTTTTTTCCCTTATCGCGTGTTGGTTTTCAATCTATTGTTCCTACCTCGAAAATGTGAAAAAACAACGTCTTAAGTTTTATAGAGTGATGTCGTTGTCTCTTAACTCAAGGAAAATTTCCTAAACTTGAAAGATTAGGAATTTCATAAACGTTTTCAGCATCGAAACCTATCGAGAGGAAAAGGGAATTCATTGATTAAAAAGTCTCCCACGTTTTAACCAGCCAGCCGCTAAAGGGTTTCCCGCCAATAGCCTGCTGATAATTTTATCATCGCGGACTCACCCAGAAAAGCATCATGGCTGCCGCGCCGACCTCCGAAGAAACAACACTACTTTCTTACCTTTCTCACTTCTCGAACGTCCTTGTAAAGGATGTGAGTCTACAAAAAGGAAAAGGTCTCTTTGCCAAGAAGGATTTCAGAGAAGGAGAGCTCATTTTTGAAGAAAAGCCGTTGATTTGTGGCCAGTTTTTGTGGAATTCTCTCTACAAGTACACAGCTTGCTCTCATTGTTTGAGGTCTTTGGAAACAGCTGAGCAGATGGCGCGTAGGTTATCGGGAAATGACAGCTTGGAACTTCCTTATGCATCCAAGTGCTGTGAAATTACGCGTATGGGACTTAAAATTATTAGCTGCCATAACTGTCAGGTATTACTCATTGCGCGCGTATTGCATTGTAAACTTACAAAACTTAAGTTTGGTTGAGGTAGACTAAGGAAAGGTATAAAACCCAATTTAACTGCATTTTCAGGCAAAAGGTAATCGGACACTGGCAGGTTCAAATCTTGATTTTAGATTAAGAGTGTTCAAGATGCATTTCGATTTATTTAAATTGAAGCGAGCTGGACAAAATGGAAGCACTCCTTCATATCCCTTAAATTTTCTTTACAGGTTAAATATTGCAGTGAAGAGTGTAGACAGCGTGCATGGGATCACTACCACAGGACTCTTTGTTTGGGACAAAATGAAGGAGATCCCAGCCATCCTCTAGAACAGCTACAAGAATCCTGGAGGTTTTTCATCATTTACTTTTTTCAATTTTTTATATCTATTCCTCACAAAACTTTCAAATCAATTTATCTTTCACTTAAATTGCATTCATTCTATGATTTTCAGTTTTAGTAACTGTTTAACTTGAGTGTCATTTTCCAATAGAAAAATGCATTATCCCCCAGAAACTGCAAGTGTGATGCTTATTGCACAAATGATTGCAACAGTATTGCAAGTAAGTATCGCTTTGAAATGAAACAGATAACTCTATCACCACAACTTCATGTTGCATAAAATCTTATAACCCCTAACACCCTATCATCAGTTTGTATTTTTTCATACTGTTCTTTATACATTTCCTAAGGTCTTTCGACCACACTTGGTTAGCTCCCATTGTAGAGCATCGCACTGCTGTACAGGAGGTCAAGCCTTCAAGCCCCAAACTGGACCAACACCCAGCCAGTCTTAAATAAAAAAAAAAAGTGTTCCCTTTGCTATGACATCCACAAATGAATAGACATTCTAGTCTTTCTGGATAAGGAGAATAATTACCCTTGACCTTGTCTCCTCCATCTTCTCTGTTCAGGTGAACCCTTTAACTCCCAAGATCTGATGGTTAATTCTCCTCTCTAACTTGCATACAATTCCTCCTAAATAAGTTATGAGAATTTGGTGTTAGATCAAGATAACAACTTCCTGATAAGCTTGAGTATTCTCATTACATGGTGGCTGGATAATGTATGGATGTTATAAGGAGAAATTACAAGTTAATCACTTCTGGAAGTTAAAGGGTGAAACAAACCCATGCATCCATGCACTTCTCACAAAGAGTGGGGAAGGCAGCTCCTAGTGTTGTGGTCTGGCCTGGTTGTTGTTTATACAGGCCCCTATTTAAACCAGCTTCAAGCAGAACCAGGTCAGCCTGTCTAAATATGGTAAATATAGCATACAAAGAATCCCTGCTTTAGATGGCAATCATTTCTTTTATTTTCATGACCTTAATGGTTAATTAAGGGGCGATATTGTAAGGAGACATTTGATGCTGGTCACCCCAAGGGTGAAAGGGTTAAACAAAAGCATGATAAGGTGTTTTCAATTTTTCAATTTAAATACATGAATATACAGTGCCTCCAGAGCCTCCAATTCTCAAAAAAAAATTTTTCTTTTTCTGTTTGTTTTGTCTTGTACTTTCTTTGCTTACTATTTATTTTTGCTTCAGGCACCAGATCCCAAGAAGATGCAGGATGTATTTGAATCTTTCTGCCACTCTGTGGTGAATAGAGGGCAACAAATTGTTCACAAATTACTAGGAGATCAGTTTAAGGTTTGTTGACAGCAGTGTCATTATTATGACCCTTTTAACCCCTAAGTGTGATTAGCACCTAATTTCTCTTTACAAAATCATCCCGAATCACACATTTAGGTGACAAGAATAAAGGAAATGATCCCCAACTAAAGAAGCTCTTGATTATTGAACAAATTCTCCTTGTCACCAGTATAGAGCACAATATGGAAAGTCCACATACTGATGTTAGGGTGTAAAGGGTTAATGAAACCATGTGGCTTTCCAAAAAAAATGAATACATAAAGAAACTTTTGTTTTCTTATCAGGTACAAAACACAGGCAATGTCATAATTTTACATCTACGTGTACATAGATAAAATGGATCAATGTCAGTATCTGAGCTACTGCGAACCTACCCCTCCCCCCCCCAACCCAACATTAACCCTAACTTGTTATCAGTTGACTGTTGTTGGGTGAAAGGGGGGGTAAGTGTACAGTTGCTCAGTTACTGACTTTGATCCAATAAAATGATGATACAGTTTCTGGAGTGTTCTTCACCTTTAAGAAATTTAATTCTATGCGGTAAAGGAGCTCATTGTTTCCTTGAAGGAGCAGTTAGACATCCTACGAGTGCAAATGTCCAATGCTCTGTATGATGAGAAATTAGAGGAGGTAAGGTGTACAAGGCACTCAAACATTGTGCAAAAGTAAGTAAGAACAATCAGAATTCAGAACTTCATGTATAATCTACATTGTAACTGCTAGTTTAAAATTTACTTAATTTAACGATATCATTTCACACAAACATACAAACATTTAATTTGACACTATAGGAGTTAACGCTTCAAAGCTTGTGGGCCATGTATGCTACTGGATTAAAACACATTACTTGAAGTATATACATATGAAATACTAAATACACAGCCACGAACAAAGAATTAATCCAGGACGTTAAAATATTAATTTAAATTTGTTAAAGTGCACATAATCACCATCTCTATATCGAGACGTGGAGGCAGTTCAATTGTTGAAGAGAGAGTTTTAAAAATACTCCTTGGTAATAAGTAGTCTGTTGATTTCCTTAAAATTTAGATTATTTGTTTTATCATTACATTGAATAAATTCCAGAGGGCTGACCCACAAAAGGTTAATAAGCCTCTCATTAATCAGCAATTATATCTCGGAATTGAAGCATACCATTGTACATACCATGTACCTGACATCTACGTTTAACATTATTAACGCAATGATAACATGGTTCCTATTTCACTGTTAGTGGTTTAAAATGGAGGGTTTCCTGTCACTGATGGCTCTTGTGGGAATCAACGGGCAAGGAATTGGAACAAGGCAAGTTATGAACAGAATTGTTTTATTCTGGCAAATCTGCCTCATCCCACTCAAATCTGCCCTAAATTGTGGATCCAAGTACTGTATACACACAAACCATGAAAACTGAGTCACCACTATTAACCGTACTATAACCATTTTTATTTCAGCTCCTTGAGTGTTTATGTTCACAATCTTGAAAACCTTGGAGATATAACTGAAGATGAACGGCAAGCCCTGGATATTTTTATAGATCAACTTTATGAAGAAATGTATAATGGTGAGAACATTTGACCAGATTTGTCATCTTTGTTATTGCATTATTTTGAAATATGTACTTTTTGCTTCCATATGTCCTTTTGCGCCTCAACAGTTTCTGGGCAGTTTCTCAACTGTGAAGGTTCTGGTTTGTATGCACTGCAAAGTTCATGTGAGTACATTCATTGTTTTTAGTCAAGAACAATTCAAACTTTGGTTTTATTCTATTTTTTTAGGTCTGATTTTTAAAACAAAGAACTTCTGAGTGCATCAGATTTTTTTCTATAGCCATGAAAAAACATTTATTTAGTATCATCGTTTCGATGCTCAGATAAGGCCTTAGGATGTATTTTGAAAACTAGAAGTTAAAACACGGAGAAAATGGAATAGTAGTGGAATCTTATATTAACTAGTCGATGGCTTGACACATGATACAAGCAGACATTTGACTCATTACACTTCTTTTTCCTTACCTCGTAACTTACAAAGTATCCGCGCGTACTACATGTACATGTTAAGCCATCGACAAATGTGTATTTAACGCTCCGTCACCAAAGCGAATATGAACATTATTTAGCTTCTGCACCGATGGTAAGCCACACGAAGCTTAAAAAACCTTCCGTGAATTCCTTTTTTTTTTATACTTTTTGGCAGGTAATCCAAGTTGTGAGCCTAACGCTGAAGTCACTTTCCCCCACAATAACTCAACATTGGTATTAAAGGCTCTCCATGATATTAAAGAGGGCGAGGTATTGCAAATGTTTGTCTTCTAAATAGAATTAGAAATATGGTAAGTTTTAAGCTCGGTAAAGAAATAGAGAAAGATGTTTTATCGTCTTGTCACGAGCGAGGGACATAGAAAAAAAAAAATCGACATCGCTGATCCTAGCGGTTTGCAGGACAGGTGTCATACATGAACTTCGTAAAGGGCCTTGCTCACCACAGAGTGTTTGTGGCTTAGTGGTTGAGCATCGGAGCGCGGAATCCGAACGTCTGAGGTTCGATTCCTCATGGGGACTCAGAATTTTTTCTTTGTCCCACGCTCGTGACAAGACGATGAAACATCTTTCTCTTTTTTTCTTCTTTTTGGTAAATGCCTGCATAATGGTGGACGTTTGCACATGTACCGTTGAACGCCTGTTTGGATTGCAATTTTTATGTGGAAACGACACGACTCGTTCAAAAAGATGCAAACTAGGGTAGAGAGACATTGATAGGGAATTCTCCTGCCTCATTACTTTACACCCTAACTTCAGCATGCATATTCTCCATACTGTTCTCTATACATTCCTAATGTGCTGACAAGGAGAATTTGTTTAACAATCAAGAGTTTCTTTAGTGAGTGATAATTTCCCTTATTCTCATGACCTTAATGTGTGATTCAGGGGCGATGTTGTCCGGAGAAATTAGATGCTAATCACTCTCAGAGTTAAAAAAAATAGTGTCTTCTCAACTAATCGTATGCGGTTAAAACTGTGTGTTCTTAATATAGTATTTTTAGAAATTGATGTTTTGTTCAAGAATTTAAGTTTACTACAGAGTCAGTTACGACTGAAAGACTTTGAAATCTTTGTTTGTCGACTGATTTGATTTCAGTTTAATTTTATGGATCATTTCAGGAAATAGTTATTTGTTATCTGAACTGTTGTGATCGAGAACGAAGCCGACACTCGAGACAGCGTTTACTAAGGTAATCGTAACGAGAAATTTGTTACATTTACGGTAACGTATAGTGTGATACGAAAAGGTCGCCAAGGATGAGGATCTGAAATCGCAGAATGGTCGCCTGAAATTTTATTGGCCGAGAAAAAGTAGAGAGATGAATAAATAAATTAATTATGGGGAGAGGCATTGTGGCCGAGTGGTTAGGGCACTTGACATGAAATGTAATGGTCCTGGGTTCAAGCTCTTTTCCCTGCTACTCACTAAATTTGTTCTAGGTTACATCGAGTTCAACTTCTTGGCTGCACTTTGTATACAGTCAACTGGTCTGCCTTTTGCCACCTAGGATCTGTGTTTATTTACAATGTTTGTTTCCAATTTGTTTGTACTAGCTCAAAAAAGCCCTCTATGGGGAGTGGTCAATTAATGTTGATTTTATCAATATTATAATAAGTACAAAGAAGATAATTTAAAGGGAAATTTGTGCAACCGCAACCGCAACCGCAACCGCAACCGCAACCGCAACCGCAACCGCTAATCAGAACACTCGTCTTTAAGACATGCAATAGGCTGGTGATCGTTCTTTGAGGTTCACACGAATCTCCCTGACGATCTCCTATGGCTTGATACTTGGACAATCCTTTTGCCGCGTGACTTGCTTCTTGGAACGCGAAGTGTGTTGCAAATTACATGTCTTTTGTGTATTTTTAAGGGAAAATTACCTGTTCAACTGTACTTGCCCTAAATGTGAATCACAATCAGGTGACCCGGATGTGACATCAAGTGAAGACGACGATGATTCTATGGAAGAAGACTCTTGACATTGACCTTGGCTTTTTCTTTCATCATGGGAAACAGAGAGTTTGTCAAGGATACTGCCAATGTTGTATTTCACCTGGAGATGCCCTATCTCGAGTATTACTCTCTGGGTTTATATGCAGAAAGTGGAGCTACGCTATTGGTGGGAATATGGTGATGAAAAAACAAGAATAAATAAGTTGAATGATAGTTGAACTGTTGGTTAGTGCGCTCACTAAGAGATGTGAAGGTGAAGTGCATCTGCAACTGAGTTATGACCCTTACAGGGTAAAAAACATTTAGCTCACGTATCATTTCTGCGTGTAAACTGCAGAAAGCATTTCTGGTTGGTCCTTTTCCTAAACTCTATGCAGCTTATTCTCTCATAATAGGCCATCACCTCTTGAATCACTCTCATTGCTTGTGGTTCTCTCGCTGAAATTCAATTGATTATCAAGAATTTTTGAGGGACTAATCTACATATATATATATATATATATATATATATATATATATTACGATAGGGGAAAAACAGAGAGACTATACTTTCATCCCTACAAGCCTGTTTCGTGATTACTCACTCATCAGGGGATTTTGATATATATACATGTATGTAAAGAGTAATTTTGACTTATATAAGACAGTGCTCAATACCCAGGAGTAGAGTGATGTATATATTGTGGGAGGAAAAAGACAAATAAACTACCAGTTCATCCCTACAGACCTGTTTCGTTGTTGCCCACTCATCAGGGGATTTAATGAGAATAGATCTTTACCATCGCATATATACAATATGATCCAATTTATGCAGTGCGGAATTTAACAGTTAGTTGTTGCGTAGGAGGGCTTTGTTTCTGTGGCGGCAGGAAGACACGAGTTCATTACGTTTGTTTAGTGTTGATAGTTCGGGTCGGTAGATGATTAAGAATTTTTTCTTTTAGGCAGAGATTACATCTTTTACTTGAGCTGTTGTACGGCGAGTGTGATGAGAGAATACGCCAGGAAATAAAGTGCTCGATGTTGTTGTCTTTGAGGGTCCAGATGTGCTTGCTGAGTTCGGTGGAGTTTTTGTGTTTAGCGTGGCGGAATGATGCGGTGTGGTTTCTGTATCTTGTTTTGAATTGTCACGTAAAGGGTAGTTGCAGCTTCTCAAAATCAAAGAAATAAAAGAACTACTGTTTGATTGAGGATCTCTCTTGTTGCCCTCTGCTTAATTACTACTCAAAATAGACAAAAAAGAGTCTTTGATGTTGTTTTTGTTCATGTCTCAAAGGGGTGTTACACTACATTTTAAACTGTTTTTTACCGAGAAAAAAGTCGCAGATGACATCGGTGACCAACATAAATTGTTCAATTCCTTTGAAACTTTTCTTGTAATAGAATTATACACTATCCTAGTGTATGATTCTATTCAAGGGCATTGAAGGAATTTAGCGGGAGATCACATGGGGAGAACGGAAGGCGATCAGTCGTCACCAAGAGGGTGTAAGGGAGGGGGACTAGAGAACTGAAAATTTCTGCCAATCGACTTTAACAAGAGTTGAGTACTGTAATTTCGCTTGATTATTTTGATGAGACGCGAATCTAATGAGATACTAATGTAGTTTATTGTGCTGTGATTTTCTTCTCCCGCCTAATTAGTAACTAAAATGAACCCCACTTATTTTAGATGCAATTTAATGATTTAAGAACATGCATTCTAGAAGGTGCAAATTTAATTTGTGTATGTCACTCCATTTTGAAAATAATTGAACGTTTCTCGGCCTCTTTAGTGAATATACTACACTAGTGCTCCTGATCGATTCTCCTCAAATGAACGCCAGAGTGATAGCTACTGAACCAACCAATTACAGTCCACAGGGAGAAAAACGGGCACGGCTGTGAATCTTATATAATGATCAGGGTTATAATGACCCGGCCAGCCATACTTTGAAGGCCATAAGGTTATCAATTGAAATTGTCATGAATTGATGAAGCACACTTTCGCTTTTATATAGAGTGATCATTTCTGAAAAATTCATGTGATAAAATTAACGAAGGGCTTGATTTAAGATCTGAGTGGGCATTTCGTTTTCTAGACAAGCTCTCATTTGATAAATCGCTCCCGTCGTTTGACGCAAAACGTGAAATATGCGTTCAATGACAAAAAGGGAATGTGAAATGTTTGACTGCTGATATAACGGGTCATAACCTTCTCGCTTCGTTATATAAATAATCAATCATGCCAGTCGATGTTCAATTATAAACAGACTATTTTTCTTACGACGAACAAGTGCACTATTATAAAATTTTAACTAAAACTAGCGTTATTTCAGGAAAATGCTGAAATTTTTAGGCTAAGACACGCAACAAACCCGTGCCTCTCATATACTACTTATACGCTTCTACAAATTGAGCTATATAGCCACATGTTAGGAACAGGCGGACTTGTCTTTTATACGTTTTTGTTTCCCGCAGACGAATCAGACCAAATACAGTATGGGTGAAATAAATCCTTTGTTGACCCGACGATCAGACAACAAGGGACTGACTGATTTTCACAGATCCACTGCAACTACTGCCACTACCGACTTTAAAACAGTGAGGAAAATTTCAGGCATCGACAAGAATTAACGATAAAGGCATAGCGCTGGGGATGGTACTGCGCTCTATAACGGGGTGCGTGGCCCAATTTAGTAAGTCTATCGCAAATCGCCAGTACATGAATAACATGCGACTGAGGGAGCCAATTGCAATCCCCAACCTGAATGGTGAGTGAGGTCTTAAATTTAGAAAACCATAAACCGTAACACAAGGCAGTAAATGCAGTAGACGATAACACTCAGCTGTTATTGTTGTTTGATCGGAAGGGGGGGGGAGGGGATCTTGAGTCAATTTTCGTAGGGTACGTGCCGCTGGCCCGGCCTCTCAGAGCTGCTATTCAAAACGACAGCATCAAAAACAGAGACGACTTTTTAACCGCGATTCTCTCCATTTTTAAATATCGTCTTTAATACCGGAATTTTCTTACCCAAAAAATCCCGGAAATGTACGACCCATTGTAATAACTGTTTTGCTCGTGTAACCCCAATCAATCGTGTTGAGAAAATACGACCCTATTCAGCGACACACCACCATTAACCTATTACTAAGAAGTACCCTCTCCCCCCGTGTTGAATTTTCTTGGTAGCGATTTTCACACTAACACACAGGGCGCTTTTAATAGTCTGGTATTCAGACTATTGGTCGACGTTTCTTAGGCCGGGCTAGAGGGATTACGCAATAAATGTAGTAGCAAAAAATAGGATAGGATAGGCCCTGAAGATGACTCATGGCACTAGTCTAAAATATTGACCCCTTAAAGGTGCCCTGTGCTGAATTATCGGCTTTGTGATGAGTGATCACTTTTGTTCTCTTTACCAACAGCATATCCACGAGACGCTAAAACGTATGTGAAGTATGGCACTACAAATCTTAAATTCAATTTGCACACTTCAGAGCACTCGAAGGTCACCTACGATACTGAAGTGTTGAAATCGCATTTCCGGTCATTGCTTATTTCGTTTCCGGAAGAGATCAACCTGTATGTTGTAACTTCTAACTCCATAATTTTACCCTTTTATCGGCAAGCAGATGGAATAGTCTCCTCAGCTCTGAATACTCAATCTCAAGAAGTGGCGCTTTCATTCGCATAATGTACGTGTCTTGTCTTGATTCTTGAATAAACCTGGAAGTCATCGCATTATTTGCAGTTTTTCGTTTTCTTCAACTTATAAAGTCGACACTCTTCATCTTATGGCCTAAATGAAAGTCGCAAATCTCTACCCCCCCCTCCCACTATGTGTTCTGGTATACCCCACCCCTGTCCCTTGGGGTTAAGCCTTTCTTCTTCAAAATTTATTGACGAAACTTAGTGTTCCCTCGGTAAATGGAGAACTACCTAAATTACTCGGTCAGGTCTTACATCCTCCTGTACTTCGTAATTTTGACAGAAGAGACGGTGATATTACGTCTGAGACATTAATAAACACTCGCTCATTAAAAAATTGCCTTTCCGGTTTCTTTCGATGCATTATTAATGGTCGATGTCAATGTATTTAGAGAATCAACCGACTGATAGCTAACAATTGCCCGTGGTTAAACGCCGACTGACACGAACTTTCTCCCCATTTTCTGCGGCTTTTTATGAAAAGAAGAATTAAAGTTGCAGGTTTTAAATATCCGATGTAATTAATGATTTCACCTGATGTGTTCAGTCAAAACTTCCCGATCAATTGTCTGCTCAAACGATTGAATACAAATAGCTTGATAACCACCCGTCGAGAACACTGACACTTTCGTAAGTGATATCGGATAATAGACAGGCCTTTTGAGGAAGCACTTTAGCCAAGCACTATCAAACCTCACGCCGTTCAAAATGAACGGAGCTTTTTGGAATAGCTGAAAGCTTAACGCTGAAAGTGTTGAAGAGCTTAGTGGGAAAATTGAATGTGAATTTCTCCAAGCCCTTCGTGTTGATATTTAATGCGGACGGGTTTTACGCAGATGATTGACATTGTCGCGCGCGGTTCATTAAAAGATTCTACTTGACACATTTCAAAACTAGAATCTGTCGTTTAGGCATGCAAAAACATGATGAAATGGTCATTTGAATAAAACCTTCAGTCTCTTGTCAATCAAATTAGGAAACGATTTTCTGTTTCCTTGTGTATGGAAAGTTCAAGAGTGTGGAAAATGACGTTTAATTCACACTTATACTTGAGTGGATGAAAACAAAAGTTTTAATAGTAACGGTCGAGTTCTTTATCGTTAATTGCTTCTCAATGAAGAGTGAGCGACCATCACGACGCCGCGCGTGTCCAAACAAACGGCGAGCGAAAAAGAAGCAGCTGTTCTCAATCGAACTTGGACTTTAGTCTCACAAAATAGCGGAATTTTCCTGTAACTTTTCATTGCTGAAGGATGTTTTTTTTTCGACAAACAGAAATATTTCTTGCTACATAATCATGTGTTAATTTCAACAAAAGTTGATGGAGGCCAAAAGGGCGAAAGTGAATGACGCGTCGCAATTTATGGTCTTCACGGCGAATCTCTTCCTGTTTTTATGGAAAACATCAAAAAAGCAGAGATTAGGGTCCTAAAGCTTTTGTATTGAATTGCCTTATTGGGGAAAGCAATATTTACTTAGAATGTTCTCAATTACTGCCTGGTTTCCTGTTACTCATAGCTTTCGAATTTAAAAAACGTATGCGTCAAAAACTTATTTTACAAAACAACTCGTTAATGTTTTTTTACAACTTTGTCGGAATCTTGTGACTTCGCCACCCATAGTTTTGTTATTGCTAATGAGCAGAAGGTCCAATGTAAATAAATAGCCTTGGAATAATGAGAGCACACGAAATTAAGACAACTTTACGATCTATTGCTGCGCTATCAGCAGAGCCATGAGTTATTTCTCCTTCTGTAATTCCCATCAAGTTAACATGCATATGTTACCATTTTGCTTATTTCTATGGTAGGAATTTGAGTTCAACCGGGGGCCGCTGATAAAATACCAGATAAAAGAACCGAGAGCTTAAAGTGAATTTCCATATATACAACGATTCATTGCAAAAGTAATTGCTTTTGAATCTTAAACACCAAAGATTCACGGGGTTTCACCTTAAAAGTAATTTTCTCGTCTTCTATTGCCCCTGAATTGATTGCAAGCCCATTAAACAACGCTTAGCCAAAAGTCCTCTCTTTAAATTGGTGTAATTAGATCACGGGAAAAGCTCGCGGTTTCGATCGATACCAAAATAATTACTCAGATGACTTCGTTTTTGAGTAAAACTTTGTAGAAACCACGTAAAATTGCAGTGAACAACAAAGCACGTTTGTACAAATAGTGAGTTTTCTTTTACTCTGTGGATCACGAGATATGATGCTAAAATTCTGTCCAATATGAAACCCATTAAACGGGCAGTTGTTTTAAAATCAATTTACCACATGTCCTCAACGATGCCAAACGTTTTTTCTCAATTGATGTTTTTTTAACTCCTGAGACTGTACATGCGTTTTGATAGCCGGACAGTCCACGTCAGCAAGCCGACAAGATGCCCTGAATTTTACAAAATCAAGCATATGGAAAACACTGTAGACTAACAATTAAGCCTCTAGCGCGAGAAAGCTATGTTTAAAAACATCGGAATTTGATTGACACAAAAATTATCCAAATTAGCGATTAAACATCTTTGTAAATGGCCTCTGGCTAAAGGGTGTCTTCCAACCAATCACCGCATGCTCTGAGAAACGCGCTCCCTAGGCTAACCAATAGAAGGAGCGCTACGGAGCACATATGACGCCTGTATTTGTCAGCAAATTTTACTAATTGCCTTTATCGTCAATACAATCGCGTTATTGATTTTATATGATATGTCATGAGCTCTCAGGCGGCAAGCTTTCATGCTCTGTTTTGTCCTAAAGCTGTCAGATAAGTTCAGCCTAAGAGCACGGTTGCGACAATTGCTTCAATCTGCTGCGCGTACGAATCGTTCCAGCTACAGCACGTTTAACCAGATGCTTCTCCACTAAACCTCAGCCAAAGAAGCATACATCATGGCCTCAGTTGGAACATGGCATCGCCACATTTACAACCATCCTCCAAAGCAACCAACACCGCATTTTGTTGCCAACATTCTCGGTCTTCAATCAGGCCACCAACCGAATAACGTATCAAGCGGATTCTCTCAGCAAGAACAAACGCTTGTTAAGCGCAACCTTGTCGTAAAAGAGAGAGAAGCGAGATCAAAACAAAGCGAACAAGGTTATGATTCAACTTGTGATGTTGATGAGAAGGAACTTGAACAACCAAAGTCCGAATTAAAAGGTAAGTGACTTCATGCGGTGTTAACGAGCTCGGAAGTTGGTGAAGCAGTGTATTGACAAGGATCAGTTTTCTAAATGTTCTCGGTTTTCTGTTAAAAGCAGATTCCTCTTCAGTCCATTCCAAGGGGGTAAAGAGACTGAAAGGCAAATCTGGAAAGGAAAAAATCAAGAAGAAAAAAGCTAGGACCACATTCACTGGTCGGCAAATTTTCGAGCTCGAAAAGCAATTTAAAGAGAAGAAATACTTGACTGCTGCGGAGCGAAGCGACATGGCCGCTCTGCTAAACGTCACCGAAACACAAGTCAAAATTTGGTTTCAGAACAGACGAACAAAATGGAAAAAGCAGGAAAAAAATTGTGTAACAACAGTTGACACGGAGAAAGATTCGCAAAGCGAGCATTCCGACAACAAAGACAGTACGTATGGAAATGTCTTAGACAACGACGACAAAACCTCGGATTTAGATGAGAGCAGCTAAAGATTAGCTGACGAGAAGATGTAAGAAGGATGAAACTCTATTTAGAAGATCAGAAGGTGTAAAAAATCTCTTATTTATTTTATTCGCGTTTACTCGCCACTTTTAAATTACCAATATGTACAGTTCAGAAGCAACCGTTTTAACAGTTCATATTCTTGAACTCAGCGGATCAAGACAATTATCTCAATACAAAGGTTTCGCGCCTACATAAATTAAGAGACCGATTAAGGAAATCCTGAACGCTAAAAAAGCTATTAGAACCGTAGCAAGCCTGGACCTGCTCAGCTACAAAAGACTCAGAACGTTTAGTGAGCTCAAATCGCCATTTAGCGAGTAAATTTTACAAATCATACGAAGGTTAATTCATTAACTTCTGCAGGAAGCAATTGACCAGCGAGTAACTCATTTGTGTGATAATTGAACACCCTCGCTCAATACGGTGTTTATTTCAGGAAAACGTCAGCATTTATTCGGATCTATGAATGCCAAACGATTTCTTAACTTTACTGATTCTTTAATTGGTCTCCACGCGTTCTGTTGTTCTCTGGCTCAGGCTGTGGTATTTGCAATTCTATCAACGCGCAGTGGGTTTCTTGCTGCCAAGTCATTTATAACAAACCACTCGTCGATTTAAGTTGAAGAACCGTTTCAAGCTGAAGCGAAAACGGTTAAAGTGCTCTAGACATTTCAATTAAGCCAAAGCAGTACACAGCTCAATTGTCAAATTTTTACGACTCCGTTTTACTGAAACTACGACTATAAATTGTATTTTATTAGGCTGACAACTATAGACCCCCTGCCAGTGGAACGACTCAAACTATGGACTTTTCATTGTTACAAAGGGCTATTGGTAACATTGAAGTCTTAATTAACAACCCCTCCACTCAAAGACATTTTATCAACAAATCCATGCCTAATTCCAGTTCTCACAACTTGTTTTCTTTACGAGACGTTTGGAAATGTCGCATTACTTGGCATGGGAATTAGGGAAAATGATTCAAATGCGTCATTCATATAGTGAAGTCTGCGTTCAATTTTGCGGTAAATAAAGATGAATTGGAAATTGCGTGTTCTCTTGTTCACGGCTGGTCGCCTGATAATTAGATTGAGCGATATCAAAAGTTGCATACTATCTAAATTAGAACTTTGTGCACCATCCATAAACAGTAGATATAGTTAATTGAAAACAAATGGTTTCCGTCGAGCAGCTTAAAAATTCAGCGAAGTTGGCGAAGTTTTAAACGTTTTATCGATGATGTTTTGCAATACCTTCTAATTTATAATTGTACACCTTTTTTAATTTATCTTTTCGCACAGATAAATGTATTGGTGATCTTTCGAGGAGTGTTTTTTAAGCATAGAAGTCATAACCTTAAATTTTTTTCCCTTTTCCAAACGTTCTGCTTTTTATTTCGCTTCAATTTCCTTCCGCGACACCGCTGAAGCTAAGATTTTTTACCCAACTTTTCTGCCGACAATCTGTGTCATTGTTTTCTGATCGATTGGTGAAGGACAATTAAGAAAGTCTTACTCGCGTCCCACGAGGTACCGCAAAATCTAAGGAAACCAGACATCTTTTGTGTTCAAAGATCACCGTACCCTCTGAAGTTCCGAACGGGAAACCAATCCGTTTCCCATATTTGCACTTTCGAAACTATCAATAAGGGTAATGCATCGTTTTGGATCAAACTGTCATTAGCCTATTTTTGAACCATTTCGTTATCTTTTGAAACAAATACTTAAAGTGAGAGGTGTCTACAGCTTAATGCTGTTTCGAGATATTCTCGCTTTCAATGTGTAATTACTTGTAGGGCATTTTAATGGCTTGCCACAAAAAGGAATTGAAATAGACTAGTTTTTATGTACTTTCGGCGTTGAGCGATTTCATGCTCAACTTCTTCGGACTTCTCAAAATGTTGAAAACAAATTCTGTGAAAAATTAAGGCAACAGATAAACGAAAGAGTTGATCTAAAATCTGAACAGATTCCGCACACAGAATAGGAATGACTTTTTGTGTCAAAGCAGTAGTTGGTTTCTGGGAAGTTTATTTCGATATGAAAGGACATTTGAAAAAGTGAAATTTATCGGCATGGCTTGAAACAGGGACAGAATCGAAAACGCCGCCCGTTGCGAAAACGTGACTGGTTGTAACATATCTAAAACCGAAATATTATCTGGTTCTCTTCAGCTAAAAGAGCTCGCTGATTGTTCTTCTCTGTCATACTTGAGTCGCACGCACTTGGAGTCGTTAACAACTAATGCACTGGATAAACAACCTTGACTGTTCGTTGACAAAATTGAGCAAACACCTTTTAGTAACCATGCCAGACAGGAGACAGTCAATTGCTTCATCTGATAGTTTGTAGTCTTGAGTGGATTTAGTTCAATTTAGTTTGAATGAATTAAAATAATGTCCGGAGAGAAAACACAATTTATTTCATCACAGATCCACGCTTTAACATAAAGCCAAACTTTCAAGTAGAAAAGCGCGCTCTACGTATCAAACTCTAAACCTCAAGTTGTAACTGCCTTTGGACTATTAAGGCAAAATGGATTGTTTGCCAAGGGATATCAAGCTACAAAGTGTGACAGCAGTTTATTCTGTTGGGAATTGGCAGTGCTTACCCTTTCATAACTCAATCATAAATTTTCGTTTAACTCTCTTGAACGCAATTGCCTTATTCTGGAGGTCTTGGGAGCCATGTGCAATCGATTAATAAAGTATATAATTTAGGGTATCCAGTAGAGCTATTGTATTAAGCATTTAGCGGCATCTTTGATTTGGCTTTACTTCAAACAGAGCGTTGATCGGATTGATAAACACAAGTGTGAAACGAAACACGCGCGCTGTACCGGATGTATTCGGGTTAAAATCACTTAATGTTTATCTTCACGAGAGAAATTCATCAATACACCGCCTCCGGCGTACAGCGTCGATTGAAGGAAGCTCACATACTCGAGTGCTTGAACTGCGCTGGGTGAGAACAATTGCGCATTTTTATCTAAGATTAAAGGTTAGCTGAAGATCACGACCAAGATAGTAGTAATTAAAAATTTGACAATCGGATTAAGCTCCAATGAAAAGTCATAACAAATAATCTTTTCCATTTATTGACTCAGTCGGTTTTGCTGATAAGGTTGTAATTGACTCCGAGTAGCATCGATTTCTACTTAATCGCTCCACTGCAATTAACTCCAACCACTTAAGAAAATCGTTTCGTTTTTCCAAAGAGTGTTTTTTTCCCAGTGTGAGTTAAATCAATCAGTTCCAAAATGTGCGAGCATTTTCGTCGATTCGACGCGATCACATTAACTAAACCAACTCGATGGAATTGCAGACAATCAGTAATTCAGTGCGCAATTAAAACTACGCATTCTGAACATACATTTGCGATCGACAGCCCGTTAAGATTAGGGGTTGATCTTGAAAAGATAACCAAAAACGACGATTGATATGTCATCTAAATGGAAGCCTTTCGGAAATGAAACAGAGACTACGAAACTTTAATTTGCCATGTGCAAAGACAATTTTAAACATGTCATATTGGTGGTACCAAATGGTTTTATGAAAAATCTCTCCAAACAATTAACGTTGTTTGTCAATTTTGCTTCTTACTTCTCAAGTCGGCCTTTTTAGCCCGGCTTTCACTCGCGGGAGCGATCATAAAGAAATTTCTCCTTATGATTTCAGTTAATTTTCAAGCAAAAAATGTATATATCATCTAAGGTTGCTGTTTAATTCAGCTGCAAATTCTCACAGCTAAGATAATGAGAAATGGATAACAGTGAGGAGAATTGACAGAGCGCTTTTCGATTGAGCGTGATAAAACCAAATTAGTCCCAACAGCGAAAAAATATCTTAAAAAGCCATTGAGAATTCAAAGTAAAACCAACCACTCAAACCGCCTGAAGCGCGGGAAAACGCGGACGACCAAGTCGTGATTGGTTTTTGTTTTGCCTCTGATTGGTTGAGAGAATGGCGCCAGTTTCCTGGACCAATCATCGACTGAAGTAAGCAAAAACAAAGCAATCCCGGATATTAAAAATTGCTCAATTTAGATCTTGCTTTAGCCCCTAAACTCCCAGAAGTGATTAACAAGTAACTTCTCTCTATAACATCCATACATTATCCAGCAAACAGGTAATGAGAATACTCAAACTTATCAGGTAGAAGTTGTTATCTTGATTTAACATCAAATCCTCATAATCAACTAGCAAAATAATGTGTCGCAGCTAGAGGGGAGAATTAATAAATAGATCTTGGGAGGTAAAGGGCTAAGAGATGACCACCTGAGGAAAAGAGGTTGTATTTTTACCCAGTCTGCAATGACTAAATAGCCAGCCTCGAAGGGCCTATGTTGAAGATAAAACCTGCTAAAAAAAATTACTGCTGGCCGCTAAAGTTCTTTTTCTATGAATACGCCAGAGGATGTTGAATAAAGAAGATTACTTAGTTTGTCCGAGACATCCTTTCATAAACCTCAAATGTTAGTTCCTTATCTACACCTCTCTCTGAGAGAGGCGTCTATGATTTCAGTTTTTCTGGCCTGTTCACAAAGCTTCTCAACGAAATAACGGGGGCGAATAAAAATATCGAAGTTGAAGGAAGAGAAAAGCCCTCCCAGCGCATTCGCTTCAATCGCTTTACTCAAACAAACGTAGAAACAAAAAACGCTGTGGATAGACTCGATATTTTTTGATCAAGTGATGAAATAAAAACAATTAAAAAGTCCAAGTGATTGCTGATTACATTTTACTTTATTCAGCAGAAAAAAACGAAAAAGGTTTTTAAGTCAAGGAACATAGAGAAAACCGCTGATCTGACAACAAGACTGAAATACAAACTGCCCACGTCAATTTCGTCATATTTTCTGAGGTGTACTTTCTGAGGTGCCCTTTAACAGACTTTGTTAACTGTTTCAGCCCGTTATAAGCAATTTTAGCTAATGGTATTTTTCACCGTTAATCAGAAATATATGAAGGCTGCAAGTACCTGATCGAAAAAGAAAAAATTCTAAGATCCCTGCCTGATATTTAGTGGAAAGATGCTAGAAGCACAAGTGAAAGGGAAAGAGATAGTTGTATGTCCAGTCAGCGAAAGAGGACATAATCCTCTGATTCCCCGGTTAAAACAAAGTTCGATTTTGCGTAAGAACAGCCCTAGTCTCGTCAGTACGAAACCGCTTCAGTGTAAGGCATGGACACGAAATGAAAGAGCTAAATCAAATGAAAAGTGTAAGGATGAAGACATCCAAAAAGTGCCAGCGTATCCCCACAAGGAGACAGAGCATACCACACATCTTTATATTTGCAAACGACGTCTTTCCCAACCGTTGCACCATTTGCTTGTTTCGTTCGTATTTCAGGCTTAACTCCCCTTCATGTACAATTTCGTAATTCGCTCCATCAGGAACTCATTGGAAAACCTGAATAGAGAGGAAAGTACAAAGTATCGTCATTTAGAGCACAGAGAGGTCAGTTAGAGAAGTTGCAAAGGAAGGTTGTCTTTTTTTTTTCACTCCTATGAAACTTTTTACGAGCCACCAAATTACTCAAAACCAAGGACCTACGAAATTTTGAAAATCCAAACACAGAGTCTATTGGCGTGTTTTTTTGTCGTATTAGGATAGCGCAGTTTGTACGAAAATTACCAGTTGAAGTATGATTAGTATAGGTAATAACATGATTTCTCTTGTAACTTGGTGCTAAGCACGAGTAAATTTTTCAAAGACAACAAAATTGCACGAACCCGTAGGGCAAGTGCAATTTGTAGTCTCTGAAAAATTTACATGTGCTTATTACACCAAATTGCAAGAGAAATCATGTCATTACTTGTTAATAACGTACATGAAAAAACTTCTCAGAAAGTCAAGACAGACGAAATTTGAAAGCGTGCGTGCGTTAACGAATATTGACGGAAGCAAAGAAGATGAAAGAAGGGGAGGCTTAGGAAGTGGGATGGGGAGGGTTGATATGAGATGTCCCTCCCTTAGGGAGTGGGACAAGGGGCTGATGTTGGATGTCCCTCCCTTAAGGAGTGGGGTAGGGGAATTGGTATGAGATGTCCCTCCTATCGCTCGGTTGAAACGTCCCCAGTATCGCGGAGTCATTATCAAAAATCATTTAACGAGGAGTAAATGTTTCTTAGTGAAAAGATTGGCAGCCCATCCCAAATTTGTAGAGCTGAGAAAGATTAGAGACGAAAGGAGCGGGAGAAGGAGGGTTAAGAAAAAGCAGGGGGGAGGGGTGGGGATTCCCCTACCCCTCCCCTTCAATTCTAATAGTAACTCTAATAGGGCAGCTTAGGCACTATCCCTAATAAAAGAGGGCACTACTGCATATCTTTAAGATGTTGACGCGTAGTTAGGGAATCTTCCATGATATTTTTTTCTTCTCAAACTGTTACATCTAAGCTTGCGTTTAATCGATCGTTAAAGTTACGAATCAAGGATTCAAGCGCATGTAAAAAAAGATAAGTCCGCACAGAAAACTCATACCATTTAAAGACGGTTGGAAAATACTGGTTGGCGTAAGTCATAAGTAGCATTGGGTTATTTGAAATCCATAATTCGTCCAAGTTGTTCGCCATTCCCACAACCATCAGCTTTGCACAGCGTTCAGTCGGCATTTTTCCCTCGTACTCTCGGTAGTTCGGCGTGTTTTTAAATTCCTGCAAGTCATAGAAAACTCATCAGTACCCGTAAATTAAATTTGTGAATGAGTGAGGCAAGAAAAAATCAAACCGAGATTCGATCAATTGAACAGCATATATTCTTCAGACAATTGGAAAGATTATGAAATGTTGCAAGGGAAGGACTGAGAAAGCCAGCGTCTAGAACATAGGCTTCTCGTACATGGTTAATTTCCCGGGTTGTGCAAACTTTGTCCATGCAAGATTACTTCAAAAAACCCTTTTCACTGAATTAGCAAAAATCTTCAAAATGAATTTTTTTTTCCCTAGGAGAATGAAGGTCAGTCCTTCTCTCAGCCCCCATAATTGTTTTACAGGCCCGTCACTTCTACTGATTATAGCCAGTTTGTTCTGTATTGCTCGGTGTTTGGATCTAACGCGATTTTAAGGCAATAATTTACACTTTTAGTTAATTTCATAGTCTTCCCTGATCAGTTGTCTCTTTTCTCAAGAAAGAGAAGTTGCTCAATTGCATCATTTGTTGTTATTGTTTTCTAAATGTGATTTAAAATATACACATTTATTGAATTAGTTGTAAATCAAAGCTTTGTTTTCTTACAACTTTGACGTCCTCTGTGAAAGCATGACGACCAATGTTTGATTTCACTGGCCCCGGAAGAACAGTCTGCACACGGATGTTGTGTTCTGTCAACTCGATCCGCGCGCTGTCAAAGTAGCCCTAATAGAGAATTATTCATTTATCATCGATAAGCCCCTACAAACTTGGATCAAGCAAAAAACTAACAGTACATGTGATGTCCCTCAAAGGAAAACAATCGTAACTTGATGAGCTTGAAATTAAAAAAAAGCTGAATGGTTTCATAGGGTGCAACTACCTCTAGTTTTATCGTTCTTTGTGCAAAGTTTTTAAAACTTCTGTACTTGGAGTTCAGAGAGAACTTAATTTTGGTATAATTTAAGACGGCTCTGAACTTTCAATACAGATAATATAAAAACTTTACAAAAAAGACTATTCGTGTAACGGTTATTGTAATTCGATGACTGGAAAAAGCGAATAATCGAGCCCGTTTTTAAAATACGAGCACACAGAGCCAACCAAATGGGTTCTTCCTTAAGACTATTGGATTTCTATAGGTAAGGTAATAAGGAAAACGGCGCAGAAGGAAAGTGTGAAGAGGTATTAAGGCTCCTTAAAATCCATTACGTAGACTACGGGCAGTCCTTACTTAAGCCGTGGAGAGTCCGTCGTCTTAGTAGAAAAATTGGCGAAAACGAAAAAATAATTTTAGCGCGCCGCGCCTCACTCCCAGAGTTCCACGCGGCGTGGACAGACAACCTACGCAAAGATAACAGTCCTGATACAGTTAAGGGTCTATGCACTGCTCAAAGAAAAGTTGCTTCATACCTGCAACGCATGTTTACTGGCACAATATGTAGCTCCATAAGGCCATCCTGTAAAAAATCAGTCATGTAGGTAAAAAAGCAGTCACATATGAATCAGGGTCAATCAGAGCATGCGCATCTCCATAACCACCAGAGTAATTGTTGGTTCCAAATATTAACGATTTACAAGTCAAAGTTTTACAGGACTGTAATTAATAAGGGTGAGAACAACGAATAAAGATCTCTCGTCCCCGAAAGACGACCGATCCTCAACAACAACTTCCGCAGTGGCGATTCCAAAGTTCTAGTTTGTACGCACGTGATTCTTAAGCTCAAACAAACAAACGTGACGTCACACAAAACTCAATAACGCCTTGAGCAGCCTTATTCGCAAACTCATTAATAATCTTCTAGGTTACAAAAAAAGAAGGCATAGAAGAAAGTACTTACCGCGGCTTAGATATCATGTATCAAGAGAGAAAACACACGTGAACGATTAAGTATTGTATCAATTCTTAGAAGTAGTCACTTCCAATATGGATTTGATAAAATCTATTAATTTTTCGTTTCAATTCGTCCTGTAATGGAAATAACTTGAGGTAAAATTACGATAAAAAATATCAGCGTTACCAAACTTTCCAAGAACACTGCTGACTATTACAATTTGTCCGTAATGGCGTGCTATCATGTGTGGAAGAACTGCTTTGGTCAGGGAGATCGTACCAATAAGATTTGAATCTAAGAGAGCTTTGTCCACTTCTAAAGGAGTTTTCTTCACCAAAGATCTTTGCGATCGGGCACCATTGTTTACTAAAATATCAACCTAAATGAAAATAAAGACAAAGAGTAGAGAAAACTTTTGGTCCAATTTTCATTTTTGTTAAGTTTGTGAGTATGCCTTACGTCTATTGAGAAATCGATGACTACCCTCTAAAAATAGATCGTTACCAATTTTAAACCTGTAATGCTGTCATGCTGAAAATTATCAATTCTAAAACGCAAGACGCCGAAGTTCTCGCAGGGTGGCAAAATAGCTGCCTATTTCAATTTCACACCAGCATTGGGCTCCTCAAGGCATAATCAAAGTTACAACTGAATGCGAATAATGTCCAGAGAATCGTGGCCTGAGAGAAGAACTGCATTGCATGGTGCGCGTCTCTCCGCCCACGGGAAGATTTGAGGCGAATCGAGAAGAAGTTATCCGGTGTCCGGCACAAATAATGAAGTCTCATTCTTTCCCGTGAGCGAAGAAACACGCTTGCCAAAGTGCTGATTATGAGGGCCTGCTGACAGTCTATGTAGATCATGCGAACAGAGTAATAGAAGACGTAAAAAGCGTGAAACTCTCGTTTAATAAATTTCTGGTTATTAGTAAAAAGTGTAGTCAACTAATTGCTCCATCCTTAGTTAGGGAAGTGAGGGCAAGAAATTAAAATTGAAGCATTGCATATGTTTTTTTTTTCTATCTTTAAATACGCCCTCGTCTTGAGATATGCCTCTTATTCAACTCTGCAGAAGTAGATTAATAATTTTTATTCTTATACACAATTCAACTCTCGCTTTACCTTCCCAAAATGCTTGAGGACTTCTTGAGTAAGTTTTTCATGTGTGTCAAATTCTGTCAAATCCAATGGAAGTACAAGAATATCTTGATCTTTTTTAAACGAGGAATCAAGACCATTGGCAATGGCTGAAAAATCATGGAAGAAAATTGATAGTGACAAAAGCAAGAAACTGGATCCTGGCTCAGAAATGTTTTGCAAAGAGGACTTAAAAACTTTCCTCTTTCCTCTAAGATCACTCCATTAAATGAACCAAAAATCATTAACCTATACTGAGGTCTTAATAGGATCAACCCTCTCCACTCCCAAACACATTTGTTTGGTCACCGCCCCCGCCCCCCCTCCCGGCCATTTCAATACTGGTCTGCAAGGTGACGTAAACACATTGGTAATTAATACACTGGAGGGAGGAGAGGGTTAAAAGGAACAACAAATAATTTTCTCTGGAAGAAGTGTCCAAACTAATTATGTCTGGGAGTAGACCGATTATCGTTATTCATGGCCTAGCCGCTAACAACGTTTTTTTTCGAGGAACGCGAAGTATTTTTAAAACTGCCTGCAAGAAAACATTTCTGGTGGCCATGCGAATCTCATGTGCTCCATGGCGGGCGGCGTTACGGCTCACTGCCACGAATGCTGTCACGCAATCTTGCTTCACATTTTAATTGCAAGTACAAAGTCCTCGAAAGGAAAACAAGCAGATTTCTAAATTTCATAGTAACTAGAAGAAAAAATTAAATCCCTCAATAAATTGAAAGAATCCGTAAATAAGGGTGACTTACTGCTACAAGAATCGACTTATAACTAATGCTATCAATTGGTTATATAATTATGCACCGTAGCTCATTCAAATTTTAAGCGTCGAGTCAACCAAATTTGATGAGCACAGCATAATTTTTTCAACTTTTTCCGCCTTACCTGCACACTTTTCTTTGACTCGCTCTAACTCTGCCTTTCTCCGTGCTGACAGGACCAGTTTACAGCCGTATTTGGCCAGTTCATAGGCTAAATATTCACCAATCCCGCTAGAAGCCCCTGTGATCCAAACTACTTTTCCACGAAGTGCGATGCCGGGATCTCGACTGATCTTTTCGTATATCATCAAAGTAAAATCGCCATCTTGGTATTTGAAAAATAAGTAACATACAAATGGAACGACTAAGGCAGCAATCAACAATTTGCGTCCCATTGTTTCGGTGGCACAATGGACGGTTGACTGTCCGAGCGACTTACTCCCAAAGGTTTCGTTGGCGATACATGATGACACTTACACAGAACAATTACCAAAGGAGCAGGGGTGGGGTGGGGAATAAGAGTCTCTTTTCAAAAGTTAGCCTCCGATCCGACAGAATATGGAGAAGACGATTTTAAACTTTATCCTCAAGTCATCTCGCCAGTGTCCTCGAGAAAAAAAAATCACTCTTACTGCAGTCTAATTCCAAGGGATCAATCTTTACTTACCGCTTGGGCGGGATGGGGGAGGGGGAGGGGGAGGGGGAGGGGGAATTTTTGGGATCACATGGTTTTCGTAGCGAGGGAGACTATAGAAATTTGACTGCCATTGTGGGGGGGACCATGATAATATCACAGAGTCTTGGGTGGGGAGGGAGGGGGGTAAAACAGTAGATTTTATCGTGACACATCCGAAATTCTCCACCCCCCTCCCCCCTGCAGAAAAATCATGACTGGCACCTAAATTGAGTTAAAATGCTATAGTTCAGGACGGATTCAAATAAACCTTAAGGAACACATCGAAACACGGAGATGAAAAATTCAAATACGCAAATTAGAAGCAATCTCAGGCGTCTTCGTAAATCAACATTTAGGCTGATGATCTGATGATGGCAAAACACAAGAAAACTGTATTTCAACCATCTTCCACGAAAGCTTTTACATCGTCCACTGCACAAGCTATTCTGCCAGAACACGCCAGGTTCGTTCCCTGAGCCGCAAACTTTTGGTTAGCACCGCAGATCCCGAAGTATTAGACAAAATACTTTATATCTTATCAGTTGCTAAGTAACTCATTACTTGCATTGTATGTGTTTATTATGCCTGTTCCTCACACTCAGTAAGTAAAACAAAGTGCGCAATACTAGCGAAGGAGTAAATAAACACGAGGTTGGCCTGGGTCGGATCGCATAATGAACACGACACAACCCGTACCTCCCTCCCACCCTTGTTTCTCGCTCAGCCGCGACCATCACGCTTTTTACTATTTCGCGCGGATTTCACACCGTTTTACTCGCTGAACGCCTGCAACAGACTGGTGTTTGTTGCCACCACCCTGTGCGACGTCGAAAAAGGTTTTGGTTTTCACCAGAGCATTATTGTGAATGCTCCTCTTAGCAAGGGAAACTCAGGCTTAAAGAGCGAGATCATGCGTATGCGTGTTACCGCAAGCACACCAAACTAAGATTGTGTTAAGACGCAACTATAGAAATAACGAAATATATGATGACTCATCCATGTAGTTTTGCAATATGAATAAAACTCAAATTGATGCTAAAGACTAAGCTTTAAATAATAAATGTTTCGACTAAAATGTGTCCACCATTTGTCCGAGCTATTTAAACTTCTTTTCAGTGAATCGGCATCGAAATTAAGTTTTCTTCATTCAAAGATGAATACACGTCTTTACATTTCCGAAGTTTGTATTCCATGTCAACCCAAGCATGGGGTGGTCCGTTTGTGGTGAAACATCAAACATCGAGCGCAAGCGCGAGAAAGAGAAAGAAAGTCACCAAAATAAAAAAGCTCGCAGGGCCGGCTTATGAGGTGAAAATAGCGGGAATGTAGGCCCAAAGCGCACCATTGGAATCGCCCATACCTTCACGATCGGGCCCGCTCTTTTCCAAACAAGACATATAAACGAAGAATTGTGCACGCCAAGTTCCCCATAGACCTTTTGTTTATGATATCTGAGTTTATGCCAGTATGTTTAAGTTTGTTCTTAAAAGTTTGGTATCTCAACCTCAAGGTCATTATGAAAGAGGATTTAATTAAACAGAATAAGTAATAAGAAACAAAAGGTACATCAGACAACTGAAATCCACCGTTATTTGGCGTGGACCGTATCGTCATAACATCAAAAAAACTGGGTACTAGAAAGTCTCTTGTCACTAGTTCCTTTTCCACGTTTTCTTTATTTCCTCCATCAAAAAGTTCTTGGAGAACCTGAAAATAAAAGATATTAAAAAAGGGTTTTAATTGACAGAGCTGTGCGCAGGGATAAGAATAGCTGAATAATGGGATTCGTTTTTTAAAGAGCACTCCGTCTTTCCGCGCAAATCTGCGACACGTATCAACAGAGATAGGTGACAAAAATCTTAGCGCCGAGCCTTGCCTTCAAGAGTTCACGCGGTATTGGGTTTCTTTTTCTGTCACGTTCTATTGATTTCTGCGGATTGCATTGGGGTAAGAGGAAATAAGGATCGGCTGTAAGCTCTCTGTATGTTAAGAGAAATTTTTGAGATTGGTGTGGAAACCAATCTGGGATTACGTTGGTTTTGCTTCACTACGCTCTGTGATTGGACCAGAAAACTCGTGCCACTCCCCAAAAAATCAGATTCAATCATCTCTTCCAATTTTTCATTCTCTTACGATTTTCCTCTTTTTTTTTTCTTTTTTTTTTTTCATTTTTCTTTTACTTTGTTTGCGTGTATTTTCATTTGTTTTGCGCTCCAAGATATTTATAAAATTTTGCGCATGCGGCCTAAGGATCGCTGTGACACCACCCTCCCCGCCCCTGATGGTTCAAATGTAACGAATAAGCCCGTAGGCAAATACATACCATCTGTAAAAGTTTGGAAAGTACTCGCTGATGTAAGTAATAACTAGCGACGGGTTCTCAGAGATCCAAGTTTCATCCAAGTTGTTCGCCATTCCAACCGCCATTAGCCTTGCACAGCGTTCAGTCGACATTCCCAACTTGTTAGCGATGTCCAAGAAATCCTGAGAATCTTTAAATTCCTGCCGGAAAAGAGAAAGCTTTCAGTAAATTGTATGTGTCTTTACTCCAATTTTGTTCACTAATCGTAAGATTACAGGCCGAATTGGACTTCACACAGTCTTATTACCAATGATTATTGTGCCTCGCCTTCCACCTTCTTGCACCATAGGCTAGCAAGGTAGTCCCACGATGCGTAGCAGGTATTTAGCGCAGACGCGCGTTACACGCGCACGAGAGATCAAACCACTTGACTTTCACACGCGTGCCGCTTGAACGCGGACAAACTCACTCCTTTGTAGTGAAACACATTAACTCAACAGTATACCAAGGATTATTGAATTCTTTTTCAATTAAAGTCTCATTTTCTTACAACTTTGACGTCCTCTGTAAAAGCGTGAAGAGAAACTTCTGACTTCACTGGTCCTGGAAGAACAGTCTGCACATGGACGTTGTGTTCTGCCAACTCGATACGCGCACTGTCAAAGTAGCCCTAATAAAGTATCAATAATTAATATCAAAACTGATAACACATTATTTAGGCAGAAAAACATTTGTCAAATACTACTAAAATAGTATTTCGTGGCTGGTATGATGCGGTATTTCGTCTTGGCAAAGAAACTTGAAGTATGTTTTGGAATCAAAAGCAATGTGCCGAAAATAACGCTCAAAATCCGCCAAAATTTGAGTCAATTTTAACTAATTTAGACGGAAATTGCTGTGCTATTAGTGCCACGATCTATTCACTACCTCGGGATAACTATACTACATTGAATAATCAATGAATAGGTATATGCCTGTTTATGTACACATGCTAACACAGAAATGTGGGATGAATTCCCTTTTCGCTCAACATTTTATTCCTTTTTCTTCCCCTCGACATTTGTGTCCCATTCATTCGGGCTTATCTGCGAGTCTACTGTGCACAGTGCTTTCAAAGTATGGGTATAAACAGTCTTGATCAAGGAACTTAAATTCTGCGCAAACTACAGTTATTTCGTACCTGTAGTGCATGTTTGCTGGCACAATAAGTAGACACAAATGGGTGCCCTGCAAAAAAAGACAAATTTCCACCTGATTGAGTGTCATATTTAATTAAGAACTGTGTCATTCGCGTTGTGATCGGTGAAAAATCCCCGCACCATCCTCTCAAACAAGAACGTGATAAACTTAAACCGTTCAACTGTTGGTCATTCGCCCGTTCTCACCGTTGGGGCTCTTTTCTCTTTCTAATTTTTTTCTTCAGATAGGCTCCTTCATAAGTTCTCTGCGCTCCGTATAGCGACACTGAAATTCCTTTGATTTGCTTTAATAAGCGTTCATCAAAGACTGCGGTTTGGACCTCTTATTTCAGTGTGCAAAGATTTCTATCAAGATTTGTTGTTTCGCAAGCTACTTTAAATCATAATCTTATTTGACAAGACATACAGTACTACCAGTATTTCCTAAATGATAATGATTCAACATGTTATCGAAACACTTTCAGTCCCTATTGCCATAGATTTGAATCTTCTCGTAAAAGGGGATTCGAGCAAACAGAAAACAAAACACTTCCCATAAAAAGCGGATCCTCGCACGAAAGTTTTCTCTTGCGTCATGGTCTGTTCCACAACCTGCGATAGTAAACAGCGCTATGGTGGCGGAGGAGTGAAAAAGCGGAAGAGGTTTGGGTCGGGTCGCGTAATAAACCCTTAACCCGATTCGACCCAAGCCTCCTTCGGTTTTCTCACTCCTTCATTACTATCGCGCCTTTCGCTATTTAGCGCTATTTTCCCAACCTGCATTGCGCCGTCAAGAAGAATACCATCAAGATTTTATACATTGATATCAGAAAATTATAATTACAATGGAGACTTTTTACCTTACCGAACTTTCCCAAGATACTGCTCACTATAACAACTTGTCCATTATGGCGATCAATCATGTGTGGAAGGACTGCTTTAGTCAAGGAGATTGTTCCAATGAGATTTAAATCTAAGAGTGCTCTGTCAACCTCCAAAGGAGTATTCTTCACCAAAGAATTTTGACTCCTGCCGCCATTGTTCACTAAAATGTCAATCTAATGTAAAATATGGCTATTGTTGAGGATTCTTTATCATTTATCCAGGTTTAATGAGTTCGCTTGTTATTTATCGCAGTAGCGAGAGGGGGAGGGGGTTGGAACAGTTAGAAGATTTTGGTTGTGTCAGGATTAAAATATCTGATGCCCCCACACCCCCCCCCCCCCCCCTTGTTGGTAGTTATTTGGCAGTCAATTTTATATAGTCCCCCTTTATACACCGCTGGCGACGACTGATCCCCCCCCCATCTATTCCCTCTTAAAACCGTGTGATCCCCCCAAAAATCCTCCGCCCCGATCCCCACCCCCCCCCACTTGTAAGTTTTCTAATCGTGTCACACGACCAGATACCATAGCTAAAGCTGGAGAATATCTGGTGATATTCCCACTTTTCAACCTTGCGTCGTCTCAGTTTAAAAGTTGTGGAAAATCGATAGAACGTTTCGATGTTGTTCAGAAGGCAAAGTTGTTTGTTCATGAGGCCGCGCCATTGAACTTCGATGATTGTAAGTGATCTCGTTTGATTGATTCTTAATTAACCCTTTAACTCCCAAAAGTGATTCACATGTAACTTCTCCCTTCAATTTCCATCCACTATCCAGGAAACTGGTAATGAGAGTATTCAAATGTATCAGATAGAAGTTGTTATCTCGATCTAACACCAAATTCTTGCAACTTATTGACAAGGAAATGTCAAGCAGCTAGAGGGGAGAATTAACAATCAGATCTTGGGAGTTCAAGGGTTAATTACTTACAGCGATTTATTCATCAAAAGAGCACAAAAGTGTTGCCTAATGTTATCTTATTTCCCCGTTTTCGTCACGCTCACTCCACTTCAAATAAATCTGGTGTCCTTCTACAGTTTCGAAAACTGACTTGTTAGTGTTAGTTCAAGAATGATTCAAACTCTCACTTTACCTTCCCAAAATGCTTGAGAACATCTTGTGTCAGGTTCTCGTGTGTGTCATATTTCAGCAAATCCAAAGGAAGAACAAGAATTTCTTGATCTTTTTTAAATGACGAATCCAGACCAGTGGCAATGTCTGCAAAACAAAGAAGAAAGAAATAAAATGACATCTAAAAGATGAAGTTTAAGAATCTAGTACATAACTGAGAATTTTACGTGGAGAGTACCATTTCCCCAAACCCTGATTACAGTATCGTTTCAATCGCCGCTGACGATTTCTTAGGCTCGATTTCCGCCTCTCTCTCGCATTCGGTCTTTGCTCCTCTCCGAGAGGATTCAGCGGAAAAAGCAGAGCGCGGAGTGCTGAGTGTAGAAAATGAGGAGTGTGGAAAATGAGGAGTGTAAAAATATATAAAAGAAAAAGATATGAAAATATATACATGTATGAAGCTTGTATTAAAGAATAATATTTAAAGATACGCAAGTAATAAGAAAAAGAGGAGTCTGGAAAATGAGGAGTCTGGAAAATGATTTAATTTAAGGTTATATCAAATTGTTAGAATTGTTCCGGCTTAATGTTTGAGCCGGAAATAAATTGCTCTTTCAGGGTCCGCAAAGGGGCTATATAATTACTGGAAGGAGTTATGCTGGGTCTTCTAGCTTATAACTTTTGTACTTTTAAATATTTTCTTTAATACAAGCTTTATACATAAATATATTTTAATATATTTTTCTTTTATATTATGTTTTTTTTATATTTTTACAGTCCGCGTTTTCCATACTCCTCATTTTCTACACTGTGCACTGTGCGTTTTCCATGGAACCCTCCAAGAGGGGAGGAGCGCGGTCTTATTTAACGCGGCAACGGCTGGTAATCGAGCCTAGCGATTACCACGCTCGCATGAGCATTGATCGTAATAAGCTGTAATAGTAAGGTTAGTTTCCAGAAAATCGCTGTGATCACTTCCAAAAACAAACAGCAACACATCAGGAAAAATGGAAGAGGCATGTTTGAGTCATTCCCTTAAGACTTTCACTCTCACTGCCTTGATCTCTCGCCGAACCTGACTTGTCTGCCTATTTGAGCCTATGCGTGCTCCCTGATACGTTGTATGCTTCACAGCTTCAGTAACTTTGCATAACATTGAGTCACGGCTCAAGGTATCTTGTCACGCAGTCTTAGGGACTGTTTACATAGAGGTGGGGGGACCCCAGGTAGGTGAGGTAACCTACCTAGCCGTGTTCGAAAAATGAAACGCGTTTACATGCAATCTTACAACCCCAGGGTGCTGGGGTGAGGTTTCTTGAGGTTGTTGTTGCGCTTGCAATTAAGGAGTTTGAGCAGAGGCGAAGATTAATTCTCGGACACATATGTATTTATTCATGAAAGCGTCACGCGTTGTGTTACGCGGTGTTCGGTTTCGCGAGGAACCGTTGACTTAATACGTTGTACAGAATAGTTTGGGAAACCAAATATGGTAGATTTACAACGCTAAATATTCCGAAATGTGAACATTTTACACTCCTTGTATGTCCGTTGCGGTTTCTGGCGATTTCTGCCATGAGACGGCTAGGAAATGAACAAAGTTTTAAAACATGCATATTTCGCTTTTGAGCTTTTTGCCATGAACTCGACCCCGGCTAAGCGGGTCACCCCACCTTGACACGTTTACATGGTAAATTGTCACCCCGGCTGACAGGGTTACCCTACCTGGCAGAACGGGCAACCCGCCTCGGCTGGTCACCCCACCTATCATGTAAACGTGACCAAAATAAAATAAGGAATTGTATGGACAGGCGAGTTACCTCACCTACCTGGGGTCCCCCACCTCCATGTAAACAGGCCCTTAATTTGGTCCCTGAGAAACTAAACATTTCCTTCTGAAGTTGTAGTAAGACGTGCACAAAAAAATCAAAACTAGATCGGCGACAAATTTTTTAAATTTTAAATGAAGGTCACTGCATGAGTGAATCGATGCTTTTAATCATACTTATTCAAATTTGACTCGGCAATACAACCAACCTGATTAAATTCTCTAGCTTCGCACTGGTTTGTATCCTTTTTTCGCCTTACCTGCGCACTTTTGCTTGATCTTGTGTAACTTTTCCTTCCTCCTTGCAGATAGTACTAATTTACAGCCGTGTTTCGCCAATTCATACGCTAAATATTCACCAATCCCGCTGGAAGCGCCTGTAATCCAAACTACTTTGCCCTGCAGTGCAACGCTGGGATCTTTCCCGATCTTTTCGTAAATCATCAAAGTGAAATCGCCGTCTTGGTATTTGAAAAATAAGTAAGAAACAAGTGGAACGACTAAGGCGGCAATCAACAATTTTCGTCCCATTATTTCGGTGGCACAATGGACGGTTGACTGTCCGAGCGACTTACTCCCAAAGGTTTCGTTGGCGATACATGATGACACTTACACAGCACAGTTACCGAAGGAGCAGGGGTGGGGTGGGGAACAAGAGTCTCTTTTTTTTTTTTTTTTTTTTTTTTTTTTTTTTTTTTTTCAAAAGGTAGCCTCCAATCCGACAGAATATAGGGAAGACCATTTTAAACTTTATCCTCAAATTATCTCGCCAGTGTTTTTGAACAAAAAAAAAAACTCTTACTGGAGTCTAATTCTAAAGGAACAATCTTTAGTTACCGCTTATGCGGGATGGGGGGAGGGGGAGGTGGAGTTTTTGAGATCACATGGTTTTCGTAGCGAGAGAGACTGTAGAAAATTGACTGCCATTAGGGGGGGACCATGATAATATCACAGACCCTTGGGTGGGGAGGGAGGGGGGTAGAACAGTAAATTTTATCGTGACACGGCCGAAATTCTCCACCCCCCCTCCCCCCTGCAGAAAAATCATGACTGGCACCTAAATTGAGTTAAAATGCTATAGTTCAGGACGGATTCAAATGAGCCTTAAGGAACACATCGAAACACGGAGATGAAAAATGCAAATACGCAAATTAGAAGCATTCTCAGGCGTCTTCGTAAATCAACGTTTAGGCTGATGATCTGATGATGGCAAAACACAAGAAAACTGCATTTCAACCATCTTCCACGAAAGCTTTTACATCTTCCACTGCACAAGCTATTCTGCCAGAACACGCCAGGTTCGTTCCCTAAGCCGCAAATCTTTTGGTTAGCACCGCAGATCCCAAAGTATTAGACAAAATACTTCATATCTTATCAGTTGCTAAGAAACTCATTACTTGCATTGTAGTGATTTTATGTGTGTTTATTATGCCTGTTCCTCACACTCAGTAAGTAAAACGAAGTGCGCAATACTAACGAAGAAGTAAAAAACACGAGGTTGGCCTGGGTCGGATCGCATAATGAACCCGACATAACCCGTACCTCTCTCCCTCACTCCCTCCCTCCCTCATTTCTCGCTCAGCCGCGACCATCACGCTTTTTACTATTTCGCGCGAATTTCACACCGTTTCACTTGCTGAACGCCTAGAGCAGACAGGTATTTGTCACCACCACCCTGTCCGACGTCGAAAAAGGTTTTGGTTTTCACCAGAGCATTATTGCGAATGCTCTCCTTCACAAGGGAAACTCAGGCTTAAAGAGCGAGATTATGCATGTGCGTGTTACCACAGGTACACCAAACTAAGATTGTGTAAAGACGCAACTATAGAAATAACAAAATATATGATGACTCATCCATGTAGATTTTCAACATAAATAAAACTCAAATGAATGCCTAAGACAAAGCTTAAAATAATAAATGTTTCGACTAAAATGTGTCCACCATTCGTCCGAGCTATTTAAACTTCTTTTCAGTGAATCGGCATCGAAATTAAGTTTTCTTTATTCAAAGATGAATATATGTCTTTACATTTCCGTAGTTTGTATTCCATGTCAACCCAAGCGTGGGATGGTCCGCTTGTAATGAAACACCAAACATCGAGCGAAAGCGCGAGAAAGAGAAAGAAAGTCAACAAAATAAAAAAGCTCATGCCCATGGACAAATAGTGGATTGAGCGCTATATAAATATTTTAGTATTATTATTATTATTATTATTATTAAATAGCGGGAATTTAGGCCCAAAGCGCACCATTGGAATCGCCCATACCTTTACAATAGGGCCCGCTCTTTTCCAAACAAGACATATAAACGAAGAATTGTGTACGCCAAGTTCCCCATAGACCTTTTGTTTATGATATCTGAGTTTATGCCAGTATGTTTAAGTTTGTTCTTAAAAGTTTGGTATCTCAACCTCAAGGTCATTATGAAAGAGGATTTAATTAAACAGAATTACTAATAAGAAAAAAAAGGTACATCAACTGAAATCCACCTTTATTTGGCATGGACCGTATCGTCATAACATCAAAAAAACTGGGTACCAGAAAGTCTCTTGTCACTAGTTCCTTTTCCACGTTTTCTTTATTTCCTCCATCAAAAAGTTCTTGGAGAACCTGAAAATAAAAGATATTAAAAAAGGGTTTTAATTGACAGAGCTGTGCGCAGGGATAAGAATAGCTGAATAATGGGATTCGTTTTTTAAAGAGCACTCCGTCTTTCCGCGCAAATCTGCGACACGTACCAACAGAGATAGGTGACAAAAATCTCAGCGCCGAGCCTTGCCTTCAAGAGTTCACGCGGTATTGGGTTTCTTTTTCTGTCACGTTCTATTGATTTCTGCGGATTGCATTGGGGTAAGAGGAAATAAGGATCGGCTGTAAGCTCTCTGTATGCTAAGAGAAATTTTTGAGATTGGTGTGGAAACCAATCTGGGATTACGTTGGTTTTGCTTCACTACGCTCTGTGATTGGACCAGAAAACTCGTGCTACTCCCCAAAAAATCAGATTCAATCATCTCTTCTAATTTTTCATTCTCTTACGATTTTCCTCTTTTTTTTTTTTTTTTTTTCATTTTTTTTTTACTTTGTTTGCGGGTATTTTCATTTGTTTTGCGCTCCAAGATATTTATAAAATTTGGCGCATGCGGCCTAAGGATCGCTGTGACACCACCCTCCCCGCCCCTGATGGTTCAAATGTAACGAATAAGCCCGTAGGCAAATACATACCATCTGTAAAAGTTTGGAAAGTACTCGCTGATGTAAGTAATAACTAGCAACGGGTTCTCAGAGATCCAAGTTTCATCCAAGTTGTTCGCCATTCCAACCGCCATTAGCCTTGCACAGCGTTCAGTCGACATTCCCAACTTGTTAGCGATGTCCAAGAAATCCTGAGAATCTTTAAATTCCTGCCGGAAAAGAGAAAGCTTTCAGTAAATTGTATGTGTCTTTACTCCAATTTTGTTCACTAATCGTAAGATTACAGGCCGAATTGGACTTCACACAGCCTTATTACCAATGATTATTGTGCCTCGCCTTCCACCTTCCTGCACCATAGGCTAGCAAGGTAGTCCCACGATGCGTAGCAGGTATTTAGCGCAGACGCGCGTTACACGCGCACGAGAGATCAAACCACTTGACTTTCACACGCGTGCCGCTTGAACGCGGCCAAGCTCACACCTTTGTAGTGAAACACATTAACTCAACAGTATACCAAGGATTATTGAATTCTTTTTCAATCAAAGTCTCATTTTTCTTACAACTTTGACGTCCTCTGTAAAAGCGTGAAGAGAAACTTCTGACTTCACTGGTCCTGGAAGAACAGTCTGCACATGGACGTTGTGTTCTGCCAACTCGATACGCGCACTGTCAAAGTAGCCCTAATAAAGCATCAATAAATAATATCAAAAGTGATAACACATTATTTAGACAGAAAAACATTTGTCAAATACTACTAAAATAGTAGTTCGTGGCTGGTATAATGCGGTATTTCGTCTTGGCAAAGAAACTTATTAAGTATGTTTTGGAATCAAGAGCAATGTGTCAAAAATAACGCTCAAAATCCGCCAAAATTTGAGTCAATTTTAACTAATTTAGACGGAAATTGCTGTGCTATCAGTGTCACGATCTATTCACTACCTCGGGATAACTCTGAATAATTAACGAATAGATATATGCATGTTTATGTACACATGCTAACACAGAAATGTGGGATGAATCCCCTTTTCGCTCAACATTTTACTCCTTTTTCTTCCCCTCGACATTTGTGTCCCATTCATTCGGGCTTGTCTGCGAGTCTACTATGCACAGTGCTTTCAAAGTATGGGTATAAACAGTCTTGATCAAGGAACTTAAATTCTGCGCAAACTACAGTTATTTCGTACCTGTAGTGCATGTTTGCTGGCACAATAAGTAGACATAAATGGGTGCCCTGCAAAAAAAGACAAATTTCCACTTGATTGAGTGTCGTATTTAATTTAGAACTGTATCATCCGTGTTGTGATCGGTGAAAAATCCCCGCACCATCATCTCAAACAAGAACGTGATAAACTTAAACCGTTCAGCTGTTGGTCATTCGCCCGTTCCCACCGTTGGGGCTCTTTTCTTTTTCTTATTTATTTCTTCAAATAGGCTCCTTCATAAGTTCTCCGCGCTCCGTATAGCGACACTGAAATTCCTTTGATTTGCTTTAATAAGCGTTCATCAGAGACTGCGGTTTGGACCTCTTGTTTCAGTATGCAAAGATTTCTATCAAGATTTTTTGTTTCGCAAGCTACTTTAAATCATAATCTTATTTGACAAGACATACAGTACTACCAGTATTTCCTAAATGATAATGATTCAACATGTTATCGAAACACTTTCAGTCCCTATTGCCATAGATTTGAATCTTCTCGTAAAAGGGGATTCGAGCAAACAGAAAACAAAACACTTCCCATAAAAAGCGGATCCTCGCACGAAAGTTTTCTCTTGCGTCATAGTCTGTTCCACAACCTGCGATAGTAAACAGCGCTATGGTGACGGAGGAGTGAAAAAGTGGAAGAGGTTTGGCTCGGGTCGCGTAATAAACCCTTAACCCGATTCGACCCAAGCCTCCTTCGGTTTTTTCACTCCTTCATTACTATCGCGCCTTTCGCTATTTCGCGCTATTTTCCCAACCTGCATTGCGCCGTCAAGAAGAATACCATCAAGATTTTATACATTGATATCAGAAAATTATAATTACAATGGAGACTTTTTACCTTACCGAACTTTCCCAAGATACTGCTCACTATAACAACTTGTCCATCATGGCGATCAATCATGTGTGGAAGAACTGCTTTAGTCAAGGAGATTGTTCCAATGAGATTTAAATCTAAGAGTGCTCTGTCAACCTCCAAAGAAGTATTCTTCACCAAAGATCTCTGACTCCTGCCACCATTGTTCACTAAAATGTCAATCTAATGCAAAATATGGCTATTGTTGAGGATTCTTTATCATTCATCCAGGTTTAATGAGTTTGCTTGTTATTTATCGCAGTAGCGAGAGGGGGAGGGGGAGGGGGAGGGGAGGGGGGGTTGGAACAGTTAGAAGATTTTGGTTGTGTCAGGATAAAAATACCTGATGCCCCTTAAGACTGTAATATTCGTATGACCCCCCGCAACCCCCCCCCCGCCCTTATTGGTAGTTATTTGGCAGTCGATTTTATATAGTCCCCCTTTATACACCGCTGGCGACGACTAATCCCTCCCCCTCTGTTCCCTCTTAAAACCGTGTGATCCCCCAAAAATCCTCCGCCCTGATCCCCCCCCCCCCGACTTGTAAGTTTTCTAATCGTGTCACACGACCAGATACCATAGCTAAAGCTGGAGAATATCTGGTGATATTCCCACTTTCCAACCTTGCGTCGTCTCAGTTTAAAAGTTGTGGAAAATCGAAGGAACGTTTTGATGTTGTTCAGAAGGCAAAGTTGTCTGTTCATGAGATCGCGCCATTGAACTTCGATGATTGTAGGTGATCTCGTTTGATTGATTCTTAATTAATTAACCCTTTAACTCCCAGAAGTGATTCACATGTAACTTCTCCCTTCAATTTCAATCCACCATCCAGGAAACTGGTAATGAGAGTATTCAAATGTATCAGATAGAGGTTGTTATCTCGATCTAACACCAAATTCTTGCAACTTATTGACAAGGAAATGTCAAGCAGCTAGAGGGGAGAATTAACAATCAGATCTTGGGAGTTCAAGGGTTAATTACTTACAGCGATTTATTCATCAAAAGAGCACAAAAGTGTTGCCTAATGTTATCTTATTTCCCCGTTTTCGTCACGCTCACTCCACTTCAAATAAATCTGGTGTCCTTCTACAGTTTCGAAAACTGACTTGTTAGTGTTAGTTCAAGAATGATTCAAACTCTCACTTTACCTTCCCAAAATGCTTGAGAACATCTTGTGTCAGGTTCTCGTGTGTGTCATATTTCAGCAAATCCAAAGGAAGAACAAGAATTTCTTGATCTTTTTTAAATGACGAATCCAGACCAGTGGCAATGTCTGCAAAACAAAGAAGAAAGAAATAAAGAAATGACATCTAAAAGATGAAGTTTAAGAATTTAGTACATAACTGAGAATTTTATGTGGAGAGTACCAGTTCCCCAAAACCTGATTACTACAGTATCGTTTCAATCGCCGCTGACGATTTCTTAGGCTCGATTTCCGCCGCTCTCTAGCATTCGGTCTTTGCTCCTCTCCGAGAGGGTTCAGTGGAAAAAGCAGAGTGCGGAGTGCTGAGTGTAGAAAATGAGGAGTGTGGAAAATGCGGAGTGTAAAAATATATAAAAGAAAAAGAAATGAAAATATATACATGTATGAAGCTTGTATTAAAGAATAATATTTAAAGATGCGCAAGTAATAAGAAAAAGAGGAGTATGGAAAATGATTTAATTTAAGGTTATATCAAATTGTTAGAATTGTTCCGGCTTAATGTTTGAGCCGGAAATAAATTGCTCTTTCAGGGTCCGCAAAGGGGTTATATAATTACTGGAAGGAGTTATGCCGGGTCTTATACCTTATTACTTGTGTACCTTTAAATATTTTCTTTTATAAAAGCTTTATGCATGAATATATTTCAATATATTTTTCTTTCATATTATGTTTTTTATATATTGTTACAGTCCGCGTTTTCCACACTCCGCATTCTCCACACTCCTCATTTTCTACACTCCGCACTGTGCGTTTTCCATCGAACCCTCCAAGAGGGGAGGAGCGCGGTCTTATTTAACCCGGCAACGGCTGGTAATCGAGCCTAGCGATTACCACGCTCGCATGAGCAATGATCGTAATAAGCTGTAATAGTAAGGTTAGTTTCCAGAAAATCGCTGTGATCACTTCCAACAACAAACAGCTACACAACAGGAAAAATGGAAGAAGTATGTTTACGTCATTCCCTTAAGACTTTCACTCTCACTGCCTTGATCTCTCGCCGAACTCGACTTGTCTGCCTATTTGAGCCTACGCTCAAATGCTTTGAGCCCGTGTTCCCTGATGCGTTGTGTGCTTCACAGCTTCAGTAACTTTGAATCACATTGAGTCACGGCTCAAGGTATCCTGTCACGCAATCTTAATTTGGTCCCTGAGAAACTAAACATTTCCTTCTGAAGTTGAAGTAAAACGTGCACTAGAAAAATCAAAACTAGATCGGCGACAAATATTTTTAGATTTAAAATGAAGGTCACTGCATGAGTGAATCTATGCTTTTAATCATACTTATTTAAATTAATCTTTTGGGCTTTAGATTTCAAGTGTAGATTTAGATTTAGATTTCACTTTTGATGTAAACAAACCCCGAAAGTTCGGACATTGAGTCGAGCTCGCAGCACATGTGTTCAAACTTCGGCTTTGAAATTTTTCTGAAATAACTTCCCAATTTCAAGAAACGTTTCTTCGGTCAAAATTGGCATCTTTCTTTTATCATTTATTTGATCGTGTGTCAAGCAAGTTGTCGTTTCGCTGCCGTTGAAGCAGATGCGAAGAGGCTAGTTCCGCGTACAGTGATGTATCTGATCAGGTATTTTTTTAGCAACGCTTCTTGTAACATTCTTCGCATCTGCTTCAACGGCAGCGAAATGACAACATGCGGTAAAATTTCCGCACAGCCCCATACTACATTATGCATTCAGTTCTTGAATAGAGAAAACAATGACAAAAACAATACATTTCCATTGGGAAAACAGATTTGTTTTGCAATAGTATGGGGCTGTACGGAAACTTTACCTAATTCTCTAGCTTCGCACAGGTTTATATCCTTTTTTCGCCTTACCTGCGCACTTTTTCTTGATCTTGTCTAACTTTTCCTTCCTCCTTGCAGATAGTACTAATTTACAGCCGTGTTTGGTCAGTTCATATGCTAAATATTCACCAATTCCGCTGGAAGCGCCTGTAATCCAAACTACTTTGCCCCGCAATGCAACGCTGGGATCTTTCCCGATCTTTTCGTAAATCATTAATGTGAAATCCCCGTCTTGGTATTTGAAAAATAAGATACAAACAAGAGGAACGAGTAATGCAGCAGTCAAAAGATTTCGTCCCATTGCATCGATTTTTTTTCGATGAAAATTTGGTTCTGATACGAGTGGCGTGGTACGATCGACAGCCTTGCGATCGTTCTAGGTCTGTGGGGGTCTGGTTACGGTCTGGTGCACATCTAAGTCACGTATTTCAGCTAACATTCAATCGATTTCAACATACAGGGGTTGTCTTATATATATATATATATATCACGAGTCGTAAATCTGAATTTTCGACCTTTACGGTTCGTCCAATTTATTCATGAGTCGTAAGGTTGTGTTGTTCCTCCGTGAATACATTAGCCCATCCGTGACGGAGTTCAGGCTCCTGCTCAGGCGAAAGCTTCTTAATAACTGTTTTACTCAACCGCGTTCTCCAACCTCGTTCCCATGGCCTTTCCCATACTTAGGGGTAGGAAAAGACCATGGGAACGAGGTTGTGTTTTATTTAATTTTTACTCAACCTTTGTCTCCTTTTGCGTCATCGTTGTCATATGTTTAGCTTTCTGTGTTCCTTTTTAATATTTTAATGTAACATCGACTCTGAAAAGCCCCGTGGGAACGAGCCAATTAAGTGGGTATGTAAGTGTGACTATGTAAGGAGGTATTTGGGATCAGGGATCAGAAGCCTAGGATCGTGGAACAGAGTCATGGAATCAGGGCTCAGAGGCAAAATGTGGGATCGATACCATTTTGGACATGTCGAAAGAGGACCTCAAATTCTGACTCCGGGGGCTCAAGTTTGAAACGTCATCAGCTTTAGAATCTCTTTTCGGTGGCCAATTTAAATTGTTAACTCAGTTGATAAAACCAAATTATTGTATTTAATTTAGGATTGTATCATTCGCTTTTTCATCAGTGAAAAAACCTCGTGTCACCCTCTCAAAAAATGAGATGATAAATTAAAGTAAAATCAATGAGCTGTTGATCATTCACATTTCTCCATTTTTGGGGACAATTTCTTTTTCTTAATTTCAGTTCAAACTGGCTCCTTCATAAGTTCTAGATCTCTTCCGCCTTGATTGTCGCCACTGCAATTCCTTTGATTTGGTTTAGTAAGCGTTAATCAGAGACTGCGGTTTGGATATCCCGTCCCAATATGCAAAGACTTCTCGGATCAATGTCAGCAACCGAGTACCTACCCCTACTCCAACCCAACAAAAATCAAATGATAACAAGTAAGGGTTAATGTTGGATTAGGGGTGGGTACGTAGATGTTCAGATTCTGATATTGATCCGATTTCTCTCATGATTTGATGTTTCGTGGACTCCTTTTTTCCTTCCACTTGTCCATTATGGCGCGCCATCATATGCGGAAGAACAGCTTTGGTCTAAGAGAGCCGGTACCAATGAGATTTATATCTAAAATTGTTCTGTCAACCTCCAATGGAGTATTCTTCCCCAAAGATATCTTAGATCTTCCACCATTGTTCACTAATTCCGCTAGAAGTGCCAGTGATCCAAACAACTTCGTCCCTCAGCTTAACGCTGAGATCTTTCCCGATCTTTTCGTAAATTATTTGTGTAAAATCGCCATCTTGGTATTTTAAAAAAACTAAAGAAATAGGTGGCATGGCGAAAGTGGTAATCAAAAGATTTCGTCCATTTGCATCAATTTTTTGTTTGTTTGTTTGTTTGTTTTTTTAAGAACATTTGGAGTCTGACTGATATGGGGGCCTGATAGGGTTAATAACGTTTCAATAGTTTTCAGTGACGTCACAGAATTAAGTTCTGCTTTGTTGGTGTACATCGAAGTTACATGTTCCAGCTGCTAACACTTGCAAATTCAGTCTAAAATTTCAATCATCTACTGTTTACAATAAAACGGCTTCTAGAAAAAACATTTTTTATTCCATTGTTAGATCCAGAAAATATAGTCCCAATCTCAATAAGACCGATCGAAGGATCTTGACAGAACGATGAACATAAAGCCTTTTCCACCAAGGGTCAACGAAGGAGAAAAGGCCCCGTTTCATAAGCATCTCCAAAGGAATCTGACGATCAGGAAGCACCTGTCCTGTCAGTGGGGAAGGGGTCATTATATGTTCAATAAACCCAACTCTATTCTCCGAGGAAAAAAGGTTAAAGGCTATTTCGTACTTAAAAGTAGTACTATAAAAAAATGATTGAAAAATGTCCTTTAGTCCGACTTTGTATGTAGAGTGGAATTTAATTTTGTCCACAATCGTCACTTACGCGACAAGCCCGGAGAAAGCTCATGTTTACCTTTTCACACCAGATACAATTCTTAATTAAATATTTTTCGTGTAATATCAATTTTTCAGGTCTAGTCTTGAATTGTTTTGAAAGTAACCTTAAATAAAAAATCCATCCAGAACATAAGAATTGGGTGTAAAAACAATAAGAAAGAGGTTCGTATATGACACCCATCCTGCAGACAGGATCAGCAATGTCGATAGCGTCATGTTTTGTAAATAGAATAAGAAAGATTATTAGTTTTGAGCTCGGTAAAGATATAGAGAAAAATGTTTTCGTCTTGTCACGAACGTGGGACTAAGAAACAATTCCGAGTCCCTATGAGGAATCGAACGTCAGACCTTCGGATTCCACGCTCCGATGGTCTACCTCTGAGCCACAGACACTCTATATGAGCAAGGCCCATTACGAAGTTATATATGGCAACCGTTTGCATACGCTAGGATAAAAATCGGGTATTTGGAAGTCTAATAGGCGACTGGCTACTGTGAATAAGCATGAAAAAGTCTGAAGAGAACTTCTAAAAGATCTATCTAGTATCACGCCCTACTAGCCTACTTGTTCAAATACTGATGTTTCAATCTTCCAGTATCTGGCATTTCAATTCTAAGAACAGCGCTTCAATTTTTACTGACAGAATTTTCTCGCAGTAGAAACTGCTAAGATTTTCCAGGGGAGCACAATTTTCTTCTTTTCCGTCACGTCTCCTGAGCTCGTCGCTTGTGCCTTTCCGATGATAACTTTGCCTCGTAGGAAGTCATCATTCTATTCATTGCGGCTTTTATGATCCTGGTAATAAAAACAAACAATTATAAAAAAAAAAAAAGAAAAAAGAAAAAAAGTGAGCAGGTGGAATCGTATACAGTAGCTCCCTAATCAGCTTTCTAAGATTTCACCATTCGTTGAGCGGATTCTTCATATACTTTCAGATACTGACAGTGAAGTCAGTAATGAGCCCCTAAGCGAAGTCATTTCAGCCTTCAACCCTTTCTAGTGTTAATAACAAACAAGTGATATTTGTACCCAAACACACGCCCGCGCCATCGGAAAACATCTGACTCGTCACCAGTTGTCTTTTATGTTTCATCCTTATTCGCAGGGTTCGCGGGAGACTAGCACTACCACGACGAATGAGGCGGTGGCGTGTAACTCTCACGCGCTTCCCGCGTTAATGGTCAAAGTAGGCAGAAGACTGAGCACGAGTCAGGAAAAAAAGTTTCTCATCTAATGAGCAGCGTTTCCTTTGCTTAGAACTTTATGAAAGGGCTGTTGGAAATTCTGCAAGAAATAACTCGATAAACAGGGACCTTTATTGATATAACCCCTTTGTTTCTGCGCGGAAACAGATGGAATCATATGGTAAATTTTGCGGAAACAAATGAAAAACCTTCAGAGGTTTTTTCTCAAAAAGTCGCTACCCCATTTTGATCTTCCCGCTCGCTGCCGGCAAATTTAAAAACCTAGACCGAAAATGATGCTACCTTTGCTCCCTACAGAAGGAACACGCTCGCGTTCGTGCTAAAGGGACCACAGGCGACTGTATTAACCGTACATTCTTCGAGCCTCTATCGAAACTTCACAGAAATAAAAACATACCAATTAAACAGGTTGGGAAAGTACTGTCTCATGTAAGTCGCTAACAGCATTGGGTTCTGTGAGATCCATATTTCATCCAAGTTGTTTGCCATCCCAATCGCCATAAGTCTTGCACAGCGTTCAGTCGGCATTACTGGAAAGTCTATCTTGATAAACTCTGGTGAGTCTTTGTACTCCTTAAATAGCACAAACATTGAACAAGGGAAATACTTTTAGAGCAAGAAAACACTTTATATCATACATCTGACAATGCACTCCACTACAAATAATCCTAACTTGCGAAAAAATTTTGTCGGCAATTTGTTAAAAAAATTATATTCATGACACCATATTGGAAGCAGACAGTACCAATGTCTGGGATGAGTTACACCTCTACCCCTCCCCCCCCAAACAATTACTACAACACCACAGTATCTGCATACATTGGCAATGTGGTGCATCCAGGAGGAGGATCCAGAAAGTCCAGACTCCTTCATCTTACTGTGTTTTTCACTATTAGTTTAAAACCAAAATTTTTGTAAAGATAGGATCACCTGTTACTACTCAAGTCCTGACGTATTAAAACTTCCTTTTTTGTGAAATATCATGAAGATTATTCAGACTTTAGAGTAATAATAATAATAATAATAATAATTTTAATACTTATAATGTGCATACATCCATTTACACATGCTCACACATGCCCAAACAAACAAACAAATATTTCAAACACACATTAAGTGATTGAAAATCCCTACTGGCAGGAGGCAGATCAGTTGGCTATTTACACTGAAGAGTTGAACTTGGGGTGACCAAGAACAAATATCGTGTAGCATGAAGGAGGGCTTAAACCCACAACCACCAGATTACAAGTCCAGCACCCTAACCACTCAGCCATGCTGCCTTATTTTAATAAGTAAAATGTGTTCTGTGTTTTCTGAATCAAAGCCTAGACCCTTAGCAAAAATTTCTAGATCCACCCATGTGTAGAGCAAGCCTCTACATGTCCAACACAAAATTAATCTGTTTCCTTACAATGTTAATATCCTCTGTAAAAGCCTTATTAGCAACTTGCGACTCTACTGGCCCTGGAAGGACAGTCTGTACATGGATGTTGTGCTGTGCCAACTCAATACGTACCCCATCAAAGTAACCCTGTTAAATGAGAAGGGTTTGGTCACACTAGTTCTATAAAATACAAAACTGTAGCAAAATTTCTAAGAAGTGATTGGTTACCAGCAGTCCAATTGGAGCACTACTGATGAATATGTTCTTATTGACATAGCAAGAGCACTGAACAAGAAATATTTTGTTTGAGGTCATGACACATAGACCATGTGCAGGGAAGTCCATATTGACCACGACCAAGAGCCATTTATTTTGCTGTACTACCCAACCTTATTCAGTCCATTAGAATTTTATCATAGGAAAGCTACTCTTTCTTTTCATCTTCTCTCCTTTTGGCATGCAACAAGCAGGGCTGGACAGATATCACTGGCCCTGAGCACAATATTGCATGCATTCCTTGTGTGGGGAATTTTGATGTAGTGATTTTCAATTAAAATGTGCAGAATAAATATAGCTATGGAACAGTTCATTTCACATAACTTTTTGAAACTTGAACTTCAACCTACAGTCTAAACACAGCATCAACATTTCTCTTATTGCATTTTCCCACATTAGCAAAGTTTAAATTACACCAAAATAAATTCAAGTCTAGTGAATACCTGCAAGGCATGTTTTGTGGCACAATACACCACTGAATGAGGAACTCCTGTGAAATCAAACAAAAAATTGTTGTTATTATTTATTCATCAAATATTATATTCACAAGATTGCCAAAGATGCCAGCATTCTGTGCATTTCATTGCCTGAAAAACTCACTGGATATTCTGAATGCTTGGGGGCCTTAGCAGGCAAAATTTACCAATCTTTCCTAAGATACAAGTAACTACATGTGACAGAATCTGTCTTTCTCTGTGTTCCACTTGTTGGGAAATATCCACTCTAATTGCAATAAAATTTACCCATCTTTCCCAAGACACTGCTAACCTCCACAATCTGTCCTTGTTTCCATTCAATCATATGTGGAAGAACTGCTTTGGTCAAAGAGATGGTACCAAAAACATTTAAATCAAAAACAGCCTTGTCCACCTCTAATGGAGTTTTTCTTATCCAAGATTTCTGGAAACGACCTCCATTGTTAACCAAAATATCAACCTGGAAAATGAAAGAGAGGAGACTAACATGGTTGGGAAGGGGAAGGTGACTGGGAATAAGGCAAAGCTTAACCTTTTTTGCTAATTTTAGACGTCAGTTAATTCAAACATGTTACATGTTGGAGGGGGGGGGGGGCAGCAGGGCATTAGACATGTGGTAGGGGCTCACTTTACACCAACCAAATGAATTTGTGACAAGGAATAAGGAGGCAGTTGCTCAAAACAATCCTCAGACCTTTATTTTAGCTGAGTGCAATACTAATGAGATGATCTGGAAAAGGATCACCATGCTCATTATTTTACCATGCCACTTTAATGCTGTGTCAGTTTGTGTTATTTTCATCATCAAACATTGGTGGGGAGGGACATGCATATCTAAGTTTTCATTACTTGAGAGCGACAGGCCTCCCTCCCACTGTTTCACCTGATAAAATCTGCAAACTTACATGGCAAACCCATTTCATACCTTTCCAAAATGCTTAAGGACATCTTGAGTCAAATTGCCATGAGTGTCATGTTTTAGCAAGTCTAGTGGAAGTACAAGAATATCTTGATCTTTTTCAAATGAAGAATTAAGACCAGTGGCAATTGCTGAAAAATAAATGACAAATCACTTAACCTCTCAACTAAAGAGTTAATTGAACGACTGGCCTAAATAACAACCCATTTTTGCAATACTTAACTGAAGCCGGGAATTAAAACCTTTGACCAAAATCTTCTACACAGTTAAGCTACAGATAAAATTGACAAAACAGCTAAGATATGCTAATAAACTTAGTATCATTTTACTATAAGTCACGAAATAAAACTCACGATCATCTGGAAGGTTAACATAACATAGCACTCGCGTCCGCTAAAAAGGCTTTTTGTTGGGAAGAAAGGCTGGGTAAGGGGGAGGCGGCGGCTTTGCGTGACACCCCCAAACTGCTACGAAGAAAACTTCACTACTTGGAAACACGAAATCGGAAATACATGTAACACTTCTACATTGGGCGCTTTGAACGAGGTTTTGAAATGCATGAATAAGACAAAAAAACAGACTAAATTACATCTGTATTAGGACCTTACACACGTGCACATAGCACAAAAAGAGGAAGGCGATCGACCGCTGTCAGTACTTTGTCATTGTCACACAAAACGTGGTGACAGTATTTGTTTTCTTGTTCTCGATTATCTCCGTTCAACTCGATTTGGTGCCAATTTCTCTCTTACCTGCACAGTTTTCCTTAACTCTCTCCAACTCTGTTTTCCTCCGTGCAGAAAGAACTAGTTTACAGCCGTATTTAGCCAGTTCACAAGCTAAATATTCACCGATCCCACTCGAAGCACCAGTGATCCAAACAACTTTTCCTCGCAATGCAGTTGCAGGATCTTGGCCGATAATCTCGTACATCATCAATATAAAATCAGCATCTTGGTATTTCAAAAGAAAGTAGCAAAGGATGGGAACAAGAATTGCAACTATCCAAAATTTACGACCCATCGTTACAAGGTCACACGAGTTTCACCGAAGCTGTTATCAGTGTTGTCCTCAGTCTACCCTCAGCTGTATTTGGCAACGCAAAATGAGAGAAGTCTGTAGTCTGTTGTACAAGGCATGGATGTCTCCCCTGTTTCCTTAGCTTTGTTGGGGAATATGAAGAAGCAAACAGATTGTTGATATCGCTTTTGTTTACTAACATCTTATTTAAGAAAGCTGTCCTTTCCAAAATCAGACAAATTAAATTGGCCCAAACTGTGCAAAATCGGACGGAAACCTCCAAAATCGGACCGAAGCGTCCGAAATGAGAGAAAAGCATCTAAGAACGTGTAGAAGTAGAGTGTCCCAAATCGGACGGAGGCGTCCCTGAATTCTTTGTTTATTCATTTCCTCGAGGAAAAACTGGCTTTATATACATGAATGTTGTTCGTATTTTAGGTATCGTTCATGTGTTACATCGCCTCCAGAAATCAAACAGTTCTTACAAGTGTGTTGTCGAAACTAGTTTAATTTTGCTAACAGGTTTACACATGACTGTTTTGCGTTATTCCCATACCACTCTTAATTACAGTTTATAATTATAGTTCTTGTTTCAGTGGAAACATCTTTTCTCAGTTTGTTAAGTGGATTCAAGATCAAATATCTATTGTCTGTATTACAATAGGCCCGTAATTTATTAGCTCAAGTCAATATGCAGACAACCTGTGAAAAATTATGAAGTGCCTTCTGTTACCCCTTATTAGCCTACTACTTCAATATAAAAATTCTAAAAACTAAGGACTTGGAATTTTCGAACTTTGAACCCCGCTCCATTTTTTTAGACGGGCGCATCTCAGTACAAACTTGACACATTTTCTAGGGGGAGAGGGAGGGGGTGGGTGGAACATCTGCTGGGCTTGTCGTTGTATCCCTTACGGTGATGTCTTTAACTCCAGAGAAGTAATTACTTTATCCATTAAAGCATTTGAGATCCTGGTGAGAAAACAGACCATAAAAAAAAGTGGAGTTAAAGCTTTTTTGCTTCTTAACACTAATAACTTTACTTCCAGAAGTGACTTCCATGTCACTACTCCTTGTAATATCCAGACATCATCCAGCAAGCAGGTAATGAGAATATTCAAAATTATCAAGTAGAAGTTGCTACCTTGACCTAAGACCAAATTCTCGTAACTGATTCACAAGAAAAAGTGTAGCAGACCGGGGCAGGGGGGGGGGGAAGGGAGAGAGTAAAGAAAAACGATTAAAATTGTCGATAAAAAATTACGATAAAAAATCACCTGATCTCCCCATAAGGCCCTGTAATATTCTTATAAGTCCCCTCATAGGCAGTTGATTGGCAGCCAATTTTCTATAGTTCCCGCCTCTATACTCTTTTAATGAAATGGCGACGATTCGTCCCCCTTGGTTCCCCTGAAAAATGTGATCCCACCAAATTCCCCGTCCCCCCCTCCCACAGGTGATAAATAACGACTGGTCCCTAACACGACAAAGAGGACTATGGCGTGCTCCTTAAACACGCGTTCCGCGTTAATATTAAGAATAGAGAGGCGACTGGGAAGGAGTCAGGAAAATTAAGGAACGTTAAAAACACTGCTAAAATTGGCCGAGAAGTAGCTAATTCCACATGGAAGGAGTTTTTTTTCAATAAAAAACATCTTGAACAGTGGTTAAAAGATTTCTTTCCGGAAAAAAAGGCTTAAACCTTTAGAAGTTTTTCTCTTTTTGGCTATGCTATTTGATTCGTCCCACTCCCTGCCGGCCATTTCACTGCTGCAAATCTCCCGAGATTACGATCCCAAACCGATGCTAAAAATGTCGCCCTTTTTATATAATTATATGAATGTAAGGTGAATACATCAGCCTTTTATTTTCCATTTCGGAAATTCAAAGACATACAAAAACAAATAGAGAAAAATCAATACGTACCATTTATAGAGGATTGGAAAATACTCTTTTATGTAAGTCCCTAACAGCATTGGGTTCTCTGAGATCCATGTTTCATCCAAGTTGTTTACCATTCCGACCACCATAAGTTTTGCACAGCGTTCAGTCGACATTTGTGGAAACTTTATCTTGACATACTCTGGTGAGTTTCCGAAATCCTAAACAGAAGATGCAATAAACAAGTGTAAAGAAGAATAAACGGAACACACCTGGCACAAGAAAATCTCAACATGTTCTCTCTTTCAAAGTAATTCATGCTTGTTTTACTCCGTTGGGAAAAGTTTTCAGGAAGCATGCTTCCACGCTCGTTAGGACACAAATAAAAACTCATTACTCTCATTACTGGGACAACTTAAATAGTTAAATCAAACAAAGCAAGTCTATCTCCGAATTTCTTAGGATATTAGGTAAAACTGATTTTAAAGGGTGCTTTTTTTACTCCTGCCTACGAATTAAATATATTTATGCTTTATTTTTACCTATTTTCTCATTTATTTTTCTTGTTTGTTGTCGAGCGTTTTATACATGAGCTTCATTTCTTGGAAGATTGGGCGACCACTTCCCACGTCTTTGACAATAAATAAATTATTACACATATTACATAATTACAACACCATATTTCTTTAAGCTAAAGTTGTTTCCTTACGACTTTGATATCCCCAGTGAAAGCTTTCTCACTGATTTGTGACTTTACCGGCCCTGGAAGAACCGTCTGCACGTGGATGTTATGTCGAGCCAGCTCAAACCGTACGCCATCAAAATATCCCTGTTCAAATCAAAGAGGTTAACCTTTACTTGGCGTTCAGTTGGTTACGCGAGGCGCGCTAGTGAGCGAAGGTGTGAAAAACCGAGGGAGGTTTGGGTCGGTTTACGCAACAAACGCTACTCGACTCAAACCTCCGCGCCTTTTTTTTTTTTTTCACCTCCGCCACTGTAGTGCTCCGCTTTACTAACTAGAGACCAATGAACGTTTGGTTCAGAAACAACTGATTGAGTTCATTAAAACAAATTTACCGACTCGAATAAATGCCGTGGCGTCTATAAAATTCCACGCGATTTAGGAAGAGTTTCATTCAAATACATATTTCTTAATTGACAAAATGACTAAAATAATTGTAACAGATAATGTAGTGTTAACAACTGAGTTGAAAACGTATATTGATCATCGTAAAGAGTTTAAAGGCTGACGTTTCGTGCGTTAGCCCTTCGTTAGAGCGATAGATTCATTGTAATAGAGAACTGTTTCAAGGTCCAGTGTCTCACTTTTTAAGTATAAACATTCAAGAAAAGGTTTAGATTACTACATTGAATCAGCGCCGTACAGCTCTAAGTGGGTGCAACGTTTAATCGATGGCGTTGCTCATTTTTCTTTTATCTTCGGCCTTGCACCATGGGCGGTTATCGATCGGGTATTAAAATATGACGAGCTAGAAAAAATTAAAAGTCACACACAAAAAAAGGAAGTCGAAAGGAAATTATGAGCGGGTTACTATTGAAAACACTCATTAAAGACAGATCCCTTCTAAATAAACTTGAAAATTAAACTTCATTCCACCTTTATCATCAAAATTCCTCTCACTAAACTACTAAACTAAACTACTTCTAGTTTCTCACGTTAGTTAACATAGTCTTAATTCCACTAAGATAAGTTCAATTTTGATACATACTTGCAGTGCAAACTTGGTGGAACAGTAAGTAGCTGAGTGGGGTAATGCTGTGAATAAATCCAAATAAATAATTGTGGTGGCTTTCTAATCATCACACATTGTGTAAAAGTTAAATTAGCAGACTTCATAGGACTAATATTAACTATAATCTCTTCAGATCAGTTCATCAGGCATTCCGAGGAGGAGCAGGAGGAAAATAAAATGAAAAAAAAAATTATTGATGTTTCCTTTTTTCCTCTTTCCCTGTTCTGCAAGTATCAGACACGTATTAGCTTAAAATGAGTGCATGCTGGGTTAAAACCAAACCATACCTCCTTCAACCCTCTGAGGAAGTTATACCCACCCTGAGCATGTGCATAATATAATTGAAGACCATTTTGCAGCTGAAAGTCGCCTTAGGGCCACTTTTTGAAAAAGAGAACTTGGAGCCCTGTTATAAAGTAAGACAGGTTTGGGGGCAAAATAACTCAGATAATTAGACTCTTACAGGTTTGTGGCAGTGAAAGTTGCGGTACAAACAGGTAGAAACAAAACTAGAAGAGTAGAAATGAGTAAACTATCAGGGAAACATGATTTAACCCTTAAACTCTTGAGAGAGACTTGCATCTAGTTTCTCCTTACAGAATCATTTCTGAATTACATGTCCAGGTCATGAGAATAAACAGAATGATCACCAACTTACGAAGCTCTTGATTGTTAAACAAATTCTCCTTATCAGTTCCATAGGAATTGTATAAAACAGTAAGGAGAATAGCACATACTGAAGTTAGGATGTAAAGGTTTAAGTTGTTGAAACTACCATCAACTGGCATCTGCTTGACATCACTTAACCCTTTAACTCCCAGAAGTGCATAACAAGTAAATTCTCCCTACATTATCCATGCATTATTCAGCAAACAGGTAATGAGAATACTAAAATGTATCAGGTAGAAGTTGTTATCTTCATCTAACACCAAATTCTCGTAACTTATTTACAAGGATATTAGTAGCAGCTAGAGGGGAGAATTAACAATCAGATCTTAGGAGTTAATGGGTTAAGACGCAATAACCACTGGTTTTAAAAGGAAAAAAAAAAACTACCTAACCCTCTAACTCCCAGAAGTGATTAACATGTAACATCTCCCTATAACATCCAAACATTATTCAGCAAACATGTAATGAGAATACCCAAACTTATCAAGTAGAAATTGGTAGTCTTGATCTAACACCAAATTCTCACAATTCATTTGCAAGGAAATGTGTAGCAGCTGGAAGGGAGAATTAAAAATCAGATCTTGGGAGTTTAAGGGTTAGCAGCAGTCTGCCACTGCCTCTAAGACCTCTAACCACCGTTTGTTTAATTCCCATCAATTTTCCAGCACCCCACTTCTCACCCATTAATAACTTTCTGATTTTAATCTATCACCTAACATCTGTATTTTCTTAGCATGTTTATGACAATTTACCAACCTGTCTTTCCGGCAAGACTGCTAACCACCACAATTTGTCCTTCTTTGCGTTCAATCATGTGTGGAAGAACTGCTTTGGTCATAGAGATGGTACCAATCACATTTAAATCAAATATAGCTCTGTCCACCTCTAAAGGAGTGCTTCTCATCCAAGATCTCTGGCCACGAGCTCCATTGTTCACCAAAATATCAATCTACAAAGTGACAATGAAGTGACATGATAGGCAGGAATTCTGTAATGGGAAAGGTACTTGTTTGTCCAGAATGTGGTAGCATTTCCTAGTGAATATTCTATCCACACTAATTATTTTGCCAAGCTACCTTTTTTGTACTGCAGGGGATGTTATGTACATGAATTGTTAGGTGGAAGCTTTCCTCTAAAACTTTCATATAAGTGAGCTACAGTCCACTTTCCACCTTTTCTGCCATTGAGATAAAGTCTGTAAACTAAGTATTACAGTTGAACCTGTAATAAGCCGTCACACAAGGGGAATGGCAGAGTGACTGCCTAATACAGGGTATCACAGCTTCCTTAAAAGCAGGTGATACAGGTTTGACTGCTATCAGTACCTTTCCAAAATGCTTAAGGACATCTTGAGTCAGGTTGCCATGTGAGTCATATTTCATCAAATCCAGTGGAAGTACAAGAATATCTTGATCTTTGTTAAATGAACCATCGATACCAGCTGCAATTGCTGGGAAGAAAATAAAAATTTAAACTTAAGATTTAATTATAAATTGACTTTCCTAGGCTAGGATTTCATCATTGTAGTAACCTTAAAATAAAATAAAAAAATACAAAACCTTTCGTCTTTAATATGACGGAAAAAACTTGGACGGAATTAAGAGAAAAGCACAAACAAATAAAAACATGAATTACATCCAGAAATCTTTTCCACAAATTTGCAATGGATAAAAGTGGAACAAGACAGAATGAATATGCAGGGAAACTAAATATCTTTTCTTTATCAGTAACAAAATAAAATTCATCAGGAATGTAGGAAGATTACTTTCGGGGAAGTTGCCGTGACAGCTGGCGTGACATCGCAAAACCTGCAGTGACGCAAGCTAGGTGCGATACAAAAATGAAATAAGTACGTTACTTTTTTTGAGCTTTGTAGGAGATTTTAAAGCATATTTATAACGGATATTGGTAGAATTAATCACCTAACTACGATCTCTTACAACCATGTATAAATTTCTGGAAAGATCTCCGTATAACCCCACACTTCATTATGCATACAGTGCTTCGATAAAAGAAAACAATGACGATGCAGAAGATTGCCTTTGGGACTAAGGCTTTGTGGTAGAATAACACTAAGGTTGCGCGTAAATCTTTCCAAATTAACAAGCAAACATAACTGCGAGAATTTTTTTTTTAAATACTTATATCTTTTGATAACAAGACTAATCATATGACATTTTTGGTAAAGATTTACAGCAGGAGAAAAGATCTCCGCTAACATGCATCATTTAACAGAGTATTCTTGTTCTTGGTTAAATTCGTTCATGCCAATTTCACCACAATTTCTCTCTTACCTGCACAGTTTTTCTTGACTCTCTCTAACTCTGCCTTCCTCCGTGCAGACAGCACTAGTTTACAGCCGTATTTAGCCAGTTCATATGCAAAGTATTCTCCAATCCCGCTGGAAGCACCAGTTATCCACACAACTTTTCCTCGCAATGCAGTTGCAGGATCTTGGCCGATCTTCTCGTACATCATCAATATAAAATCAGCATCTTGGTATTTCAAAATAAAGTAAAAAAAAAGAGGAACCAGAATTGCAGCTATCCAAAATTTACGACCCATTAGTGCTAACAAGGCAAGTTTCCTTCGACGCCCTTGAGCTCGAGCTCGATATCTTAATTATCCCCAGGCGACTCTCGTCTTTCTTTGGAAGCGTGTAATGGAAGGTTGGGAAGTGGTTCTCTCTGTCCGGAGTGCCGTCGGACGTCAGTATCAAATAAAGAAAAGGAAAATGGGACCAAAAAAGAGTGAGTATATTTAATAAATCACTGAAACTTGATTTGGAGTACAATCAACTTGTTGTTGTGTCTTTTTTTGGCCTTTTTTTCGGGAAGAAACTGGGTGTTTTTTTCCTTATTAAGTTTGTACATATACAGGAGCTCATTACTGGACTCCTGGTTTGTATTGTGGGTATCTATGCTGGTGTTTCACCACTTCACCCCTTCAAGAATACAAAACCCTTAGAAAGGGTCACTCTCAGTGCGATCACGGCACGTGATCCAAGCCGTAGCCCTGCTGAAATCCCCGGGCAGCTCCTCTGATACGCTCCCGACGATTCCGATCAGCCTCTCTGATAAGCCTCCTATCCAATGTGATCAGCCTCTTTGATATGTACCCTAGCGGTACCGATCAGCCCCTATGATATGCCCCTTACCAATACCGATCAGCCCTTATGATATGCTCCGCTACCGATATAGATCAGCCCCTCTGTTATGCTTCCTGTCCATTCCGATCAGCCCTCATGATATGCTCTCTATCCATTAATTCCGATCAGCCCCTGTAGTATGCCCCCTGCCGATTCCTATCAGCCCTTGTGATATGCCCGCCAATCCACTGATTCTGATCAGCCCCTATTGGATTTCTCCCTTTTCATTTCGATCAGCCCCTATAATGTGCCCCCTACCGATTCAGATCAGCTCTCATGATATGCCCCCCAACCGGTTCCGATCAGCCCCTCTGTTGTGCCTCCTTTCCAATGCGATCAGCCCCCATGTTATGTTCCCTACCGACACCGATCAGCCCCTCTGATATGCCTCCCGGCCAATACGATCTGCCTCTATGATATACCCATACCGATGCCGATCAGATCTAGCCTCTCAGATTTTCCCTCCCGGCCGAGGCTATCAGCCCCTATGATATGCCCCTATCCATTCCGATCAGCCCGTCCACATGCTAACTTCGTGAATTTAAGGTGGACATCCAAACACACACAATTCAATCCACCTATATTTATTAATAAAAGCTTAGAAAAATACAAACATACTGGCCCCGGTTGTTCCAAAGTTGGATAACGCTATCCACTGGATAAATCTCTATCTGGTAGATAGCGTAGTACGTTTTGCTATTACTTATCCGCTGAAGAGCGATTTATCCATTGGATAACGTCCCACCTTTAAACAACTGGGCCCTGGTCTATTTTTCAGCACGATTCCAAGCACGGAACTATACGACTTCCTGCTACTTTTCACTACTGTTCTAGCATTTCTGTTCTTGTTTATCATTTCAAAGGGAACCATTCGATAACCTTTTTTTCCTATCACCTACAAACCTTGTAAAGTTTTGGAAATTGTTTTCACCTCTTTAAATTTAAGTTTTCCCGGGTAGAGAGGGTTGCGGCGGAATAGTAGAGCCACAAAACATTCTTAGCTGATCATTTTGTACATATGATTTAGTGACACTTCAGGCTTCGCCAGACAAAAAGAAATGGATAGAAGAAACAAACAAAAAAACTAACATCACAGCACCTCATGCTTGCTTCGGTAACTAAACCCAAAGATTATCATTCGACAATATCCTGTTGAAATCATTCGCTGGTCAATACATGACGGTCATTTTTATGGTCTTTTACATATGATGAAATTCGGCAACCGAAAAAGGAAATCGAAGTCATATCAAATCATCCAGAATTTCTCTACCCTTAATTAGTTCGTGTCCAGTCTTGCCCAGTAAGAGACAGTAATGTACAATATTGCTACAAGCGTGACCAACTTTGCGCGCTATACATTGATTCTTGTATCATTTTGTTTATGTTTTGTTCTATTAGAACAAGGTAAGGTATTAACTTAATTGTTTCTTTTTTTTTTTCCTAGTCGAATGGAAAAGACAGAATTTGAGAATTTACAGTAAGATTACATTCCAACAATGATCTAACAGGCAGTCCTAAAGCGGAAGAGCCATTACAAAAGAAGGTTTTATGAACTAAAGTTACAACTGTACAGACGCCCAAGAATTTTTCCAAGGACGGTATATAAATATCTCTACCATCTGTAACAGTCGTAAAAGGAAGGAGCACTAAATTAGTCTTGAGATCCACCACTGACCAATAGAAAATTGAGTCGATGAGTCGCTGTGTTCTCACCGTTGGACCGCCCTCCGCTTACTCCACAAAACTTACGCTAAATATACAACATCTTTAAACTTTCTGCCCCCAAAAAAGACAAGAACCAGCAGGAATTTAAAGGAGAGACAAAATCACTAGTGCTGCTATGATCGCTGTCCTCCCATTTTGTTTATAAGTTCGTCGCAAATCGACGTGAGTTCGGCGTTTTCGGATATCTGGAAAAAAGGAGCGAAAAACGTATTCAAAACACCTCATCAATTGTACGAGAGGGTAGGTGCCGTAAAGGTAGCGACAACGAAGAGCTGCAATTTTTGCCGTAACAACCGAGCCAGAGCCCACCTCCGGGCACTTGTCAACACAACACCAACAAAACAGTGGGGGAGGAGGGGGAAAGGTAACAAAGAAAGCCAATCAACAAGGTAAAGTGAGCAAAAGCACTTTGTAATACCCCTTGAACTCTCCTTCAGCGCCCCTCACTAATGGAGAAACCGCTGCGCCGATGCTTTAGCTATAAATAATTACATTAAGTCCCGTGAAACTCAACTTATTTATGGAAAAGAAAGGGTACATGGATATCATAAGGTGAAAGTACAACTACGTGTCTTTACTTATAGGAGAAAAAGAGAGGTGGTTTGGTTGAGGAAATACACACCTTTTGTTGTAAACTCATCTCTAAGCTAGCTGATTTCGTTTGTTCCTTCTTAAGTGCCGCTTTCATTACCGCTATCTCTGACTCGTTGGATTTCCGTACTCGAGCAATTTCGATATTGGCACTGAAAACAAAACAAAACAAATCAAAAAATAAGATATTCATAAATAAAAACAGAAATAAGTAAATTTTAATGGCGCACAAAAAGAACAGAACAAAACCTTTCTATTTTTTCTTCAGCGTGTTTCTTTAACATGCGATATTTTTCTTCTGATCTTTTTAGCTTCTCTTGGTAGTCAGTGGTTGCCTTTTTCAGTATTTCTTCATTCTAAAAAAAGAACCAACAGATTTCAATCCTCAATGGAGACACAGAGAGCAGTAGTTTACCAAGACAAGCGAGCAGTAGGTTATCAAGTCAAGCCATATGTTTAATACCTTTTTAAAATTTTCCACGACTCCCTTGAGTTTCTCGTATCTCCTATGTAGATCTGAGAAGGCCGTCTCTACCGCTGTCAGATCAGATTGAAGCTACGTAAATCAAAGAAAATAAAATGAAAACAAAGAAGTAGTTTGGACGATACGCTCTGCTTTATATGTTATGTTACGCGCTTTTGCTAACAAATGACATCAGTACCAAGGAAATAATCTATCTGAAGTTGAAAGCTGCTATGTGAACATAAATAGCCTCCGATATGATACCTTGTGTTTGGTCCATATTCGATTGTTTTCGTTCTTATTACCCAGGTTAAGAGGGGGTATTCACGTATACACAAAAGGAGACAATTTCGCCCTTATTTAACAAAAACGTTTGTACTCGACACTACTCGCGACCTCGACTCGGCGGAGACCCGAGCAAAACAGGAAGGAGTCAACATTCCCAGGCAACTTCGCTGTCGTGAAATTTTTGCGCGCCATAGAACTGTGGTTGAAAAAGGTTATCAATGTCGGCACGATTCCCTTTATTCAGTTAAGGGGTATAGATATGTTTTGGCCACGATAAGGAGTCACCTTGAACAAAAAGGTTTTAAAAATTAATGAATTTCCTTTTCATTAATCAGCGACCCGATCACGCTAGTTGGAGTATAAGAATCGTGAAACATTTTTTACCTGGTCTCGCTCTTTCGCCACCTCTGAAGTTGAGTGATTAAATTGGTCCTGTGACTTCTGATTTTTTTCTGCCAGAAACAAATGAGGTAGGAGTGTCAAAAAAGAAAGACAAAAATAACTGGATATCAGGCGAACAGTGGGCAAAATATTGAACGAATCAGCTATAGTAGCCAGCAAAAATTTTGTTCAGCTTAAGTTCATCATTTCCACAAGCCATCCAGCTTTGAAACTGTAGCAACAGATGACGACCCAAAAAGGAAAAGTTGCTTTGGTAAGTAATGATAAATAAACAAACAAACAAACAAACAAACAAACTAACTAACTAACCAACAAAACGGAACAAAACAAAACAACTAAACGTTGTGGAGGTGTAAAAAAAGATCAATGCTCTCAATTTTCAAATCATCGCAAGATAATATGCAACGTAATGCAATGCAATCTCGGAGGCAATTGAAAATTAACAAAATTAATATATGAATGCACGATCTCACACTAGAAGGACTTCCCTAGCCAAAAGACATCATTTTATAAAGGTGCAAAGTTAATTACAAAAGGAACTGTAGTTACCGATCATATCAGCGATGGTCTTCTCGTATTCTTGCATCACAACCCTAAAGACAGGGAAGTACGTTCAGTAATCAAAGAGGAGATTGGCAATCCGTCGATTACTTAATGCTTCAATAGTCTCCATCGAAACCGGTTTTTGGGATGTAACGCAACGCTCTCCAAATTCTTCGGGGTAGGGGAGGGGAAGTAACGTGATATTCCATAAAAGTGGCTGCGATGGAGACTATTGATTTAGTTGGTGTATTAGTCAGTTGGTCAGTTACTCCGAGGCGTTCAAGTCTTGGGGTGGCTTCGACTGTCCCGGCTGTGTAACTGGTCGGTCAGACCAGGGGCCGCTCATTATTTATCCCTGGGGGTCGGAGGATTTTGGTTGTGTCGCAAATAAATTTACCTGATCTCCCACGAGGCTTCTAAGTGTTCTAAAATCCCCCCTTGATTAGCGGTAAACTTTTATACTCCCTTCCTTAAATTCTGTTAGAGACGACTGCTCCCCCCTTCTTTCCCCTGAAACCACGTGATCCCCATAAACCTCCCAGCCCCCCGGAAGATAGATAATGACTGACTCTTTATCAATTTGTCTATCTGTCGATCGGTTAGAGTAACTGATCGCCGTCAGTTTGTTGGTTTTCATTCTGTCACGCGGGTATTTGGTCTGTCTTTTCACTAATCAACCAAAAGAGAAACAGATAGTTTTCAGCCAGTCGGTTGATCTTAAGCTCCACAGTAAGGTGTACATGTTGTCTGGCAAACCAACTGATAGCAAACTGACACCAAGTTTGTACATCAACTCGCAGTTTCAATTTGAAAAAACCGTCAACTGATAGGACGTAAAGTTACTGTAATGAATAAATCAACTTGTGATCCTTCTCAGTATAAGCACCAACCTTAATTCCCCTGTTTCTCTTCTTAACTGTTCATTTCTTTCCGTTAATTCTTTGCTCTCCATTTCACGAATTGTAGCTTCCTCTTCCATCTTTTTGTTAACATAAAAGAAACGCAAAAATGAACGATTGCCGACAGACCTGCTTAAGATCTCTCCTCTTTTCTATCCAAAGGAAGAGCAGCGATTCTCTGACGTACCTGCTGACGTAGAGTTTCGGTCTCCTTTTTGACTGCTGCCGCAAACTCGTCTTTGCTACTGAACAGCGCCTAACGAATGGCAGAAACAAAGAATGGCAAATGAGAGCAGTTCAAAAGAGATCGGTTCTCATCAAGGTAAAAAAAAAAATTATCTGAAGATGCAACTAGAAATATCTGTGTTCGGAAACCATGCAGCAAGTCGTAAGAGTGACAAACTCCTCTCTGCCACAGAACAGTGCCAAGCGAATGGCAGAAACAAAGAATGGCCAACGAGAGAAGTTCAAAAGAGATCGGTTCTCATCCAGGTGTAAAAAAAAAATTGTCTGAAGATGCAACTAGTAATCTCTGTGTTCGGAAACCACGCAGCTAGTCGCGATGGTGACGATTATCTAATTTATCTTTATAATAACGCTCCTGAATCAAACATTTAGGTCACGAGAATTTAGGTAATGAGCACCGACTAAGAAAGCTCTGGATTGTTGCACAAATTCTCCTTATTGGCATCGAAGGAAATGTATGGAGGACAGTGTGTAAAGTATGCATTCTGATGTTGGGATGTAAAGGGTCAAGTCAAAATGCACACAAACTCTCTTCTTCACAAATTCGTTATTTTACAAGTCTCTTTTTGGCTCCCTCTTGGATAGATTCTTTGTGATTCACTCACAGCAATCACTTCAAGTTTGATTAAGAGTATATCCACGTAAATATCACCATGCGCCTCATTGACTGGGCTCGTGGTGTAGATTTTTAGGCCAAAAAACTACGTAAAACCGAGAGAGGTGCGAAGGTTACCTGTTTACGGAGAGCTTCCGTCTCTTTCTTAACAGCTGCATCTAATTCTTCTTGGGTAAATAGCCGCACCTTAAATGTTACAAGAAAACAAAGGATAAAAATACTGCAGTAGATTATGAGTGCAGATCAGCAAGTTTTGATAAATTGAGGTAGTGTACTATATACGAGAACAATTGCACAAGAAACAAGTTTGAGAGCTCTACATATGACGTACAGTATCCAAAGTGCAAGTCGTTTTGTTATCATCCGATGATATGTTTAAAGAAACGTTGTAGACAGTAACACTATAAAATAACTTTCAGCTAACCTCTTTTATCACCGTGTTATCATGAACAGATTGTCCCAGACATCCAAAAGCCTTCAAAAAGCTCCACAAATGCATGATCTTTTGTCAGTGTGTTCTTTGATCCGTTCGAGCAACGATCAATAGATCAACAACAATGGAAAAAACACAACGGAAATTACGAGCATCGCGAATCCGGAGAAGCCATTTAACTGCGGCCGAAAGTTGTGTTCTTTAAAAGGCTTCGATTATTTTGTAGGGGTCATAGAGGCTCCGCTTAAATGAAATCTTAAAATCCTGTCCATTAAGACTCGATAAAACCAGCTATTTCTCGTTAACGCGAGTCTGAAGCCGCTAGCCACCAGCTAAATCTCGTTGAAGGACTTTTCGAGCGCCAAAATATAAAGATGAAACAACAAAAAAACATTATCGCACTTGTCACCCAAGCTGACAGGTTGCAAAGCAAATTGACCAATGAAAAGACACAATCCTCCCAGTAACGATCCATATAAGGATTATTGGTGCTATTAATGCGCGTAAAATACAAGATAAAACACCAGTCACCTCTCTTACAAACCATTAATATTAAATGAAAACAAAAACACTCAGGTACGAATCCGCAAGCCATCTGTTCACTGACTCGTTTCGACGGCAATGAGATCAAAACAAACCACAAAATGAAAATTATTAGATATTAGGGAAATATTTCTTTCATTCATTGCAAATTCATTCTTCGAAGTTAATCGCACAGACCTAGTTTCATGTAGTTTGAATTTCTAAATCCTGCCACGAAATAGTCCTCTCGTAACGATTAAATCACACAGATTGCAATTTTAGTTACATTTCAAAGTGCGAAACGACCACGAAATATCAACTTAAAAAATAAAAACATACATTACTAAAATGACAAAATTCACTTTTCATCAAACTACGTGCTAGATTTAAATTCTCTCCGACAACTAATCTTAAATTTTGAGGTATTTTCTCAACAAATAAATGACAGATTGATTCGAAATTTTACCTCAGGAGCACAGAGGTTTGCAAGCGAAATTGAAGTCTAACGCGTCTACATGTTTTCCTTTTGTACTTTTATTGGATTTTGTTCGCTCATGAATTCTGTCAGATATTTGTTTCTAGCAGTCACTTAAAAGAAAAATAAACAAGACACAATACCACGGTGCATCGATTTTACCGAAAAAAGCCCGAAAATTTGCATTCTTATCGGTGGGTTAATTTAAAATCTACTCGAAAATTTTAACACACAATACCATCATTTCCCCCGTTTTGAACTTGAATATTCCACCTTTTTGACCGAGCTATATCTTGATGCGAAATACTCAGACATAATTAAAATAATTCCAGAGTTGAAGAGCGACTGGTAAATAGAATTTAAAAAGTTTTGGTCGCCGCTTGTAAAAATTCTATAAAAGTATTTAGAATTCGGCATTTTTAGGCAAACGAAATTCTGATAGAGGATGGTACATCTAAAACCATACTTCTGAATGCTTTCATTGTGCAAAATAAAATACAATTTTGGAATCTGTATATAAGGAAAGACAATTCAAGAAGATATAGTGCTTAATTTCTTCTGAAATGCTCAAAATCCAATGAAAAAATCATACAACCAGAGCAGTAACACGAACGTCTTCGCGAGAAGACACAAAATTATGAAACCGAGTACATTTTTATTTTTTACGCAAATATACCGCTTCATTTGATGGTGTCGACAACAAAAGATTCTCAAAAGCGACTTTTGTCAATAGAAACTTCCTCACTGAAAATCTTGAGTTAAGAGTATTTCAATGTTTACCTTGTCGTGCGGCGCTTCTTCCTCTTTCACCTCAATATTGCTTATCTCTGGCGCAGAATGCGTTTCCACAATGTTGTTGGATTCTCCTACAGTTATATCCTCCTCTTCTTCTTCGATTTCGGTTTTCGTACCCTGAAAACAGAAATAATTTATACAGACAATGTTTTCATCTCCTCACAGCAGGAGATCTGCTTTAAACACTTCGTATTTCCGCTAGAGTTTGAAGGAATATGCTGGGAGAAATGGAAAATTTACATACATTAACATTTAAAATCAACCCAGTGAAGTTGGCCGTCGGATATCAGGGGAAGTCGCCGACAAAAATGGGATTTTCTCTCACCAGTAAGGAAAATTAAACACTTTTCTTGACATCTATCAATTTAGAGGGAATTTGGCAAATTGACAGAATTAGACTTTCACGATGTAGAAGTTTCGAAATGTCGCGTGCAAAAACTGTAAGTGATAAGTACATAAAACAAAAGGGGCCTTTTAAAAGAATTTAGAAAATAATCCCCTCTAATTCAAACTGATTTTCATCATCTTCCTTTCATTTCGTCAACTGGCAAATAATCATTTCGCTGTGACAGAATATTAACATAAAACCAAAAGTAATTGATTAAATCAAGGTCCTTTATTGGTCTTTATTCAATGAAATTTCCCTCGAGGTGAGAAAAGGGAAAAGTTAACTCAACATTTCCTGGTGGGGATATCATTTGTGACGCATTGTCTAAACAATAAAAAAATTGCGTGACAAACTCAAATATATAAGTTAGGTTATGTTCGCTTGACTGGTCGCTTTGTTTTGATTTTGGATTTTTTTTACCCGTCTCTTTCTAACAAAAAATATTTATACTGAAGATCTTTAAAAAAAAACATATGAAGTTTATTGGTAATTGTGGACTCAAAACTGAGAAGAAATTTGAAAAAACCTACATAAGACAATAAGATAAATTGCTTGGAATGTTGCCTAGTCAACGAGAAGTTAGTAATCATGTACAATGAAGAAAAGACACACGTCACTGCATATATATATATCACACAATTCTTTCGATCTAAAGTCGATTTTTTATCCTGTCTATTGAATTCTCCGTCTCAGAGTATATCTAGTCTACAGTGTGCCAAGTTTGACAGAAACTATCCATCGTTCATTTCCTCAGCGTTACAAAGCAACTCCCCTAACCCAAAATTAACTCTAACTTGTTATCAGCTGTTGATGTTTGGCTAGGGGAGGGGTGGGTGCACAGTTGCTCAGACGCTGACATTGATCCGAACGATTCGAGCAAGATTTTTAACCGTACCTTAGCTATCTCGGAAGGAGAAAAGTTTAACAACTTGTCCACCCCGCACGGGCTGTCTGCCTGTTCTAACAGAGTTTGGTCTTCGTTGGTTTGGCTTCCTTGAAGTACTGAGGACCTCGCGGAGGGTGCTGGTGAATCCATGAAGAGAAGGTTGTCGCCCATGCTGCATATTAAATTTAAAAAAATACGAATAAATAAATTAAATGTAATGAAGAAAATTGACCAACCAAAGGCCATCAAGTAGCCTACCTCAGAGGTTTCTGTGGAGCCATATCTCTCATCCCAACACCTCGCTTGACTGCAATTCAGAAGAAGAGTTATTCGTCAGTATCCGAAATAGGGATTATTAACCAAAATGGAATACTTTCTGTTCACCTTAAGTTGCACTTTATCACAAAAGGAAAAAAATCAAGTAGATCACTTAAGCGTTTAAAAAGAACAAAGGCAAAGAGAATGTAAAGAAAGCAAGAAGTACCCCCCCCCCCACCGTCTCACAAAAAAAAAAATTTTTCTTCCCTCTAGCAGGAGTGGAGAAGAGGCCATGTGATGCCCAAGACATTCCCAACCCACCCACCCACCCATCCCTCTTCTACTTCACTCTATTCAATGAACATGTGCCTGACAGTAATTATTCTGTTTCTAGAAGCAGCGTACAAACTTTAAACATGAAACTTTCCAACAGACTTATCCAAGGTTGCAAGGCTTTAGTGCATTTATACAAGGTGTAGTTCGTCATTTTCAAATCACTAACCTGGAGTTTGAGAACTTCCTCCTTTGACAAGTGGATCAAATTTAACATACAAAGACTGACGTGCCAGGGCTGACTGCAAAAGTAAACACAACATTTGTTTAAACTAATGGTGTGTATGTCATCAAATATAGCTGTACTGCTGTAAAAACCCAAATGGCTACAAACTAAGGGTAACATAGACTTTTGTAAGACCATAGAGACAAAGACTGTGAGCAAAAGTCAGCACAAGAGCCAATAGAGATTCATTCTAATGTCATAGTTACAGCAGAATTATATAAAACTGTCAACCTGAGCAGAAAAATTAAAACAAATGATAAACTTGCCAATAAAATATTTCTGGGTCAGACATTAACACATCATGTTTTGATATATCTTAGTTATTTTCTGTTTTTCCTTTTGATCACCTTTCTTCCTTTGAAAACTTTTTGGTCAACAGCACATTCTTTTTCTTAGAAAAACCATAAAGGTGACAAGTATCTAATTTCTCCTTAAAGTACCACAACTGAGTCACACATTTAAGGTCATGAGAATAAAAGAAATGATCAACAACTAAAGACACTGTTGATTGTGCAAAATAGGACAGTTAAAGGTTAAAAATTAACATGCTTGTTTGGACACCTTAAATGCAACACTGATCAAAACAAGCAAACAAACAAAAAAAAAACAGAATTATTTCTGTGTGTGAATACACATGTACATTTGTAGACAGGCATTATCACCACAGATAGTAAAGCTTTCATTAATCTGTTAGTTCAGACCATCACCAAATAAGAAAGGAAAATTCTCACTTTCAAAAACCACCCAGACACTGTAGACTGTTAATTAAAGTACATATACTACAAAAGTACTGCAACATTTTCCAAACCTTTCTCTTTATCATAATTATTGACCATCACAAATAGGCATATCTGGCAGATCTTGATTGTTTAAAATGAGGAACACCGAGTGGCACATTCATTGTAAAAAATTAAAAGACTACTCAATCCACAGCCTGCCTTACCAATATTTTCAATGCATACCTAATTTCTTCATCAGTGACAGAATTACTTAGTTGAAAAGGTTTGACAATCTTTTTTCATTCAAATCTGACACTTAATGAGGTATTTACTACTTTTATTTGACATGTCCTTCATTTAGTGATCATTAGGAGCAGGTAATGATGTGACAGCTTCAATTTCACTGTCCAATGAGCAGGAAATAAGGTGATATACTTTAAAACATTTGACTGAGAAACTCCCCAGGTCATCATTAATGATTCATGATCAATGTCTGGTGCTGCTTTGATGAAAAGCAAAGAAACCTCTTTTTCCATTTGGCACTCAGGTACCATGAATTCAATGGGCCGCTGATTTTAAAAGTGATGGAAAACATCCACACAAGATTTAACAGACAAAAGTGACAACATTTACTCCACATTTAATCGACAGGCATCACAAGGTATAATATACAATGTACATTTATAAAAACACTTCGAGAGTAAACTTTTTTTAGATTTTAAGTGCATTTTAGGATAGCAGTAAACCAACATAAATCACCTTTGTTGCTAAGAATAGTGGTGGTTTGGATTAATCTTAAAAAAGTTTCAAAAAGACTGGCAGGCATGCAAGGATTCACACTGAAATAAAGAACAACCTTCATTTATTATACGTTTGCCTAGCACGTGACTTAAATTTACCCAGGCAGAGATCCAAAATGACGGTGGCAGGCTTGGCTTAGTTATATCACTCAAAACTAGTTCCAGTTTGTCTGATTTGATAAAGAGGGAATCGTTAATGTTTTCATTAAGACAGTATTGCCTTGATTTTCTAATATTTACAGCGAAAGACAGTAAATTTCACTTTTCACCCACATTTACTTCCAACCTTTTCTTTTGAACCAGTAACAAAAATGATAGACGTTTAAAACACATGACATCATCCACCTTGTCAAATGTAATAGCATGATCATTTCAATTGTAATGCCTTCTTATCCCAACGTTACTTTGTTTCTTTGCTACATTAGCGAACACTGAACTACTGCTCGTACTCTAGATATGACAATCAACCACAAAATTCCCTAAACCAGATAACATTAAACATCATCTGTCAAAATCATGTGTCAATTCACGAGTTTGCTCACAGAGCACTTTGATCATTGTAAATATCATGAGAAAGTGTATTTTCCCAGTTAAAATAGAAAAGTAAGAATGTGAAAAAAAATGTGTTTCAGACAAGACAGTTATTATAATTGTTATTATCTAAAGAAACTATGATGCTACATTGGTGGGAGAGTATAACAAGGTAATTTAGTACATTGTATATCAACTGAGTTGATAACGTAAATTGGCCACCATTTAAAGTTTCAAAGCTGACTTTTCAAGCATTAGCTCTTCATCAGAGCAAATGGCGATGGGCTGGCACTCAAAACATCAGCTATAAAATTCTTTGCAGTGGCCGATTAACATCATCAACTCAGTTGATAATACCAAATTACCTTAGCAAAAAACACCATCAGTTAACTTCATTTTAATTCATATCTACAGTAGAACCCTGCAAACTTAAATGGGTTTCCCCAGGTAACTCAAACAAGATTTGATTTCCCTTCACCCCATTTTAATACATGACTAAAGTCATGTATTATTTGCTCAAACACCCACCAACTATTTATTGTTTTCACTGGAGAGTAACAGTTAGAGGGGTTCTACTGTATCAAGGCATTCATCTGTAAGTGAAAAAATTAAAGTTAAAACCTTTTAAATCTACAATTAAATCACTGGTAATGTTATAGTTCCTTTTAGATGGTGATAGCAGTTTCTCTTATGATAATAGATTAGAAACATTAACTTAAGAACATCTCTTACCATTTGAAAGTCCTCACTGTTGTTGCCACACTGCTCCAAATAGTCAAGCTCCCACATGGCTGGTGTTGAAATATAACAATAAAGGCAGTTAATATGCAGCAGTACCATTTTGAGTTAACCCTTTAGGGACTAGTTTCTAATTTCTCCTTACAATAGCAGCCTTGAATCAAAGAATGTAACAAGCACAAAGGAAATGATCATCCACTAAAGAGGCTCTTGGTTGTTGAACATGTTCTCCTTGTCAGCAACTCAGAAAATGTAAAGAGAAAAGTGTGGAGAATGTCCATACTGATGTTAGATAGTAAAGGGTAAAAACACTTTCATATCCTTACAGCTTCAAAGTTATTACCTTCACTGGCTGGCTTAAATGCCTCATCTCCGAACTGATCATCAACCTCTACTTGGTTTACTGCATCTTTTTCAAACAGAGCTTGAACATCCTCTGTCTTTTCACCACTTATCACATCTTCATTCAGTGTATTTCTCTCTTGAAACTCATTTTCAAGCTCAGAGGGGTTCACTGAAAACAGTTCAGCTGACTTATACGAGTGTTCCTCACTGGTTATCTCCTTAAGTAAATTGTCAGTGTGAGCATTTCCTGTGGACAACACATCATCTTCTATGTTGTCATTTTCATGCGGAGCAAGGAGTTTGTTGATGTCTTCGTTACTGTCTATGAAGTTCTCTGAAAGGAACAATAACTAAGGTTCAGTAATTATTGAAATAACAAGCTTCAACTCAAGTTGACAATCCCATAACCACGCATAGTAATATTAACTTCACAGTTCAATTTTTATCATTTCAAAAAGCATAATTTTCTTCTAAGTTTCGAAAGAAACATTTAAGACCCAGAAAAAATTGCACATCTAACCAGAGTAAGGTATTATAGCACCAGCTGCTATGCTTTGTAAATTGTGCTCAAAGACAGAAAATAAGTACTTTTTAGAACTGATTCTAACATCATTGGCTGGCTAAAGTTAACCCTTTATGTCCTAAAATCAGTAACTGTATATTCTCCACAAAGTTCTGAACACATTTTTTATATATTTCCAAAGGTGTTGACAAGGAGACTTTGTTTTACAATCAAGAGCTTCTTTGGTTGGTGATCATTTCCTTTTTTCTCATGACCATAATCTGTGATTCAGGGGTGATATTATAAGGAGAAATTAAATGCTAGTCACTCTTTGGGGTTAAAGGGTTAAATTTACTCCAAAAAATTATTTACTATTTCATTTCATGCAGACCTTGCTCATCAGGTGATGCCCTTTCACTACCGATTGGTGAAAATGTGCGCGGACAGTCATTACTGTTAATTTGTAGCTTTGAAAAGTCCGACATGAGCTCTGTATCTAAATCATCATTAGGTCCATTCTGATGCCCTTCGGACCCTTGCGTGATATTGCCGACAGGCATCTCAGATCCATCAATCTCTGGGTGGTCAGCATTAGTTGTCATGCTTATAGCTGTGCCTGATTGCCCCCTACAAAAATTAAAACTATGTGAAAAATATTAATTCTGGATGGTTATATAGTGCAGTTCTGTCAGATGCGCTAATGGAATGCTAAACAAACCATCATAGCAGCCATCAGCAGATCAAGGATCATACTTAGTCTTGGAGATCTCATACAATTTTAAAATGTTAGTTTGGAGAATTTGGTATTGGATCAACTAATATTTGCAGAGTTGACATTTTTTGTTATTCTCATCACTTGTTTGCTTGATATTGTATTGATATTGTAAGGAGAAAATCTGCCTTGGTCACCCATGGGAGTTGAAGGGTAAAGCTGATAACTGAAGAAATTAGGAAAAACCTTGCAAAGAAACTAACATTGTTAAAATCTGGAACTGTCAGCTGTGCAACAGAACTTTACAATTTCTCTTCATTTACAACAGATGTCAACAGACAAAGAGATACATGTTAAAAAACTAACAAACAGGTCCAGTGAGCAGAAATGTTTTAGTAACAAAGTTTCTCAATGCAGTCATCCTATATTATCATTGCTGAAAAATTGTTTGCTTGTTCAAACAAGCATTTTGTTCACCATGGCAAGTGAAAAATTCCACCAAAAGTCACCAATTGGTGACCAATGGATTTGACAAAAAAAGGAAACAAACAAACATCAGCAGGGGACTCAGTGAAAAATTGACCTTGAGCCCTGATTTTTATATATATATAAATATTATGAGAGGAAAAAAGGACGCAACTACATTTCCCGACAAGCCTGTTTCGTGAATCGCTCTTCAAGGGTTTAATTCACTCTTCAGGGGTTTAATGGAGAGTGAAGCGATATATATATATATATATATATATATATATATATATATATATATATATATATATATTTGGGAGGTCTGCGAGTCGATTTTCGCGTGGAACGGTGCTCAGTGCGTTGAGGCAGGGCGGAGTAGGTGTTGTGAGGGGAAGGAGGGATGGCCCGACAGGCCTGTTTCGTGAATTGCTTCACTCTCCATTAAACCCCTGAAGAGTGAATTAAACCCTTGAAGAGCAATTCACGAAACAGGCTTGTCGGGAAATGTAGTTACGTCCTTTTTTCCTCTCATAATATTTATTCTGCTCTGCTTCAATGTATTGAGCACTTTTCCACGCGAAAATCGACTTGCAGACTTCCTATATATATATATATATATATATATATATATATATATATATATATATATATATATATACACCTATTTTCAAAAACATTGCAATTTGAAAAAAAATATATGAAATGTGTATAAACAAAAGGTTTACATATTTCATGTATATTTTAAAATTTTAATGTTTTTTGAAAACTGATGTATATATACAGTATATATTCTTTATAGACCATGTTGTTATCACATGTAGCTCCAGATGCATACCAGGAGATTTCCATCTCAATAAGCTTGTTATAAACTACAACCAATATCTCTCAACTTACCTAAAGCAGGGTAAATCAGCTATAAGCTGGTCAAGTAACTCCTACAAAAATTTCAGACACAGCATTAAAATCAATATGAACATACACTTTAAAGAGGGACAGGAAGATCAGTACTCAGTAGAACTAAATTCTTCATTTCTTACCTTGGCTGTTTCAGTGTAAAAATTATGCTCTTCCTTGGTCACAACTTGGGTTCTCTCTGTCCAGTTCTGTTCTTCGTCAAGTTTACGAATATCCTCCCAAGCAGTATTTTCTTCTCTTTTGTGAGGGATTGTGTGCCGTGCAGGAGAATTTTTGAATGAGACCTGAAGAAAAAGGAAAAAGATGTAAATACACCAAAACCATGAATCAAGAGGAAAATTTTGCATTCTGTAGCTTTCAATTTTTTAAATGTGATTGTCAGTTTTAGGAAAGCTTTACTACAATTACATCTTGGATAGAGATGCCTATCAGCTGTCCAGTATATCCCAATAAATCAGGAATCTGTCATTTGTAGGGAAAATGCCTCAAACTTATTTTGAAGCCATACACACATAAAGGAAAATCTATTTCCAGTCTTTCATACTGTTCACCTGGGACTTTCTTGACCAAATGGTGATCAGTAAAAGAATCTACCAAGTAGCATTAACATGTTCAGTAAATGAAGACAAATCAGCTATCATGGGAACAAATAAAAGTTTCATGAGTTTCATGTAAAATGGCTGAGGAAGTCATGACAACATCTATAATGTATATTTTGAAAAAAACGATGGTTAAATTCATCATCAGGTCTAAATGTGTGAACTTGACCTTTTACATGTTGTACACAAGTACCATGAGTCTAAGAGCATCCAACGGTGCTACTTGTGATGAATCAGAAGATATTGTCGGCATCAGAATTTTACCATCCAAAGATCACGCCAATTAATTAGTGATTATTTAAGTGTTGAGGAGGCAAATGAAAATAAAAGAAATTATCCTTTCTGTTTTCTAGCTAGGAAGTCTTCCCGTTATTATAAAGCAAAGCTACCATGCCCCTAAGATTTTTTCCATCAGAAACTACTGTAATCTTGTTACTTCATACGTACTCGATTGACCCGAGCAATTAAATATTATGACCAGTCCCGTTTACATGTCGATGAAATGAAAACTAGAGAGTTTTTAGCCACGAATTTTGATGTGGGTAGGCGAAAAATGTCCATGATCAAAAAGACAACCACAGTTCCAATAGACATAACCTTACTTTAGTTAATTTCTTTTCCAAGGGGCAGTTTGCTCTCTGTGAAGATTTTAATATCGACACAACTCTTGGCAGTTCCCCATCTTTGAATTTCTCCGGGACACCCTGGTTCTCCTCATCACCCACTTCCTGGCTTGGCGCCCTGAAATCCATTTACGATGAGGCGTTAAAATTTATAATTTGTAAAAACATTCAGCAAACAATAAAACAACAGTAAAATTCAAAGGTTTACCATTTCGCGAACCGTTGACCGCCTTTTCTACCGAGCCCGCGAGCACGAGGATGAGAGCGGTAACAAGCATGCGCTAAAATATGATGAGAATATGTTTCCGGACTGGACTAAAATATGAGGATCAGGACTTTTCGCGGCGTGCGGAGGATTTTGCTTGAATCACAACAAAATTTACTTGATCCCCCTATAAAGCTCCATTTTCTTACGATCTTCCCTCCCCCGTGGGCAGTTTATTCATCGGCATCCTTCTGTCTCTGAAGACAATGGAAAATGCCCCAAGAGGTTAATGTCTGTTTGAATTGCAGCGCCTGCTGTGACTGTACAATCCGATTCTTGATCGACAGGCTCTGTTGCAGTTTTGACAGGTGTACATGTCCATGCTTGGCTCTCTAAGGGCTGTTGCTGTCCTACTCTGTCGTCTGCGCTCTCTCCGGGCGTCCCACAGGCTTCTCTCTTCCTCTCGCTTGTCTGGATCCCTGTTTTGAGGGCAAGACTCCAACTGTCGCGGTCTGCAGCTGCAGTCTCCCAGCCTGTTGGGTTGGTGTCGCCTGCCTTCAGATCTCGTTTGCAAACGTCTGTATATCGAGGAACAGGCCTTCCTGCAGGTCTGAAGCTAGTAGCAAGCTCTCCATACAACATGTCCTTGGGAATTCGACCATCTTCCAGTTAATTGGCAGTTTATTAGCAGCTTATTGGCATTCAATTATTCTATAGCTCCCTCTTAACATCCTATTGGCGACGACTGATCCTTGCCTCTGTTCTTTCTGAAAACTAGACGTGATCCCACAAAATCCTCTGATCAGCCCCGCCCGTAAATGGTGACTTTTCTCGGCGGCAATTACGAGAGATATCCTGACGTGATTCAGCGGGATGCCGTCTGGAATTATGCTGGGTTAGATCCCGGCGTATCCCCGGGAAATGGTGTACCTGTCTCTTGAAATGAATATGATATGCCGTTGACCTACAAGTAGACCGTGCAAGAAGCTGGGAGCCTGTTGATCGGCAATCAAACAAAATGTTGTGTCCATGAAATCAGATTTTGAGAAAGAACTGAAAACCCAGTGCGCTATATTGGCTATAGGCCAGAATTCACAAAAGGAGAGAGCTAAGATGTGTATCATGCGACTGTCGGACTGATAAGATACTCCGAGAAAAAAAAAGAAGCACCGGGAAACATCGAGCAAAAATTTGGTCAATGTCGGAATTCCACTGATACTTATCATCACGCGCTTGCTCACTTACTCATCCCCGTAACATTGTGGCTTCGTCTCCTATGATAGAGGAGGCAGTAGCCACAAAAATCTCGCAGTCTACGAAGTCGTCGATAAATCGATGACAAGGTATTTCCTCTTTACGCTGCCGTCCTCTGAGAAAGATTTTTATGGGGCTCAGTAAGCTGTGTCCTGAATTGCAATTGAACTTTTTTACTTCAGTTTGCTATCAGATAGTTGGCCAGCGAGCCTCAGAGTTCCCATGTTATTAAAAAGGTATGGAAAGGCACTTGTTGGACACTAATTTATTTCTTCCTTTTTCTTAAAAAAACAAAAACCATTCTGATGTTGATGGAGCGTGATTAAAACAACGAAGAAACACTTTAAACTACTACAATAGGACCACCATTTAATTTCTCTACTCAAACAATGTTTTAATTTTGAAATCTTTACTTCGTTATCATTTTAAAAACTAATACCACGAAATTTTCAAAAGTTCACTTGCTATAACGGTTGTTCATCAGCTCGTCAGCTTATCTTTCTCAAATGAAATCTTCAGCAATAAAACCGCCACTTTGGAGACTATTTGACATCTGAAATCATAGTGAATATATTTTTCACCGCTGTATCATTGTAAATATACAATTTCGCAGCAACACTATTTAGGGAACAGTCACTCTTTTTGATCGCCAGGGGGTTGGGGTGGCGCGAAGATTTTAGGGTAGATCACATGGTTTTCAGGCCAACGGAGTGGGATCAGTCGTCGCCAACAGAGGATAAAAATTGACCATAAGAATATTACTGAGCCTTATAGTGGAGTCAGGTAAAATTTATCGTGACACCTCCAGGCGATAAACCTCATGTTCGCTCTTAAAAATGCAACACGATTTACTGAAAGTCATGGAATCAATTCTTTTTATTGTGGTGAAGATTCCCTTGAAAAAAAATACCATCCTTTATTGCACGTTATATTTCTCGTCTGAACATTCGTTCAAAGCCTGGAATGATCGCCATGTGTTTACGAGGATTGATGGAGTACACTCGCTGATCAATGACGATGAAACATTCCAGCTATATCATGGTTCTTTGTTTCGCCCATTTACTATACCCCGGTTTTATTTTCCACTAAAGACCATCTTATAAAACCACTTCGATGCCAAAGAGCATTAAATAAGGTCTGTATATCTCTTTGACGCAAATTCTTGATATAAACGGAGATTGCTTCGTCCAGTCCATTTACTGCAGCAGGTCTAGTAGCAAACACATTTCAGTGTATGGTCGCAAATTCTTGTAGCAAACTAAACTGCTCGAGGTTGCTGACGGAAATTGTCCGGCGAACTTCAATAACAATTGAACGTACCTGTGCAAATAAGAATAGAATAAAATAAAAATCACTTTAAGAGTCGTGTTAAAAAGGGAACGCCATCTATCTAGGGATATCGAGTTTTGCTGTCCTCTTCAAGTCAACTGAAGGAACAAAGAAAAGGTCAACTACTAAATAGTGTATACTCACCAGTTGTTGCGAGTTCTCTAGACCAATCACAGAGCGAAGTAAAGCAACACCAATGAGATCCCGGTTCTTTTCGGTAATTCATTCGTTTCTGTTTTTTCGGTTTGTTTGTTTATTTTTTCGTAATGATCCGGTTTCTCTGAATATTTTTCGTAATGATCCAAATTGTCCTGGAGTTTCAGCGTCAAAGTGTCATAATTACTACGTATTACGCCCAATACCTGAAATCATAAATTATCATACAGCGTTTTTACTTTTAAATGCTTAGTAATAAGCCCACCATTTCAAGCCAAACGATTTACCATCAAAAGCGAGCAATTCGACAAAAGGACCGATAATCGTCTGGGGGAGTAGGGTCGCAGGATTTTGGTTGTAAGTTGTATCACGAATTAAGTTTATGTAATATTCTCATGCCTCCCCCCCCCCTCCCCCCCCGGCAGTTTACTGGCTGTGAATTTCCTATAGTTCCTCTTTCATACCCTGTTGATGACGACTGATTCCCCCTTCATTCCCCCCTGAAAACCAAGTGGTCCCCCTTAAATCCTCCAACCCCAAGGCAATAAAATGATTGGTCCCTGAGCAGTGTACAAACCTGTTCCGAAGTCATTGACGTCAGGTGATTGACAGCTGCCCATGAATCGATTTTTGGCGTAAAATGGTTTATGATTGCCCTGTAAGAAGAATGCAAGGCAAGTCAAGCGTTTACATTCATTGTGAAGCTGCGATGAACTAACAAGTATTGAAGTATTACTTGAAGTATTACTCCTGGTCGCTTCATGGAACAGAAACCAGGATGACCTATGGCAGGATGCGCAAATTAACTCAAATGCTGTCCACCTAAATTGAAAGTCTAGCTCTTCAGGCCGTAAACATTAATTTATTTTGAGTTCCCATTGGCTATAACACTTTGATTCGAATTGGCCGTTGTGATAACTTTGCCTTTTCGAAACTAGATCAAAATTAATTTTTATCTCACCTGACATTCACTAAAGAGCTCGCCAGACGAGAAGCCGCATCCTTCCAGTCGCCACCATTTGTTGAGTGTCTTAACGCTGTTGGCATCAAACAAATCGTTAACAGCTGACGAGTAATGGCAAAAAGAAAGAAATTCTAAGTTAATTCTTTCGCCTCTGATGCAAGTCTTGACATTTCGCTTTACCTCGTTGTTACCCCAAGAAGACACAGCGGTCAAACATAAGGTATGCACAAGGGAATCAATTTTGGCCGGCCTTGCGCCAAATTCTCGCGAAAAATTTCCGAGGAAAACGTGAAAAACAAACGCTATCTCGCAAAATAAGCGAAAGGAAATTGAAACGTTCACAGAAATCGATAAAAAGGAAACAAAAGTAGGAAAAAGGAGAACTCAAGACTTTTTGAACACAAAGCTTATTCAAGTGCGGGTATCCTGTTGATTTAGCATTCTGTTTTGAGCTTTGCCAAAAAAGTTTCACGCGGGTAAACAACGTGACCAACTGGCTTGTGTGGTTGTTTGTAACTTTTGTGAGACAGCTGGTTCTGACAGCCCGCTGAAAGCACGCCACCCAGTGATTACAAAATTTGCACATGCGCTAACGTTTGACGTGTTCTTTAGCTCGATGTTACCCCAAGATTGGCTTGAGTCGATCTTAAATTTTCGCGCGTATATATCAGCCAATGAGAAACAGTGACATCATAAGTCACCACCAAGTTGACCATCTTTGAAACAACAATACCACTCTGAAAGCTGTGTAAACTTAATATCACGTACACAAACTCAATTTAAGTGAAAGACAGCTTACAAAGTAGTTAATAATATCCTATACATCGTTAATTACTCACCCATAGAATAAAGATTGTCAAAAATTTGATGAACGCGAATGATTTCGTAGTAGAGTTCATCGTATGATGTCGGAGAAGGAAGAAATGTATCTCCATACGTGATGAACAAATTAAAAATGTTAACGACCTACAACAAAGGGATGTAAATAATAGTGAAAGCTTAGATGGAAAGAAACATGTATACCCCTTAAAATATACCACTCGCCTTCCTCAGTCGCTTTTTCGTTTGTAGTAATAACGAAGTTTATCGCAAATCATCAAACTCTTATAATAAATAGGGGAACAACTTAAAACCTTCACACCCTAACATCAATATGCAAATTCTCCACACTTTTCTCTTCATAATTCCTTTGCTTAACAATCAAGAGCTTCTTTAGTTGATATTGTAAGGAGAAATTAGATGCAAGTCTTTCTTAGGGGTTTAAAGAGTTACGAGTGATTTCTGCTTGAGTCTGTGTCAGTACTTAACAGATACCACCGTCAAATTCATCATCTCTGAATGGAAAAAGAAGAATATTCAGTTGTAAACGTACTTGTGATGCCAGGGAGAAGATATCACAGGTTTTGGTGAGGACCGTTTCATTGGACAGAAGGAACTTTAGGAAGTTCATAAGGGCCGTCCAGAAATTTTTCCACGAATAGGAGAGTCTCACTCGACATCTCTTCTGGTAACACAGCATACGATGCAAGATTCCAAATGTTTTACTGCACGAGTAAAGAAACAAAAAGATAGCTAATTTCAGCGTCCATCGCAAGCTATCCGTCTACTTCAAAGTGTTTTAAAATCGCAGGAAGAAATTGCAAGATTTTATAACCTTAGTGAGAGGGTCAACGTTCAAAGTCGTCACTTTTTACCTGTACAAGTCAATTGGTAAAGTTTTCATCATGTGAGTTACAATAAATTCCACCATGAGGTCTGAAAGACAAACACTTTCATTCATTGAAGTTGAAACATTCAATAATTCTTCCCGTATAATTTCAACTGATTTGTGATAAAGAAGCCCCGAAAACAATTCTCTGTAAATACTTACCAAGTAACGCACACGCGAGAGGTCTTGAAGGAGCGTTCTTTTCGATAACTGGGCCTCTGTGGTACATTTCCTATGATAAAGAGGAAAAACGACACAATAAACACTTAAGCTTTTATTAATTAGAGGATCTAACGCTTCACTAACAGAGGTACATGTGAAATGAGCCTGGGATGACCCGAATCAAAAGGTTTTGGACCTTTAAACCAAGGGGCTCTACTCGTGGTTAACGAAAATAAAATATTCCCAACAATTTGCAAATTCCTCAAAGGCCGTCCAGTTATCACTGTAAGCTATCTTTGCCGCATATCTTTTTGGACACCAGTACTACAATAGAAAAACTCCTGAGACATGATGGCCGGATACTCCCAAATGGGTTCCCGATGAGCATTATCCAATCAGAAAACATTACGAGCACTTCGACTCTCGCTGTTCGTACACTTCTACCACCGACCGTGGGCTCAATTAAAATAGTCCGCAGTACATACCGCTCTGTGAAGTGGTACTGAGAACGTCATGTTCGCGTCGTGAAGAAAAACATTCGCATACTGATCCTGAAGAACAACAAACAGCGTTGGAAGATTAAGCTACATGTATTGTAGTATACCTAGAAGTTTCTAAGTTGGGAAAAAATGCAATAATTTTAGAGGTTAGAAATATGCAAATGATGACTTCGTTCAACGCGACAACAGCTTCATTTGCTTCGCACCCCTCACACAAGACTTAGGGGGGATTAAGTTCGAACCTGAACATTCCATTCCGATTAGGTGCTCTTTAAAAATTATTTTCGTATCTCTGATTGATTGTCACTTGTACGAAAAGTTCACCACTAGCAACCATCAATCAGAAAGGCTTGGTGGATCTTTGTGAAGCCAAGTCAGTTTTCTCACTACGAATCAGTTCGTTGCACGGAAAAATATCCGTTTACTAATTATGCAGTCCGTTTGCCTGCGGTAAAAGAATCTGTTTTCAAAGGAGTTGATCTTACCTCCACAATACATGTTAAAATCACCAGACACAGCTTGGCATTGCTTACTCCTTTGTCATCTGAAAGACAAATAACGTTACGTTGATACTGACTTCCGCTGAGGTGGCCGAAACATCAGGCACTACTACCGACAACAGACCCTCTCAGGACTACACTCACCCGGACGATCAGACTATAGTATTGAAGTTACCACGGGTTTCCTTTGGGAAGGAAAACAGAAACACATCAAGGCCTATTTTACCTTACCTTTTGTATTCTGTAGAGCAATGGAGGAATATGTTAAGAGGGTTACGAGTAAATTCGTGGGCTGACTCAAGTCGGGTGGAAAGTCTTCAACGACAGCGGCTATGAGGATAAAAAAACGAAGAATAGAAATGAGAAGTGATATCCGCTAAGCCATAAGCGCTGGGTGATTTTTTTTCCTGACTCCTACGATATTCAAAACTACCTAGCATTTTGCAATGCGTTGTTGCAGTCATACGTGGAAGTATTGTCCGTAAATGAAAATCAATCCTCTGAATTTGATTTTGAATGGTACTTATTTAACTGACTTTTTAAAATCAAAAGCAAATAAATCTCGATAGCCCATCAAAATAAATATAGATATTTCAAAAACGCTTAAAGAACTCAAATTAAACATATATTAACTGCCTTAAGCGCGGGAAAACGCGAGGGACCAAAGACCAGAGCATCTGATTGGTTGGAATAGTGGCACGAGTTTTGTGAACCAATTACGAGGCGTAAAGAAGACGAACCCATCAAAAATTACCCTATATTACATGTAACTGTACCGACCGGTGGCAGTCCTTTCAACCACAGGAGGAGCGGCTGTCGGTGATGGAGGAGGACTGGATCCAGGAGCGGTCTGAAGAAAAGATAACATTTGACAAACAAAATGAATGCAGATTAAAAATTATTAAACATGGCCTCGCAAAATGTAGGCTATCACGCCTTCTCTCGGCTCTCTCTCTTTTTTCTTCATCTGAGCTTTTAAACAAATTAGTAAGGTGAAGACCAAAATACTAACGGTCCTGTTCAATATGTAATATTGTTTGTACAAGCCGTTTAAAAGAAACTCTCATAGCACTTCTTTTTGAGCTGACTCAAAACGAGTTCTCTGTTACTCAGCTCAGTTTAAGAGCATCGGCCGAAAGCTCCAAAGGTCTACAGTTCGAGTCCTTTCGAACTTATCGAAAAAACTGATATCAAAGCTGTAAATTAAAGTTGTCAAAACCCTACAGGCGCTTACCGTAACATGACTAAGAACAGTGAAGAAATTTCTGTTGAGGTGCACCGCTTCATACAGAGCTAAAAGGACTGCTTCATTCGTGCTAACAAGAAATAACATGAAGGTTTAGCAAAGATTGAAAACGGAACTTGATTAATTCCTACTGCTTCAATCTCATTCAAATTTGCTACATGATGCACACAAGTCTGAAGGAAAAAAAATTGCGTCTTTGAGGCGGGCGGAAGTAATCGCGAGGTTGAGTAAAGAGCGAGTTCATGCGCAAAAAGCAAGTCATGCGCAAAAAACGAGTCCTGACGAGTCGCGCGTAAAGCACGTGATACGCATGAAGAACGAGTCGCACATAAAGAGCGACTCACACGAACAGAGCGAGTCACAAGCTAGAGGAAGAACTCGCGCGTGACTCGCACTTCGCGCCCAGCACCCGATTTCGTCCAAAGCCGAGTTGGGTGAAAAACAGGCCAGTTGCACATCCTTATTCAAGTGAATCGATCCCGGAATGGTGGTAGTTAATACTCCCAAAAGCGATTTACATACCATGCAAAGTTACCTACGAAGTCAAATGGCTTATCTGGCCAAAGCTTATCTCAGTCTCTGTAGAGTGAAGCGACTAGGAGCATTGCCCCCCCCCCCGCCCCGTTTTTTTTTATCAGACTTCCAGGGGGGGTTCACTGTTAACCATTTATCCTCATGGGTGGAGAGAGGTACTAGGTAAAAGTAATGTGTCGTTCCCAAGAACACAAGAACGCGACCAGGGTCCAGCATGCTAACCGTTAGGCATCTCCCACAAGGAGGAGAACGGAAACTTACTAATCAGCCTGTATGTGTCATCGGAAGTTCTATAGAGTTCATAAATCCATATCATTTCGCAATCCGTGAGTTAAATGTTCTAAATGAGGTAAGCTACAATCGGATACCTGAAACATTCCGCTCGTTCTGTCTCAGCAACGAACATGCTTCCAACCTATGGAACAATAAAACGAACAAGTAAGGCACTGGCACATGCGAGAGGCTAGCTGAAAGTTGTAAGGAAGAAAGAGAAAGAACGACTATCATAAAGTGCTTTTGACTAAGTTTGGTTACAAGAGAACAATTTTCAAGTGAGTGTCGAAAGAAATCGGGGATTGGTTTTTTTTGGCTTCACTTCGCTCTTTGATTGGTAAAAAAAACTCGCGTCACTCTCTCAACCAATCAGCCGCAAAACTAAAACCAAACACATCTTGGTCGCCCGCGTTTTTCCCGCGCTTTAAGCAGTTTGCTTGTTTTCATTCTGAGCTCTCATTGGCTTTTGGTGGTATTTCCCTCTCTTCCGATTGGCCCTTATGATTACTTTGGTTTTGGTTTTTACGAAACTCAGCTGAAAAGTGCTGTATATATTGCAAGTTCTAAGATTAAAAAAATTTTCCCCTTTCCATACAGACCCAGAACTTAAAGTAAATTTCGTATGGGAAGGATGCATACAAAGCTGGTAATGGAGCTGATTAATCCTCCCGAGGCCTGCTCTAACATGGCTGCATGTTTCCTGGAACAAAGTAAAACATGTTGAACTGAGTGTATTATGGGATTATATCTAACAATTGAGAGTAAAATAAACCACATAAGTGCCAAAATTTTATCTCAAAAGTAATCATGGAGATATAGTTGAAGCTAAAAAGGTAACAGAAAAGTATAAGATAAAAATATTGGCCCCAAACAGATTCAACTTGAACAAGCTTGCTAGTAACACAAAAAACAAAGGTAACTCATTTTCCTTCATGGCCACGGGTGTGGTTGCTTATTTGGACGGGCAGTTGTAAGAGAATAGCTACCTATTTGAGGAAATACTGTGTGCTCACTAATCTTTGAAAACATACCTGTTGTAATCGGTAAGTGCGGCTGATATAACACATCCAAAACCCTTCAAAGGGAGAAGAAATACAAGATGCACATTCAGTGAATATCACTATGTTTATATTCCAGAGAAATAAATCTAACAAGATCACTTCTTTAACTTCATAATCATGCTTGAAAACATAATTACAAGTGTTTGGGATCATTTGTAACATGAACATGGTAAAATAATTCTTCAAAATTATCATGAACAGGAACAAAATTTAAAATTTGGCCATTCCTGAGTCAAATTGAGCTCTTCAAGTTATTAAAACGATTCTGTTAGCTCGTGTTGTAGAGCCCCAGACTGCCATGCCGAAGGTTGACAGTTCAATTCCCACACTTGACCAACATTCAAGGTCTCAAAATAACTGAGGAAAATCTGCTGCCTTTACTATGACATCCACAAATGATTGGCCATTCTAGTCTTCTTCTGAATCTGCATCCCCTGTTAGCAGAGGGGATGTTAAGGAACCCATGCACTTCTCACAAAGAGTAAGGAATGTAGCTCCTGGTATCATTAAAGGCCCCACGCAAACCAGATTTAAGCTGAACTGGGCCAGCCTGTCTAAATGTTGCAAATACAAATACACAAAAGCTAATTAGCAATTTTGAAATTTTTCCTTACTGTTCTTTGTTATACATACATTAAGAGCTAATTCATCGTCCAAAATGGATAACTTCCCAATATATGGATTTGAGGCCTGATAAAAAAGAAGGAAAAAAATTTTTTTTTAATGACAATTTTAAAGATGGAATTTTTTCAAACATGGATGAATATGATTATAAAATTATAATTACATTTAAGTATAGCCACATAAAAAGAAAAAACAATTTAAGTGATTTTGCAAGGAAATTGATTAAAATCATTTAGACTTTTGCTAGTGTAAAATATATTCCATATTGGCTACAGTAGTAATACAACTTTATCAATAACTGTTCATAAGCATCTCTTTTACAGTTTTGATCCGCAAAATAATCCAACAGGTTTACAATTGTCCATCACTTACCTCATACTTCCTGTAATTCACCAGAATTGTCAGCAGCAGCATTGCTTCATATCCATGTTGCTGTCTGGCCACTGGATCAGCAAGAACCTTTACCAATGGAAAGTTTTTATTAGAATGAACCATCTGACAGTGAAGTTGGATGGTCTGGGGCTTGAATAATCTGTACTGAATCAATCTTTTTTCTCTCTTTCTCTCTCCATAATTTGAGATCGTCCTTTATTCCACAAACAAGCTCAAAGTTCACACGACCATCTTTCTACCTTGACCTCTGGAAAGGATCCTTTAGACATTTCTGATCCTTACAGAATGTATGACGAATGTCTCAAATGAATGGAGCAATGGCTTCATTCACCAGACCATGAGTTTTATATAACTCTGTTGACAAAGCATCCCACTACAAAGTCAGAGGTTCAAGCCATCTTAGAATGTGACATATTGTTTTCTTTGACCCAAAAAATTCATGACAAAATTTTCAACATCCTTCTTTGTAAGTCAGAACAATTGTAGAGTGTCTAAAGTGGTTATCATGTTTCACAATGTATTCATGACTATGAAACTAGTAAATACTCTAAATATTACCTGAATAACAGCTTCAAAGATGCTGTTGATCATAATATACTCCACAATTGTGTTCTGACTAACATTGTCTGTTGCCTGCAACAAATAGATGAAAATTGTCAGGCTCAGATGGGAACCCTTGCCACAAATGAAGTTTGCACATACTGAGCAAGATTTAAAGGGAAAACATATCTACTTAACTAATAAACTCCCATAAGTGACCAAGACAGAACTTTACCTTAGTTTACAAAACCCAAATACCATCATGCAAAAGAGTGATGAAAGTAAAGAAAAATATCATTTAGGGTATAAATAGTTAATCCAATCACAAATTCTCAGAACTAAAATCATAAGAATTGCACGGCAGACAGTAACGAGAATTCCCAATGAGATCCTAGGAGTGAAAGAGTTAAAGAAGATTGAGATTATTCCACAAACTAACTTTGAACGTGTACTTACTGTTACAAGGATAAGAGCCAATTTAAGAGACAGATTCTTTAAGCTCACTGTAAAAAAAAAGAAAAAGAAAAAGGAAACCAAGGTGACAAACAGGTTGAAGGAAAAAATACCTGTCTTTCCAAATGGAACATTGAGAATCCAATGATGTTATCTACTGGTACATGCAGTTTTTGATGTATTGATGAAAGAGTATACTAGCTACAGTGTAGAAGGGGCTTTACCTTAAACATCTGACAGTTAAATATATCACAAGTATCTGGTTTGTTACTAAAAATGCAGCCCCTGTCTTAAGAGTTTGAATTTTTGCGCTGACATTGCAGATAACATTTGTATGCTTTGCTGACCTATGATATCGAGGGGTTGAAGATAAGCTCTCTTGAAAAAAGGGAAATAACTAAACTTTGTTGTTATTAAGTAATCATTACCAGGATAATCACCAACAAGAAATGTATGCAAACTTTCCAGTAGTCCCTAAACACAAGAAATGAAATATCATGATGAATAACAGCAAAATGTAATTACTCTTTGACATGAAAGACACTTTTAATTTATAGTAGCAATTGTTAGAGATAATATTTAAGAATTAACTATCACTACCATGTGTGCATACTGGATGAAATGTAAGTTGACGCTTTAAAATTCACCTCTTCCCAGTTGTTCAATGGATGGATAATGAGATAAAATAGATCACTGGGAATGGGAATGGAGATGGAAATGGGAATGGAGATGGAAATGGGAATGGGAATGGGAATTTAGCAGCAGACATCCCAAAAAGTGGCTCTTCTTGTTAGCTGTTTCCAAGTGAAATTGGAATCTGAACTGTTGGTTTTCCTGGAAAAAGGGAAACTGAAGGACCCAGAGAATAGACATCAGAACTAGGACAGGAATTAACCCTTTAACTCCCAAAATTAAATTATCAATTCTCCCCTCCAGCTGCTAGACATTTCCTTGTAAAATAGTAATGAGAATTTGGTGCTAGATTAGGATAACAACATCTACCTGATAAGTTTGAATATTCTCACTACCTATTTGCTGGATAGTGTAAGGATATTATAGGGAGAAGTTTCATGTTGATCACTTCTGGGATTTAAAGGGTTAACAACAAACACAACCCTTATGTAATGACAGGTCTGAGAATTGAACCTGGGCCACAGCAATGAGAGGGGAACATTCTGACCACTACATAATCCCTGCTTCCCAATATATTGTTATCCAACAGACATATTGCTATCCAAAGAATAAATCATTATCCAGCAAAAAACAAAATGAACAGCACCGTTCAACTGATAGAAATGTTTTCAGCAGATGGCACAATCCACCATTTGAACTACTCTTGCATGATCTTTAATTTTCAAGGAGATTCTTGCATATTATTCAAGCAGCACAACACTGAACAAGAATGGTATAGTATTAAACACTTTCAAGTAAATGAACAAACCTGCATCTGAGCTTCAGCAGCATCAAATCCAATCAAAATGTTTATTATGTCAAATCCATGGTCTCCTAATCTCTTTCTGTAAACTGCTCGCACAAGTGCACACAGTGTCTGCAATTAGCAAAATCATGTTGATTTTTGGTTCTTTTTATCCTAAATTATCTTAACCAAGCAATTTTATACATCAGGCAAAGTTTAAGATATTCCAATACTATACAAACCTGAAGAGCATTGACTAGTTTTATTTGGTGATCTCCTCGTAAAGCAATACAGCACTGGGCGAACAGAAGGTTGATGTTCTCCTGAATAAAAGTTGTGTACAAAGTTAAATTACACTTAAAATAACTCCTTGCTCATGCCATAAGGCATTAGTATGGATGGATACGAGCCCTCATAACAGTATAAAATTAACCATGCGTGTAACAACTAACACTGTGTTGTAGCCTTTCATTTGCAGCCTGTACCTTGACATCCATAAGTTCCTCTTCACTAAGTTTGTCGATACACTTTTCAAGGTAGATGGCATTAACCTACAAGGAATTCACAGTAAATTAAAAAGTAAAGCCTTTATACAAGCCCAAGTGGCCCATGGGGCCGGCGCTTAACCCCGGTTTCCTTAGCATGAGGCAGCTAGGAGTATTGCTACTCCCCCTTGGAAGGGATGCTAGTCCATTGCAGGGTTACCCTCAGCATATTTGCTGGTACCCATTTGTACACCTGGGTGAAGAGAAACACTGTGAGAGTAAAGTGTCTTGCCTAAGAACACAACACAATGACCACAGCCAGGGCTCGAACCCAGACCACTCGATCCGGAGTCAAGCACACTAACCATGAGGCCACCGCACCTCCACTAAATTAGTTAAGTTTAAATTAATATCATAATGTTAAGGACTAACATTCTACAGCAGAAGCCAAAAACACCCAAAGAGAAGCCAAAACCTAGCTACAAATTTTGAGACGAAATTATTTATTTACATGCACATACACCATCTTGTAGTTTACTATGATTGCCTTGAAAGTTGAAGCAGTCAGAGCACAGGAGCGGGGATGAATATGAGAGTGAGTTGGGGAAGGGGTGTTAATAGGAAATAGGAGGTAAGAGTGATGTTGAGACAAACCCTTGGAGACAAGCAGTCATTTATCAATTATCTGCAATTTTTCACGAAGAGCAGAAGATAGAAGTCAGAGGTCACTGAGTCTGAGAGGCTGGAGAGAAGGGCTGGGAACCAAAGGAGAGAATGACCTCAACATCCTTCCCTCTCCACCCCCATCAACACTCAAAGTTTTTTTTTAAACAATCACAACTTACCCTCAAAAGAAAAAATTCATGCCAGAAATTTGGATTATCACGAGATGGCTCACCTCCCTAAATAAAAAGAGTGTGATCAAAACACATCCTTCTTAACATGTTCTGTTATTCTACGTACTAATTACTATCATTAACATAACATTACATAGGTAATTGTTTATCCACGCAAAACTCTTATTCAAATGAATTTAAAATGTTTTTTTATGGTAATCATCCAAATAATCATGTCAGCGATCATCACTGCGAAATGAAACAATTAAAAAACGCCACATTGACATCTTGCCAATTACGCTCTAAAGAAGAATCTCCTACAATTAGGGGAAATTCGAAAAGAGCAGCTAACGCAAACTTATGTTGAAAAACAAACTGATCACACATGTATTATTTGTAATGATTGCAATGGTGATACACGCATCATAACCAAAAACTATTAACATATATACAGTATACACGTACTCATTAGACATTTAGTAATAAATAAATAAAAAAGAATCAAAGCAAGTCAATTACCTTAAAAAAGTCATCGTAGATTCCCACAATTTTCTCTTTCACTGGCTTCTTCGGCGACAAAGGACCTGATTTTGTCTCAGCCATGGCATAAACCATTGCTTTCAATGAAACTTATTAGCCACGAATCAGTTTTAGACCAAAGAAAAACTGTTCGCTAATTTTCAGGCGAAGCAAGTTTTCTTTAAATCATACTGGCTCTAGTTTCTTGACGATGACAATACTGTGAATTTCAATAACATGAATATGATCTAAACGCAGAGAAGAAATCCATTACTACCAATTAAAGTTTGTATAATTCTTCCTTAATCTCTGAGAGAATCACATCAAATATTGTGGCTGATTATTTTGAGAGGCTCTGGCACTACTGAAGTTAACCGCTGATGCAAAAACACGTGATCCCGAGTCACGAGACTTTAAATTTCCCAGAATACTCCATTCGCGCCAAAAAACTTTACACGTGAAAGTATGAAATATGGCGGACCTACTTGCAGCGAAACTTTAAACAAAATTGTGTTTTAAGACGTGTAAAATGGGCCTTTCGAAGAGCGAAGCGTACTCAGTCTTGGAGCTACCTCTAGGTTTGTACCATCTTCTTTAGGTCATCCTTTCGAAGACTCCAAATTCGATTCAATGAAGAACGTATCATCTAAATAGGGAAATGACCAGAAATAGGTTGTAGGTGGTTGTATCTTACGAGAAACACCTCTTTGTAAATTATTTGCAAGAAAAGAAATACCAAAACTAGTTTGTGTATTGAAGTTTTATTTATATTTTGTTGTTTCTTGTTGAGGCACTGAATGAGGAAGTTCTTGCTGAAAGCTAAATATTGTATATTAAACTATTTTCAGCAGCGTTCGAAGAGCTGAAATTGCGTGACGGAAAATGCACTATTGTTCCGTTAATTTTGTATTGGTTATTGTACTCTCATAGAATTATATCAGCTTATTAATAACAGGTAAAGAGCTGTTTCAAAGTAAGACGGAATCGGATGTTCAAAAGTCGTAGTATTATTACTTTCCTTGTTTAGATATGATAGCGAGGAAAACAAAATAGTTATTTTTATAACAGGAAGTACAAGAATGCTCTCAATATGGCATGAATGATTAAGTCTTGCCTTGAATTGTTTGTTTGAACTTTAACCTCAGCACCACGAAGACAACTACCCTTGATTCAAAGAAAACAAAATAAAAAACATCAAAAGGATTGTCTAGTGAATTGCACCTTACACCCAGGATTCATTGATAATGTGTACTGACCTTGCCTTACAGACATTGGTGCTATTGTAGAACATGACAACTTTATTTTTATCTCTATTTTTTAAAAAAGAAACAGAAACAAATTATAACAAGAATAAAAATAATTACATGCCTGTTGGCAAAACAATCATGATTTTTAAAAAAATTCAAGATTTGGTGTCAGATCCAAGATAACAACTTTGACCCGATAAGTTTGAATATTCTCATGACTTGTTTGCTGGATAATGTTAAGTTATTATAGGGAGAAGTTACTTGTCAATCACTTCTGGGAGTTAAAGGGTTAAGTGATAATCAACATGTATTTAATTTATTTTATCCCATGCTTTGTGTATTAACATTTTCACTTTTAGGCCTCAATGTTATTTCATATCATAGTTTGCAAACAATATCTCCTATACAATATATTTTTTTCTCCTCATGCATCTGCATGGGGGTGTAGCTATACTTTAAGGACTGCAGGCCCATGTTTATATATCATAAAGAGGGTAAATGCTTGAACCAGTTAGCTGACTTTCCTCTAAAATAGAATGATTTAACATTTATTTTTTGGTGAACTTCTCTCAAACAAAACATGTTTAACTCTGATTATAAGGTTGAAGCTGGCATTATAAGTGTGATTTATTAGGTTTCTATCGACAAAATAGTTTTTTTTTAATTCTTAGTAATGACCTACTTTTAACTCAATTTTATTTTAGGGAAAAACAATTTGTTGAGAAACAGGAATGAGTAATTTTAAGTTAATTTTTGTTGGGGATATATGAAGTGAGTTTACTTCCCTAGCACCCTCTTATCAGTAACATCACTAGAGAAAATCCAAATGGGTGTATTCAGTTACTCATCATAGGGGTTCTTTTGAATAATGTTGAACTGTTTTCTTTTTCAAGGGGCAAGTTATGAAGAGATAAGATCCAGTTACAAACGCCTGGCTTTAAAATGGCATCCTGATAAACATAACAATAGTCAGGAGGCAACAAAGGTACAAACTAATGCAAAGATTAGTGTTAATAGTAACTGGTGCTACATGGGGCCTTGATGTTCCAGTTAGATCTTGGGTATTCCTTGCCAGTGTTCACCCTTATTTTGAGCGCAAAAGGCAACACAATTTTTTAAATGGAGGTAGCAACTCTTGTAATACCTGTTGAAATTTCAAGAATTCCAAGGGATTTTATAGAGGTAATTTTGAAATGCCTGAAAATGAGAACACTGTTCTCAGGATGGTTGTATTCTTGTTGGATGTGATGATGATAAGTATTTTACACTCTTAGAGTGCATTGTTTGCATAAATCATTGATGCCATGGAAACCTCTTTATCAAGTCAGACGTTTCAATCTTTTACATACCACACACTACCACAATTGCTCTATTTGCTCTGGCAGAGAGCCAATGCTCAAAATGTAGCCTTTAGAGCTCTTTACATAGGCTAATTTCCATTATCAACTCAGTTGATGGAATCAAATAGTCTTTTACATATATGCATAGTATGTACATTAGAATTTAAAATGCCAGTGCAAGTATTGTTTAAAAGTTTTTTTTCATCTTCAGAAATTCCAGGAGGTGTCCTCGGCATACAAGCGACTAACCAGTGAGGATTCAGATGATGAGATCAACTTGACTCCTGTGAGCACCATTCCTGCTTTTATGTCTTCCCTAATTAAAATTAATTTCCTTTTCCTGATTCCAAGTCTCATCTCTGTGCTGTGCTTGTGATGTAATTTTTTTTGTGTGTGTGGAGTTTGACTTTTTTCAGATTTTACTGTATGGTAATAGAGAAATGTAAAATGGTTTCCGTGTTTACATAGCCTGATGTAAACATGCAGGAGGTTGGGAGAACACGAGATAAGCGTAGGAAACCACGACGTGAAGTGGAGTGGTTTCCAGCTTATCGAGTGTTCTCCCAACCTCCCAAGTGTTTACATCAGGCTATGTAAACACAGAAACCATTTTACATTTCTTTTATAAAATAACTAATGAAAGAGGAACAAAAACCATGTTTATATACGCTCATGTAAAATGGTTTTCTGGCCAATCAGAGCACACGTACTATTTGAATTATTTTATAAAGCCATTTGATTTTTCACTTTTATTCTGATTGCAGGCAGATATGTTTGATCTCTTTGCTCACATTGTCTTTCAACGAAATGGTAAGATTTAAGCACAGTTTTACTAGGAACTAAATCCAATCCTCTGATTTCATAACAGGACAGCAGAATTAAGATGTAAATGTGAGATAGATAAACCCCAAGTTACATGTTGTAAACATGATGACTTATCTTAGCAGAGGGCTTTGGGAATTTTCATGAAATCCAAATATTTGACGTAATGAGCTTCAAAAAGTGTTGCCAATATGATTGTAGACAATGTAATTTGCATGTGTTAATGACTCTCTAATTTTTCGAAGACTGTCTTTGACAGATTGTCATCAAACTTTTAGCAACAAAGTTTTTTTGCACCTCATTTGTTTTATCAAGGAATGTTTGGTGGCTACCCAGGAATGTATGACTCTGACAACAGTTGCTACAGTGATGATGATGAGGATGATGACGATGATGATGAATCGGTCGATGAAATTCTTCAAAGAATGGCACAGAGTTATAGGAAAAAGTCAGAGTCCAAAAAACCCTCTGAAAAAGGTATTTGAAATTCCTGCTCTACTCGGACTGGTAGCATGTATATGAACAGGTATTTATGTTAGTGTGTAATAAGAATGGTTAAGTTAAATCTGTTTTTCCATGTGCTGGTTCCTCTGTTGGTAGTTGGTGACATGAGCAAGTCTGTCCTCTCATATTGAGCATTGAAATTTTGTAAAGGAAAGTGGAGTAAGGGGAAGGTCTCACAAAGCAAGTCAAACTGCCTGTCTAGGCCCCTAGTCAGGGGCTCAACATTAAATGTAAATACTTTGATTTCGCAGGTCGTCCTGCACACAACTTATCGGAGGCGGTGAGTTGTATTAATTTTTTGCCATGTTCCATTCATTGAAAGTTGGAAAGTATGTAGATCATTTGTATTAATGATAACTGCGTACAATTTTGGTTGAGTTGGCAGTAAGTGAATCATTAATTTTGATAAAGATCCCAAAACTGTTTTGCTTGTAAAATATATTTGTTAATGTGCCTCACATCTTTGTCAATTAAAAGTGAACCTTAGATTTTTTGAAAGTGGAAAAAATAATGTAAAGTTTGTCATGCTGAGGGTCATGGCTATTTTTAAATTTGTTCAAAAACAAAAAGCATTATAACTTTTGCCATTCGATCTTTAACTGAGGGAATATGATATTTGGTTTTATTGCAGGAAGCCATGAAAAATGCAAAAGAGCTTATAGAGGAGGAAGAGAGAGACAGGAAAAAAGCCGAAAAACGGAGAGCTAAAAAGAAGGTTTGTTTTTCTCGTAGGGCATTAACTTGCACCCAGAAATTATGAAAAGAGAATTTTTGTCCCCACACAAACTCTTGGGTAAAAAAAAGTGTTTTTATTGGTTTGATTAAACTTGTTAATTTTTGTTTTCCTCTCAAGAAGCATAAGTGTTCTTAGCTGAGGATATTCTTTACCGTAACACCAGGAGTTAACCCTTTACACCCTAATATCAATATGCATATTCTCCATACTGTTCTCTATACATTTCCTAAGGTGCTTTTCAAGAGCATCTAAATTTGATCATTTCCTTTATTTTTGCACTAAATACATGTATATTATTCAGGTGTGATATTATCAAGGGAAATTGCATGTTAATCACCCTCGGGGCAGGGCGTGAAATTGTGTTTAATACAGGTGCCAGTGCAACTAAATTTTTCACTTTGGCGACCAAATCCTGAAAGTTAGTTGCCAAATTGGCAACTAGAATGTTTCATCATAACCTTACCAAGAGATAGTGAATTAAAAAGATTTGCAAAGATAAATCCAAGGCAAACTTCCTTGTGAAGTTTGATTCTAAAACACAGCACATGTATCTTGATCGACAACTAGACACCATCTTGGATTTAGGTGAGCTTGAACGTTGTAAATCATCCATCCTAGTGTCCACTTTGTAGCACGTTAAAGATCTTTTTCCTAACTTAATTTTGGAGGGTCTATTTAGAACAATGACAGCGTAAAAAAAGGTTTTGTTTATCTTTGAAAATGGCGACCAACGTTTTTTGAATTGGCTACCACTTCGAAGAATTTAGGAGCCAAGTGGCTATCAGAAAAAAAATATTAATTTCATGCCCTGAATTAGGGGTCAAAGGGCCAGTGAAGCTAATCAACCAAACCAAAAGTGTGTACTTTTTTGTGACAGAGGAATAAGGAAAGAAAGAAGGAAAAAGAAAGAGAGAAGAAAGCAAAGGATGAAAAAGAAAATATACAGGTACTGATGATGGAAAGATTTCTGATGGAGTCTCATGATATAGCTCTCAAATGCAACACAAAACTTCTTTGACTGGTTTTTAGTGTAACATTTTGAAGGTGATTTATTTCCTGTGCCTCTCAGGTAGAGGGTTAGAAATTGCTTTCTTAACTTTCTTTTGAAGGTGATTTATTTCCTGTGCCTCTCAGGTAGAGGGTTAGAAATTGCTTTCTTAACTCTCTAACTCCCAAGATCTGATTGCCAATAGGCCATTTTTCAATATATTAAAATTCTAACATGGCTCCAAGGCTTGTGGGAATAAAACTTAAGAAAGTAATTATTCGTCCCTCAACTTGGATGTTATTTCTTTCATTTTATTCTCCCAAGCCTTGGAGCCAAGTGTGAATTTTTCATGCATAAAAAATAACCTATTCCCCCCTCTTGCTGTGGTAAGGTTTTCTCTTTATAGGATTACCCTGTAATCTACAGATTCAAACTTCACCAGTGTCCATAGAATCTTAAGCTGTGATCTTTTTCTTTTTGTTTCTAGCAACAGAAGAATAATAAAAAAGAAAATATACCAACTACAACTAAAGCACCTCCAAAGGAACCCAGTAAAAAAAGAAATACCACAGCAACTTCTTCAACTCCGACTAAAACTGTAAATAACAATACAAAAGTATCCAGCGGTTTAAAAGAACAATCTGTGAATAATAATACAAATTTACAACAATCAACAAAAATGGAACCAAGTTCACCCAAAAGGTAGGGTCTTCATCATCAACATTTATCATCATGATTTGAATCTAAGTTCTTTCAACATTTGTGATAAGTTTAACCCCTGCTCTCAATGTAATTCACTCTGAATGTCTCACATAAAGTTTATTGGTGCATACAACCTACTTGGTTGAACTGCGCAATGGGCCTTGCTCAGCATTAAGTCTCTTTGGCTCAGTGGTATAACATCAGAGCAAGGAATCCAAAGGTCTGAGGTTTGTTTCCTGATGGAAACTCCCATGACAAGACAAAAAACATCTTTCTCAACCCACTTGGTTGTTTATAATTAAAAGAAACCTTGTCAAAAATAAAATCTAGAGGATTTTCACAGGTGAATCCTCCCACATTAGATAATGCATTAGTATCATTTTCAGAGTAGAGGATCAGTCAGTGGTCACATAGTAAAACTTTTTTAAGCCTGTGGCTTAATACCCTAACAATATTGTGATTTGAGGGGTTTTGAGGTGAATGCTCGTCTGAGCTTATAGTCTCTCCCTTGCTTTACTATGAGTATTACTTAACCCTTCATGCTGCAGAAATCTACCGTTGTCATTGCAATTCAGAAGAGTAATATAAAGCTTTCAAGCATATCCTTGCTTTTCCTCTAAATTTAAATTTGGAAATAGTCACACCCTCTAAGCAGCCCCCCTTAACATTATCATGCATCAGCAGATACACAGTTTTTTTGGTATTTGTTAGAAGTACAAGCATTACAACCAGTAAAATTTATGATGGTTTTTTACTATTTTTGTTTAGACATGACGAGGAAGATTTATCAGGCAATGAGGTAAGGCAAAACATGCAATTTTTTGTTTGGTTGCAGTAACATACTTGCAAATCGTTTAAATGAATCTATAGTTACAATTTTTGTGCTCTTTTCAGTGGTAGAGAAAGATTGTTTTAACAGTTGACTGTGTGTTTAATTATCTGAATTAGTACCACTTAAGACGTGGGATGAAATGTTTCAGCTCATTTTTGTGGGCATGGCGGTGAGGATGTAAGACCAACCACACAAGGTGCTACTTTTAATATACGTGGTCAACTGTACCGCGAGCACGCCAACGCCACGGCATTGTCCAGTAGTCCAGTGGTCAGTGCACTAGGCTCCGAGTCGGACGACCCGGGTTCTAGTCCTGGCCGGGGCAAGGCGTTGTGCCCTTGAGAAGTGCGGGAAAAAAATGCAAGCTCCGCTTTTAGGCTTGGCTAAATCTATATATTATATCTAAGTGCAAAGGTTAATGGGAGATATCAGATGATTTGATACCAATAGAATCATTATGGCTGTGCACTGAACGTGTCCTTTATCACATACACTCTGTGATTTACTTCCATGTCAGGGGTGAACACTGTCTAAACGATAAAATAATATTTGTAATTGTCATCCGTTTCTCCCAGGAGCCCACATGGGATACAAACAGTGCGTTCTTTGCGAGAGCAGCAGGGCGTAATCCAATGCCTCCTCCTTCAACAAGCACTGCAACAGTAAAAAATAGTACACCATCAACTATCAGTCAGAGCTCACAGAATACGAAAAACATCTCCACTCAACAACCTGCGGCAGAACAGATAGATCCTGTGGTTTTACGTAGCAGACAAGTAGCAGGTTGGTTGAACTGTGACACCATTCCAATAAGAGCACAACGTTGAAATAAAAAATTTAGGTTATGAGTCAGAGATTGAGGAAAAACCCTAGTGACTGTGAGTGCGTAAGGTGAGTTATAAAAAACAAACACGGCTGGTGTTACCAGCATTTAATTTTCCAAACCGCATCTTCAAACCTCGTTTTCTCCTTAGAAGAGACTGCACGTCTCAAAATTCAGTTCAAGCACATGTCGAGGATTCGATTTTTTTAATTACGGGCGGGAAATTAGCAATTTTTTTCTGCTTCACTCGTTGGTATAAAAGCAGATTACATTTAGGTATCACGTTCTACTACACTCTAATCCACAGTTAAAGGAAATGAAATGGCAAACGTTGGAAACTATCAGGCTGCCGTGGATCTCTTCACTCAAGCTATTAACTTGGATGCAAAAGACTTCAGGTTTTTTTTAATTATTATTTTCTTTTTCTAAAGTTAACCGCATCTGCATATATGCCTTTTTTCACTAAGTAAGAACTGTTGTTAACAGAGGCCTATTTTCTAATGAAAATAAAGAACATTCTTAGTTGGCTTTTCCCCTTTTGGGATAATATCATACACTCTTTTCTATTTTAGCTGTGGGATTGAATAAAGCTATTTGTTCTTTCTTTCGTTGGAAAACTACAAACAAAAGTCTGTGGCTCGATTCCTCAAGGGGGACTTTTGATTTTTCCGTTATTCTAAGCCGATGACAAAACGAATAAACACCTGTCTTATTTTGCTATTCGTTCGCAGATTCTTCGGCAATCGTTCTTACTGTTATGACCGCATGGGACAATACGAAAAAGCTCTCCAGGATGCTGACGTGGCCATATCGCTAGCACCTGATTGGCCAAAAGGATACTTCAGACGAGGCAGAGCACTGGCGGGATTAAAGGTGCTTACTAATGCAATTTTCAGTGGTGTCTTAGATAGTGGGAGATTGCTACGGTTTTGCTTTGCTGCGCTGGGTAGTTGGTTCAGAAAACTCGCGCCGCTTCCTCAACCAATCAGATTCAAATTTCAAACTAATGGCGAATTGGTCACTCTCATTTTCCCGCGCTTTATGACAAGTCAAGAAAACTAGCGCCACTTCCTCGACCAATCAGGCTCAATTTTTAAACCAATGGCGACGTGGCCACTCAGAGTTTTCCGCGCTTCAGTCCGTTAGCTTGTTTTTACTTTTACTGACAATCAAGGCCCCTCTTAAAACTGTGGTGGTAACGAAATAATATTCTGGGAATTTGCGATTTCAGTCCCTGGAGCTAATCTTCGTAAGCACCGTAAATCAGAGCCAAAAGGAATTTCAATCGGAATTCTCTAGCTGATTTCGGCCTTCCTTCCTATTCAGTTACAATAACTGCAATTGCGATTATTTTTCGGTAACGATATTTTTCTCTCCTTTTCAGTTATATTCTGACGCAGAGAGCAGTTTTGCTCAAGTTTTAAAACTGGATAAACATTGTGAAGATGCCATGTTTGAACTGGCTAGGGTTCGAGTGCAGCAGCTAGAGGTACGGTAGTGTCATGCACAGGTCCCCATCATGGGGGAAGGGGAGGGGTGCTACCGTTACGTCTTTCTGGCATTGGGAACATGATAGATTGTTTATTTCCCCTCACTTGATTGTCATCCCACAAATCTTATGCAAAGATACCTTTTAGCATTATTATACAACCTCCAGTTTTTTCAATGCTATAAAAATTGTGCGGTATCAGTAGCCATATGCAGTCTTGACTGCCCATTTTTTAAAATTTTTTTATCAGGAGATGGGATTTCCACAGAGCCAAAGTGAAGCAGCTATCCAGGCATATGGCACAGTTCAGGCCGCTTTGGAAGCACTGCTAGCTGGAAAAGGTGAAGGGATGAAGGAGTAGAAAAAAATAAGAACAAAGTGACAGGCTGCGTCACGGTTTGTCCATCTTGAAAAAGTACATTAAAACCTTCCACGTTCGTCATTCGCATTTAGTTTCAATCTTCCCCATCCTTAGCAATCCTCGCTCCTTCGTGGTTTATTGGTGCCTTTCTTATGTTGTAATATCTTCGCGAGCGAATATTTCGTGATCCTTTACAAAGCGAAGATAGTTGTGAATACCGTTTGAAAAACAACTCGATTTTCCTGACCTCAGTCGAAAAATCGCGCTTTTCGATTGAGTGTCGTGAAACCTAAACCACTGTTATCACAACGGCCAATTAGAAGAAAGGAAATATTTTAAGAGCCAATGAGCACTCAGTAAAAACAACCAAACTGACTAAGGCGCGGGAAAACGCGGGCGACCAGGCCCTGATTGGTTTCAGTTTTGCATCTGATTAGTTGAGAGATTAGCGCGAGTTTTCTTGGACCAATCAAAGAGCGATGTAAAGCGAAAGCAGTGCAGTGTGGGATTACTTTTGACTCTTGACAGAAAATTGCTGTATAGTGAGTACTGGGAATGACTGATTCTTAAACAAAAACTGGCATTTCTCTCTGAAGACCTTTCCGATCATTTGCTTGTATTATTTTACTTTATTCTTTGCTTATACATAGTATTTATAAGAGGTGTACTGATACAATCCTTTCATGCCGTTTATGTAGTGAGTTTTCCCGTTTCAACGGAGATATACGTCTCTGATGGAGAGGATGATGCACAAAAACAGCAAATAAGGTAACTGATTTTAGAATGGCAAAATTGCGATCGGATAGGTTCCTTTTAAAATAAATAGCTATGAAACGACTGTTTCTGTTTCTATTCAAAGTTTTTCTCTGATTTGTCATTGAGTTCACTCTTTTAACGGTATTTGTTTATGATATCTGTCTAGAGTAACATTTCGGCTACGTGTTGTTGAAAGTTCGAAAGTTAAAAGTAAAACTGTCTTTTGTTTTAGCGTTTTACTGATAACTGACTTTGAGAGTGAAATCATGTAAGATCTCCTTATTGGCTTCGGAAATTGCCAACTTCGATTCCTCACAGAAAGAAATACTTACAGGCGATTAGATACTTCGTAACTTTGTGGAAAATTGCGACTTCTCTATTATGATATTTATTTAAATATTCTCTTGTTTAATCTTTTTGCCGCGTGGAAATGTGTTAGCGTTACTGCGCAGGCTTGTTCAGTCAAGATGGCTGGTAAGGCTGATGTCTTGACCATCAGACAGTCATCCAACGCATATTGACCCTTCAACTGTCAGAAGTATTTAACATACTTTATCTTGCAAATTGGTAATGATAATACTTGAACGTATCAGGTAGATGTTATCCTGATCTAACACCAATTTCGCACAACTAATTAACAAGGAAAAGTGTGGAAGCTGGAGGGAAGAAATAGCAATCAGATCTTGGAAGTTGAAGGGTTAATTGCATTCTGTTTCTACGCAGAATGGTTGAAAATGGTAGCGTTGATGACGGCCCTGGCCGTTCCTTGTGGGTTGGAAACGTCAATCCTGAGGAAGTCAGTGAAAGACATTTGGTACAGCTGTTCAGCAGGTGTGGTCGGGTCGACAACGTGCGGATACTCCCCAAAAGATTCTGTGCGTTTGTTAATTATGATCAGGCTGAATCTGCCGCCCTAGCACTCGAAAAATTACAGGTACGTTGTTTTATTTGTTTGAAGAGGTCCGCCAATGGGAGGAGGAAGAAATTCTATTCTGATCTTTGGAATTAAAAGATGACTTCATTTTCAGGGCTATGAGATGGGAGGCGAGCAGTTATTACTGAGATACCCCAACAACACTGGCTCCCCGGGAAGCCAGCCACTTGCTGCTGCTTCGGTTCCTGGTAAAAAGAAACAACCTGAAGGGTGAGCTCATTTATGTTTATTTATATACTTATTTGATCAGAGAGAATCACGGCTGTATTTCTCTCAGTCCAGTATTTGTTTGTTTGTGTGTGTGTGTGTTTTTTTTCCTTTGGCTTGAGTATATTTATGCTACAACCGATTCTCTGGTCGATGTGTTTGTTTGTTTTCTATTTTCCAAGTTTGTTTGTTTGTTTATATGTTTGAGGTAACCGAATGTTGAATTCCTCGAGTCCACGCGTTAGTTGGTCAGTTAGTTTTTGTTGGCGTGGACGAAACGAATTCGAAATTTCTTTCAACAAGGACTAATTTCGCTTTGCCTTTTTGATGCTTTTTGTTCCAGGGACTTAAAACAATCTATGAGCAAGTTGTCGGGCCCCGTGAACGGAGACGAGTGTTATTTCTGGCGCACGACCGGCTGCTATTTTGCTGACAAATGCCGATTCAGACATGTCCCGGAGAGCAAAGGTGTCGATCTAAAAAGGGTGGAGGCCAAGTATGGAGGAAAACTTCGAGTGACTACCCCACCGAGCCAATGAAAAAAAAAAACCAAAAATAATAATAATAATAATAATAAGAATAGTGATGACTCGTATAATAATAAATAGTATTGATAACCAATGACAGCTTGGCTGTCAAGATATGGGCCGGGTTTACTCCACACAAAAAAGATAATATTGAACTTTTCAGTTGTCAAATCTTGATTGCTAAATAAACGTTTTGCAAGTCTTGGTTAGCACTGCTTATGTACTGTGATTTTCGTAACCTATTTGGTTAAGTGTTCGTGATATTTTTATTCCCACAAACTACATTTTTACGACCCCAGGGTTGAAAGAGCACCAAAAGTTGCCCTCAAAATTTTGTGTTAATTCATCATCATCATCTCTTATTTTTTTAAATTCACTTACACAATGATTGATAACGTGAAAGCAAGTCTCAAAACTGTGATCGTAGGAGAAAGATCAGCTGGTCCATTGAGGCCTACAAAAAATTTATCTTGTTTTCAACACGTTCTCCTTCTGGCGCAAAATGATTTGGATGGATTTCACCCCTGTCGGCTGGAAGAGGAACAGACCTACCTTGCTGTGAGTAGAGATTACCGCTACGGGGGTGTGGTGGAGAAAGGGGAAGGTTGAGGAGTTTTGCGGATCGCATGGTTTTCAGTGGGGGGAACAGAGAAAAACGCGAAAGCGTAATGGTGGTCGTGCTCAGCGATAGGAAAATCGTGACCGTGTTAATATACAACAAGAAACTTTCCTTCAAAAAATTAAGTGACATTACAAGGACTGAAAGCCAGGGTACAGAACTAGTCTGACATAGTAATTTTTGGCATTTTAAGCAATTAGGCTGAAACTACTTCAAATATAGAAACTTCTGACGAAGTTTTTTTTTTTCCTTCAAAAAATTAAGTGACATTACAAGGACTGAAAGCCAGGGTACAGAACTAGTCTGACATAGTAATTTTTGGCATTTTAAGCAATTAGGCTGAAACTACTTCAAATATAGAAACTTCTGACGACCTGTAGTTTCTTTCATTTATCACGGTTACAAAGTCACGTTTATAAAGTCAGCCAAGTGAACCCGTGGGGCACAGTGTACTAAATAACATGGCAAACTCTTAAGCTCACCTTCACTTCCTAACTCAAATGTCACGTTGTCAACGTAAAGCACAAACAGCGAGGGACATTTTGTCAAAACCATTATTTCCTATCCCCTTCATTACTTCATGAAGAGATTCACCGACACTTCTGCCACGAACAAGGTGCTCGTAGAAACCGGTCATGAACCGCCCCGTTGCGGTATCTTCGACGGCCCACAATGCCACCAACACTGAACGTGCCCCTGATCCTAATCCTTATCGCCACGACTTACGGGCCGAGTGAAAAACGTAAACATCACGGTTTTTTGTAACGATTACCTTCTCTTCGATCGCCTGTTTTTTTGTCTGATCACGAGTACTTTCCCATAATACTGCTAAGCATTTCCATGTTCATTCAAATTTTGATGCACCATTTCTAAGCTCGTGTATGAGAAGCTTCGAACCCTCTGTCTGTGAGGTGTGTCTCTTTCATGACTGAAAGTGACTTCTCGTAGGACTCTGTAGCCTTGACATATTCAACACAAGATAAATACACAGTCTCCAGAACTCTGCTAAAAGAGGCTGTTCCCTTTCTATCGCCGATATCCTCTGACATTTCCAATGATTTCCTTGCGGAGTCTTCGGCCTTGACATACTCTCCTTGCGAACGAAAAACGTAACTTCTCCTTTTTTTTTCGTCAGTTTGTTTTCTGATTAGTAGAGCCTTCACGTGACATTCTTTAGACTTGCAATTGACGTATTGACCCACTGAGTCATACAGCAGTGTAAGGCTTGAATAACTCGCTGCGTCGCCTTTCTTATTTCCTAATTATTTACTTAGGGCATGAACGTGTTCAAGATATTCATTAGCCTTGATACGTTTATAAAAACATCGATAACAATTTCCGAGGCCTGTCTAATTCTTTGCTTCCCCTTTACGGTCGCCGATTTCTTTTCTAATCACAAGAGCTTTAACATTATCGAAAAGCACTGAGCGTTGCTAACTTCACCGAGATCCTCATTTAAGCCCGCCAAGTGTACGTAGAAAAACTCCCTGACGACATTTCTAACCGCCATAGCCCATCGCGACGAAGTCCTAGACATGAACCATTACACTGGGTAGATAAGCTCACTATCCTTTGATAATACCACTCTTGCTACGTGTCAATGTTGAGCTGATTTGCGTACCCTAGTTTATGACATGATTGGCACCAATCAGAGCGTCAGAGTATCGTCCCTCACACAAGCATACCCCAATGCTGTGATCTGATTAGTGCGAGATACATACCCCACTGCGGCGATCTGATTCGAGCGAGATACATACCCTACTGCGGCGATCTGATTCGAGCGAGATACGTACCCTACTGCGGCGATCTGATTCGTGCGAGATACATACCCTGATGCGGCATTGTGATGGTGTTAGCAACATACTCGACACGCTAACATAGAGTAATATTAAAAAAATAATCATAGTAATAAAAAATGGCACAAGCTGCAGATCCAAGCCATGTCTGTGTTTTATCTTCGTCTTCTATTATTTCATTATCACTCACAAAAAATGTTTTGAACACAATTTCATTTCTTTGACAGATTCTAAAACAATTACATAAACTCCTCACTAAGTATCACTATATACAATTAAAATTCCAGAATGAGTATTAAAAATATATTCATGGCTAATCAGTCATCCACAAAGACTTGTTTAATATCAACAAGACATCAATAAAGTATTAATTATTTCCATTTAATTTTGTCACTATTACCAAAATTTATTTTATAGATCGTGATAATCTGCCATGACTACGTTTGGTTTAAAACTCAGGTCACACCTTGTCTATGTTTAAAATATTCTCAAATTGCTAAATTAAATGTTGTTTCCATTTCAAACAACCCACACTACACTTTTCAACTCCCTTCAAAATTACCTGCAACCCAGGACAAATTCAGTTGACAAAAAATTCTCCAAGCCACATTTGAGGAATGAAATCTGAAATCATCTGTAACTTAATACATCGTACCAGCATCCCCTTTCAATATTGTATTGTATTTATTCAATTTTGTATATTCACAAAAAACAAAGTGAACCACTATCCAGTACATGGGAGAGAGGGTTAGAAAGTGTTCCGTAAAACGGATGAAATGTGTATCCAATTCCAAAATATCCGGCTCTTCATAGCAATGTGTCAACTGTTTTGTCCCAGATTGTGGCTACCCTTCTTTATCTCATTCACATTTTGTAAAATTAAGTGCAATAACTTATGTCAAAATACAGTTAGAACTCCTTCTTTTTTAACTTAATGAGTTACTTTATCTGCTACAATTAAAAATTAAATTCCCCAATGATTGAGATCTTATGTCAGATTATACAGAATCTATTCAAAAAATATTGCTATTATACCATGATTTTCAAAATATTCTCAGTAACAATGTTCTGTGGAAAATATATCATGACAATTAGTTAAGTGAAAATAACAGTGGTAAACCTACATGACTAAGGTTGCCACATTTTTCTCAGATTTACTACCTTACTGTAAAGAAAAAATAAAAAATTTCATTGACTTGAGAATCCTAGTAGACCCTGATCAAAGGATTTGCAAAGGCACACCCCTAATACTCTATTTTTTAAATTCTAATTTCTCATATTCAACTCTCTGTACTTAGTGACAGAGTGGTAGACTGGGAGGGCAGGAAAATAAACCAAACCCCAAAAAAACAGGAAAAAATTTGGCTTGAGGTCCATACCTGATAACTAAAACCCACATATTTTCCCCTTTGACTCAACTTAAAAGCATTTTAGCATAATTATGACCACTGCTCTTTCCCTTTCTTCTTAAATTTTTTTCCCATCTTCACATAATGCATGGCCCCATGCTTAGCTGTGTATTGCCAGTTGTTGTGCCTTGAGGGTTTTTGTTATATTTTCCCATAAAGCACAAGCTGGCCCATACTGGTCATATACTAATTTAAAAGAAATCGCTGAAGGTTTAACGAGCACTTCAAATCAAATCTATTACAAAGTGCTACTAATATTCCATTTGACCAATTGAACTGGTTGGATAATATAATCCAGTTGGACTATTGTCTCATGTTCGACCATTTTACATGTATGTGGTTAAATATAACAAAGGCCAAAATTTTGTTACTAACCAGTACTCATTTTAAAACCACATCAGACACTGTCAACTACCCTGTTCTAATTCTGTTGCTTGGAATTTTTTTGAACTACAAAAGCACAGTCATTTATTTTAGGCTCTGTTTCATAACTATCAATTCTTACTGCAACTCTAGCATTGCCTTTGTCTTGTTAATAAATAGCAATTTTACGTTACATATAAAGGTAATTACATTAAAATAATTATATTTATTCATTTATTACTGCTGTACATTATGTCTCCAAATTCTAGAATTGAGAGTGAACATTGCTTTTACAGTTGAGCGAAAATAACTTTTAAGGAGTTTTTTTTTTTTTCCTTTAAACTCAATTATCAATTACTTGTCCTATCCTACACATATAAACGCAAACATTTTCATGTGTGTGAATGTGCTACTGGTAAAAAAATTCCTACAGTTGGTGAAAAGTTTAGTTTAGTGAATCAGTGAGACAAGCCCCATGCAAGAGATTCCAGCAATCATCATGATAGTCTGTTTGATTGACTCCCTGAAAACAATAAAATAACATTAATTTATTAAACTGCAAATATGTTATAATCATATGGAATAGATTTAAACCTACAACACACTGGTGAGTAACACATTGAATTTAGAAATCTTGCCTTACATGGTACCAAAAACATCTATTTGCTATGACTGATCAATTTAGTTTCAGTTGATAACGAAAAGATAAAAAGCTAACAAGAATTCTTCCCCAGATATTTGTCGGCTGCTATTCAGTCAAGTACATTTTGGTTGATGGTCAGAACACCTTCACAAATAAACTAGTCCAGCACAGTTTATTCTCATGATAGATGACCATCCTTAAATACTTTACAACAGTTAAAAAGTCAATCACAAAAAGACAAATAAATGGAAATTTTGCAACATTCCACAAGGTAGCTCTTCCTATCCACTGTTTCCAGGTCAAATTGGAATTTGGAATGTTAGTTTTTGCGAAAGGAGGAAAACTAGATAATCCCAAGAAAAACCCTTGGAGCAAGGATGAACATCAACAACAAACTCCACCCATATGTGACACCAACCCAAGCCACAGTGGTGGGAAGCAAGCACTCTCACCACTGCACCATCCCTGCTCCCACACTTAATTTAAAAGTCAAATGCTGTGGTGAAGACCCCAGGTTGACATCTGCTCACTTCCCCCCCCCCCCCCCCCCCAGGTGTTTGAATCAATTGAAAGCAAGTTACAACTTTCCCATACTACTTACAGCAGAGTGTAGATTTTTTAACATTTTCCTGAGGCTTCCAAACTCATCAAAAATTACCTAACTTCGTTTTTAATCTACATGGTTATCAGCCATGCTTATCAGTCTCTTTAGTAGCCACTGTTTGATCTTGTCACACAACAAGTCCTATCTCAGCCCAGTGGGGAAGGGAGAGAGATGTCATATAGCCTGACAAAACCAAACAAACCCTAGGAGATTTGAGATACAGATTACAATGTTTCTTGAAGAACTTACTTTGGTCTTGTTTCCTTTAAAAGATCTGGAACAATTGTTACCAAGGCAATATAGATAAAGCCTCCTGAGGTAAAGGGAAGAACCCAGGCCGTTGAATCTCCTAATGGAAAAAAAAAAATGTAAATAAAAATTATTATTCTATAGTTTTTCATATTCTGGACTGTTGAGGAAGGGTAAGGAAATTTACCTACATGTAATTATAAGCAGACAGTTTTAGTTTGTAAAAATTTCATGATCTCACTAACGTAAGTTAGCAAGAAACAAACAAACAAACAAACAAACAAACAAACAATCTAACCTGCATGATCAGCTATTAGTCCAAAAACACAACCAGCAAGTCCAGCTGATGCTGTAACCATCTAGCAGAAATGGAAAAAGAAAACAAAAAACTTTGAAAAATTAAATAAATTCTGTCAACAAATGTTGATGTAGCTTGTTACCACTTCTGAAACAGAATTTAGAGACCACATGTAGCTTTGTCAAGTGTCTCCACCCTGCACATTTAAGTTCCCCACGTTTTTCACATCATCATCATGAGATGACATCTAAGAACTTGAGGTTTTAAATGTAAAGTTAACAAGCGAAATAAATTTTCTAAATTAAGTTCACATAGCTTACTTGTCCTACTGCTGCATCCCATCTTCTGAACCCAGATTTTAAAAGGATAGCAAAGTCACCAACCTGTTAACAAATTAATAGAGGGGGGTAAGTTTCTGAAACAACTTTGGTTTAGCATCAATGGAGGGTATTACCTAATACCTTGGTTTTGTCAACTGAGTTGACTTCACTCATAGGCTAAAGCTTGAAACATCTGATTCAGAAACTCTTAATGGTGGCCAATTTTACTCAGTTGATGAAATCAAATTATCTTGTATAAACAAATCACATTTTAAACTTCATTTAGATAAAGTGTTCTACAGAAATACACTGTGACTATAACATGATAGATACAATTATTATAACTTAAAGTATTGAAAATAAATAAAACTAAAAGCTAAAAATATAGTAACCATAACATTCATTACTATTATTATTATTATTATTAATTACTACTATCTTAATCATAGCAATACAATGTATAGCTCTATCATGATCCAAACAATGTTCATGCATACAGATCAAAAGCTCTCAGTATCCAGTGTACTTACTTCATGTGGTACTTCATGCAAAAGAATTGCACATGTTGTACACAATCCAACCTGCCATAAAAAAATAAGAAATTTATCAGAAAAGAAAATCAGTAACTTAAAGCAGTGAATGTCCTAAGCTGTGTAACAATGATAAAACAATAATATGAACAAGTAAACAACAAAAACAATGCAATGATGAATAAATTTTGAAAAATTTGTCACTGAATTTCTGAGTCACGAGTTAGAATTTAGGGGTGACTCACCTTTGTACTGACAACAAAACTCCCAGCCACAGCAAGGCCATGTGTAAAATTATCAATTGAATTAGCTAACAAGTTAAGATATCCGATAACCTGAAAACCATCAAACAAAATGATAATGCTCAGATTCACATATTTTTATCATAACATTGCCCTAGCTAGGATATGAAAGTATATAAAGAATAAACAGTTTTTCAGATTTAAAGTAACATATTAACTAAATACACCTTAACTCAAGTAAACTTATCACACACTGGTGATGGATGATCATTATAAACAAATCCTTTTCACACTAACATTTGAATAAATATTCTCCATACCCATCTCCAAACATTTCCTTTGGTCATGTTAAGGAGAATTTGTTCAACAATCAAAGCTTCTTCAGTTGACAATCAATTCATTTGTTCCTGTGATCTCAATTAATGTTTCAGTTGTATTACTGTTGGGTGAAATAAGATGCTGATCGTTTTTGGAATTGAAAGGGATAAAGTTGATGCTTACTTTAACATTTTCTTCCTTTGTGTCTTGTGTTTCTTGAAGAGCTGTTATTTTAGGAGGAAAAATAGCAGATAAAGAACATTTTAATTTGATATTCCACTTCTTGACAAGTCATTTATATTAAATGGAGAGATAGAAATGGGAAAATGATTTCATACAGGTACACGAGGACACTTCAACCTGTTAAATTTGAGTGTTCTTACTACCTGTTGGCTGGAAAATGTATGTATATTATAGGGAGAAGTTACAGGAACATGTCAGTCACTTCTACAAGTTAAAGGTATCTGAAGTTTGATACGATGGAAAGAGTTGAAAGGTACCAATAGAATTCATATTGTTACAAAAAATCTTCTAAGTTAAGTCCTAGAACATTCTATAGAACAGTCTAGAACCCAAAGTCATCTAGACGTGACCTTCTGGTAAAAACAACATTCTGGAACATTCTATTTCTTACATAATTATTCAAATTTAGAAACCATGTTAATCTACTAAATTTAGTTCTTTAGAGAAGTTTCTAGATCCTTGTACTTTATGTATATAAGAGTGACAGTTTCATTAAATGGAGAGAGAGAATTGCGAAGAAGCTTAGTGCTGTAAAGACAAGAAGTCAACTGCATGGAAATAAAACAGTTTGTTGTTGTTACCGACGATCCTGAGTTTTGTCTAGGAACAACCCTGCTCTACATTGACACTCGTAACACATATTCTTCCTACCTGTTTCTTGAACTGTTTCATTTGGTGTGCTACTTTCACTTGAAGTATCTCTATTTCTTTGCCTTAGATGTGTGTCTGACTTTTTGACGTCTCCATTTGAAACTGTCCCATTATGAAGTTCTCCATTGCATACATCTTTCTTCTTAGCTGAGTTTTCATGATGAGCACATCCATTGGAAATGGCACCATTTGTGACATTCTTAGAAAAAGAATCAACCAGACTTAAACCAAAGTTTGTGAATATACTACATCATCAAGATACATGTACAAAAAAATTAGGTATAAAGCTAACAATAGTTTTGATAGCACAAAAGATCCATAAAAGTTGATTGAAGTACAGCTAAGGGCAACCCAGTGCTCACTAAACTTTCCAATTTCTTCATATCTGCAAAGCTGACTCACATGTATGATCCAATTGTCACACAACATTTTCAGAGCAGTTGTTCATGCACCAACACCGACAGGTACATGTAGTCTGTGAGCACAAGCAATAAGAATAGAAGATACATGTACACTTATGAAATTAAACTCAGTTAAGTGAAGTTATCATGCAGCTTCTCTCCTACTAGTTTCAACAACCCAAAAAAGCTTGCAAATTTGTGACTTTCTGGAAACTGTAAAAGTTAGGATAACAAATTGTTTAAATCTGCCCAGTGTACAGCTTGCTAGCTCACAGGCTTATTCTTCGTTCCTTAACCCCTAAACTTCCAAGGTCTAATCCTTAATTCTCCCCTCTGGCTGCTACACATTTCCTTGTAAATTAGTGATGAGATTTGGTGCAGGATGAAGATAGCAGCTTCGATCTGATAAGTTTGAATATTCTCATTACCTGTTTGCTGGATAACGTACAGCTATTAAAGGGAGATGTTTCATTTTAATCACTTCTGGGAGTTAAAGGGTTAAAAGCTGAGGTCAATCCCAAACTAAATCATTTCAAGTAAAAACATCCTAACTCACCTTTCCTTCACTTTTGTCCTTCTCCTTGAGACTTTTTTCATCTTCATTTTCTTCAGCAAATATTTTTTCTAAAGTTAAAAATCCAAACATTCCAGCCAGCACCCAAAAGCCAATATAGAAATGGTTGGTATGTGGATCTCCTATGAGAAAAAGTAAAAAAAATATAAAGTACAATACATGTAGGTAAATGTGCTTCACATGGATGTGTTAGATGCCAGTGGCTTGTTTGTTAATCTGCCCAACTCCAGAACCCAGTTTTCTAATGGGTAGATAATGCAATCCCATAGATAAATCACTTTCCAGGAGACAAGAGATTGCAAAACTTACTGTGCCATCCACCAGACAGAGATTTATCTAGTAGATACCATTACCCCGAGGCCAGGTTAAGAAATACAGTTACAATAGGCAGGTCATTGTCTTGTGTTCTTGGGCAAGATATGTTAATCATAACTGCTTCTCCCTACTTCACAGACAAAAATTAATTGCATTTCCCTGAAAGATTGGTTTATGCTCTTCAGTAAAGAGGGGAAACAAAGGAAGGTATTTATCATGCTTCTTGCACAAGAAGATCACAAAATGCCCCAGCCATTGGGTAAAGACAGAACAGAGCTAACCAACAGTGCAGTGAAAGCCCCCCAGAAAAGAACTCTGGAGAATTCTGAGGTATCATCAAGTTTTAATAGTGATCATTTTATCAATAAATGAATCTTACCTTCATGAACATGAGCCCAAGCCTCTGGCAACAGATGAAGAAAAACATCTCCTAATAAACCACCAACTGCAAAACTTAAAAGCAACTTCAGATGATCCGCTGTGACTGGAAGGTAAGAATAACAAAATGTGTTTTAAAATTAATTTCATTTGCATTTGGCTGAATCACCCCAATGTTTAGCAGAATATATTTATCAAATAATAAACCTTTACACCCTAACCTTACTGTAGCTTTCTATTCCCCCTACTAGTCACTATACATTATCTATGACACTGAGAAGGAGAATTTGTTTAGCAATCAAAGCTTCTTAGGTTGGGGATCATTCTCATGATCTGAATGAATGATTCGTAACTGTTGCTGTATGGAGAAATAAGATGCTAGTCACTCTTCAGGTTTAAAGGGTAAAAAAGCTGGCATCACCCTACTTTCCCCTTGTCAAATGTCTAAATCTCAAAATGTTAGTGACATAACTATCCTGAGGGCAAGATGGCTCCCTTGGGGACAACATGTAACTCAGGAGGATACCGCACGAGGGTGACCTGGCCTTCACAGTGAACATCCAACCACAGAAAGGTTTTAGATTTTTGAGACCTCCTGTAGACATTTTGAAAATCATTACATAAGAGGATAAAAAAAGTATCTGTTTGGATTAGGTCAAGTGTTAAAAAAATATACACAAAATTATGTAACAGAAACGTGCAGAGATTTTGAAAATCATGACATAACTGGATAAAAAAATTCTGTTTGGATTAGGTCAAACATTAAAAAAGTATATTTATATAATTGATACATACACACTAATGCTGAAAAATAAAACAAAATGTGTCACGAGATTCAAAGCAGGATACAGTATTTGAGTTTTTATCACAGATTAAGCCCCTAAATTTGGTTGTGTTATTTTCATTCTGAACTGAGTGTAAACTTCAAAAAAAAAAATTATTATTTCTCGTTAATTGTTTACATTTCAGGAAACCATTGGCACTAAAGAAAACTGACAAATTATTAGGGCGGCCCAGCTGACAAATATCCTGGAGGAAAATCCTCTTACAGTGTAAATATTGGAAATGATGGTAATATACCTGTTTAAATATAACATTTTCGCACATTACGTCAAGATGAAATTTGAGATATTTTTCCACAACGAATTACGAAATTTCGACAGAGTCGGATGACAAAATCTAGGAGTTATTACAACGTTATTTAAAATCTATTAGTCATGCAAATTGTTTCTCGTCACAAAAACAGGAATCCCGTTTTAATAAACGCTTGTGAATAAGGAACATTATCTACTTAAAACATTTTGAAGATAAACAACTGTAAAAAGATTTGTGTCACTGCAACAGTGTATTCAGAATATTCGTGATATACATGCTGCTTGGATATTATAGGTGCGATTAAATTTCTTCGTGAAACCACGAACCTTTTTCGAGGAAACGTTAACTAGCGTGTTGTTTTCATCTTACATTGCTAAAACTCAAATATTTTTACCCTATAAGGAAATTGCATTTAAGAGAAAAGATACAGAAGTGTTCTTTTTCAGGAACGAAAAATATACTATGAATTAAAAAATTAATTGGCGACTCGATTCCATTACTTCTGCCGGGGTGAAATAACGTGTACGTGAGAACGGAGAAATATCCACAAAGAAGAGAGCGAAAAGCTAAAAGATACAAATGCAAATATAAGCTGAACACCTGGGAAAGAAATATTGATGAAGATTTCGTTTGAGTGTTTTTCGCTGAAAGAAATTCTTCACCAGAATAAATTACTGTACGTAAAAGTGAGTCGCCACAATAACTCGTCGAACTACTTCACGTTAAGTTCGTTTTATGTATGGCGATTTAAAATATATAGCGATTTAAAATATATCGCGATTTAAAATATATCGCTGCAAAACCCAATCTCAAAAACAAACCTTTTGCACAGAGGACAGGAGGCGTAAATTATGTGTACAATGCTCTATTGATTAAAAACAGCTGGTTAAATAAATTCAATACGCTGTCCATTTCCCAATAGGGATCGGTTTCGCCACTCTGTTTAATTCACAATCTTTGCTTAAATACATTGCAAGCTAACCGTTGTTTTCTCGAATACCAAATCGAAAAATCTTTAAAGATGTGCCTTTTGGTGGTAACATTTCAAAAGGCTTCCTCGAGCCTTGAGTACTGCGGAAACATAAGCCGTATCGAATATACTTTAAAAGAGCGACAACACCAAGGTATCCAGAGATAAAGAGAACCAAACTATAATTTAACTAACAACTCACCGCCTTCTCGCAAAGCCTGTCCAGCTTCCACAGGAAACACAAGAAGAGGAAATATACCGCACATTCCAACGAGAATTGTGGCCGGAATCGAGTATAACCACGCTTCTTTCTTCACGAACATCTTCGACAAGTCAGGCAGAAATTTACAGGGTTCAAAACCAAACCAACTCAAGTCTGAATCTGCGCGTGTTTGCTTGGCATTTCGCGGTACAGCGCGATGAATTTTCACCATAGCAGTCTCTGAAACGAAAACTGAGAGCCATAGAAGGAAGACAATGGAGAGCCGTAAAAATTTCGCCATGAATCAAGCGATTTGTGAGAGCATCTAACCCCGCACGACGTTTTTCCGGCCTTCCCAAAGACTTGATGTACGCGATTGCTACTGGTGTTTATGAAGTCTGGGTAAAACTTGAGCCCACAGTACAACAATTGTAGGTCCGCAATGCGTAGGAAGAGTTACTTCATCTTTATAACAAAAGATTGCTCACTCTACTTAGAGATTTGAATTTTATCTTATCTACCCCTAATGGTAACTCAACAAAACTTACAATTAAAAAATTGATTTCCTTGATTGGTGTTCAAACATCTGCCGACCCATCAATTCTCATTTAAATTCACCCTAAAATGAAAATCAACCAGACACGCCGACGACAGCTCTTGTCGATCAAAAGAAACAATATGGAACAAAAAACCCAAATGAATCTTTTCAAGACTTATTTGCGTCTACAAATTTAAAAATTCGACCTGAAGAAAACTTACAAATCAATTTTGGCAGCAAAAATGAACCTATTGTTCCGAGAGGTATTTTTCCATGACATTTTACTCAATTTAAAAGCTTAAAATCTACATTTCGCCGTGTCACTATGAACATGACTGCCAAGAAAATAATCATCTTTAAAACTTTACATCTAGTTCTTGTGGTTTCACTTCGGTGAAAAGTTCTTTATGACTTCATTAGAAAAATACATATCTGACAATAGAATATATATTTGAAACTACTTAAGTTTACGTCAACGATCAAACTTGCATGCGCCAGTAACTGTAGATTTCTCTGAAATTTTCTGTCCTCCTTCAGCCCCCGCAGTGGCTGTAAAATTAAATTTTTCTCAATGCTAATGAATTTCGTTGTAGTTTCTCCACCCAGTATTTTAACAGAGAAGTAATTTTACTCCTCCAAAAAGACTTAAATCTACATTTCGTGGGTTCAATATGGACGTAAGTGACAAGAAAAAAAAAAAGACTTAAAAATTTTCAACTGTACAGCTGTTATCACCATCCATTCTCACTTAGATCCTTAAAACTTTTACCGTGGTGGAAGACGAAAATTTGGATCTTATTTAAATGATGTGACCAAATCTTACGTCTCCTTTTTGTGCAAATGGTGGTAAATTTCACGGAAACCTGTTTTTTCCCACCTCGGCCCCCGCAAAAGAGAGATAGATGTCGAACTGATTTCCTTTGTTTGAGGGACCTCCCGGTTTTCCTTCCTCGACAGAAAATCTTGATTCAAAATGTCACATCGGTTTAGAATCAGTGGACAAGGATAGAAACTTTCCATGAATCAATTATTCCTGGATCTCGTCTCAAAACATCCATTTCTTCATCTGACAAGCTTGGGACAGATCAGGAGCCCCTGGACAGACCCATTCATTTATTCATTCATTTACCTATTTATTTATTCATTGGCTTTTTTTTTCTAAATTAATCATCCTGTTTACATACTGCTCATAACCATAAGGTTCAATTTCATTGATTAAAATTATAGAAGTTCTTCCTCATTTAATTCAATCACCTGGAGGAAAAACATTTAGAAGTTAATATAAAAATTCAAATTGAACTATGTATAATTATATAATCTGTATAATACATGGCTGAAAAAAACCCCCTCTCCCATCCCGAATCGAGGCTTTATTTCACCCGTCGCCATGCCAGGTGTTCCGATTGTGCAACCAATGACAAAATCGATAAATCCACCACAGTCCAAAAGCCAGTTCGTGACCTACCTCTAAACCATACCTTGTTGTCCTTATGTAAAATGTTAAAACGGACAACATTTTGGAAGTTTGACGTTTCAAGTAGTTTTTTACTAATTCGCTTTGTTCAGCCCATTCAAGCCGGGGGATTTCGGCGTGCCGAGTGCAACCGACAAAATCGAAAAGCCAGTTCGTGACCGCAATTGCCCACGGACAACATTTTGGAAGTTTGACGTTTCAAGTATTTTTACTCGCTTTGTTCAGCAAGCCGGGGGAGTGGGGGGTGGGTGGGGTGGTAAGGGGAGGGGGTGGTAAGGGGAGGCGGGGCTTGGTGGTCACAATGTATCGGCCGATATCGGCCAACTCTATTTGTAGGAGCCTGGCTTGTTTATTTACCAATTGGGATCTATTTTCGAGAAAAGGATGGTGTTGCTGCAATGGGGTCGATTGTTGCTGCAATGTCGGTAACAGCCTTCTTTATTCCGTTTCCAAAAAATCAATTCTTTCTACTTATTCAGCAATAAACGTACACTAGTTAAAGATTAAATTAATGAAAAGATCATTTGTAGGCTGGATTAACTGTTCTACAGATCAATTTAATTTCCTAATTATTATAAAATTAATATCATTCCTAAAGTATTCTTCTCCATTGAACGGACCGTTCAGTATCTTTTTAAAACTCGTCTTCTAGTCCTGATCCAGCCAATTTCTCTTTGATGAGAGAATCAAATCGCTTGCTTTGGTCTTCAGTGAAATAATCCTTCCAGTTTCCCACTTCACCTTTACGAATACAAAGACCTTTGAACCCTCTGATAAAGGAAAAATTAGAGTTTCCTTCTTTTTGCATGGCGTTGAATGATGTTTGGCTGACAATACGCTCCAGAGTCTCGAGGGGAAGCTCTTTCCCAATGAAAGTGGCAATTTTTCTAATAGCACCAAGCAAGCCCTAGTTAAAGGGAGATTCGAAAAAACAATGAGTGATGTTCTGTAATGTTAGTTGGCGATAATATCACTAAATAAAAAGCAGACTTTTTAGAATTACGATGAAGCCCGTTAAACTAAAGCTGAGGGCACCATACAGAGTGCAAGTACCAACGAAATGATCGTGATGGATATTTATTATGGCCAAATGATGTCCTTTAGCGTAGCAAAATATGTATAATAGATAGCAAACTAATGATATGCTACCAGTTTCATTTTTTTTTTTTTTTTTTTTTTTTTTTCGGCCTTATCTTAAGTTCGACCAAAACAGGAAGCCAAGATGATTCATAACCAAGATGTACAGGACCCCACTCTCCTCCCCTCATCAGGCCTACATTCTCTAACCTTGACTTAACGTGCTCGAAACAAATCCCAAGTGCTTTCCAGACCCCCTCTTTTCACACTCACCTCCTTCATGTCCTCGTACTTTAGAATCAATACATCAGGATCATCCTTGTGTTTCCACCAACTGAGGACATGATCAAACCACGGGCCATAATAGACTACAAACAAGATCAGGTAAATCAGCAAAATAAAATATTGCTTTTCTTTTTTCCCGAATCTTTGAGCTCCAACTTTAAGATTTTCTCAGTATCAGTCTCTAGGCTTTCCGTCGGTGGAGACGACAACCTCGTTACCAGGGTTTTTCTTCTGAAGGAAAAAGGTTCCCTGGGAACGAGGTTATGGGGACGAGCGAGAACGGGCACAAACGACTAACAGTAGGTGAGGTTGTCGACTGAACACCGCGGTTCTTTGCGCGCGCTCTCGCTTTTTCGCCTCTTAACACGAAAAATGTGTTGCATGCTACGGTTTTGCTCCTTGATTAGGTCAATTAGGCAAAGGCAAAAGGTTGTAAAAAATTAGCTTAATATAGATAACTTTACAAACAGATGCAAATCAGTAACCTTTCCCTTGATAGAACAGCTCAAATAACTCATCCCAGGAGAGAGCTTCTCTGCCAGATACTTTAGCCACAAATTCAAAAAGAGATACAGCCACATCTTTTGGGTTACGCATGACGTATATATAACGTGCTAGAGGCTTTGCAGCCTGGCCACACCCCTTGGGGACCAGGTCATACGGTAGATGTGATTTAAACACGCGGGGTGATGGGAAGCATTCAAATATCTTTTCTATCATCCCAGCAGACGTCACTAAATAAGGGTTCTCAGGTTGTGCATATGGCATTCCATCGACCCAGGGCATTCGCACATGCAAAGGGCGATAATCGATCTTGCCATCGTTGATTATCTGCCAGACGATTTCCTGAGTCCAAGTTGTTCCTATTAATGATAAAAAACATTTCAATGGGTAATTTTTCACTGCATGTATGATTATAACAGTGCATCAAGCAAGCTCGGGCACCGGCCAGGCGAAGGGTAATAGAGAGGAAGTGAGAACGATTCTTTTCGATCCCCTCCTCCTCATAGAACTTCGATAAAACTGTAGCTTACGGAAGGAGCGGGGAAACTTGCGAGATTAGAACCGGCGAGAGGTCAGTGATGGGTCTGGCACTAAAAATGATACTTACGAGTGAAACGAGTACGCATCTTACAAACCTGATCTTGGAAATGTACAAACAAAGATGTCTTCTTTCTTGGGAATTAGCTTCGGAAATGTGTCCAACATTTCCTTGGTAGTGCCTTTTACCCAGACCTTTCCATCAATCACAGCGTCATTCCTTGGCCCTATGGTGCTGTCTTCTGACATGGACATTTCGTTATCAAACTAGACCAATAAATACGAAAAACTATAAATTACTTGACTGACATAGGGAGAGAAGATTTTACTACTTTTTAAATATGGTAACTCGGAACACTATCTTTACGTATCGATTACTTGATTGATTGATAATGCTACAGCTTTCAATTTGTTTAAGTCTGAACACTGTCGGGGAAGCCTGACCAAATTCGCCTGATGCAACTTTACCAGAACCAATTTATACTCCTGAGAGGCATTGTGAGAGTGAACTGTTTTGCCAAAGAATACAACACAATGACCCCACTAAGTCTCTCTCCAAACCTGGACCTCTCTACCCGAGTTTAGTACACTCACCAATACGCTACTTCGTCTCTCGCGACACCACGATTCGTTTGCTTCCTTAAAAATAATATGGAACAACAGCCTAGTCACTTCTCAACTGGGTTTTGATGCAAACTATACGTGTGACCATACAAACGTAGCAAGACAGCTGTGTGTCTCTGTCGAGAAAGAAATAGGTGATACTCAACTTCATTATTTTGTGATTAAATATTAATTTAAAATTGACATTTGTAACGCAAAGATGTTAGATTTCGTGACATTAGATTTCCACAACAGTGCCGACGAAGTCCTAAAATGATGCAACTACATGCATTTTCTTAGGCTAAATAAGGTGAAAGAACGTGCGATTTTGTAAGTCACTTGATTTAGATACATTACATTGGGAACTTCTACTGTACATGTGATTAATGTAAAAATACTGCCTTACGCAAGGATAGAAGAAAACCCTCTGTATACCTGGAATGTGTTAATTGGTCGTTGATCGTTGATAGTTGTGTTACGACCGTTGAATACGCGCTGATTTATACAATTCTCACATTACAAATGCCGGGAAATTGTTTTGCAAACACACCGCCGACGAAATTTGCGCCAGGTGTCATGCAGCCGTTAGCAATTCCATAAGCCGGTAATTGTGAAGCCGAATTTTCACTTTAAGATGTATTTACAGAACAGCTAACTTTTTCGTAGTTTTTAATCAGGTTTTTTGTGTCGTTTATTGCTGTCCCCAGTCCTCCGTAGTGGAATTGTATGCGATTTCGGCATGTCGAGAGCGAAAATGTCGTGCACGTGGGTTACACATGGAAGTGAACCAATGTCATCCCACATTTGTTATGTCCTGGGTCCGTCACAAGCTTGTCACATGCAACAAAGTCAGTTCCGTGTAGATCGGTCCTTCAATATATGATAAAATACTTAAGTCGCGATCTCAGTGAAAGCGGTCCAAGGCGTTTCGCATCGGAAAAAAGTTTGCCTCAAACTTTGTCTATCTATGGTAGTAAGTAAATAAAACCATATTGAAGATTTTAGATATATGAAAATTCACATATTTGCACTGCGGTGGAAAGATGAAATTAGGAGATCCTCGCAGCTAAGAACACTACTGAAACGAGTAGTTGTAAATAGGACCTGAAAAAAAATTTTTCAGGCTAGTACGGGATTTGAACCCATGACCTCCGCGATACCGGTGCAGCGCTCTACCAATTGAGCTAACAAGCCAACTGGGAGCTGGTCAATGAATTGGGTCCAAATAAACATCCAAGTGAATGAAGATTTTAGATATATGAAAATTCACATATTTGCACTGCGGTGGAAAGATGAAATTAGGAGATCCTCGCAGCTAAGAACACTACTGAAACGAGTAGTTGTAAATAGGACCTGAAAAACATTTCAGGCATATTGGTTTCTGGAAGTAAGTTAAAAAAATTTTGAGAGCTCTCAAATTGCTAATTTCCTTCGCCTTAGTGACCTCAAACTTTTGGTGATTTTACAAGCTCGACAGCAGAATTATGCAAATTAGTCTGCAGTGCAAACTCCGACCGTTGATACTGATAGCTTCATAAATCTTAGATTTTAACCACTTTTAAAAGAAAAGATTGTAGGAAAAGGCTTTTAGAACACACTGATTGATACTATAAACATTTTATACGGCTAAAATAAGGCAAATTATCCTGTCCGGTGATGTATCGAATATCATACTGAAACCAATTTTTAAAAAGAGTTTCTCATTAAAACGTTGACCGAACGCTAATCAATATGAGTCACTTAGGGGAAGGAAATTAATAAGTACATGATATTTTTATATACAAACGATTTCTCGCAGGACGTAGTGTGTTACGAGGAGAGAGCTTATCAACTTTTGAAATTTTCGATGTCGCAAGAGGTCAGAAAGGGATCTTTTGCAGCTTCGATTATTGAGAGTTCTCAGTATTTTTATCAATGTATTTCCAGAAACCAATGTGGTTTTATCTACTTATCACCAAAGATAGTTTAATAGGCAAAGTTTGAGGCAAAACTTTTTTCCGATGCGAAACGGCTTAGACCGCTCTTACAGAGATCGACGCCTAACTGCCTCCGTTATGTAAGCGAAAATCAGTAATTCTGTATTCTTTGTCGCTGTCATTGATTTGAATTTCTTGAATTTTCGACGTCTTCACGTAAATGGAAAGTAGCGCGCTCATTTACTTCAGCAAAGATGCTATAATCGCGTGAGATCAGATAAACATTTGCCCAGACCTACAATGTTTTTCCGCCCGCTTCACTTTTACCGAATACGATTCTGTTGAAACAAAAATTGAACTCTCTTATCGAACAAGCCTACAATAAGTCGAAAAGCTGGCTATGCCTCTGTAAACGGATGCTTCATGACGCGAACCTGGAAAGTACGAAACAAGAGAATTGCGGAGATAAAAACTCACCAAGACTTGTTTTTTGAGCTGCAATTTCCACCTCTAAGTATTTCGCCAACGTTATGTTTGACTCCAATTGTCATCGACACCAGATTTAACGTCACCCCAAACCTCCGTAGGTCAACGTTGAAAGAAACTGTTCTTTTTCCATCAAATTTAATTTAAAACGTTCTAAAACGGACTGTGTCCGTTAAAAGTGAAAGTTTTAAAATCGAAACTTGGTCCGAACGTTGGCAGAACTAACAGAAACAAAACTAAGTCAGTGTTTTTCGTTGAATGAAATACTTTTCCCTTGACGACCTCGTAACGCAACTCCTCCGTGAATTTTCTATTCACGAAGTAGACTGATCTATGAAAGAAAACCGTAGGAATACCAGAAAACACTGACAACAATTTGAAGGTGGATCCTTTGTGATTGAAACTGTGCAGTTACATTTTATCGGAGGTCACGGTCGTGTTTGCTACCTGATTAGTTCGACGGAATGGCATCATAATATGTTGGTAGTGAATACAAAAAACATCCATCACTAATAAACAGCGAACGCATGAGATGATAGACCCCTTTGGCAGTCAGGAGTCTCAGGACAGCAACGCTAAGGAAGATGAATAAATGATTTTGGCCGGAATTTCGCGACTGGCTGATGTGTTTGCCGTCTCTCAATGTAGCTCCACACTTAGCTTTGATTACTAAATGGTAACTCAGACGACGCAGATTTTGGTGATTTCTCGTTGTTATTTTGCAGAGGAAGGCTCAGAAATGTAAAAAAAAAAAAAACAAACAAATGAATAAACAAAACACAAACGCACGTGTCGAGCTATCGTTCCGTCCATTATGATCTTTCGTTTTGCTAAGTCCTCGTAGCCGTTGCCGCCGGTCGTGCGTTTACTCAAGGTCCCTAACTGATATCTAGATTTAACCAAGCCTAAAAGCGGAGCTTTTCGGTAAGTTTATTTTCCAGTCCTTCAATATTCTGAATAAAAATTGAAATAAAACTCTTCAGCACTGGCTGTAGAAGAGTTTCTTCGAGGGGATTTAGAGACCAGTCCGGGGAGTGGGGAGTGGGGTAACAATTGACGAGGTCTGGAACCTGGGGACGATGTTCTCACAACCTGCAAGGCGATCAACACGTCTGCTGTGCACAAAACTTTTTTATGACTATACATTTATAGCCAATACCAATTCCTACACATAATAAAATGTCAGTAGGATCAGAGTTCATGGAATTATTTTAATTACATGAATATTAACTGATACTAGGAAATCTAAGAATATTTAAAAGAAAATAAAATTTGGTTGAAAAATTAGAATTCAGCATTGGCCGGATAATCAAGATTCTTAAAAAAGGAAATGTGTACTAATGAAATAGCGAAGCAAACTCTTTAACAACACCTGCCTGTACCTGTACAGCAGGTAATAAAGTCATTCGAAGTAGTCATTATCCCGGTTTTATGTGTGGAAAACACACGCACATGCAGATTTCTTGTAAACCTCTAGTTCAAGCCTCCGATGACTTCGAAATTTTGATGCACACCTCAAAAGGATAACGAATAAATTTCGAGATTCTATTTGTTCAATTTGGGTTAGTGAGGTAAAAGTAAGTGAAAAATTCATACAACGACAGGTTCAGGAAATTTTCACAACTAATTTATAAGGTTAGCCTGCCCGGAACAATCACCTTCCTGTAAAAATTAGACCAGGGCCCAGTTGTATAAAGGGCAGGTAACGCTATCCAACGGATAAATTGCTATCCAGCAGATAAGTGATAGCAAAACGCATAGCGTTATCCATGGGATAGGCTTTTATCCAGTGGATAGGGCTATCCAACCTTCGAACAACTGGGGCCAGGTTTGTACCGATAATGCACAAAAGAACTATCTGTATTCAGAGGGCATGTTTCCTTTCTTCATTTAAAGAAATACTGAGGTTATCATCTTTCCACAAGCTCAGTGGAAAGTGAGAGTGAATGAGACTGATATTGATTATGTTATTTGAATAAATATCTAGAGGAGGCTAAAAAGTAAGATAGGGTCTGCACAACTCTCATGTTTTCATTTTTTTTTAATGCTATAAAGCTGAGGCATTTATGTTCTTGCTTTGTACATTATGTGGAAGCCAATTGTTTTAACTTTCATACGTTAAAATACAATGTGCTCTTCATCTATGAGCTCTAAAAATTACAGGGGAGGAGGCAGGTCAAAGTAAAAACATGAATTAAAAAAAGAGGGCCCCCATTAATTTCAGTCCTCATTGAAGGAGGATCTTCACCTTTCCAGATTCCAACCTTTTAAAATTCGCATATCTTGTGACCAATTCCGTATATCAATGTTTAGTTTGGGTATAAGCATTGATAAGAAACACCGTGCATTAATGAAAGCTTGAGCGAGTAGTCGTAGTTTTGACAATGTTTTCGTAGTTTGAACTCATATATGGCTCATAAGTTATCAAATTATGCTCATTAGTTATCATTGTCAAAACTACAACTACTGCCTTATTAAACAACACCTTAGATGTCGAATTGCAAAAAATAAAAAATCTTCGTGAACAGAACTTCGCGGAAGGTGAAGCAAACAACAAGCTATTGGATGAAGAGGATACTCAACGGAGCAACTTGAATAGTAAATACGTACGGCTTAACTCTTGTGCTAAATATCCTGATTCTTTAATTTGTTTTTACTGTGTTCGATACTTGTAACGTACGATTTGACATTGCGATACAAACCATGAGTAAACGCTCTCGGAGCGTTTACTTTCGACAAATAGGTCGTCTCAATTTGTCAAACAAAAAGTAATATGACAAGTGAAAGGCAATTCATTCCAGGATAAAAAAACTTTGGATGTATTATGATTTTTAATAATACATCCGATAGGTTGAAATCTTACAGTATTAGCTCAACATACTAATTCTTACGTGACGCGTGATTGGTTAAAAAAATTCTCCGTGATGCGTGATTTATAGAAAAATTCGGCGTGATGTGTGATTGGAACCCCCTTTTGCTACTCTACCGAAACGTATCACCACTTCTCCTGCTTCATGTATGATTGCTCTGATCATGGGGAGGGGTAGGTGGGCAGTTACTCAGATACGGACTTCAAGTTGATCCCCGCAATCAGGATAACGAGATCACGAGACAGTATTCGACGCATGTGATCAATCTTGGTTTGGTTACAATCGGTGTTCACGTGGTCTGTTAGAGACAGGCATGTCCACACACCTGCATGCCTGAACTTCAAATTATGCACAAGTTACTCGATAAGAAATCGCAAATTTCGCTGTGTGTATGACTAAAAAGTAGAAATTAGTCTGTCCCAAGACTTCAGTTAAAGAAAAAACGGAGCGAAATAAACGAACCCAGCGATGGTAGCAAAAGAGCAAAAAAAGAATGAAAATGAAAGTGAAAATAAACACATTGAGAATGATCTGGGTCAGTCTTTCATTCGATCAAAGAACAGACAACATGGACTAAGAAGCTGACGATATGTTTCAAGGTCGATTGTGTTGGAATCGTAGAAGTTCATGATGTGATGATAAGAAAACCGAAACAGATATGGTCATTCTAGTGTAAGCACTCACCTTAATTCGCTTTTGGACCAGTATGTACGTTTTAAAATGTATCAAACAGCGGCGTAATCGTGATGCGGAGGGAGGAGGGGTAAAGTCCTTGCGTACCCGTGAGGAAGTAGATTGTTGTCGGTGACCTATTCGAAGGCAGATCGTATGCCAGTATTCACGTCATCGATGACTTTAAAGGAACAGGCACATGGAAAAACGAAATCTATTTATATAACAGTCGTCCGAAATAAATAGAGAGTTTGGGACACACGATCAGTAGTTTCAGCTGGAATAGCCAGGAAAAATGTACCATTAAAACTTTATTTTGGAAATCCACGTTCATTTATCTCCAGCAGTAAATCATTTTTCTTTTTCAGAGGTAAAGGCATTTAGTGCATGAAGTCGTTCTTTCCAAACATAAATTACATTCAAACTGAATTTAGGTTCGCTCAGCTTTACGCACAAGAATGAAGGAATACGTACGCCTACTGTCAGATGCACTCATAGTTCTGAACGAGTTTGCACCCCTACCGTATCAAGCTTAACGAATATCCTTGTAGCAAAAGCAAAATAATCACACTAGCCGATCAGAACAAAGGGAAATATCAGGGGCCAATGATAACTCAGAGCGAACACAAGTAGCCGCCGTCACGCGCAGGAAGTCGCACGTAACCGTAGCTTCCTTCTTCCGTCTTTGTTTGATCTCGTCACGCAACGCGTGGGAAGAGGTTACTTCGCGTGACGACTAGGCCAAACAAAGGCTGCGAAGAAGACAAATGTAACCGGGACCAAATCACAAATGGTTTAAGTATTGCTCCTGATTGGTGGGAATGTTGGCGCCAACTTTCGCGATGAATCAAGGTGCGCAGCGGAGCAGAACTACAGCAACCCTCAATTGAAAATTGCTCCGGCTACCGTGCTCACTGTGTGACAAACTTCGAAAAGACCGTTGCCCTTTCTTTAAGTGTTTAAGTATGTTGAAAACAATGTCTGGCACGCTTAATAAAATCTAGATCCTAAAAGAGATGCTCAATTCTTTCAGTACTGAGTGTATAGGCATGTACCAATGACATCTTGCAAACTTTTCTCTTCGTTAAATTAACAGCCTTCCTCTTATATTCTCAGCCAGGGTCTTCTTATATAAACTCAGCAACAGTCGCCCAAAACCGAAATTTTGGTTAACAACTGGTACAAGGAGGCCTCATTTTGGTACTAGGGGCTTGCGGAGTTCGTTTGTGAGCCAAAGAGCAATTGTTAACAATGACACAGCACCAGATTGATGTAACGCAGCGAGATGAGTTGGAACATATAACAAAAGTGTAGAAATACCGAGAGTGACCTGAAATAGAAAAAAAAAAAGATCAAATTAAAAAACGATGTCTCAGAAAGAGTATAAAGTTTAGAAAATGAATCAAAAGACTGCTTAAGCCTGCAGCGACTTTGCCAGCGAGAGCTTATTATATTCTTGGAGAAAATTATAGCTACCATCTTTGATTTCTGTGTCAACGGAAGGTTGGGGAGAGAAAGAAATTTGTACCAACTTTATACCAAGTCTGTCTCGTATCTGAAATTTGTTCTGAGGAAAAAGGCGCGAGTATTTCAAATAATTTTCCAGGACATTGGGAAAGGAGATTTAATTCCCATGAGTGACAAAGAAAAATTTCCTTCATGCAATATCAAGCACACAAGCGATGAGAAAAAAATGCATCAATTAGGGATTGTATGTTGATCCAATACCAAATTCTTCCAACTAACATCGTAAAAATCGTATGGCGTACAGTATGGAGAATTACTAATGAAAACTCGGGAGTGAAAGGGTGAGGCTATGTTATGAGGACTACACAATGATTACAACCAAGGAACATCTCGATCCTGGGCTCGAAACGGAAACTGAAAGGTATAAAATACACACTATAGGGTTAGAAGTTTTCAAATTCTGTTGCAAGTTTTAAAATCAGAAATACGTCACCTGCACAGCGGACATTCCCAGCAGACAGTTTAACGCTATGTTAGCTCTTCCAGGCAGTTTTAGTGGTCTCGCAAGTAGAAACAAAATGGCAATGGAAGACACAGTGGTTGTTCCCTACAAAGAAGAATATTTCAGTGCGTGATCAGTCGTTAATTCTGCGAATGGAATTGTTCTTTCACCATTTGTCACACAAGGCAATAGCAAGATGTCACGCAACACAGGAAGAAGGCATTAAAATGACCAGAAATTCTTCAAACTGTACGAAAATTTCCCGTCCTTTCTTTGACCAGCCCACGTGCGTTTGTTTTTCACTGGATAACTCAAAGCACTAGCTACCAGAAAAAGTTACAAGAATATTAAATCAAAAGAATCAACTCACAAGAATTCTGTGTACAAACTGAGTTGTTGTTGGGTTTTCGAAAAAGTTTTTCCATTTCGGTTCGAGCGCGAACAAGTCGCTTGGAATCCAACGGTCTGCCATCTTGGGAAAAGAGTTGTAAACAAGACCAGCGTCCAAACCAGCGACAAACGCACCTGTAGGGAGAGGGGTGGAGTTGATTACATAAGTTTGTACACTGAGAGAGAAGCCACAATAGACGAAGTGAACGACGAAACGTGATAATGCTGCATGAAAAAGTCAATAATTTACAAACTTAAGCCGGAAACAATAAGATCGCATGAAGAGAAGGGGAGTTTGTTAGGTGGGTTGGTTCAGGCAGATTGGAGACGTGCGAAGCCGCGTGCAAAAAACGCACGCGGAGGCCAGCGCACATGTACGTGGAGACACGCACGAAGGCCTAAGAAGAGACAGGAGTAGATTCGAACTTCGGGGGCTACACAGCCTGCAATAAATGCCACCATAATTTCTAATTTTCTAGAAATACTGTAAATTTCTGCGTGGAACTGAGACAGCAAACCAGTCTCGAAAATATGAGACTGCTAGTTGATACAGAGATACAACGGTACGCTTTTAAGCAATGTCAGTTTGATTCTCACCTGAAACAGCAGTGAGCGCTACAAAGCCCTTGCATGTGTGAGCAAATCTTCTGAACTGCCTTAGTTGTGAGGTCATGACATACTACAATAAACAGAACAAGCTAGGATAAGGTCACAAATAAAATAAATTAACGAAAAATAACTACATTCTACAGCCTTTAAACTTATTTAACTATTAAAGTATCTCTCTGCTTCCTGTAAGTTTTCAACCCTTAACCCCTAAGATTTCATTGATGACTCTCCCTACTGGCTACTACACATTTCCTTGTAAATTAGTTATGAGAATTTGGCATTAGATCAAGATAAAAACTTCTACCTGATAAGGTTTGAGTAATCTCATTACCTGTTTGCTAAGTAATGTATGGATAATTTATGAAGAAGTTACATCTTGATCTCTTCTGAGAGTTAAAGGTTTAAGAGTTAGAAATTCACTATTTGTGCATCTTGAAAAAAAAATTTGACCACACTTACTCTTGGTCGAGGGATGAACTGACTCAGGCCACACCACACCAGACCAGAATACAGAAGAAAAGCAAGCGACAGATGCGCAGCAAGGCGGTACTGACTGACCCGAGGTATCTCTGTTTTACTGATATGTTCTTCATCAAGGCCACTCTTCACCATGTACCAGCCCATCAAACCCTGTCACAGACATTGAGAGACAATAAGGGGTGTGTGTGTTAGTGTGGGGGGGAGGCATTATTGTATTATTGTCACTGCATCCTTGAAATGGTAGTTAAAATAGATACCGGTAGGTCTGTATAGGGAAAAATTGGACCTGAGGCCTTGATAACTGCCACTAGCCTTTGGCCTGGGGAAACAGTACAGACCAAGGGCACACTTTTTTCCATACAGACCAACCCAAATCAGTAAAAAACTCATCATATATTTTTGCAGCTGGTTTCTTTTTTTTCTGCTGGCATAATTGAGAGGATAAGTGTACATTTCCTTCCTCCTTTTGCTTCTCCTGTTCAGTAATAGATCACAGATATCGTCAAAATGTGGTAAGAACAAAAAAGTGATACATGACACGCAGTTGATTTAGTATAAATCAGACATTAGTGTCCAAAATCAGAAGCTAGTCTCTAAAATTGGACAGTAGTATCTAAAATTGGACACTGGTATCTAAAATCAAACACTAATGTCTAAAATTGGACACCAGAGTCCAAAATTGGACACTAGTGTCAAAAATCCAACACTAGTGTCTAAAGTTGGTCAATAGGATCTAAAACTGGACGCACAAATTGAATTTCAGATAACAAAAAACTTTCTTTGTGCCATTAAAAAATTGTAAAGAAATCTTTTAGTTTCTACCTGACTCAGTAACAGTGCTCCAAACACTCCAACTCTCATCTTCAATCCTTTATTAAACCAGCCCTTGTACCAGAAATATCCTGCTGGGAGATAAAATGCAACTCCAACCAAACGACCCCACATTCTGTGAGCATACTCCATGTACCAGATCCACTTAAACTGGGCAAGACTGATTCCTTGGTTGGTACTATTAAAAAATGCACCTTTGTTATTAGATTCAAGGATCAAGCTAAGATGCCTAATAATCCTCTGCACCCTAGGGCTTACAGTTAGAAATCTTTTGAGGATGATCTGATTAAAAAACATAATTTTCAGCAAAAAATTTGGGGTGGAGATGCCGTCCCATATTGAAGCAAAGAAGGTGATTTCTAGGAACTCTGAAAAAAGGAACCCTTGAAGGGTGCTAAATAGGTAAAAAAGCAGCAGGATCACTCCATTAGAAGAACTCTTCCTTAGATCTTGTTTCATTTGCATTTTACTGTTTGGGCTTTGTGTTCCTCCACTCTCGTAAGTCCAGCATCTTAATTTAAGGGAGGAGTGTAAGCTCATACTTGGCACAGAGGCTTTTTACTGGACTCAAGTATGATCATCAGGATTGTTCTTCTTACTATTTATATTCAGGAAACTTCTGGTATTTTTCAAACTCCTTCTCCCATTCCTCTTGTGTTGTTGGTGGCTTCATTCCTTTGATCAGATGCCAGTCAACCATTGACAAACCAGATTCTGTTAGCCGTGTGACTCCTCCCAGAACAACAGAGCCAACTGCCATGCCAGCACATCCCAATAACCAAAAGCCTTAAAAATAGGTGAAAAATACAGTGCTTTCATTAATTCATATTAACCAATGACTGTTAATATGTGTTAACAGTGCTTATGGTTTAGGAAATGTAAAGTGAAAAGGCTGTATCTAAAACTGATAACAGCGTGAAACCAAATGTTTATTAAAAATGATTCTACAAATAATACTTATCATAATATTCATCTTTCTGACAGAGAAAGTAACAAAAGAGGAAGAAGAGAGAAAACAGTTCTCCTCTACCACTTAAGTTTTAAAAATCAAAATATATGAATTGTTAAAATGTTTTTTTCTGGTAAATGTTGTCTTGACCTTCTCTTTCCCAGCAATAGAAAAAATAAGTTTACAGTACTCAAGGTTTCAGAAATAGCGATTGACTTTGTTTTGTATCCACTGCTAACGACCTGATTAAAATCCCTGCCATTCTTTTGACAGCAGTGCACTATGCTCTAAACCAAGATAACCAGACCCGTCAATAAGCTACGATCCAAACCCGGAAGAACATTTCTATACCTGTTATTTTGGAGGCTCTGGGAGAGATTTCAGCTGTTGCTGTTGCTGCAGAAGCCTCTGTGGTAAGTAACTTGCGGCATCCTCTTGATAAATTTCCGAGTCTTACCTGAAACTTTGAGCATCAGATGGTAATGATCACATTACTGTGCTACAGTTAATATCGGCAATAAAATTGATGGAGGCTATGTTATGTAATCGCACCAACACTATTTCATCATACTTTACAGACAAACATTTCGTTCAAGTATTTTTGGCATTTTTCTAAGTTAACCCAAATACCGAATTAGCTTCAACATCCAGTAGAAACATGCTTGAATTTACTAGATCTAATTTCAGTTCCATTTACACGAACTAGCCAAGCTTGAAACAGAAGCGAAACATTAACAAGAAAGTTGTAAAAAAAAAAAAGGGAACAAATGTTTTCCTCACCGATTGTCTCGGAAGAGCATTTAACGAGCAAAGACCTCTGATAGTACACCCTAACCGTAACATTGTAGTCAAAAATACGTAATTTTACAAGCGTGACACTAAAACATGAACTCAAAGAGGATCCACATAATATTCGTTCACGAAGCAAGGCTTGAACGCGGGAAACTGGGTCAAACTATAAGTCTTATACGAAACGTTTGCCACAAAATGTGAATCCGCTAGAGTCATGTGGGCTCACTATTGAATTTGGTTTCTGCTTTTTGTCAAATCCTTTACCACTTTCATATAGAAGTCTTTCATTGAAAAATTGCTGCATTTTTTATATGAGCAGACATCTCGCCTCTTTTCTAAGTAAGATTTATAAGCTATCTGTACAAAAATTAGAATATTCAGCTGTGTCAAGGCTACTAAAGAATATGGCGGAAGATACCACGTGCAACGCAGAGCAGTTTTCAGAAGAACCACACAAGACTCAGGGGGAGAACGACGGTTTGAAGAGGTGCCTAGATGATGACAACACGACAGAAGATACTGGGAAAAAGAGAATGAAAACAGAACCTGGCGAGAAGGTACAAGAAAATGCTTCTCTAGGTATTCTACAATCTTATCAGCCCACATTGAGTTACAGGGAGACGTTCCATTACATTCGAGCTCCCCTCCCCCCTCCCCCCACAACCTCATCCCCCTTACCCTAACCACCCCTCCCTAGAATGGCAAGATTTGGATAGAGCCTGTCAATATATTTTTTCAAGGAGACTTCAAATTTTTTTTTCTGCGATGCAACTTTCAAAGGTGCCGGTGAAAAAATGATAGTGTCAAAATGTTGCCTTCCACAGAGAGGTTAGATGAAAAATTGTCTTCAACTTTTGGTATGATTTATGTCACTGATCTGCATATGCTCTAGATCTAGCTTTTGATGAAAATTCAAATTACTGTTATTTCACAGGCTGCTGATGATGAGAAGAATGAAAAAACCTCCATACTTCCAAGAAAAAAGAAGTGTGCACTGCTTTTGTCTTATTGTGGGGCAGGTTACAATGGAATGCAAATGTACGTATCACTGCATGGTGTTGATGATCAGGAAAAAAATTACAATTTTGTTTAACATACAAGATTTAATTTGTACTGGAAACTGCCCTGCATAGCTGATGCAACTGATCCCAGTTTTTTTAATGGAATGATAAGGACTACATGTATGGTCACTATTTTGTCTCACTTGTAGGATTTTAATCTTGTTGTATAATATTTGTATTGAGGTTGCTATATGTTCAGCATCACCCCAGAGTAATGGTTGTGGTATACAAAAGTGTTCAGGTCCACTACACGACTTTCAACACAACTTTGTTCTCACAAGATGAGTTGTGTTTTGTTGTTGTGGACTAGAGAAAAACACAGCCCTAATCTTTGCCAGGGAGTGTTTTAATCAGTAACTATCTGGTGACAAAAAGGGCAACATTCATCTACTTTGTTTTCAAAGAAAGACCACAGGGAAAATGCACAGGAAGTAAACAGAAGATGGTTGATAATAGAGTAGTGTACTCAAACTTGTATGAAAGTTTTTTATTTTAATTAGCTAATTCAGGGCATGAAATTAATTTTTTTTTCTGATAGCCACTTGGCTCCTAAATTCTTCAAAGTGGTAGCCAATTCAAAAAAAGTTGGTCACCATTTTCAAACAAAACTTTTTGATGTTTTAGAGACCCTCCAAAATTAAGTTAGGGGAAAGATCTTTTGTGGGGAAAATGGACACGAGGAGGGATGATATACAACTCTCAAGCTCAAAATTCAAGAAGATGGTTTGATCGAGATGCATGTGCTGCGTTTTGGAAACAAACTTAACAAGGAAGTGATTTATCTTTCAAATCTTTTTAATTCACAATATCTCTTGGTAAGGTTTTTTGAAACATTCTAGTTTAATCGACTAGTCTTAGGATTTGGATGCCAAAGGGAAAAATTTAGTCGCATTGGCGCCTGTATTAGGCGCAATTTCACGCTCTGTAATTTAATTATGTATTTTTCTTGTCTAGTAATCCTGGTGTTAAAACTATTGAACAAGAACTGGTCAATGCCTTGTTTAATGCTGAAGCAATAACTGAAGATGGAAAAGCAAACATGGGAAAGGTTGGTCATGGATGACTCTCTGCAAAATGCTTATCTCTTTAACCTCTAAGAGTGACTGGTTTCTAATTTCTCCTAACAGCATCACCCTTGAATCATATGTAAAGGTTGTGAGAATAAAGGAACTTTGTCAGCAATTTGCAGAGCTCCTGATTGTCTAACAAATTCTCTTTCTCAGTGCTTTAGGAAATGTAAAGAGAACAGTTTGGAGAATATGATTATCAATGTTAGGTTGTATAGGGTTAATTGTATCAGGTAATCAGACTTAATGGAAATATAGAAATTGTAATTTGTACGTCATTGCAGACAAAGGATGCTGGGTTTAGTCTTTTTCCATTTCTGTAAGTAGATACCATTTCTTTATTACCAGCATGATAGAAGTTGCTGAGGAATAAAACAGTAACTTTATTTCTGTATTTTTTTCACTCTAGATGTCCTTTCAACGATGTGCTAGAACAGACAAAGGTGTTTCTGCCGCAAGACAAGTTGTGTCTTTAAAGATAAGTGTTACAATAGTTTTTTGTAATTACACTGTACACTGCTGTGGGAACCTGTGATTCTCTGTGAGCACCAAGTTTATGACCACCTCTTCCTATAATTGTAAAACATAAAAGAATTAAGACTGGGTTTCATTTAACCCTTTAACTCCCATGAGTGACCAAGACAGAATTTCTCCTTACAATATGAATACAATGTTAAGCAGACAAGTGATGAGAATAAAGAAAAATATCATTTATGGGATTATTAGTTGATCCAATACCAACTTCTCCTAACTAACATCATAAGAATTGTATGTCAGACAGTAAGGAGAATTACTACAAACTGAGATCTTGGAATTGAAAGGGTTAAGCAGCCAGCTGTCCCTGAAACCCTCTTACATAAATGTGGAATGTATACTGAATGACTGTTAGTCAAACTGGACTTCATAGGAGCAATTATTATCACCAGCACAATGTACTTTGAAAATTTATTTCTCCATTTAGACAGTTCTTTTTGAGTCATTTCTTTGGAACTGTGCATGTACACCTACTGAGTAGCAGATTGCTTTATGGAGTACTTGCTGTGTACAAAAATTATTATATGTACTGGACCAAATGTTAACTGTTTTTCCTCTCTGTGTGTACATGGTACCGTTGCAGAGTCTTTTGCCAAAGATTAACGAGCATCTTCCTCCTGAAATAAGAGTCATTGGTGAGTCAACTTACAGAACCCTTGTTAACCTTTAGAGTCATATACCATATTTACTTGTGTATAAACACCAACATATACAAAAGATTTTCATTAGACACGAGTCATACACAAAGACCTGGGTAATTCAATCCAAGAGTCAGTAATAAGCTCTATACATACCCATGTAAACAGGATATGGTAAGTAAACGACAGAAAATTTCACAGAAGTTTCTTATACTTGTTAAGTTTCGCACTTTAGATGTTCCTCAAATTGTTTTTTGGCAGCCATGAAAAGAACAACCAGAGGCTTTGATGCTAAAGGAAACTGCTCAGCAAGGACATATGAATATCTCACTCCTACTTTTGCTTTTGCCAAAGATTATGTAAGTCTTTTTTTGCTTTCAAGAAGATATTCTCTCTCTTGATAAAAATGTCAATAAGAATCAACCAATTTGTTGGTCTTTCAGTTAGTTGATCTGTCAGTCAATCCACCTAAGTTAGTTGGTCAATCTGTTAGTCAGTCAGTCAGTCAGTCAGTCTCTTGGTCAGTCAGTCAGTCAGTCAGTCAGTCAGTCATTCATTCTCTCAGTCAGTCAGTGTTACACATGCTGAATTTGTGTCTGTTGACAGCTGCATATCTTCCTTTCCATTTCCAGCAAAGAACCACAAATTACAGAGTGACTGGTATGTACTTAAGTTGTGTAAAAGGTTCAGCGACTGTTTCATTCATCAAATTTTTTTGCTGTAATCAATGGCTACTTCTTGGTTGAATTCAAAGCAAATTAAGCTAAGTATTTGCTTGGAAGTCTGCCTTGAAGTGTGGTATGTTTGTCAATGTTAAGTTATTTTTATTCTCATCTTTTTAAACAGATGAGAAAATTGACGAGGTTAATGAGATCCTTTCCAAGTTTGTTGGAACACACAATTATCACAATTTTACATCAGGCAAGTGAGTACAAGCACTTGTCTCCTAATGGAAACTATGAATAATTTGCAGTTTTTCAATCCAAGAATCAAATTTGTATCATTTATTATCATTAATAATCAATTGATACCGGATATATCATGTATCATCAATGAATGAATGATACTTTTTGACAAGAGAGCATTTTAACCAAGTGTCGTGACCAATCAAAGTATTCAGTCTTCAGAAAGGAAAATGTCAGAAGGAGTCAATATGAACTCAGAAACAAGCAAACTCCCCCCTCTTCCCATAATTTATTGTCGTTTCTACAAGACTGGTTCAGAGGGTGTCATGCGAGCCTCCTGGAACAATCACAGATAAGAGTGCAGCTAAACTGCTGCAATCATGAACTGCTTCCGACCCCCGTTTGAAAACGGCTTCGAATTTTAAAATCCTTTTTAGGTCGTTTTGCCATAATAGAATTTTGTTTCGAATTTCAGGAGGTTTAATGATGCCAGTGCTCACAGATATATCATGAAGTTCAAGGTAACATTTGCGACAACAAACTGGTAACAGTTTCACATAATTATAAGCTCGGGCAGTAGAAGGCTCGGAAGACTCACCTCAGTGTCTTTATCTTTATTTATTATCTTTATTTAGTGTGGTAAACCTTTTGAGGAAAGCGGAAAAGAATTCATCACGATTTCTGTTAAAGGACAAAGTTTCATGCTCCATCAGATACGGAAAATGATTGGTAAGGCTTGCTCGTGAATCCTAAAGCCCTCCGTTTTTGAGTTTAGAGAAATCTTTTATTTAATTTTAAAGACCCTCCGTTTTGAGTTTAGAGAAAAATCTTTTATTTAGTATTGAATAAAAGTGTTTTTGCGTCGGTGGACTGCAGGTAATTTCGCTTTACGTCGCTTTGCTGACGATTGATCTAGAAACGCTCGAAACGTCTCCCTTTACGGTGGCTTATCCACCAATCATATGTAACCTAACCTTGCTTTCTTATTGGTTTTGACATTTTGCGCGCGCCACCCTCTCCACCAATTAGATCCAGAATGAAAATCGATAACGAGTGTGTGGTAAGCGTTTTCCCGCGCTGGAAGCACGTAGTGTGTTTTTACTACGGATTCTCATCGGATCCTTATGATTTTTTCTTGGCTTTGTTTGACCATTTTAGTATCACGCAATGCAATCGGAATGTGTTCTCTAATTGGAAGGGGTGAAGATGACCTGAGGTTGGGATGTAAAGCGCAGCTGTTGGCCTTCTTGGTACTGTTTTTGTACATTTTTTTAAACTACATGTGCCATTTGATATCGTTTGTAGGCCTTGTCTTGGCGATCGTCCGAGGTGTGGCTCCTGTTAGTACAATTGAACTGGCCAGGAAAGAGAAAAAGGTACTTGCATGCATGTGTCGTTTTAGATCTAGTTCAGTCGTTTTATAGTTGGATTTGATCCCTGAACTCAGACACTCTTGAAATGCCTTTTTATTGTTATCTTCAGGTTGACATCCCGAAAGCCCCTGCGGTTGGACTGGTTCTTGACGAGGTAAGCCTCGCTCTAGGAATATTTTATACATTGACCTTTATCGGAAGCATTTAACCTGCTTATTGCTCTATTACCTGTCGCTTTTTAATGGAAAATGGTCTTCGCTTATTCGTTCCTTCTCATCCTCTGCTACCTTTTCTCAGAGTAACATCTCAGAATATGCCATTGTGGTTGGAATTAAGCCAAAAACTTTATGTGCTACTTTCTTGGCACTTTCACGAATTCCGTAGCTTTGCAAGTTTTTGCACGTTAAGTTCTCAAATATTGCACTCATTGTTAGCCAATGACACTGTCTTATTGCTGCAATTTCCTTCTTACATTATACTGATACAAATGAAAGTAAATTTATTTCCTCCTCCATTTTAAGTGACTATTGTGTTCATTTAGGTCCACTTCGATGCCTACAACCGTCGCTATGGCTCTGATGGGCTACACGAGACGTTAGAATGGGAAGACAACGAGGTTGGTTCGAATAACTTGAAGATTACCAATATAGCAGTTTTGAATTGAGCGACCAAAGTTATCGCAACTGCCAATCATAACAAAGGTTTATATCATCATTGACCAATGGGAACTCAGAGTAAAAATAGGCAACCTGCTTGAAGCGCGGGAAAACGCGAGTGACCAAGTCATAATTGATTTTGGTTTTGCATCTGATTGATTGAGAGAGTGGCGCGAGTTTCCTAGACCAATCACAGCGCGAAATAAAGCAAAACCAAAGCAATCCTGGATTACTCTCGTTACTCGGTTTAAAATTGCTCCTTGTCTTGACTCAGGTGATGACTTCCGCTCAGGTTGTCGACACGTCAATCGTTGTCACCGAAAACAGTCGTTTTTAGGACCACTCGCCTAAACAACAGTTACTCTTGGTGTGAAACCCTTTATGCGTAGCAAACTTGACACGAGTATTATCGAGCGAGGAAAGGGATAAAAATAAGACGAAAATGGAAGTTGAGCTGATTTATTCCAGTTTTACATTGAATTCTTTGTATGTTATCTTTTCAGGAGGAAATCAAGAAGTTTAAACACCAATATATCTACAAACATATTATCGACACAGAGGCTCGGGAACATTCGTATCCTTATGTACAACAACTCAAACGGGACGAATTTGTTGAATTTTAAAGGAGAACAAGCTTCTAAGGGTCATACATAGCACAAGCTGCCTTTACTAAAAGTTTTTAGACGGCAATACGTTAGGTGTTTTTTTTATTACTCGGGACAAGAGCACTAATGCAAAAAGAAGCCCCACTTAGAAAAAAAAGTTTATTCTTTTGATCAGGGATGTCAAACTTTGTGAAATTTTGAAAGAGACGTCAGTTGTGAACTGCTCTTAATTGCAATCATGATTTGTTTTTTGTTGTTATTTTTTATCTGGGCTTTGACACACAATTTTATCTGACGATTATTGCTGACCTCATTTTCAGAACTGTAGTTTCACAAATGCTTTTGAATTAAATGAAAACAATTGTAGTTAGTTTGTGGAGTGTACGTGATTCGGAGTTTGAGTTAGCAAACATTAAAAGAAGATTAAGATAGTTTGGCGGTACAACACTGTTCGATTGATTGTTTTGAAATGAACAAATCTTGCGTTGTCACATCGGCCAATACAGAGATTTATCAAGAAGCCAGTCAGAAATTAAACTGAAAACATGAAAATGCTGGAAGCGCGGTAAATTCCCACTTTTGTACCTGATTGGTTGCGAAAGTGGCGCGAGGCTTTTTAAGACCAATCCTACGGCAGTTACGAATTACTTAAACACTCCCTGAAGAATTGGTTTATACTGCGTGAAGGTGATCAAAAAATCTTCTGACCCCTTAACAGAATTAGTACAAAATGAAATGGTTGTCATGTAATAAACCCTTGACTAACTACTAGAATGATGAAGTGGCTTAGGTCTTTACCAGACCATACGTACACGGACGAGAGAATGGAGGAGATTGGCACTAAAAAAGACACCAATATCGCCAAACAAAACACAACTGATTCAAACAACGCTGTACCTCATGACCACTCTGGTAATCAGGGGGAGAGTAGCGATACAAAACAGATTACCGAGGGAGGGGATAGTGACAAGAAGGAAGATGCTGAGGCAACAGTTGTTTAAGAATAAATGCAATCGTCACGGTTGTTGGGGAAGCAAATGTTGTATAATTTTAAGAAAAACAATTAAAGAAACTCATTTTTCGCTCTCCGTTTGCTTGAGTTAGTCATCCAGAGAACTCATCCTTTAAGAAGATTGAAAAATTGTTTTGCATTTGGAACACACACACAGTGATACTTTTGTTTTACAAACGTGCGCACAAGTGCAGAACCTGCCAAAATATGCTGGAGTTTTAAAACAATTTTTTTGTGAGAATGGTAGTAGTCTAAGTCGAGTTGTATTTCTCTTTGATCATGATAGTTGACCATAATCCCCAATCATTAAGAATATTTAATATAACTACAGAAAAAATAGAATCAAACCAGTGTAATCTAAAATGGTTCTCATGCAACCAACTTCCTTGGTAACAAGGTTATTCAATCAGGTAGCGAGAATTATTTTATTTTGCATTTGTGCGGGCAAGCTTGCCATTTTAGTTACAATTCTTAACGCAAAACAAAAAGCAGCATCAATACGAACAACAACAATAGCGTACTCAACTGGGGGGGGAGGGGAGGGAGGGGTGTTTTGAGTATTTTTCCAGCGCTGCTGTCAATAGACCTCTTCAGCTTGTATGCTCTGTGTATTTCGGGTCGTGTGACGATACTCTAGGGAATTATTTCTTTTAAATTTTTTTTTTTCAAATTTCCTCTTATTCACGTCCAGACGTACGCATATGTAATTTATAGGTAAAGCTGGCAATTAAGACCTGAAACGGGTAAACTAAGAATACAAACTGTAGAAACAGGGCAGGGGTAAGTTTCTAAAGAAACTGTGGTGTTGCGTTAGTGGGAGAGTAAATTGGCCTTCGTTTAGAGTTTCAAAGCTGATGTTTAGAGCGTTAGCCCTTCGTCCGAGCAGAACCTCCCGTTCTGACGGATGGCTAACGCCCGAAACGTCAGCTTTTAAACTCTAAACGGTGGCCAAGTTACATTATTGACTCAGACGATAATACCAAGTTACCTTGTTATACAAGCTGTAGAGGCCTATTATAAAGTAATTTCTCTTAGAACTTATTCTGGCTATAACTGTGCGGCCAGAAAGTACGTCCAGCGACTCTCTGGTCTGTATATGGTAACAATACAGAGTTTCAGTGTCTCAAACACGCCTTATCGGCTTGGCCACATATATCAGACCATTTAAATTTTGTGACTGGAGTCGGTTGGATGCAGTGGTTGGTTTTGTTGATCCTGATCTCATAAGGCAGAGATTGCACACGTATTATCCCATTTCTTTGAAAAGAAAAATTAAGAAAACAAAAAAATGGTGTTGATAATTGTCATAATAGTTACAGTAACAGGTTAAAAGACGTGGAAGAACTGTTCTCTAGTACGATTTGCATCCAAGAATACCGCAGTCACGTGGCCTGAACGACGTAAGTGCCAGGCGCATGGGAAAGAATAGCTGTCTCCTCCACGCTCCATCGGTGGCTTATTCATCCCCTTGTTTTATGATTTTTTAAAAATTAATTGTTGCTTTCTATTTATGGGAATTAACAGACAATGATCAGTACCTGGAAACTTCAGCTCGAATGAGGCGTCCTTGCTGGAGGGCTTTGAAAGGAACTGTTATCTAGAAAAAAAGATTTCAGATTAAAAGTTGAATTTTTAAAATATCATCATAAAGAAAAGTCTTTCTCTTAAAAAAACAAAAACAAAAAACCAAACAAAAATTGTCACATCAGACAAAAGGAGTATTTCCCAGCCAAACAGAAATCAGACATGAATTATTTAACAGGCTGAATTTCGTGCACTTTTCAATAGGTTCTTACCTATGATCTGTTAGAGAACAGAAGCACAGATGACGTCACCCGTTTACATTATTTTGCTCCTTTACTATATAAGGCAATTCCATGTTGCCGTGGGTTTGTTCAGTAATACATCACAGAAAATTCAAAATGTGGAAAGAACATCCTTCAGTGACACACACTCGCTTGATGTGCCACTTTTTTTGTTCATACCACATTTAGGCGTCATGTGTGATTTATCACGGAACAGACGCATTGCAACATTTATGCACGCAACTTTCGACCTCTGTACGGTAGTCTAGCTTTCTACCTGCTCAGCCGGTTGGCCAACTCCCATTTAAGGGCTCCTGAGATGAAACTCGACCAGAACACAATCTGGTAATGGTTTATATTTTTAAAGAAATCGTTATTTAGCCCTTTACATCCAAACATCAGTGTGCATATTCTCCATAATTTCTCTATACATTTCTTAAGGTTCTGAAAAGGAGAATTTGTTAAACGATCAAGAACTTCTTTAGTTGGTGATCGTTAAAGAGTTAATCAGGTTCATTTTTAAAATTAGGGCGTAATAAGATGCATGGAACATTTAAGACAATAATAAAATCGGAATTAAGGGGCTCTTTGACAGCTTGAATTCCACAATAATTTAGTATGCACATTTCACTCTTGGATGTAATGCTTACGTTCTCCTTATCTGGAGTATAGTCATGGACAAAAAGTAAGTTTCCCACACTGTAATCAACAAATCGGCTGTCAAAGTAGCTGTAGGGTTGTTGTATGTGAGGATGGGCACCAATGACCAGCTGGACGCCGAGTGACGTCAGGTGCTGAGCGACCTCTCTCTGCAAGTTGTTCATTCGGGGACGGTATTCTCTGCCCCAGTGCATCAGAACAGCGATCACGTCCACGTTCTTTGCCTGAGTGAGTCAAACAAGTAGACACGAATTTAGATTCCATTTTTTATGGTGTAAAACATCCAGATCGCTTGAAGGCAAGGAGCCCTTGAACATATTTGATCATTGGACCGTTATGTCGCATTGCGATAGATTGTTGTGAACGAAAACCCATAGTAAACACGAGGAGCCAATGAGGACTCTTTAGAAACACGCCAACTGTTAATTTTGCTAGTAGCTTATAGCTCTATTAGTAAGCTGCTAATAAAGCAATTGCAAGGTAAGTCTTTACATATAAATACTTCAAGCCTCAACGAGGATTGAACCTGCGGTGTTTCCCTGATTCCTTTCAATCTCTCAGATTTAGTGTCCCGGCTGCTAACAATGAAACTAGGAAGCCACGGTTTAGGAGCGAAGCAAAGGTAAGGGGGGTTTGAAGGATTTTGGGGGGATCACATGGTTTCCAGGGGGAACAGAGCGGGATCAGTCGGTATTAACAGAGTATAAAGGGAAGAGGGACTAAAGAAAATTGACTTCCAATGAGGGGGGAGAATTAGTAGAAGTCAGAGCTCGGGGGAGGGAGGGAGGGTCAGGTCAATTTTATTGTGACACAAACAAACTCGTCCGAGCACCCCCCTAGGGGATTGATAAAAACCTGCCCTTAATGCAGAAGCGTTCTTCGTTCCACCTTAAGGAGCGTGATCACCATGAGTCAGTTGTTTGAGGGAATAGAAAAGGAAAGACGGTCAACTTTGAGTTCAGCAATGAAATGGAAGCTCCCGATATTTATGATCCTAGTATAATATTATGTTGGACGTGTGTTACCTACGAATCTAGTAATGGCTTTGCTTATCGTAATCACTGTGGTGCAGTGGTAGAGTATTGGAAAGCGGAATTCGATGGCCAGAGGTTGGATTCCAGTCTTGGGAACTGAGAATTTTTCGACTGTCCCACGCAAGTGACGGGACGAAATAACATCTCTCTCCAGTTATTAGGAATTTACTTGATGTGTGGCACCAAATGAGGCAGCACAAACGATTTAAAATATACAGTAGGACTAAGTAAGTTGTTACCTTCAAGTCGTTGATGTCCTTAGTAGCGATCTCTTTCTGGTAAAGAGCGGCTCCCGACTTGAACATTTTCCGGACCTCACTACAGTTTTTATATCTTGGGTTACCTTGAGTTATACAGTAAGCAAGAATCCCAATCCTTATTGATTTCTTCTCCATAATCAGAGGAACCTAAACACCGATAACCAGATTTAGTAATCAGAGTACTGCGTTACCATTAGTCGGAAAAAAGAATGTTTCAGTTTGTCCATTGATTAAGCCAGGAAACTGTCGATGAATTTTCCATTTCTGGTCAAAGTAAAAAAAAAGTTGTTGCAAATAGGTTATCAATGGGAGACATTTTTCGAGGACTTGTATTACCCTTGGGAAGTCGCCCAAGCGGAAAGTACTCAATTTTACAAATGATTTTTTAATGATAAAGATAAAAATTGTATGGTCTTCCATGGTCAGAGTATACCTCTCCTTTGAAACTGTTGAGGGTTATTATAGGCAAATCTGCTGTTACCTGACGGGAACTGTAAGGTCCGTATGTAACACCAACAGTTTTTATTCCAATCTCTTTCAATGCATTAACTGTATAATCCACTGGAAGCTCACCAAAGTCGTTCAAGTGATTGTTTGCTAATGTCATCACATCAAATCCTGCGAAACTGTTGGCAAAGAGAAATTTGAGTACCGGCAACATGTTGGAGAGTTGATATATATCTGGGGTTGCATTGGTTTGGTTAACTTCAAGTTGTAATTGGTTAAGCAAATTCGCGACAATCCCTCAACCAATTAATTAGAAAGTTGAGCCGATTGCGCCGTGGCCAGTCGCGTTATCTTTCGCTTTAGGTCTTTGCGCGACATCACTTTGAGTTCTCATTGGCTTCTGGTCAAAACCTTCGTTCCAATTGGTCGTAGGGGTCACTTTTGCGATGGGTTTGCAACAAAATATCAGAATACCCACTTAAAGGTCTTAGCAGTGTTGCAAGAGATTATCGACTAAATAGGATATGTATCTTCAAGAAATTCTGTCTTTGGGGCTTCTTTGGACTCAACAATAGACTCAACCACGAAGATTCTCAAACGCAGCTTATGAGAGAATAACAGGTAATTTAGTGTTAACAACTAAGTTAGCCACCGTAAAGGGTAAAAGAGCTGACTTTCCGAGCGTTAGCCCTTCATCAGAGCGTTTGACGAAGGGCTAACGCTCGAAACGCCAGCTTTTTTACCTTTTACGGTGGCTAATCTACGTTTTCAACTTAGTTGTTAACACTAAATTACCTGCTATACTCTCCCACCGACGCAGCACCAGAGTTTCTTTAGAAACTTACCCCCTTTATTCATTTATGGGAGAATAGTTGATGTGATATCACACTTAAAAAAGTGTGGTAAACTAAGTTTTTTAATAGCGCGTGTGAAACAATACGAACCTCAATGCTGGGGCGCTTTTCTTTTCAGCCTCCAGAAATATTCGTTTCCCAACCAGGACTCTACCAGACAGCGCTTGCTTGGGAACGAAGGGCGACTCTAGGTTTCCAAAGGCGATGTCGGCCTCTCGGATGTACTGTGCCACCCGTTTTAAGGTATCGTTGTAACTGTAAAGGTGACGTTTGACATCAAAGCGAACCGGGTCCGAGAAATTGATATCTCCGGCAAATACAAGACTTAAGGTATCTGCAAAATTTAAGTGTCTTTCAAGTTAGCCTCGAAATACATTTCTTAAGAACCTTTTAAGATCCTTTGCTACTAATATTTCGGATTTCTCTACGATTACTAGCCACGTTAGCAAGGAATAACACCTGGAAAGATCACTAATTTATGTGTCCTCGCGAACTATCCTATATCAATGGTGGAACAGGAAATAGCTTCTTTCTAAAGGATTTCCTAGCTCTCGTCCTTCCAATCGTTCAATTTAACTCAAACACATAGTTAAAGAGGCTCTCAATGGGGTTAACCGTTAGCCGTAAAATGGCAAAAAAATTAAACGTTAACCGTTAATCGTAAACAAAGTTAACCGTAAAAATCTTAATTTCAAACGTAACGGAAATAATTTAACCGTTGATCGTAAAGTGGCTAATGTATTAATCTGTAAGCCTTCACCCCGTTGAGACCCTCCTTAGAAGGCTGTTGTGAATCATGTTCCGTACCAAAAAAAGAGTCATAGTTTTCATTGTTTTTATCCATCAAAGGTTGTTACTGCCGAAAATAAAAAAAAAGAAAGCGTATTCGGTTTGAAATAGAGCCAGACATCAATATGATAAGCTTAGGAAACAAAGCAAAAATACTGAATAACTTTCTAGTCAGCTCTTTTGTTAGTATCAGAATTTTATAATACTACACACTTAGGAGGAATAAAAGAAATGGAATCTTCCTCGTGAGTGTATCACCACTGGCATAAATTATCTATCCCAAATACCTTTTGCTGCTTCGTTGAGGACACCAAAAGTTGACATTAGAGTAAAAAGCGTCCAAATATGGTCCATTTCGTGATAGAACTGTTACAGCTGATGCGACTGCTCGAGCTTGAACCTTCTTTAGAGGGGGTACAGGTTGTTTTATAACTACCAGAAAACGGTTTCGTCTTGTCACTGAGGTTGAATTAATTTTACCAACGGTAGAGGTCATTTCACCAACAAGAGAATTTATTTCCACAACAGGAGAAGTCATTTATAAGCCGTCAATACTGTGTCGGTTTAAGATGATAAAAGTTTCATTTTCATATACAATGCAATATGGCACTTTCGTGATTGGACTTTCGTGATTAAGTTCATTGATCATGACCCTCACTGGTATACACGTGAGGTTAAAAAAGTGGGGCATGGGTTGGAACCCCTGTTAAAGCTATGTTTTCTTTTTTTTCACGCATCATTTTCCGCAATTTCTTAGATTAAAATTCATCTTGGAGGATTATTTCCTCTTTGTTATCATCCACGTTTTAAAAGAGAGTGCTTTTCAATAAGGTGGCGAAAGTTATTCAGGGTTGATTTTTTTTCGCTTAACTTCATCTCGTGATTGGTCCAGAAAACTCGAGCAATTTTCTAAACCAATCAGAGTCGAAACTTAAACTACCTGTGACTTGGTCACCCGTGTTTTTCCCGCACTTTAGGCAGTTTGCGCGTTTTTACCTTGAGTTCTTATTTGCTGCTCTTAACAAACTTTCTCTCGTCTATGAAAATTTTTCATTTATTTTAAAGAAAAACAGAAGTCACTAAAATTCACCTCACTCCTCCATCACCTTTATAGCTCAATTGAAAGTAAAGCAATCCAATTTTTACCAATTCTTATTTTAAGTCTTATTGGAAACGCGCTTTTGAAATGCAACTTCGAAAAGTCCGGACAACCTCAGATCGAAAATTCGCATTTCCAAATGAATAAATAAATGGATGAATAATAGAACTAGTCAATGAAATACTAATTGCAATTTTCATGACTGAGATATCTCCTATTCGAACTTTAAAATCGTAAGCTGTTGCAAGAGTGCTACACATGAGAGGTCCCCAGCTTAAAAGGAAACTCGCAGTGATTATGACCAGCATACTCAAGGCTTTGTATTTGGATCTTATGTAAAATGCACTCAATTTTCGCGTTTTTGCTCTGTCTCGTAGATAAATGAATATTTGGTAATACGATCGCGAAATGATTGCTAAGGGAACAAAAAAAGCGAACAAGAAGTAGATAGTAACTGATATCATGCTTGAAAGCCGGCCACGTGGTAGAAGGCAAACAAATAAAGGTTTTTCATCGATATTTTGTCGCCCAGGCATCTTCAATCTCGGGCTGAGAGTAGCGCTCAGTGACATAGGAATTGATAAAATGAGCGCAAACAGCCAAATAAAAGCAATCCTTGTCTTTCGGTGTTTATCCATTGTCATAGCTTTTATGGAATTTATGATGTGTTCTTTGCGGTCCGTGGCGATTCCGACAAGAAGTATAAAAACAGCAGCACAGAATGCCTGCCGCCAAAATATAATCACTTTGCATTCGGCATCCGAAATTAAATGATGATTATTTCTGTTTAAAAAGTAGATTTCTAAAACAGCCAGTGCCGTTCTGTAAACAACTTCTGCCACCGAGAGTTGGAAAACGTAAAAATTGGAGATACTTTTCTTCGTCAGTTTGCAACGAATCATGATAAAACAGACGAAGAGATTGCTTGCCAGTCCGAGGGCTAAGAATACTGAATCTAAAGTCTGAGATGCTTTCTGGAACTGAGTTGCTGCGGAATTCATCGTCACGGCAGAAAATGGTGATCGCAAACTTGATTGAAACTCTTACAGATGATTAACCAAACGAAGAGAAGTTTATGGAACTGCCAGATTAATCCAAATTCAAGAGTCTAGAAATATGAAACGAAGAAAACAAATTTCCTCCGGAAGGCAGACCGAAGGGTGCTATACAGCTGAACTTGTACGAGCGAAGGAAGTTTCTCCACAAGCACTTGTAAATCTACTCATGAAACTGTCTGTAAAGTCCTCTTTGATGGCGAGAAGATGTCAGGCAGATATAATTACGCGGTTTACATCTGTTTTTGAGTAGGACTAAAGAACATTTGCAAATCAATTAACCTTTCTTGAAGTGTCAAGCGGAAATTATATAGCTAAGTTTATTGCACTTCTAAAATAAGTTGACTTTGTGTAAGTAATAAAAGGAAGTTGGGAAAACCATGTTTACTTTTCTAATAAAAGCCTTCCCCCTTAAAAAGCGCGTTCTTTCAAAACTTGTCGTTTCTCTTGCCAAAGCACTATAGGGGATTCATTTATTTTGCTGCTTGGAGTTTCCGAGATATGGAAGATATTCGGTCAACTACTGAGTGTACAAAATTTTTTTGGTGGTTAAGACTTTCAGTTCTAATAAAAGTAACTTATTCTGTTCGTTCTATTTAATCACTATTTCACACAGGAAAACTTGCCTAAGAAAATATTCGCTTGACCGAAATGTAATTACTTGGCACAGAGAGTCACGAACGAAATGTATTTAATTAAAATTTTCTCCAGTATGTATACATGTGGTACTGTTATTCTCGCAGTGAAATACAATCTGGAAGCCGCAACTACAAATCAAGGATTTTAATAACGTTATTAATTATTTGTTTGACGGACAATCTGTACAGCTGCTCTTCATGTAAACATGAACGTTGGAAATAATGATTAAGTAAAATACAAGAAAAATTTAGAGCTGTGCATTTAACTCCGGCGAAAAATTACTTCTAATGGCCACCGCCAATGTTTCCTGTGCGAATGAGATTCCGTTCCTCATGTTTCTTCAAACAGATGTTTCTCTGCTCATTTGCGCCGTTTTAAACTGCTTCTTTGCCGCTACAACCACGGTGGGAAATTTATTGATTATTATCAGCATCTTTCGCTCTCCAGCTTTACGTTCGACGGCAAATTTTTTGCTTCTCGGCTTAGCTATTGCTGATTTTGGAGTAGGCGTGGTATTAGAGCCGCTGTACATTACAGTCTTGCTCAAACTTTTCATGGCTTCGCCTGTCAGTTGCACCTTGGCAGTTTCTTTCACATCCGTTTCGTCGTTTCTAGTTGTAACTTCCATGTTTGCCGTCACGGCCATCAGCCTGGACAGATACCTGGCGATTCATTTCCATTTGAGATACAAGGAATTCTTCACGGAGAAAAAAGTCATTTATCTGCAGATTTCTCTGTGGATAACAAGCGGACTTCTCACTTTAACAAGGATGGCGGGTTTTAGAATTTACCTTGTTATCGCTTTAATCATTGTCATAGTTTGTCTGAGTATAATTTGCCTCGCCTACTGTAATATTTTTCTGGTTTTGAGACGGCATCAAGTTCAGATTCAAAATCAAATGCGCACCACAGATAGAATAAAAAACTTGAAGCAATTGCGAAGCTCGGTTGTAAACACATTTTACGTATTTTTCGCACATCTAGTTTGTTTCTTGCCATTCGGTTGCCTGACTATAATCGCTAACACTTCACGTACACGAAGCAGAGCCGTCATGTTACTTAATTTGCTCTCCACCTCTATTATTTTATTTAACTCATCTTTAAACCCTCTCATTTACTGCTGGCGCCGACAAGACTTTCGAGAGAATGTTAAGCAAACTTTAAAAAACCACTGCTGTTTATGAAAGATTATCAAAAAATATGGCTTTGTTATATTTTGCGTTGTCTGGAGAATTTGATAGGACTAGATTGTAATTTTGTAAAATCGTTTATTTTAGAGCAGTCGCAGAGTACAACGTACTAGCGAGAAAGAAATTTTTTTCCTAAGCTATCGGATCTTTTAAACATTGGGATGTAACGAGGTAATTTTAATCATTGTGAAAAGTTAATAAATTTCATCGTTCATAAACACATTTACACGGTCGCTTCTAACATTAGAGTCAAGCGACAGGAGTAATTCCAGATCGAGGCGCTATCTGATAATTTTCTTTCACGATTTTCTCGCTGGGCTACAAAACAAAACACATAACAGTGTAAGATTCTGACACATTCAAAACAGGAAAAAAAATTTTACGGGTTAACTTTTGTTATGACTTATGGCTAAAAGTTGTCCATTTTTACGGAAAACACATAAGTTTTTACTCTAGAGCCTGAATAAACTGAAAAATATTTCAAATAAGTAAATTTAAAGTCCTTTAAGGTGGGGGGGAAACTCGGACCATCCCCACGGGACCGTTCCCCTGAGAAGCTGACTCCAAACACGCCTTCGATCAGTAAAACAATTTTAAAAGTTCTTCAGTCCTAAATACCAGTCTTTTCCTGGCCTGCCTTCAATCGAATAACAACCGGCCAATTGAACGTCCCTTTTGTCCTGATTGACATAAATCAATAATTGATTACAAAAGCGCTGGCTTAATGGAAAGAAAATTTTGCCTAACAGTTTTGATTGGAAAACCGTCGATGTATTGTCTATCTTCTCTGACAAACACCTAGGGATGGAATCGCGGAGAGTTTGGTACAACTTACTTTGGAGCTTTTGGTAAGTATACATATTGAACAAAAAAATGTCGCTTTGAATCAGTTGGCGTCTACTTAGAATACGTTTTGATTGAAAAAATTAATTTCACTTTGACAATTAAGTAATAGATCTCAGGGGTTGTTTTAGCATCAAAAACCCTAAATTTGCTACATTATTTTGAATCTTCGTGGCTCTTAGTTATCTCTGTTGTTAAAAACCTTGCAGAGCAAATTAAAACGGCAGCGAACGAATTACGCGAATGTGTGACCTCCAATCATTTCAAGCTAATTAACCGCAGTGTTACCAGCTTTCAACTTCCTCAAAAAAAAACATAGACGAATAACAGGTGATATGGCTGTTAATTGCTCTATCTTTCATGACCTTTGATTTTAGGCTGCACTCTCTGTGAAGTTTTGTAGCCTACTAATTTGCCTGGGGCTATTTCTAGTAACTGCGTTAACCACTTAACCAGAAATACCTTGTTAGCCAAGCTAGGACAAACAATGCAAGCAGTGAATTAAGGCGCAGCACCCGTTCATTACCGCCTTGAATTCGAACCTCTGATCTTTGTACTTCTATTTATTTATTTTTTTCGAAGTACGATCTAAGATGGAATCTTCTTGGTGTAGAATACCATTGCTTGAGAAAGAAAATGTGAATTTCTGAAATAAAAGGTGACAACAATTTTTCTGAATCCATTTGGCGTGAAAATGCCACCTGTTCCAACTTGTTCTAATTTGACTGATCGGTTTTCGAGATGAATAGTTTTAAAATAACCTGTTTGAGATGCTATCAGTTGTAGTTAAGCTCCGACCATCTTAACAAGTAAATGAACTTTAGAACTTTCACCTGGTTTCGCTCATACACGGATTTTCACAGTTACGCGTGCGTATTTCACTGATACTGCAGCGATACGTGCAGTACTTGTGACTGCAGAAGTTCTACCCTCCAAACCCCTCATTTTTGTGCATATAACAGAGTATACCGCAGCCCTTGTTGAAAATGATTAGAGCGTGCACATGTTATGCCATGAAGCGCTTAACTGCGTTTGGTTCAATCTGAGTCACCCCGGCGTAGCTGAACTCGACGACAATCTGCAAGATTCCCATTTAATTTCAAGATAATGTCAGCTTGCTAGTTATTTACTTCAGCTCTTTTTTGATTCGATCAATGCAAAATATTATCTCAGAGCAATTTCAATATATCGCGGCTCTGACCCGCATGTTGTTGTGTGATATTATTGTCCTTATATGAAAAAGAAATCTCTGCACGAGACAAACATTCATCTGTCATTTCTGTTGCTCAAATTCGTTCATAACTTTGCATTTTCAGCCTTATTTTTGTGGTTCTAAACTCACATCACGTGCTTGGAAAGAAGGGAAAGAAGTCGCATTCAAAGAGGAAGCCATCTTGGAAAGCGCCCAGACCTCACATCATTATGATTGTCGCTGATGATCTGGTAAAGAGTTTCGCTAAAAGACTATTTGATTAAGAGATCGCTTGAGGTTATTCTTATTTAGTTATTATCAGATTACTCCAGCCGTCGCGAACCTTAAGAAGGTCTTATCTAGAGCTATGTTATCCTGCATCGAGAATTTTGCCACCGAGGACATTTTTATGGAGCTTCTAGTCAGCTCTACCAAGACATTCAAGTAACACGTACCAGTCACATGTGTTTAAAAACAAACCAATCACAGAAAAGTATACTGCTTTATGAGGCGATGAATCACCATTCGACCTAATCGCCTGAAGGAGACTAGAAATATGCAGCAATATCACGATCCGCTTCTTCTTCCGCATCACTTCTTTATCATGCGTGAAATTCGTGTCTCACTTTGATCCACATGTCACGCTTAGCTTGATCATCTCTCGTTTCCAGACGGAAATTGATATTTCATTAAAGGACCGGTCACTATTTTTTGACCAAAAATTGAAAAAGGATTTAGACTTTTTTTACCATGCACACTTGCCTAAGCTCGCTGATTTTGACCCAGATGATTTAAGTATCGTTCAATTGCAGGGCTGGGATGACGTCAGTTTTCACGGCTCTCGCCAGATCCCAACTCCTCATATGGACAAACTGGCCAATGACGGAGTGATTCTAAACAGTTATTACGTATCACCAATTTGTACTCCTACCCGGTCCTCTATCATGACTGGAAAACACCCGGTCAACTTAGGTTAGTACTTGTATCCGAGGTTGGAGGCAAGAGAAGATGAGTAGCAGAGAGAGAATCCACCATATAAGCTGTATTACAAACAAGTCATTATTCATCCTTTGGGGAGTGGGGTGGGAGGAGAAGGATTTGGGGATCACTTGGTCTTTCACCGGGAAAGGAGGGGGAGGGAAGCAATCGTCGCCAACGGAGTATACGGGGGGGAACTCTAGAAAACTGATCGCCAATAAACCGCCAATGAGGGGGGATCATAAATATTACAGAACCTTATGGGGGGGGGAGGGGGAAGATAGGCAGATTTTATGATGACAGAACCTAATTTTCCCGACCCTCCAGATGATAAACAATGACTAATCCCTTACTATGCCATTCCCTCCTAAAATTATTTTGGATCGACAAATAACCAATCCTGTCTCGTGAAGGTTGCTCACGCGGATGTCCAAAGAGTATATGATTCCCCTCCTAAAAATCGTCAACTTCTTCACTAAGAGCGACATTCTTCTCTTGAGACTTGATATATTGAATCTAAATATAAATTACTTCATTACATAAATACACATCTCAGTCTCTGCTCTCAAAAACTAAATTTAAAAATATTGGTGCCACATGGTTGCGCGAAAATGAGCTGCTCACCTTGTTTCTCGTTAGATCTTACTTTTACAAGTACACAAATTATTTGTTAAGGTCTTGCGTAAGTTTGAAAATTACTCTTTATCTAACAATTGCTTTGTTTTCGACTGAGAACCTCTTCCTTGCCATTTTTGTATTTCAATTAACTTGTCACCTAACGACCATGACAATTTCCTTCTTTCCGACTAAGAACAGTGAACATGATGAATATGTGTAGTCTCATTAATGTTATTATGGTTACAGGTGTTCAACATGGTACCATATTTGGCAGCCAGCCGTACGGTCTTCCCTTGGGCGAGGTTACAACGCCACAGTACCTCAAGGCACTTGGGTACCGGACACATGGCGTTGGCAAGGTAAAAATATCGTACCAACCAAAGAAGGGGAAGTATGCGTAAGGATGGCGCCATGTTTAGAAAACTCGCCTTCTTGACCCGAATTTTTCTCCTGGTTTTCCGTTCCCTCCCCTTCCCCGTCCCCACCTTTCCCCCTTTCCCCCTTCCATCAGATAAATCTACTCGCGGAATCAAATCTGAAGGAGAAGAAACGGTGTTAAAGGAGCCATTTGTTCGACATCGTAATTTTGCCAGCTGTTTGTACCATCTGTGACCAGGTTTTAAAATAAAGCTGTGTGTTTTCTGCCTATGTTGTTTTGTCTAAGAAGGGAGAATATCACAAATCTCCCCATTCATGCTTAAGATACTTTCCGCTAGAACAACCTCGTAACAACTTCACCCAGTTTTCCCACGTTTGATGTCGTTGTGTTGCTAAATAGTTTTTCAACAAGACCTACTAAAGATGGGAAAACAATTTTTTTCTATCAGTGGCATTTAGGATTTTTTGAAAAGGAATACACTCCAACTTATCGCGGATTTGAGTCTTTCTATGGATTTTGGAATGGAAAAGAAGATTTTTGGGACCACACCTCACTCGAAGATGTATGGGGGACAGATCTACGAAATAACATGAAGGTGAGGTCGATGATGTTCTATTATGAAACTTGCTTGAAAACTCATCGGAGTTAATCCTTTCCTATAAGCTGTTTCATGTGTCTAGCGGTGAGGGCGATACAAACAGCTTCGTAAAAGGGTCTGGGTTCAATCATGGCTCATGTACACAACAATCTTCAGAAGCAGGAACTGTTTTGAAAATTATTAAAGACTACATTAAAAATACGTCACAATGACTTGGTTACTTGAACTTCTTTTCGTTCCACAGCCCGTCAAGAACGAGAGTGGCCATTATGGGACAGAATTATTCACAGAAGTGGCTGAGCGAATCATTGATACTCACAACAAATCCGAGCCGCTGTATTTGTATTTTGCGCATCAAGCTGTTCATTCGGGAAATCCAAAGGACCCTTTGCAAGCTCCAAAGAGAATGCTGGACGTAAGTTGTACAGGTTATATATACTCGAGGCTATATTTATACAGGTATATATATACAGACATATATATACAGTATATATATACAGTATATATATACAGGTATATATATATATATATACAGGTTATATATACTCGAGGCTATATTTATACAGGTATATAGACACAGACATATATATACAGTATACATATATATACAGTATATATATACAGGTATATATATATATACAGGTTATATATACTCGAGGCTATATTTATACAGGTATATATATACAGTATACATATATATACAGTATATATATACAGGTATATATATATATACAGGTTATATATACTCGAGGCTATATTTATACAGGTATATATATACAGACATATACAGTATATATATATATACAGTATTATATACAGGTATATATATATATATATACAGGTTATATATACTCGAGAAGTCTTGTGCTTTCGAAGCTAGAGAAACTTTAAAAAGAAAACATTTTTTTCGACATTAAACGTATATGTAATTTTTTATCACGTTCTGCGATTCAAAAGGGTAAAGTTAAGGTTCGAAACTTGTCACTTTTCAAATGGGCTCAACTGTCGACTATGAAGGCCGCCATTTTGAAAGCAACTCAGTAACCTGGCTGCACACCCATACGCTCGTAATGACGAGCAGCGTTGCTTGCAGTTTGCAGACAGCTGCTGCAGGAAAACGTTAAAAATCGTTATTTCGGTCATGAATGCCTCTTTACGTAGATTTTAATTATTCAAAAAGATCATTTGGAGACTGAAAAACGGCGTGAGGCATCCATATATAAGCCCAAATATGGAGTCCAGGGCATTAGTGTGACGAGCAGTCTGTTTGTCTGTCTGACTTCAGGTGATTAGCTGTCTTTTTCATTCTTCAGAAATTTCAGCATTTTTCAAAGGAAGACAGAAGAATTTATGCTGCCATGGTGGCGTCTTTAGACGAGTCCATTGGAAATGTAACTAAAGCTCTCAAGAGAAATGCAATGTTTGATAACTCTGTGATCGTTTTCACGACAGACAATGGAGGCGCTCCATGGGGATTTAACTGGTAAGAAAGAATCGCAGCCGCACACAGTATCAAATAGCAACGAAATTTTAATTAATGTGGTAATAAGGGACAGTTTTAGATAAGTATCTTTGCCAAAAAATCAGCTTATTTTAAAAAAGCAGGTGCAAAAATTTCCATGATACGATTTTGCTCCCCCCCCCCCAAAAAATCCCACAGGATCCAAGTGAGAAAAAGAATCAATTTTTCATCTCAGAGTTGCTTAACAAGATCTTTGAAATTTTTCCATTTCTTTTCATTCCCATGCATCTTCTAACTAATTTAGGAATGCGGGATGTAATTACCCACTCAGAGGAGGCAAGGACACACTCTGGGAGGGAGGAGTCCGTGGAGTTGGTTTCGTTCACAGCAAGCTCATCGAAAACAAAGGCCGTGTTAGCTATGATTTGATTGACGTCACAGATTGGTTACCAACCTTCTATCATCTGGCCGGAGGTGACGTCACTAAAATACAAGATAAGATTGATGGTATGAATGTGTGGGACACCATTGCAAATGGGAAGAAATCTCCGCGCACGGAGGTATAAGAAATTCAAAATAACATTTATTCAAATTTTCATTCAGGAAAAAACTTCAATTCTTTTATTCGCTAAAGTTTTTTTTGCAAGGATGCGTTGTAACAGGACGAATTCAAGTTTCGTACCCAGCTCATTAATTAAATTATTTTACCACATCAAAGGTTCTCCACAACATCGATCCCTTTCGCCGATTTGCAGCCATTCGAGTGAAAGAATACAAGTTAGTCGTGAATCAAGATGCTGATTACAAAACCACTTGGCTTCCGAGGTATAATGTCCCTGGGGAACTGGACTCTCTTCCCCAGCCCTCTACCTTACCTGGTGCGGTTATTGAATGTGGAAAGTGGGACAGTGAAGAAGAGGCTGCATGTAAAAGTGATGTTTTTCCTTGTTTGTTTAACGTGAAAGAAGGTAAAGTAAATTTCATTGCTTTTATAGGGTGCAAGTTGATTATGATTTGTTTGACTGACTAATTGATTGGTAAAGTAGCTAAACAAGTGATTTGCCAAAACTAAGAACTGAGCCTTTCCGGCTGACTAATGAACGAACCACTCACTTGCTTGACTACCCAAAAACTGTCTGAGTGGCTGGCTGACTTATGAACTGATTGACGTATTAAGCGACCAAAGAAGATAGAAACAGTCTTACTGACTGGCCAGCTAGTGCGTGACCGGTCGGCTAACTGACTGACTGACTGATTACCCGACTGATTGGCTGACTGACTTACTGATTGACTTACTGACTAACTGACTGCTTTAATGACTGACAGATTTGCTGACTGACTGACTGACTGAATGACTGACTGACTGATTGAATAATTGAGTGCCTAAATGACAGAAGGAATGACTGGCTGAGTAACTGACTGACTAATGACAGTCATATTGAGAACGTTCTAAAAGAAAAAAAATACTCAAGATTACGAACAATACTTTCTACTATAAAATTTGATAATTTAATTTACTTTTTTCAGATCCGTGTGAGTACAAGAATATTGCTCAATCCAACCTTGATACAGTAAAACGTCTTATTTTAAGACTCCTTCATTATCACAAAAAGGCCGTTCCTATATGGTTCCCGGAGAGGGATTGCGATGCGGACCCAGCAAATCATGACGGGTTTTGGGGCCCTTGGAGGTCTTCAGAAGCTAACAAAGCTATTTTAAAGGAAGTAGTTGAGAGCATACCGTCAGTTAATGAAGAGAAGCATTCTAAACGCAAAAAGATTGCAATCGATAAGACAGAACTTGATGAGGAGTCTTTAAGTTTATATAATGAACAGAGCAAGGAATTTGAAAGTATGTTAAAAAATTACCTTAACGAAGTTGATATACGTAAAAGGAGTGAGACTTCTCCACAGAGAAGTGGCAAAATGAATTAGTGCTGCGTTCAAGAATTTTGGTTTACTGTGAGTACAAAGTATGAGAACGCAGTAATTTCCAATTGAGTGTCAAATTAATCTGAGATTACTTTTAGTTTCGCTCTACCACGCTCTGTGATTGGTCCAGAAAACTCGCGCCACTTTCTCAACCAATCAGATGTAAAACTAAAACCAATCACGACTTGATTGGTTGTTTTTATCTAAAGCTCTCAATGACTGTTATCGGTATTTTCCTCTCTTCTGATTGGCTGTTTCGGTTTTACGCGCGACACTCAATCGAAATGCGCTTTACCTTTACGTGAAAATTGGTTGCAAGTTGTCTTTGCATTGTTTTCGAACACGGCTATAAAATAATATAAAGTTTTGAGCGAGTCTCGTTTGTTTCTGTTATTATTCGGTAATCGCTCGATTGTGGTGATAAGGAAAAAAAGTTACGTTTGACGCAAGGGATAAAATAAAATTTATCTTGGCTCAGAGCTGAGGCCCATATCTACTTCAAATTGATAAAAAAGGAAATGAAATATTTCATCTTTAAATGTTTTTTTTCTCATTTTGATTATAAATGTTAAATATATACTATGAGTAACTTTCTAGGTTGTGTCAAATACGATAAGAAAAACCATACAAAGAAGATGATAGTTAGAGGTCTTTCTTTAAATTGCAGATGGTTCGACTGCTCCCTTAATTAGTGTAGGTAATTCCGAAGGAAAAAAAAATGTAGAAAAACGAAAGAATAAGCGTGTTTCGCCAATTAGAAGAACATGGGGCTTCGAATGTATGGCTCATTTTCATTACATTACGGGAATTTCCTGTCGAGAAAACTCCCTCCACTTCGAGCAAAAACGTTTGGAGATCTGCTTTCAAAAGATTTAAACGTCGAAAAAAGACCTGGCTTGCAAAGCCCTAAATATTTACCCATACTCAAAAAGATTAAAACCGAGTCACCTTGTGTTGCTCATTTGTAGCCTATAGACTAGGTGTCATTTTTTGTCTCTAAGCCGAGCAGAACTGGGGAGGCAAGCATGACGCGCTACGAGTGTGATCATGAATGATGGGTAAGCCACACTCGAATGGACTCAAATGACTCGCTCTTCGCTTTCGCCTCGCACCCACCTCTGCGCGCCTGAAAGATGCAAACAAAAAAAAAAAAAAACTAAAATTCAGGTTCTGACCCGCATATGGAACCAGCCATATGATGAGAATGGTTACGATTACTGCAAAACTTGTTCTCAGGGTGCCTCTTCCGCCTACCCGGTAAGAATGGCTTTCGACTATTCATCAGCGGTGCGATTGCTTTCCAAAAATTCCATTTCAGATCCTGTTGCGGATATTTGACCTTCATTGGCAGGGTATTCGTTTGAAGAGTCCTCCACCGAATCACTTACATCATCTGCTGGGTCAGTAGTGTCAATGTCTGCACTGCTATTCATTAAATCATCTTCATCGACATTATTTTGTTCAGCGTTTGATGTTGCCTTCAAAGAGGACATCCCTTCTGGATATTGATCGTCGTCTATCGAATCACTATCGTCAGCTGAGGAGTTCTCAAGTTCACTTTTTAAAATTTCGTCATCTCTAATTGCAATGTTTCCTATTTCTGTTCTTCGTGTTCCTTGTTTCTCCACCTTGCGAGGTTTATTCGCGATTTCTTCTAATTTCCTAATAACTGAGGACGTGTCAATATGGCTTAATTTAGCGGCTAAAGTCTCCTTCCCTCCTTTGTTTGACTTAACAACACCATCCTCGGCTATTAATGCTTTCTTTATCATTTGCAATTTGTGCATCAAGTCGTCCTCTTGCGTTTTCTGTTTCATCTTCGCATACAACAAAGCTAACGACTCCTTCATCAAATGGCCATTACGAGGAATCTGAACCTTCTTTCCTGCATTTGTAATTTTTAAAATTGACTTCAACATCTGATAGACTCCTTTGTCGTGTTCTTCGTGTGTGCTGAACACCTTTCCAATCCTCGTCGTAGTGACAGTGCTGTTTATTTGAGATGAGTGCCTCTTCGCACTCACCGCAGACGGGATGGAGTCGAGAACCCTTTGTAAGATAACCTTGTTACCTTTTGAGGATTTCCATGGGCCCCAGTAACCTCCGTGATCTGCAGGGCTGGCGGTAGGGTCCCTCTCAGGGAACCACACGGGAAGGGCATTTTTCTGGTAATGAATGAGTCTACGAAGGAGCCTCCTAACTTTTGGAAGGTGAATGTGAGCAAGATTTCTATACTCGCAGGGATCTGAAACAATAGATAGGAAAAAGTGATCTATCTAACAAACACAAGTGAAACATTACGGATTGATATCCTTCAACTACGTAACTAGCGGTTATGTCCAATCGTCGACCGCAAAGCCATGTTAACGTGTGGCAAAGCCGCGAGAGGTTTGTGACGGAAACTTGTACTTTCTCACTCGCGGCAGTTTATGGTAGACTATCAATAGTCACTTAATTCGTAATTTTTTACAACTACATTCGTGCGCAAGCGCTAGTACATTCGATCTGAAAGCCGTCCACATATTTGGCACCGAAGAAGTGACAAAGTTATGCGGGTTGAGCCTAGAAAATAAACAGATAATACAAAATGATTGTCATATCCCGGCCACGGCCATGTTTTTCAGGTTTGTGGCCTGAACTCGTGAGGGTAAAAGTATGAACAGCTGTTTTACTCCAATCTTTCAATCTGTCAATTCCGTCAATACTTGTATCTTGAACGTCCCAGCCTTGCAACTCAAAATTGCATTTAAGTTTGCAACGCTTAGTTAACAAAGATATTTAGCTTTGGAATTGCGAAACGTTAACAACAGCGCTCGCACAAAAGAAGGAGCGTGGTCTTGTCATGAACCCAACTTGAAAGCTTCTAACCTTTGGGCATGACGACTTATTGTTTGCATCGAGAGCGCGGAGTTAGAAATTGCCTCGATCTAAGGCGATTTATCTAACCAGACGTCGTTTTCCCAATCTCTTTTAAAGGCAAGTAGTTGTAAAATACTCACCCTTTCTAACGTTGAACAAACAGGGAAATTCATTGGTGTTACAAGCATCCTTTTTGCCCCTGGGCCGCTTACCACACTTAATAACAGCACCGGGCAACGTAGAGGGCTGGGATAGAGAGTCCAGTCCTCCCTTGACTTCGTAACGCGGAAGCCAGGTTGTGTTGAATACAGCGTCCTGGTTAATAATCAGTTTGTAGTCACCTACTCGAATAGCTGCAAACTTACGGATGGGATCAATGTTGTGGAGGACCTAAAAAAAACAACATCAAGGTACATGTCAGCCTCTCCGTTATTTTAGGGAAATTAAGCATTTGCGCAAAAAATATGTTGTTTAAGCCAGTTACACTTTTGATATTTACCTCTTTTCTTGGAGATTTCTTTCCTTTCGCTATTGTATCCCACACATTTACGCCATCAATCTTGTCTTTTATCTTGTTGACGTCACCTCCAGCCAGATGATAGAAGGTTGGTAACCAATCTGTGACGTCAATCAAGTCATAACTGACACGGCCCCTGTTTTTGATCAGGTTGCTATGTACAAATCCCACTCCACGGACCCCTCCCTCCCAGAATGTGTCTTTACCTCCTTTGAGAGGATAGTTACAGCCTTGATTCCTGAGAGAGGAATGACGAGAATAGAGATGAAACTGATTGGGTAATTAAGGATATACTAAAACAAACCAAAAAAATTGGACTAAGTTGCCGCAACTATCGTAAAATCGTTTGTGAAGTTCTTATTACTGCGCTATGAAGTTTTTAAAGTAAAGTACTTGGGATAGACCCGTAGTGAGAGGGGGGAGGGGGTTGGGGGTGGTGAAGTTATCCTTGCCCCCCCCTACTCTCGGTTGAAAATAGGAATGCTGATCATAACCCTTGCTGCGTAGTGGGAAATCCGCTCGCTTTTTTTAAGGTGGGGGGGGGGGATTTCTCATCGATCGCATGAATAATGTATTTATCTTTATCTTTACCCCCGATGGTGTATGGTTTATTTTTTCTTCACAGGATGATCAGGTATGAATTTTTTACCAATTGAATCCTCTCGGAGCGCCTCCATTGTCGGTCGTGAAAACGATCACAGAGTTATCAAACATTCCATTCCTTTTAAGAGCTTTCGTTATGTTTCCAACGGACTCGTCCAATGAAGCTACCATGCCAGCATACGTCCTTCTGTCGTCCTCTATAATATCCTGGAATTTCTGAAGAATAGAGTATGAAACAGGATAAAATGTATTTCTAACCACATTGGTTTAAGACTAAAATACGAAACAAGCTGAAAATACATTTAGTTTCCGCTGCATTAAACTTGTGTCGTCTTATCAATTGGGATAATGAACGGAAAGACATGCAGGTGCAAAGACATCGAGATTTCCTTAGATAAAGCGGCAAGTGTAGAATTAGACAGACAGACAGCCAAAGGGAAAGATAGACAGACGGATAGACAAGCTGGTTGATGATATACAGAGGGGCAGACGTACATGCAGATAGATAGACGAACAGACAGACATGTGGGCAAACAAACTGATAGACAGATTGACAGACACACATGCATATAGACAGACAAACAGACAGACATACGGACAGACATACGGACAGACAGAAAGATGGACGGAAACACAGACGGATAACGGACGGACCGACAGATAACAGACAGATACACAGACGCACATGCAACTAAACAGGCGAACAGACGGACAGACAGACAGACGGAGACAGACAGAAAGAAAGATGGACTGGAGACAGCCAGAAGAGTGACAATCGTTCGGATAAAGAGACATGAGGATTTTACAAACGTGAGTCGCTACATAGATAACTGGTCGAACAGACAAACACTCAAAAAAGGAACCAGTGATGTAATAAGGAGTATACAAAGCCATGTATCTTTGCTTACATTAACAAGTCTTTCTGGCGCTTGCAGGGGCTCGTTACCATTGGCTGAGTGAACTCCTTGTTGAGCAAGATACAGATATAGTGGTTCAGACTTGTTGTGAGTATCAATGATTCGTTCAGCCACTTCTGCAAACAATTCTGTTCCATAATGGCTGGTTTCGTTCTTCACAGGCTGCCAAGAAACGAGGTTAGTCAGTATTCCGGCAAAAGTTAAGCTCTTTCAAGCCTTTATTGATCAATCAACTCTATTGATCAATCAACTCAGAACTGTTTTCTCAAATCTCTTATGCGAGGGTTTCGTTTTTTAATCAGGGTGACAAACTGAGAGTACAAAGTAGTTTCAAATAAGTTCAGATGGTAAGCCGGAATCGCGTTGGTTTCGCCTCGTCTACCTTCTCGTCGTGATCGGGCGTAAAAATTTGCCCTACTTTTTAAACCAATCAGTTGCGACATTTTATTGCAACTTGGTCCTCCGAGAGGTTTCTTCCACTCAATTCAGGAATATTCTTTTCCAGTTAGTATCATATTCTGGTTACTGTTTTATTTTTGAAGGAAAGGTGGAGTGCCTGCAACCAAATTGGCTCTTTGTGAAATTTCACCTTCATGTTATCTCTGAGATCTGTCCCCCATACGTCTTCCTGTGAGGAGTGGTCCCAGTAGTCTTCCTTTCCATTCCAAAATCCATAGTAGGTCTCAAAGCCGCGGTAAGGTGGAGTGTATTCCTTTTCGAAGAATCCCAAATGCCACTGAAAAAAAAAACCTCAATAATACGATGAAACGATAACAAATGCGTTTGCAAAACAAATCGGAATAAGCCACGACGTAGAGAGCTTTAGCTGGTAAACCTATAGGATGCCGTCGATGATAAAAAAGCGTACAATTTGATTGGCCGTGAGACCTATACCTATATCTAAGAATTGAAGCTGAAAATGTAAATTTATTAGCTAAGAAATGTAGAAAAATAAAATAAATAAATATATGAGATGTAAAATTAAAGAGCTTTTGCGAATGAATAGCTCTTGATAGCTTTCTTGAACTATTTGCAGACATCGTATTTCTGCATGAGATTATTAATAGTTTATATTCTTTTAGTTTCTGTTAGTACTCGGAAGGTCATTACAGAGTTTACAGGTGGCTGTATGAAAGGAACGATTCCCGAGCAGAACGAGTGATTTACTTCCACTCCCACTATAATAAGGTGTAACCCATTATTGGAAACCTACCTTGCCCACGCCATGTGTCCTGTACCCAAGTGCTTTAAGGTACTGAGGGGTGGTAGCCACACCTAACGGAAGACCGTACGGTTGCGTGCCAAATATGGTAGCATGCTGAATTCCTGAGGCAATGTGAAAACACGCGTGAGAACGGTTGTAGATATTCAACGTCAAGAACGTTTCATTTCCTAAGGTATGATTACTTAATGGCTTCAGATGGAGAGACACGACGTAAACTTAATTTCCTCTGTTTTTCCCTTTAGAGACATGCTAGAAGCCTGTTGGCGCGATAATGGCCGGAGAATGAAAACAACGACTAGACTCAAACCTCCCTGGGTTTCGCTCTGCCGCAACAATGCCGCCGTTTGCCATTTCACTCCGTTTTCCCAACTGAACGCCTGTGACAGGATACACGCTAGTAAATTGCTTTCCGAACCTATGTGTAATGCATTTTTACATTCCGGCATTTACCTTTAAAATAAACCATCTGAAAGAATAGTCACATCACCCAAAACCAGGAGTGAATGTGCACAATCATATCGCCTGTGGGGAGCCCGCGGGAATTAGCAGTCATTTATTAACTGTCTCGTCTCAGTCAAGTTTTTTTAGGTTTCATCGACGAGGCAAAGCATACGCGAGAGGTTTGATCGAAAAAAAAAGCTCTTGAACCCTCGAGCGGTGGTGCATTTACGCAAGTATAAGAAATTGACCATACCGTGAAGCTATGTTGCGTGACAAAGTTTCAAGATATCTGATTTTATCCCGAGTCGAAACATAACCACGACTGTCATAAGGACTTAGGAATTTAAAACTTATTATCATTGTTCCTCTTGTGGCCGCAACACAGCCATCGAAAAAAGGCATAAAGCTCTTATTGCCCCCTGGGAATATCCCTACTTCCGTCGGTACCGAGAAATTCGAAAAAAGCGAAAAAATGAAAAAAAGGAGCTTAAGTAAAAATTATCTAATGGTACCTAAATTGATCGGGTGTTTTCCAGTCATCAGAGAGGCCCGGGTAGGAGTACAAATCGGTGATACATAATAACTGTTAAGGATCACTCCACCGTTGGCCAGTTTGTCGATGTGTGGAGTAGGGATCTGGGGCGATCCGTGAAAACTGACGTCATCCCAGCCCTGTAAAGAGAAATCGGTTCAAAACAGTTTCACGCTTTCTCTATGGTTGATCGCATTGAAGGCGGACAAAATAAATTGTGTCGCTGTGTAATTAATCCAACTAATAAAGAGACATGTCTTGACGCAAGCAAATATCTTTTCGAGATCTTCAGTTGGAGTGAAAATGGTTGAAAAATTTTTATTTGAACTGCATGAGTTGCCATACTTTTGTGGAGAATCAGCCCTACTGCGAAACGAATCAACGAAAAAACAACAGGTGTAACTTTTACTCCAGTAAAAACAATATATCACTATGCAACCTTCCGGCTTAGCTTTGAGGTTTTATACGCCTTGAAGTTCGATAAAATTGCGTCAACATAAGAAACCTAGGACCTCCTTACCAGATCATCAGCGACGATCATGATGATGTGGGGTCTGGGCGCTACCCAGTTTGATCTCTTCCTTTCTTTCTTTCCATACACGTGATGCGAGCCTAGAAGAACTAAAACAAAGCTGAAATGATAAAAATAAAAAATAAAAAATTATCAAACAAATTATGATAAATACTACATTCTGATAGGTGTTTCAGTCTACAGGCTAAATTAATTTTTGCATTTGTAAAAATATCCTTAGAGCGCTGTTAGCAGACTTCATGGGACTTTGGATTGTCAAAATGGCTTCGATCCATCTGGGATTCTAACTAGAAATTGTCAACAAGTGGGAATTTCTCGAAAACTAGCATGTCACATTACGTGCGTTATAACACATAAATTTGCCCCTACATAATTATAAACAACTGCGTAAATGATTTAACTTTTTTCATTAACCCGGGCAGGATCAACGTAAGTCGCGCTTCGGGACTCAGTAATCGTTGCTATCACGGTTTCACAAGAAAAACGCGCAATGATGATCAATAAAACATGATTTTAAACTTCTCTTATTCACCGTAGGATTCACACATTTTCGTGTCATTAGCTGATAATGGTTTATATTCGATAAGCTAGAAGTTGAAATACCCAAGCTTGTATGCGCCGCGGTGTAAAAGCTAACACATATACTATATGAATGCGAGTTTAGCGGGAGTTGGGTTAAACGGCCCTTACGAGTTACAGGTTACACTGAAGACAGACTTATGTATTACTAAAAGTTGCACAAATAAAACAATCCAGCTTTTTTTTTTATCTATGGCCTGCATGCCTTATGCAGTCTACGGGTTTCGAGTTATGATACTCACCGCAACAACCTTAGAAAAACGCTCTTCATCCTGTAAAAATGATTGCAAATAAGTTACATCCGATACATTTAACTACTCGAAGATCAACATCGCAGACACAGCACTCAACTTTTCACTAATACCTCTTGAAATCAATTATTTATTTTGTATTTGTCAATTAGCCGCGCACGAATGGCTTAAAAGCGTAAACAGAAGGCAAAACAGCCTTTGAAAACAGGTAACGCTTAAAGAATCTTTTGTGAACATTTTGTTTTTCACAGTTGGCAATGTTTTGTTCTCTTCTATTTTCCTTGAAATTTCCTCTGTATCTGGTACCTGTAAAACACTAAGAACACAGTAATCAAAACAGTCAGCTGCATCATAAGAAACTCTGCTACCATGCGATCGCAAACCATTAGACCGATTTAAGATAAGGAAAAAAAAATTTACCCTTGAACTATTTTCTAAAATTGGGCGAGAAGGTTTTGGTTAACGTGAAAGAAATTTAAAGTTAGAATTCTCAGACCATATAAATACGTTGGGATAAACAAAAACGAATCAATTTTTTTTCGTGTTCTTCGCCGCCCAGTTATTGTCTACATTAAATCGATATTATCACAAAATCAAGATAGATGGTCTCGTGTGTGGAGACATTTGAAAACACCGGGGAGCTGTTAATTCATCCTTAAAGTAACCATTTCAACCTCCGCCCGAGGGCTACTCAGTTTTCAAAGAGTGGCGATTGCTTTGGCTGGTCAGATCCAGACTCGTCCCCGGTCTCCTAAAGGTGTACTGCGGTAAAGTGAGGGAGAAAAGGGTGACGGGAAGGAGAAAGAGAATGAGGCTCTCTCTTGCTTTCTCTCTATCCATCGTACTTTGCGCTCCCATTGTATCAGCGTGTCAGGTCACATCCGCAGATTTGATTCTCGGGATTTACCTATCACACTGACGTATATCTTTATAAATTTCAAGGTAATAATTTGAGGTCGTTATCAGACGCTAAAACTTTTCCTCTAGCCAATCTGAGAATAAAACTCATTCTGCATCTTTGGATTTGATTCGGCTCAGGGAAAGCTTGACCTTTGAGGGTGAGTTTTGCGACAGGCGGCCCAGAAAATTCCACCTCCCTACTATATAATTTAAGGTAAATACTTTATTTTGGTGTCTAGCAAGAGAAGATATTTACAAGTTCTACACAATTAATATTATAATACAATGGCGCTTAGGAAAGAATTTAGCATGCAACAAAGAACAGAAAAGAAAGCTTATGAAATGTGTAATACTAGAAATACGAAAATAATTGAGAAAAATAATCATGAAGTCACCAGACTGTACAACTGAGAATTTTTTTCAGCTGAAAAAAAGTCCGTCATAACTACTTGAAGTAAGTCGAAGGAGAATCTATCGCCCCAGAAAATCCCAAACTTAAAATAGCAAGTTGCACGTTGAGTACGCTTCGTCTGTTTTAATTTACAGCCAGCTGTTGAGACTGCGAAATTCTTAAATTTTCACTCAAAAGAGCTCTTGGATTATTACTAAGTCTATGTAGAGTATAATTATCAATTTAATTGTCATTAAAAACATTCGTAAAATTAATCTACATTTTGTGATTAGGCAATGTTTTGTAGCTCACTAACAAACGATTCAAACAGAAAAAAAGATGTATGAAGCTATTTTCTTGAAGAGAATGACAAGATTTCCAGTTGAAAGTTTGAAAACTAGAATTGCTCTGGCCTACTTGTTTAAAGGGTGGATAATGCTATCCACAGGATAAACCGCCATCCAGCGGACGTGTTTACAAAATATGCTGCACTATCCACTAGGCAGAAATTTATCCAGTGGATAGGGTTATCCAACCTTCGAACAACACGGGCCAGGATGATAAATAAATTAACGGCCTGAAAAAACACACTAAAAACCTAAGGAAAGACGTTATCTGAATTGCAAAATCAATTTAGCGGCGAGAAGGCTCTGCGTAGAATTGATAACAGATTGATAAAGAGAGTCACACCGCAAAGAAGAAGATCCGAGCAATTTATCGTTTATATCCTAGTCCCGGTCGAAACCCTTTTGAGAGGATGTTTCCCTCTGATTTGGATCTTTTAGTGAACAGCTTCAGGTCTTGCGCGTGGTTCTCATCTAACATTGGCAGGTAGAACTGAGGTTCACAATATTCCTGGAAAAGAAAGAGCAACAACGCCTTGAGATATACGACTCTCCTTTAGTGAAACGGTGCGGGAGAAACGGAAGGCTGACGAAAAAAATTCAAGCCACACCTCACTTAACAGTCAGTTTTGCTGCGTCGGTACTCTCGTATTCTCGATAAGAGTCCTCGCAAGTAAAACGAACCACAACACGTTACTCCTTTTCTGTAGCATTCTTACTGACAATGTCGACACTTGATTGCAAATGATTTCATAACGAGTCATACACGATGAATTCTACCGAGCCGTAAACACAGACCTCAATCCGCACCATTTTAACGCGTTAGCAATCAAACCAATCCAACGAGACATCAACAAAATGTCACTAACCTTGCACTTCGCGAAGAATGCTTTGTAGCCGCCTTCTATGAGGTACAACTCAGGGTAAAACAACTTTGGATAGACATGGTAATGAAGATCACGGTCCCTATTCCGTAAGTAACGAGACCTGGAAAAGAAAAACGGTAAATGTTTTGTTAAGTTAAAAATACTGAATTTCCAAAGGAGTAAGGAAAATGATCAACTTAACCAATCGCGACTTGGTCACTTTCCCGCGCTTTCAAAAGCGCGGGAAGACGACACAAACAGCTCATTAGCAAGATCACCATGTGATTGAACCTTCAACACCAGCATTATAAATCACTGAAGTAAAGCTTGCCACTTAAAACAAACGCAACTGAAACAGTACTCACATGTCTGGTCCTCTCTTGGACGAGAATTCACAGTGAAATATCAAAACTGTTTTCTTTCCCGTTAAACTTCTCTTCGGCTTTTCGATGAATTCGCTGTAAATATCCTCCTTGCTGTAAATATTTTTCGCACCCTGTGAAACAAAAAGGTGAAATATGTAGCATAGATACAACAGAAACATGCCGCTAACGATTATTTACGCTCTCGTCAACTCGCGTGAAGATGAGAAGTGTTTCGTGACATGCGTTCTGTACGAAATAGAATTACGAGAATGCTCTAAGAAGAGGAATCTGGGAGCGACACCATCTTACAGAGCCTTAGATATTACCTTAAGGACGCAAAACCAAGGCACTATACAGAGGACGAAAATTTCGTAGTGCGCCTAAGGGTTCCTACTCGATTTTTTGTATATAAAAGACTTTTTCCTAACGTATTTCCCTATGTATTTAATTTTTCAGACTAGAGAATGTGTATAACATTACAAGGCGTGAACAAAGTAGCAGTTGTCGAGGAGACGGCTTCCAAGGTAAGAATTCTTCGACTGCACCATCATTGTATTGACTGAGGTGAATTACGAGAAATTTAGCGACAAAAAAGTATATCTTACGAGTACTGAATAGTACTTCTTACCGCATTTTCTTAAGTATTTCACTTCATTTGCAACTGATTTCCTTATTTATATCAAGAACAGTTAAAAACTCCATACAAATGCCGTATTTTGTGCCTTTCCTTCCGTGGTACTTACCTTAATGTGACCTCCATTGTACTCGTAAGGGTAACGACAATCAATGATGTGAGCCTCCACTTCAGGAAATTCATTATCTAAGACACGTGCAACCTGAACGAAAGGCACGGATGGTGTTAAAACGAATTACGTCTGAGTGTTGTGAAACCAACACGCTTGGTCGAGAGTGTTGCCTTTTGACAACTATGTTATCTGAGAAAAATCTCCGGGGAGATAGCGTGCTTTCGGAATCTCAGAAAAATATCGCGTTACAAGAGTTTTATAACACACACAAGACAGCAAGTGACAGTGTTTAAAACTTTTTTGGATTAATTTCAAAACAAAATGGTAGATCAAAAGAATACCTGTAATTAATTATACTTTGTTTTCAATAAGTCTTGAGTTTTCTCTTCCCCATTTTTGCTTCCTTTCACCGATTTTTCATGAATGTTTCAATTTTTATTTTTAGTATATTTTGCGTAACGGTGATTGTTTCTTATTTTCTCCCTGTAATTTTGAGCGGAAAATTGGCACACGGCAGGCTAGAATTGATCTACTTTTCAGAAACGCAGCCTGACACGCTGTGTTTCTGAGAGAGGAAGCTTACACGTCTGCCTGGTGTATTGCAGAAATTCAAATTACCGTTTCTGGAGACAAACATTTCAAGTCTTCATGTTGTCCTGGTATCAACGGTAAAGTGTATGGCTGTAATAAAAACAAAAATAGAAAACAAAACAAGCTTATTGAGGAATCACAATAGAAAAGATACAAAGGTTTCACAAATATATTATCTTAGCAGATCAGTGCTACAAATTTTGGACTAAAAAAATAAAGAATGAAAATCTCTAGACTTACCCCACTAAAATCTGCAACTAAGTCTTTGTTAGCTACAGGAAGGCAAAGAACAAACAGATAACCTCGTTAGCTTAAAATAATCTTGCTCGTATTATAGGAAGATCAAAAGTATTTTCAAATGTTACAGAGGAGCCTTGATAATGACAATTTTACAGCTGTTTAAGTTCATGTGTGCTTGCCTATACGGAAGCAAGATGCGATGTGGGAGATTTTCAGACAAAAGTGAAATCTTTGCGACATGAAGCCTCTTGTTATATGTTGAAATACTTCACAGACTGACGAAACTTAAAGAAAAAAGTGAGATGAATGCTGTACACGAGACAAAGGAAAAAAAACTGAGTCTCCTGTGAAGATGTGCGCCCAAACCTGTTGCAATTTTGCAATCAGTCTCAAGCCAGGGTTCAGCAAGAAACATGACTTTTTTTTTGGTTTGTTCAATGGGTTTTCCACAATGACTACCCATAATGATATTAGAACTTACTTGATGCATCCAGCATGTTTCCCAGGTCATGCTCAAATGTTGCAGACTGCGAGCGCCGCATTTGGCAGGTTTGACCTTCACTTGGTGTGATCTGAATTGATGTTAGTTATAAAAATACATTGAAAATGGTCATTAGACATAAATCTAAGAACTCACAAAAAAATACTTGGAATGCATACTTGTCGCACACTGCAGGACAAAGATTTGTAAACATTTGCTGTTGTTGTTTAAAGGCGTCAAATTAATCTTTTTTTTCTGAGAGCCACTTGGCTCATAAATTTTTCAGAGTGGTAGCCAGTTCAAAAAACGTTCGTCGCTATTTTTAAAGACAAAAAAAACCTTTTTTTTTTTACGCTGTCAGCGTTCTAGATAAACCCTCCAAAATTAAGTTAGGAAAAAGATCTTTGACGTCTACGAAGTGGACACTAGGATGGATGATATACAACTTTCAAGCTCACCTAAACCCAAGATGGCGTCTAGTTATCGATCGAGATGCGTGTGCTACGTTTTGGACATAAACTTAAAGAAGAAGTTTGCTGCGGATTTATCTTTGCAAACCTTTTTAATTCATTATATCTCTAGGTAAGGTTATGATGAAGCGTTCCAGTCGTCAATTTGGCGACTGATTTTCAGGATTTGGTCGCCAAAGTGAAAAATTTAGTCGCATTAGCGCCTGTATTAGGCGCAATTTCACGCCCTGTGTTTTGTGTTTTGAAATTTGGTCACATGAAAGGCACATCGGACATATTTGAAATCAGTTAATATTGTAGGAAAATCACTGACATAAAGGCATAGCAGAGTAGTCAACAATATTTTAAAAACTAAGTAAGGTAAATAACTGTTTGGAATAATGGTTACAGAGGGAGATATTAAAGTGAGAGCATCTTAATTTACCTAATTAATTTATTCTTCAAAAACATCACACCATTGTGAAGCAATAAAAAAGAAACTTTTTTGCCCCATCAAAGCTTTCAAATAACGTTACAAGCAAGTCATGTGGGCAGACATCACACCTTAAGTATCTTTGACCAATCAAAACGTACATTGAGCACCATAGCCCAGATCTTCAACGATAACAATTGCTATCTATTGGATAAATTACTCCGTTACAAACTGGATGTCATACATGTAGTATGTCCTGTTTACACTTAACCACTCAGTAAAAATATATTCAGGTGAATACCATTATCCAGCCTTTGAACAAAGGAAAAAAAAAAGCAAAGCCTTTATACAGGCCCAGTTGGCCCATGGGGCCAGTGCTTGACTCCGGTTTCATTAGCATGAAGTGGCTAGGAGTATTGCTACTCCCCTCTGGATGGGATGCTAGTCCATCACAGGGTTACCCCCAGCATATTTGCTGGTACCCATTTGTACACCTGGGGGAAGAGAAGCACTGTGAGAGTAAAGTGTCTTGCCTAAGAACACAACACAATGACCCCAGCCAGGGCTCGAACCTGGACCACTCGATCCGGAGTTGAGTGCACTAACCATGAGACCACCGTGCCTCCACACATGAACAAAGAAAGCCTTACTTATAAACATCAATACATATACCAGTTCACTCACCATATCAAGTCGCGATGGATGGACACCCCCTTCAATGACAGACATACACCTTTGCCTTATGAACAGAAACAAAGCAAGAATAAGTACATAATTGAGTGCGCAGAGCTGTCAAAAAAAAGCAGGTAGCAAGCCAAAAATGACAGCTGGTCTGCTATCTTTAATCCCCTGCTTTCACTTCACTTTACTTTACCATAGCTACTGATGAAAAATCATACAATTATTTGAAATACCATAAAAAAAATTGCACAGCAGTCATTTTCCAATTTTGGGTGGAATCTACTTATAACATGTTTAGATGACCTTGTGTGAATGAATTTTTCATTCAGAATTTTCTCAAAGGTTCATGCAACCTCCATCAAATGCCTGGGAAATTTTAAGCAAATACTTCCTAGCCTTGTGTAATCTGGCTGGAAAAATGCAAATAAACCCAATTGCCCACTTTTTCCTATTTGCCTTCTACTTTGATATCAATGAAACTTAAATAAAAAAATCAATGAAACTTAAATTTTATACAGAGGAGTATAATGCATGAAGGAGTACAATTTACTTAAGTAAGAATAACAGATCCAATCATCAGCAGTTAATCATACACACCTTAGCCTTTTCTTGAGATTAGGACTTGGGTCTCTTGGATGGTTTGGTCTCTGATAGATAATTATGGAAAAAAGGTAAAACATATGAATTTATGAGCAAATCATTTGTTTAATGAATGTTTCAATCATTAATCTCACCATAAACCATGCAGTTAAAGTCACTTTCAATATTTATTACAGATTAAAACATTTCAACTGCTAAACTGCAATTCTTCATGATGCACAAAAAAAATCCCCTTTCTTTCAATCTTTATTGTATCTCCCTGTACAACGTTGCCTTTTCCCTCTGTTTGAACAACACTAAATGGGGAAAAGGGAGTATTCTGACAGCCAGGCCCTCCACTCCTTGAAAGTGGTTACACAAACATAATGTGTACAATAATTCTGTCATGGATTGTAGGCCATGAAACTAAGTTGTCATGGATAACACAGTACCTTGAGAGCTAAAGATTTTGACTTCTGTCTCATTGTGCATCGTTCTTTTGTTGGGCTCTCTGATGCGACAGAGTGAGCCCTGTCTCTTCCAGCATTAAATAAGTCTCTAGGTTTATAACCAGAGTCTGAAGCCTGCCACAGAGAACAAAATGACGTTATTGTCTGGACACAGGTAATCAAAGGTATTTTAAGATTTAGTCTTTAAATCAAGACTGACTTTCATAGCTGTTGGATTGGATTCTCTTACTTAAAGTGACCAGGAGGAATTAGGAAGGCCTCCCTGAAGTGCTTGTTCATCCCAACCTCCTTGCCCCCCCTGGACCTTCCTTAAAAGTAACCAGAGTTTCTGATAATTTATGGTAGGTATGTCATGTCTGTAATTGAGTGAAGTGGCCTACCCAGCCACAGCTTATCCCAGTTTCTGCTACATGAAGCGATTGGGAGTATCACTCCTACCCCTAAGTGTTTTGTTTAAGAAAACAACACAGTGACCCGGCCAGGTCTGGAACTTAGACCTCCCAGCCCTGAGTTCAGTGCACTTACTGGGCCACTGCATCTCTTGATTTATGACCAACTATAAAATTTTTGCTTTTTTGGGAGGGAGAGGCACTGTGAGAGGAAAGTGACCTGCCTGAGAACACAACACAATGACAAGGACAGGTTTCAAACATGGATTATAAAATCAAGAAAACACTCAGATAACCACAACACCATTACATTTTTCCACGGAAGGACAAGAAGGAAAATAGATTTGTAATATTTTGTGTAACATCATCATAAGCTGAATTTCAAAACTTTGAAGAGAAAAGAGAAAAGAAAATAGGACAAAGACTGGTAACTAGGAAGAGATTGTGGAGGGAGCTTGGACTGGAAACAACTCCTGTCAAAAAAGTTCTTAACACTACACACAAAACACAATAAAAAATAGTATTTCATACCTTTGGTGTATCATTGGTGGACTTCCTTGAATCATCAGCCTCCTGTCATGATAATATGAGCATTGTACAGTGTATTAAATGCTTACTAAGTAACTTTTAATTATTTAGTAAGAGACATGCAATCAATTGCCTCTTTTTGCCTTGCAATATACCAATAATAATCTGAGCCTGTGGCAAGGGTCTTTGAATTATTGTGTTTTAAAACCACAAATTTTTAAGCAGTACAAGCTATAAAAAAGTGCAGGCATTATCAGTCCTAACATAAAGATTGAAATGTCTTTGACAATGGCCACAAAATTTTTTTTCAGCCTAATAACATTACTGACAGATGTAATTCTATTATATTCTGCTGGCTAGTGATACATGTTACAGGAAGAAAAACATTCTTCTGGTTAAATCATACATGTTACAAAAGAAAAAAGAAAAAAAAGAAAAAGAACAGACCCACAAACTTTCACATAACAAACCTCATCTTTAGTCACCAGTGGCGCACTAACAAGTTCTGTAATTCCAGATGGAACCTCTAAGCTATTTTCCTGTGAACAAGATAAAAATAGATAAGACTGTTTTGAATTTGTTAATATGTGCTAATGTATCTGGCCCTGGTTGTTCAAAGGTAGATAACACTATTCACTGGATAAATTGCTATCCAGTGGATAGTGCATTACATTTTGTTCACAGTTATCCACTGGATAGTGATCTATTCATTGGATAACATCATCCATCCTTTGAACAACTGGGCCCTGGACCATAGTAAACCACAAATCAAGCAAGGTTGAAACCATTATCATTAAATTTACTTTCAACCACAACATAATTCCACAGTATGGTTAGAAAGTACATTGCAAGCCCCTCAAAACTTGCTCCTTAAATCTCAATCTTAGCAAACTTTGACAGTAGTAGCTCAGGTTAAGTTTAAAGACATATGAGGTCATTGGAGAAATTATCAAGGCCTCTCATGATAAGAGTGCTCGACTCCCACTGCTGTGGCCTGGGTTAGATTGCAGGACCTGGCATCTTGTTGTTGGTTCTTGTCCTGGCTCTGAGGGTTTTTCTCCACATCCTCGGGTTTTTCTCCACATCCTCTGATTTTCCTCCCTTTGCAAAAACTAACATTCCAAATTCCAATTTTGATGCAGTGGACAGGAAGAGCCACCATGTGGAAAATCCACTGCTAAATTATCCTCATTATTATGTACCTCTTTAGACTGTTCCTGGACAAAGTCATCAATAAATCCATCATCATCACCATCTAATTTGAAATCAAAGTCTCCTCCACCATCTTGACCATCACACTCTGATGGAGGAGGTGGGACATGCAATTCCTGTGACTGCACCTAAAAGCAAAATATCAGATAAAAACATTTTTGACACAAGTTACTAACAAGCATATGAACAGCAATGAAGCTGAAATTTTCCAGATGAGTAGGAGGCAAAATTTGTTCAGTTATTAAAATGAATTTAGCAGATGATCAAGTCTGTATGAAGTTTGCTAAAAAGTCTAAAATTTCAGCCTAAATAGCAAGGCTGAAATTTTAGACTTCAAACCCAGTCTCCATTAAGTAACTGATATGCACAATCTCCACTTAATAATAAACAGGAGAAACCAGAAAGACTTACATTTGCATTCTGATCAAGCATTAGAAATTCAATTTTTTAAGTGAATATGTTCCAGCGTACAAAAATACAACTAGTTCCACTTTTCATTTAATTTTGAAAGCTTATTAGAAGAGGTGCTTAGAATATAAAACTCTAGATGACCTTGGATGCAACACCTTCTCCCCCTGTTCTAGATGAAAATACAAGACAAATTGAAAGGAGAATCTAAAACTTTAAAAAAAGTCAATTAGGTCTTTTTTAAAGTACACTTTCAATGTTTCCTTTGCTTCTAAATCAATGAGACTAGTATCAGTCACATAGTTTGTTGAAAATCCAAATTATAATACACAAAAAAAAGAAATCCCTTTCCGATCAAACATGATACAAATGGGAATGATGGAATGCAAGTGTAAATGTTTCAGGACACACTAAAAGGAGGCAATGTTCTGTTGTGCTTAAACCGGGTAGTTAAATTAAGTAAAAGGTTACCATAGTTTAACAAGTTGTCTCCACCAAAAACAAGACAAAATGTAAAGATTTTACCCTAGGTGATGGTTCAGAAAGAGATCTTCCAGGTAAATTATTAGCTGATAATTTCCTTCCACCAACTGGACCCTTTGGTCGGGCAAACTTGAAGTCTCTGTTTTCCAGGGTGAAAACATTTCCTGCAGACTTTTTATCAGCATCTTGGACTGCATTAAAGTTTAATTCGATGTTCTCTTTGTTTTCAGCATAAGGATCCTCTTCGGTTTTGACCTAATTGGCAGAAGGTGAATTATTTAAAGTATCACATAGAAAACAGCAGTAAATAAGAAGGAAGTCTTGGCTTAAAAAGAAATGATTACAAAGTGGACCACAATCATTGGCAAGGTGTGTTTTTGCTCAGTACAATATTTGAATCCTTTTAGCACTTGAGCATCTGTTTGTTACTGACATTTAGCTATTGAAATTTACTTACTGGCAATGAGTTCCACCTCTTGAATGAAGGTCTCCTGGAGAAACAATTGAAACATTTTTCAACAAAAATTCACAGCTTCAGTGGCTTTATTTGAAATCTTACATAGAGTTCTTTTCCAGAGAAGCTTCTTTAATCTAAGGAAAAAACTTGCTGGTAGGGAGAATGACTATTTGCCCTTCAGTCAACTGAAATATTCATCTCACTCTACATGTGAGATCAGAAAGTACACTCTCTAAATTCAAGAAGATACTTAAACTTTATTTATTTATTTTTTAATGTAGTATAGCTTAGAAATGTAACTCAACATAGCTAGCACAAGACATTTTCCATAATTTTTGTACTGTAATTTGTATTGTGGAATTGTTTGTTTATTTTATAATGATATATAGACATGTTTACATTGTTTATACAGGTTCCCAATTAAACCAACTTCAAGCTATTTTTGCTTGCATGCCATTGGTTTAAGTGAGTCACATGACCAAATATACCCTAGCTAAAACTGGGGAATATCCAGGGATATACCCAAGTGATATTCCTCTATTTTCAAACCTTACCACCTGCATGATAAGTCTCAAGACAAGAGAGAATTTTGTAGTTGTTATAGAAGAGGGGACAAATTTGTTTGTTCATTCAAAAATTAGTACCAAAAGACTCAGAAAAGTAAAATCCCACCCAGCCAATGGTAAGCTGTTTGTAGACATTTTTCTTCCTGCATGTTGCAAAATGTGTTAAGGATAGTAAACACAGCAGTCTACATTTGGTGCAGAACTATGCTCATAAATAATTATCCTTGGACATTAGCAGTTCTTCATATCTCACGGTTTTCCTTGAGCCTTGCTCTCAGAAAAAACTGTTCTAAGCAAGTTTTCAAGCCAAATGGAGACTACTGCTTATTTAGTTGAATGCCCTAAAACTGATATGAAGTAACTTGCAAGCTATTCGACATTTTGCATAAAAGGCAGAGCCAAGAAATTTTAGATTTCAAAGTGAAAATAGTCAGCTGACGAAAAAAGGAACAGACACACACATGTATCAAATTTGAATTTCCCTCCCTCTGTCCTTGGACTTGACCACAAAATATGCCCTTGATGTAACCACAGATTGATCGTAGCCCAAATGTATTCAGCTTTTTTTAATTTACCAAATTTCCCTAACAATAACAGTACACGTGTGCCGACGGAACAGCTGCGTCGAAATTCATGACTTTAAATGATCTGACATTACAGAATGAAGGAAACACGTGCAACCTATGTTAAGGCTTAAAACTTAGTCTACAAGACGGATTCTTAATGTTACTTCAACAAAACCCGGTGTTTCCAACAAGATTCGAAAGGAAATCTTGCAAATTATCCACTGGGCTTTAGATAAAAACAAAACAAACATCACACCTTTGCTTTTTCTTTTCGGCGTTTGCCCTTGGAATAGAAAGCAAAAAATAAGTATCAAACTGTAAACCTATCAAAATTTTCCGAAGCCGAGGAGGAACATAGATATGAAAAGCGAACGTGCTAAATCACACGAAAGCCGATGAAGCACTTTGCGAGACTTCAATGGCGGAAGAAATAAAAGGCACTTGAGTTTTTACTGGTCAAAATCAACGAGTAAAGTCTGAAGGGCAAGGTAAATGCACATCACGTTTTAGGTTAACAGGTTTTGAAGATGTCAGAAATACCAAAACCTAAAACCTAAAAAAATACCATCAAACACCACTGTTATAGTTGCTTTGCAAAATTGTATTTGACTTATTAAAGTTTTGATTCAATTCTACAGGAATCGATCGATAAGTTCCCGCATTCTTTTCTCTTCTGTAAAACTCCTTCATCGTCTTTATCTTCCAGACGGTAGTTCATGTTTAAGCGATGGAACCAATAATATGAAAAGGTTAATTACATTTCCACAGGAAGCTTTGTTCACAAGCTTAGTTGTTGCATGAACTGATTCAAAAATTACACCAAAAATTATGCTTACTTTAACATTTCCGTCGAAGGTGAGTCACAAAAAAATCCTAGCGGAGAATCGGGACAGTAACCTAAAGGAAAGAGTATAGTGATGACTGTCATAATGATTCTTAATTTTGCAAGTAATCAGAAAGTGCAAGCTTAATTGTTTAGCAAAATTCTTTGTAGTACCTGACTCGTTGGAAACTGTCGAAAGCGACCTCTGAAAACCCGTGGTTGGCGTCGAAGGATCATTTAAGGACAAAGAAAGCTTTCTTTTAGGAGTCCTTCCTAAGCTGCAGAAACACAGAGAAATAACTTTGATCGTTAAATCATAAAATGCAACATGTTATACCAAATCACGGCCGTTCGAAACGCACGTCAATGCTGTGAAACTTAAACTAAAGCTAGCATCGCGCTCAAACATTCACAGAAACTATGGGTTTACCTGTTCTCAAAATTCAATGTTAACTCTGTTACTGGAGAGAGTACAGCATTAGGAGCTACATCCAACGAGTTTTTTCTTCGTGGGATTTCTAATTCGAGGTAGCTTCCAGCTCTTGGTTTCATCCCGGCCATATTGGAAATTGACGATGGCGTCCTGTAGTCGTACTTAGAGTGCACAAAACGGAACTTTTCGAGGGAGAAAACAGCCACGTGCGGCTGATGAAGTGTCCAGAAAGAGGATAAAAGATAAATGGTGATTCTAAACTACTGATACATTGGGTTGGCGAGTAAGCAAAGAAGACGGTGAAGTTTAGAGGTACGACTTTTCAAACTTTCCCCCGCATTGCATGGTGAAAACATTATGCTGGTTGTCAACCAATCAGATTGCAGGAATTTGCGTCTTTTTGTGGTTTCCTGGGAATCTCATTTTCGTTTTCCCGCTCCGTTACACTTCCGGTGAGCCTCGAGTTGGAACACTCGAAAAACGAGCGTGAAACGGAAATTGTAGATAAAAATTCTGATGCCTTTATACGATCAGGAGCCGTTTCTTTCGTTTCCTAATGAAATTTTTGAGTTTTCCATGCCTAAAGAAAAGAAAAAATAACAACAATAACGATAATACCATAGACCAGTTCATAAATGATCAATATTTCTAATTACGTCAAACAACTCTTTGCGGTTTTTCAGTGCCTCATAATTGAAAACGATTGGATCGTCACGAGACAAGAAAATGAAGACCGCGAGATTTGAACTAAATTGCTTAAGATTGATTCGAATTTGTCATCATTTCAGGCTCATGATTTGGTCATGATCAACACGTGCACGGCTTCTAGGAGAGGGAACAATTTTAGAAAACGGAAACAGTTTTCGTGAATTTTGAAATTTCTACTTCAGTTAAGGAAACGAAATTAAGGTCTCTAGAACAATACAACATGAAAACCGTTATATCCCGATGCCTGTGGTTAAATGGCTCTCTATCCTTTCTGCAACGCTTCAAACTGCATTTCAAACGTAACTTTCTTTCAAAGACAGGGGAATTAGGAGTGCAGTTGAACCTCGCTTAACTCGAACTTCCCAGCGAGACAAAAAAATGGTTCGGGTCAGCGAGGATTCGAGTGAGGTGATAGTATTAAAACGAATGAAATATGGTTCAAGGGGAAAATGATCTTGTTTGAACTCCCGGGGGTTCGAGTTTACGAGTTCGAGGTTAGATGACCATTTGGAGGTTTTATATGAAGTACGACGCTATAAGCTGCTGATATACCGACGGCGCATCCCAACGCTAAGTTTTTGTTGCCTTGCTTACAAGTTTGAAGTGCTCCAAAGGCGGGATTTTAGAATGGAAGGTTAGATTTGTTCTACTTTCGTTTATTTTTTACTTAAAAGAAAAGAAAAATAAAACGGTAGTTCAATTTTTTTTCGAAAATTTAGAGCTGAGTACGTTAGTTCTTTGTATTTTGTTAAAGCTAATTGTCTTTGTTTCGAAGAACTTTTGATTTTGACCACGTGCCGTTCGTACGAGCTCGCAAATATCTGGAAGAAAGACGTAAATTTTTTCTTGCGTACTATAAACCTATAATTATATAATTCTGAAGCATTCTTTCCTTTAAAGCAGCATTGAGGGAAACTGAGGTACTCTCTTACTAAATCATAATTGCTTGTTTTCGCTTGTCTTTTGTTCTTTATTGTGCAGGTGACACTGTCTACCGACCCACTCAGAGTTCTGAAACCTATTCGGCTACTTATTGGTACGCAATGACGCAAAACTTGGTGAAGTCCTCAGAAGACTTCACTATACACTCCATACATGAAGATGAAGTCCGTCACAACTGTTCTATATGCAAAAAATCGTTCAAATGCAAATCTGAACTGATGCGGCATCATCGTGCCCATACGGGCATTCGACCGTTTATGTGTAATCTATGCTATAAAAGCTTTAACTACAATAGTGCACTCCTGGAACATTTGCGTGTGCATTCTGGAGAAAAACCATACCAATGCAGTGAGTGCAAAAAGTGTTTTAGACAAGGGTCAACTCTCAACAGACACAAAAGGATACATACAGGAGAAAAACCACATCAATGTGAAGTCTGTGGCAAGTGTTTTTCTGAGAAGAAAGGCCGCGATGTTCACAAAAGGACTCACACCTGTAAACAACCATTTTATTGTTCCAAATGCCATCAGTATTTTATGCGCAGGGCATCTCTGCTCAGACATATTAAGAAAAATCATCTTATTATGGAGTCCAACGCAGGTTGTTTAGATGATGAGGCTGAAAAAATTCAGAGACATGAAAGCACAGCACCACAAGCTGGATCTACAGAGGTAGTAGTGAAAGTGGAGAGACCAGATATCGAGGAAACGAGTCTTGAGATGCTGATAAAGGATAGTGATCTTCTGAATGATTTGAATTACCTCAAGGAGGAGGTTGTAAACTGATTTGAACAGAACTTTCTAGCTTTCTCCCTTGTTTCAGTGAGACATGGAAAACCGTTAGCTCTTTGATTTGATTCTGACTGGTCAATTTTGTGTTCTGACCTATGAGTATAAGAGAATTTATGTGGAACAACTGCAAAGCAACATAGCACAATGTTAATCTTAAGTTTTATTGCAGGCAGAATCGGAGAACTCAAATTCTGCCACCAAATAATCAAACTCGGAGTATAAAATAACTGTCAGTGGAACAACTTCATAAGTAAAAACAAAGAAGTTGAGTGTATTTTCAATGAGACCTCAAAGTCTGTTTCCATCATTTGAACAGTATTTACTAATTATCATTGAATACCATGTTAATATTTAATGATTACGTTAGCTTAATATATGTTATGATCACCATGTTATGAACATTATTATATTTACGTAACTTTGTATTTATAAAGTATTTAATGTACTTCTTTATCTTGTTATGTTTCCATTCATTTCCATATTTCTAGATTAACCTTGCTAGCCTTATTTAGGGAATCCTCTTCCTGTTATGAGGTTCTCTTCAGTTAAACAAACATACTTATATATAGATTTATATGTTTTTAACTGAAAACTATCCAAAAAATAAACTCTCTTACATGTAAACCACAAAACAAAAATGCATCTATCCAATTGCTCCTCATGGTGTGTACATTGCACTATTTGTGCTCTTTCATGCATCCGATAACCAATCATGTGTGCACATCTTTTTTTTTCAGTTTTGATCAATCATGATCAATTTTGTGCTGATTCTAAAATTACTTCCAGTCTTGCCATCAGAGAGATGGAAATTTTAATGTGATGTTTTATATGGAAGAACAATGCCAAAGGAACAGCAGGCAAGAAGGCCCTCATTAGTAGATCTTCAGCACGAGCGTTTTCTAACCTGCGGGAAAGTAAGACACTATATGCGATTTGAGTCAGTGGGAGGTCTGTAAGGGGTCTGGCAATCACTATTGGCAAATTCCTCCCAACTCGTCTCAAATCCTCCCGCTGACGGAGAAACGCGCCACCTACAGTACTAAAAGTGAAGGCCTGGTCTGCGCTAAAGCAAAGAGATTCAACGAAAAAGGAACGATAATACCACGGAATTGTGAAGTTTAACGTAGACTGAAGACGGTGAAATTGGAAAATCTTGGCTAAACTATCTAAGGTTAAAAAAACCTCTCTCCAGCTCCTTTCAGATAATCACACGTATTGTCAGTAACATACAGATCAGTCTTTTGAGCATATTTCAGAATTCAAATGCTTTACTTGTGAATTTCAACCGTGTAAAAATAAGATAAACAAATAAGTAGATAAATAGATAAGTGAGAAAGTGATCGCCGGAAGTTTCAATTCTCTGAACACTTGATGTGAGAGGGCTGTTTGAAATAAAGCACTTGATTGCCGGCAAATTTGCCTTTAAGAAGCTGTAATCTCGCCCGTTTCTTATCATATTTGACGCGAATGGGCTTGAAATAAAGCGGACCTCGTGTGTTTCTCGATACAATTTTGGGAGGACTGTTCCCAATGTTTACATAACCCTTAAGTTTTGATTCTAGTTTAGAGGAAGGACCAGGTATGGCGACTCCACCGTAGCCTGAAATCTGTAAACAGAGAGGAGTCAATGGTAAAATGTGAGTTAACTAATAGATAGACAACGATCAGTCACCTCTTTTTGGCGGATTCTGTCGCGCGATTGATAGAGGTTAAAAAATATCGATTTAAGCGCGCCGCGCGGAACTATTGGAATGAGGCGCATGAAAAAATATCGTTTTTCCTCGAATAAGTGCCCACTCTCGAAAAAGCGCCCTTCCCCCGAATAAGCACCCACCCCCTAGGGCCAAAATGTTAATTAAGCACTACACCCAATGAAGCGCCCCACCCCCTCCCTCGCTGTCTCAAATTAGAAGGGATAAGAAAAAGCCAATTTCTATTGCTAATTAATCTATAACTTTTAAACCTTCGACTATTGCCGAATCAGTAGAGGAGAACAGTTTCTTTTCTGATCCAGTTATTTCTATCTCCATGCGCTATTAGAGTTCCTCTGTGTGTGTAATTTGTCCTTTTAATTTTTGTCCAATAGATGCGCTCATAACAAGTGCTTCCTGTTTGAAAGGTGAAATTTTTTACGCGCGTTTGGGAATATGAATAAATCTTGCAATAGAGTCCAGTGAGCATGCGCAACGCCTTACTATGGAATAGCCTATTTTCTTTCCCAGAGTTGTTGTTTCTATTAGTCACGTGGTCAGGGAAACGACGGTGTGGCTCTAAGGACGGCAATACTAAGTAACTTGTTATCAATACCTCTTGACTTATTTTGCCTCCCACATGAAATTTTTCGCTGTAAATCACGCTGTAAATAAGATGTAATTCCTCTTCCTCCAGACGAGCCATCTTTCTTTTGTCAAGCTCAGTTTCCTGCAGTATATAGTCCAGATCTGGATCTTTGAAATATTCTTGGTATAATTTCCCCAGCTCCAGTTCTCCCATATCATAGTGAATCTTGACATTATCCTCCACCATGGCTGTCATGAATCCAATGTCTATCCAGCTAAGTGACAGAAGCAAATGACGTCGTCTTTCGGGCATCATGAATTAATACAGGGGGGATTTTAAGCGATACACCTCTCACAGTGTGAACTGTTGACTTTGGAGTCCCTCAGGTTTGTTTGTGGTTGCGTGGCGATAAATTTATCTGACCCCCCCTAAGGCTCTGTAACATTCTTACTACCCCCTCCCCCTCACTGGCAGCCAATTGCCAGTCAATTTTTTATAGTCCTCCCTTTATACTCTGTTGTTAGCGACGACTATTCCCCTTTCCGTCCCCCCTGAAAATTTGTGACCCGCCCTCCAAAATCCTCCACACTCCCCCACCCCCTTGTGGCGATAAATAATGGCTGGTCTCCTTCAGTTCCCCCCTACTTAGTGAGAGGTTATAAATGGGGAAAGGGAGGTAAGCCATTGGAGTTCAAATTTTTAAATACATATAAACAGCAAAACTCTGTGGATCATATAAGCAAGTTAAAAAGTGTTACCTTTCCAGAGCTAACAGACGATCTTTTAAAGTTCTCTTGCACTCCACTTCATCCTTATTCTCGACTTTTTCACTAAGTATCTCTAAGTTCTTTTGTAGTTGTTTTCTTGAGTCAATAAGTTCCAAAAAATTTGTCCTTTTTTCCTCCTTTATATAGCTCTCTAGTCCTGCAATAATTGTAAATTCCTTTTTGGCAAACAGCCGCTTAGATATCGGCCTCAGCCTCCGCTTCACCATGAGCACGAATGGTTTTACATCTGAAACTGTGTTTGGACCATGAAGGACGGGATAGTACGTGTAACCAAAATTCAACTTGGCAAATGTTTTAAGAATCTTCCTAATCATCTGAAGAAACAACAACATGTATGATAGATGAGAGTCACTCCATACCGAGTCTTGAGATTAAGAGCGGATTAGAAGCTGTTTTTGATTAAGCCTTTACACCCTAACATCAGTATGCATATTCTCCACTCTGTGGTTTAAACTTTTTCTGACGTACTGGCAAGGAGAATTTGCTTAACAATCAAGAGCTAGTATCCTTAGTTGCTGATAATTTCCTTTATTCTCGTAACCTTAGAGCTTGAGGGGTGGTGTTGTAAGGTTAGGAGAAATAAGATGTTAGTCATTCTCATACAATTTTGCAGCTTGTAAGAAGGCGAGGTAAAGAGAAAGTCGATCTCGTGAGATGTGGCACATCTAGCCAGAACTTATCCCAATTTCTGTAACGTAAAGCAACAAGGAGTATTGTTATTTCCCCTTAATACAAGCTTCCCTGACAATTCATCAGTACCCAGTACTCCTAAGTGAAGAAACCAGCCAGGACTCGAACCTAGACCTCTCGACCCGGAGCTCATCACGCCAATCGTTAGGCCACTCAACTTGTAAACAAGTGACTATCTTAATGATGAACATGCAGCCGGTATCGAGATGACAGCGTTTAAGTGAGGCGTGACCAGATTTTAATTTGCAACATGAAACATGACTCAGCTTTAAAATGCTTCGGAAAATGTTTAAATCCCTCTTTGTTCGTTTAAAGATAAATTAACAATCACAAATTCCTGAAGTTCAATGAATTCGTTTGATTAGAATTCTTCGTTGTTTTAAATCTAGAGCACTACCTCAACCTTCTTGTGTTGCCGACAGATATACGTCTCCGAGCTATGTAATTTTAAGATTTTTGGTTCCTTGAAAAAATTGCTTCCCAATTAGTGGGTTCAATGCAAAAATATCAGTGTGTCTTACACGATCGCGCGATCAGACTTTAGACCGCGGGAATCGTATCCAAAGAAAAACCAACCAATGTTTTTATTTCTCAGGAATCTTATCTTCCCTAGCTTCTGAACAATGTTCAAGTTCCGCTTTGTCAAAACTAAAATAATATCCCAACGCTTCAAGAGTTGCAAGATAATTTTAACCCTCCAAGGATTAAAACATCAACTTACCTCGGTGTTTATTCGGTAACGAAGCTACCGTCAGATGACCTTTGTATACCGAGGCAAGAACAACCAAAACTCGCAAGTATTTCTCCAATGTTGGTAGCGTCACGGATCGCAGTATTTACGAGAGTGCTCATGCAAATGCTAATCCTTCTGAAACGGAATAAATTTGAACAAAACGAGCCACAGAAACAGGGAAGAGGATGATTTGGTCATGTATATTAGATATCCAAAGTTGTGAAAGTCAAGAACGCACAAATCTGTGATCGTTTTTTTTTTATGTTCATTTTTCACTTTGAGGCTTTTCTTGTTTTGTTGATATAACTAATACATTTAATGTTATGGGTTATGAATGATAGAAACCATGTCGATTCATTTTTAAAATTGATCCTATTTTTTAATTCTTTGTAGCCTTGTTTTATTTCATATATATGGATGAGATTTTAAGTTTGAATTTTCCGTATAATTGAAGCTCAGTGTGCGAGCGTTGTCAGCCAGGCAAGCAGAGAAGCGTAGCAACTGTACTTGTTAAGGAAATGCGACGATAAATCAAATGGCACTTGAGAATGTTTTGATGTTTTTTACTGTTTTGCTGTTTTTCCTTAGTCAGTCAGTTGCTTGATGAATTTTTCTGTTTGAAGTATTAAACTGAAAACGGTAAAGAAAACAAAAGAAAACTTTAAAACAGAAAAAAAACTGAAAGAGGTGTACACTGTGCACAAAGTGGGGAAGTATTGGCTTGTTAATTGATAGAAAAGTAGAAAAATGGTAGTAACCAAGAGAGGGCTCTATGGGTGTTCGTGACCCAGGCCCCCCTCTTTTTAGGTCGTCAACATAAAAGTTATAAAATTCAGCAGATGATTCGACAATAAGCCATTTTACAGTTGTGTACTTAGTTGCCAAACCTTTGATTTGGAGTGAGGCTGAAGGTGACCTTGTTGTGTTAGAGACCAGAATCTAGTTTGCATGATAACAAATTAATTTGCATTTCAAAAGCAGCAAGGTTTGTATCATAACAAGGTCACCCTTAGCCTCACTCCTGTTCAAAGGCTTGGCAACCAAGCACACAACTGTAAAATGGACTATTCTAGACACTCCACCTGCCGATCTTTCTCGCCGCGTGAGAACGTGCCCGCTTATTGTTCGCGGGAATTTTTTCGACGTCGTCCCATTGTAATTTTACCTTCATTGTCGAGATCTTTCTGATTAGTTATTGGCTGGTTGATAAAGGCCACCACACCTTTGAGCCTCTCAGTTCACGAGGTCAGCGACCTGGAACACGAGGCTTTCATCAAGAACATCGATCATCTTTACGGCTGAGTATGCGCAGACATTTTGTTATTCGGGGTATGATGTAAAGTACTGCAATACGTGAAGTTAACACAATCGAGAGGAACTAGTTTTGGTTCTCAATCATAAACAATTTTTTTTAGTGATCCGGCGCCCATGATACCGAGATGATAACAATTTCTAACCAGGACTAAAAGATTTTAATGTAAAACAGTAAAAGGAGCTTGAATTGAATCAACTTATCCCTCTTAAGCATGCGCAATAGCAGGAGAAAGCAATTCCTTTCTCGGAGGCTGTGACACGTTTTGCCAACGTCAATAGTTCGTAGCAAGAGAGGAAATCGTTAAAAAATAGATAAATGTAGTGGACGAGCTGCGATCGACACTGCGAGCGAGCAAAAAATTTTCACTGGTCTGGGAAGGAATAAGAAAGGATTTACGCCGCTCTGATTCGTCTTCCTCCATTTTCTCTCTCTTGTCCCACTTTTTCACTCGCCTCCACAAATAGAGATATGTGGATGTAGTTGTACGTGACTTAAGCTTAAGATCAACAGTTTAATATATCTTTACGTGGCTTTTTGTTTTTGCACCAGACAACAACCGAGCTTATGTTTATGTGCGCTTTGAGACTGGTGACGAGATGTCTCACCGGGCGAAGTTTGCCTTTATTACTTGGATTGGGTCCAAAGCAGACCTTCTTAGGAGGGCTAAAGTCAGCACTGACATGCAATTCAAGGAAATTTTTAAAGTCAGTATTTGATTCTAGATTTTCTTCTAGAGATTCTTTAAAGCCTGACCTTTTCCCGAGTTGCTTATAAGATCGCCCTTGTAACTTTCTTTGGCTAAGTTCGCTAAAGATGGCGTGAGACTAGTTGCAAAGGTTTACGTCACTTGGTTTACTAATTCAAAACAGACTATTCCTAACAGATGTCAACAGCTGCCGACACCTTAGGAAGGACTTATTCACGGCATTTACACAACAAACGAACCGAGCAGAACAACCGAACATTACCGTAGGATCGCAAATGATCGATCAGGACCGACCTAACATAAACGAGTCTTTCAGTCAATAAAGTCACTGCAAAACTGACTAATTAGTTTACGCGAACCAGACCTGCAATTCTCTTTGTCTGTATCTCTTTCACCTTTCTCCTGTCATCATAGGTCTGTATTTCATGGTCTTTATCCGTTTTCTGTTTAAAATTCTAGATCAAGTTGGCTCCCCTTTTTCCTTGCTTTTAAATTTCCTTTCTTTTAACAATTTATTTTATATTTCTTATCTCTGTTTTCTGTTTTATTCAGGCATTTTTACCAGTCTTTCTGAGATTTCACTGTGTCCTTTTTCTTTGTTTTTGTTTCATTTAAGTCATTTCCTTTATCCTATTCCACTTTATTTACGTTTCTTTTTTCCTCTTCGTACCATTTTTTAGCTATTCGGCAAGGAAGTCCTGACGGACGAAGGAAAGGTGTTAGCCTATGGCAGGATACTGGAAATTCTTGAGAAAGCACGTGGTGCCGCGTACAGTACAGGTCACTAACGGCTGGACCACTACGTACTGCAATGTCCGACTCCACACGGTATCGAGTTGTTGGAGCGACATACACAGAGGCTCATTTCGCTCGCTTAACAAGAAGTTAATTTAATACAAGTCTTAAATGTATTTCAGTGTGTTGGCACCCTTTGATTGATTCATCAACTTGTCCTTGGAAACTATAACATTGGAAAAACAAAAGAAAACAACAAGTCATGGGTAAATGTTTTGTTTTGTTTTGTTACTGTTGTTGAATTTCTTGCTACTAACTCATTCACTTGGACAAGTATCGACCAATTTTATTTAAACCATGAACCTACACAATACAGTAGAGACCGAAGATAGTCAGGACTGTGTCACCCATGTAAATGTCACTCAAAAATTATTTTCTCTCCCGAAGAATTTCGCGAATGGCTGGATGTAACTACTGTCTTGAACGGCGTCAGACTTCAATTTCAGCCAAGAGGAAATAACGGTCCCATTTCAGTTTTCACTTGTTTCAGCATCTCATATATAGACAGCGTCGAGTTCAAGGACGAAACTTAAAAAATCCGTCGTCGGTGTCCTCGTTTTCAGACCCGGCGGAGTTTGGTGATTTCAGGTTGTTGTTCTTCAGAAGACAGCTACGAAATGTACAAAGTTTTAAAACGCACTTTTTCCGTGCCGAGACCGTCGTGGTTTGCTAAGGCCCGTTGTATTTCTCCTTCGAGTGTTTAATCCTCATGCCTTTAACCTGATCAATTTGACGTTCTTTAAATTGCGAGATAAATTGGGCTTCGCATCCCTTGTTTTTTTCTTTTTTTAACTTAACGATTAGTTTGCGCATGGAAGCTACATTATAATTACTTGCGTTGACACCCCTTCTCGTTTTGTCACTTGGCTCCAATCCACATGCGACTCGTTTTAAACGGTCAAAAACTCTAAGAGTAATAAGAAAACTCGAGGCGGCTGCAAAAAGCGACAAAAAAAGTTCGCAAATGGTACACATTTTTAATGACATGTTTCCTCAGTGATAAGTCTGTTCAGGTGAAGGTATTTATTTGCCTTGCACTGTAGCAAGTGAAAATGAGCAATATTCCATTCAGTTTGGTGGGTGCATTTTATATTTTATGGTTTCGGAGGGGGAGGAAACGAAAAAGAAATTTGAAAGAATAGCATAAAGTAAAACAAACTCGAATTAGTGGGAGAAAAGTAAACGCGAAGAATAATGAGAAAAAATTGAGGCGGAAGCAAAAAGTGACAAAAAAAGTTCGCAAATGGTACAAATTTTTAATGACATGTTTCCTCAGTGATAAGTCTGTTAAGGTGAAGGTATTTGTTCGCCTTGTACTGTAGCAAGTGAAAATGAGCAATATTCCATTCAGTTTGGTGGGTGCATTTTATACTATATGGTTTCGGAGAGGGAAAAAACGAAAAAGAAAAGTAAACACCTTGTGAATGATCTGTCTTTCACAAGCCATGAGAATTTCGGAAGGGGACATCTTGAAGAAAATTTAACTGGTTCTTACAACCAGAACAACAGTTTTATCACAAGGAAGTAAAACCAACCAAAGATGCTTGACTCGAGAAGTCAAGAAAGCAAACATTATTAGTTTCTTTTCGCAAAATATTTCCATGGATTCCGAGATTTTGCTAAGTTTCTCCTAAATAAATTTTCAGGGAATGTGTTTGTACAAGAAGTAGGAATTCAGCTGTTTCTACGACGAATATAGCTTGTGGCCTCTATAATCCAAAGCACGATGTCGACGAGGCAAACACGACGATGACATATCTCGCTACGTCCTCGCTCCCAGGTCTCTCTATCTTCTCCACGCCTTCCCTTCTTCCGGTGGCCGGGAAGAGAAAATACTCACGGAAACGTGTTTATGTCGCTGTTGCTGTTGCCTATTCTGTTTGAGTGTCATTTGCTATAACCGCCAGGAATTCCTCCTCTCGGTTGGACTGGGTTGTTAGCTCATCGCTGAGCCTCCATATTTTGATTCGCCCTTGTGAATCACCGGTGGCAAGTGTCTGACGCCTAGCAACAAAAAAAAAAAAATTAACCGAGGAATATCGACTTTGATGGTTGTATTTCACAGTATGGAAGCCCTCGGCACCGGTTGCAACTTTTCCCAGACTTCTCAGTGGCCACTATAGCTGACTAGCCAGACCAGTTACATTGTTTCCCGCGCTTTTCGCCGTCCACACACAGGTTACTTTTATTTCCCGCGCTTCTCTCTGATTATGTGTTTTCCGAGCTTGGTTTGTCGCTGACTCATCAGTCACAAATTTTCCCGCGCACAGAACCTGTGAAACATCCTTTACCATAGCAAAACATGTTTATATCGAGCTCCGCTTAAATTTAGTTTACATCGCACACCAACAATAAAGACAAAGTAAATTTTTAAAAATTTGCAAGACATGAATAAACTACACAGTAGCTACAACAGAATAAAGGAATACCTTTGAAGGTTGTACTCCAACGAATATACCGGTGATTTGTCTGTTGTGACATCGAGCGTGACCACTGGGTTGATCCGGTCAACCTAGAGAAAAACAAGACATTCTTACAGCCATTTTCCAAATCGACAGCAAATTATTATTTTTTAATTCCTTAACCAAAATGGAGACTGAAATATCAATATGGAAGGATAACAGGCAAGAAAGCCCTTTCGGAAAAAGGGTCAATGAGTGTTGTAAAATTTTCGAACAACTACGTTACGTTAAGCAAGAAAATTGGCAGAACATGATAGTCCTCTTTCCAAACGTAATCCGTCCCACGAGTCGAGTGAGTAAAGCGCATTTGGATCGAGTGTCGTATAACCAAAACTATTTGAAAGTAATCACAGCAGCCAATTAGAGAAGGGCAAATATCACAGAGAGCCAATCAGAACTAAATTCAAAGCTAGCAAATTATCTGGAAAACGCGGGTAACCAAGTCGCGATTGGTTTCAGTTTCAGTTTTGAATCTGATTGGTTGAGAGGGCGAATTGATGGCGCGAGATTTCATGGTCAAAGAATTTAGCTCCCTTGTTTCCAGAAGCACTCTTTTCGAAGTTCTGAATTTCGGGGAATTTTTAATGTTAACAGTAATTACCCAATACACTCACCTTCAAATCATAAATCAGCAAGCGGCCATCCGCAGTAACGACGGAAAATACCAACGGGCGTGAAGGAGACCACCGGACCCTAAATAGATACCCCGCTCCGGGCTCCACTGAAAATAGGGGCTTGGACTGTTTGAAAATAAAGGCACCTTAATTTTGAAGACCGTCCTACACAGGTCAACTTAGAGTCTGAGTACAACTGCTCTGATAAACAGAATAGCTCTGTTTAAAACGCTTCCTTTGGCAGGAAGAAATTAAGTTTACCAGATAAATAGACTACGAGCAGAGAACTTTTATCTTCTGCTTTCTTCTATAAAAAGAGCACAGAAAGGCCGAAACGAGTCATAAATTCTCATTTTCTTATGGAACACAGCTGGATTATCAAGTAAAGTTTAGAACTGTAAACAAGCGCGCACATTACTAAAATGACTATAAACCTTTCGGTTCTATGTGATTACCATTCCGGTTTTTCGGTTTCGATGAAAAAGTTGCCTGTTTTCCATTTTCTAACGGCTCCCAGCGCCCCCTCTTACATTCGACAGGCAAATGAACTCTCCGGAAAAGAAAAAAAAATCCTACTTTTTACCAAAGAAAAATATGCCCTACCTGCAACATGGAGTAAAGCCTAACAGATGCATCTGTACCACAAGTGAGGAAGAGATTCCGGTGATAAGGTGAACAGTCAACAGAAAACACAGGCCCAAAGTGAGGAGAGAAGGCAAAAGTTACAGGGGAACGCAACGGAACGGAGCTCTGAACATCTGTAAGAGAACGAAAGACAGTGTTAAAGAAATTGTACAATTTTATCTTGTTGTTCATGAACATGGGAGAAAGATAAACCGTTCCATGTGCAGCGAGGTCTCTACGTCATGATTGCCAACCGAATAGTTTTCGTTCAGCCCTAAATCACTCCATGAGGGACTGGTCATTAGTTCCCCTATCGTGGGGGAGGGGGTTGGGGGTTGTAGGAGTCTGATTGTGTTACGTGATCCCTCCGTATGGCGCTGTAATATCACTATAATCCAGTCAATTTTTGTGATCATCTTATTAATGCAGTCAATTTTCCATATTTCTCCTCCCTTTATACTCTGTTGGCGACGACTGATCCTCCTTCCGTTCCCCCAAAAAACCATGTGATCCCCCTAAAACCATGTGATCCCCAAAAAACCAAAACCATGTGATCCCCCAAAAACCATGTGATCCCCCCAAAAAACCATGTGATCCCCCAAAAAACCATGTGATCCCCCCAAAATTTGCATAAGTACCATGAATTTGTCCCCTGTTGTATTAAGTTGCAGAAAAAAAGATATCCAAAATGATAAATACCATTCTGTAAGGTTTGAATTATCCTTTTTTACGTACTTGTGGTGTTAAAGTTTTAAATTAATGATGATCATTAAACTTTTGTTGTTCATAGCGTGTTGACGCAAGTGGTATGTCTATGCGATACACTTCTTACTTGTCACGGGAGGTCCTCTTGATGTCATGGAACATTTAAATACTCCCCCAGCCTCTGAGCCGAGCACAAAAAGAGTACGGTCTTCATGAGAAAACGACATACTAGTCACTGAAAGTGAAAGGACACAGTCAAATTCTGCGAAGCTTTAAGCACGGTGACCAGGATTTTTCAGAGGAGGTGGGGGGGGGGGGGGGTGGTCACACTGTGTCAAACAGAAGGTACTCACCATATTGCCATGTCGACCTCTACGTCGTGTTTAACTTAATGAAAAAAAGGCTTACGGAAACAGTATCTACTGCTTCAACTTCAATAACACATATAATACACTTAGGATCCCCAAAAGACGAAGAAAACCTAACAATTTAAAAATATCACCTCCCATTTCAGCATCACCGCGGGCTTTGCTCAACCGCATGCTTCGTGGAACACTGTCTGTCTGCAAAATGAAACCGCCGACTAGTTTGAGATCACGTGAGCCTGGAGTCATCTGCCATACCAGGACTTTGCCATCGCCACTTATGCTAAGGATCTGGAGGCAAGTGAAGGTCACAGAACAATAATGGTTAACCTGATAATATCGCAATCATCTGTTGAACCAAAATCCTTTGACGTACCTGATACTTCGTCCCCTTAGAGCTGGAATCTAAGGTCCACAAGACCTGAAAGGAAAAAAAAGATTATGTTAAGTTAATGAGGAAGAACTCTAGATAATGTGGTATGTTTTTCAAATACAAAACTTTGTTTGCAATTCAAAGAAGTAAAAGATTGTCATCCTGGAGAGAGGAAGGCAACACAGCGTTTGTTAAACAGTATACCTTACTAACGGGTTCCCGGTGTGAATCTGATCCCATTCCTGTTGTAGCAATGACAGTCTCATCCTCTCTTCCAGTGTCCCAAACTTGTATCTCTCCTAAATAATACATGACAGTAATCAGCTAACCTCTGCTAACTATGTTGCCACCTGATATCATAATGATGACAAATAAAGAAACTAAACGATTAAACGCTCGCAATTGCGAATGGCTACAAATTAAAAAATCTTTCGACCGTCTTCCATGTTGCAATTCAGTTCCATTTTAAAGCTAGCATTTGTGTTTCTCTTGGTAGATAACCAACATTTGATCGACTGAAAAGCGTTGTCAGCTGATGGGAATTTTGACATCCGCTAATATGGAGATAAAACTCAAAGCCAGCCAATTCGTGCAAGCGGTTTTTTCAATTTTCAGTTCCATTCCTCTCGCGGCGAATCGTTTTCGCATACTTATCGCTAAACGCTTTAAGAGAAGCACCCTTATCGATTACTTCCTGTAAGATTTGCGAAAGGGGGGGGGGGTTCTTGTTGACTAAAAGGCTTTAAAACGTCCATTTTCAACCTTTTCGTTGAAATTGTCTCAAGAGTTTTGTTGAGGATTGTAGCACAAATAAGTCGTGGATCGATCTCGGAGATATTAACTACCTTTAATGGAAAAGGGATTCTCCAAAGCCTCTCGGGGAGCAAAGAATCGCAGAGACAATAAAGGAGTTAATATTTCACTTTTTAACCAGGAAAACCTAGCAAACTACATCCCAAATGTACCATTAAATGATCCTCCAGCGACAACTGATGGAAGATTTGGATGAAAAGCAATACACATCAAGCAACTCTGTTGAGAAAACAACAACAAAAGATAGCTTTACCATAGTTCTTTTTATCATTGCTGCTCCCTCATAAGGGGTTAGATCTATCCTTGACAGATAGACAGAAAAAAGAACTTCAGTATTGTAGTCATCTTTTATGGTATATGCACAGGACTATGTAAAACTGCTAACCTTTTCAGAAAGCGATCAGAATCTCTAGAGAACCCTGATGTGATTCAACCTTTCATTCCTAAGATCTCATTAGTAATTCTCCTTACTGTCTTCCATACAATTCTTATGATGTTAGTTATAAGAATTTGGCATTGAATCAACTAATAATTCCCTTGCTGATATCTCTACTCATTTGCATTACTTGTCTGATGGATATTATATTGGTACTGTAAGGAGAAAATCTGTCTTAGTCACTCATGGGAGTTAAGGATTACCTCAAACACCAGCGGGTTCTAGCACCTTTCTGAATTATTGTGAGCAGAGGAATTACTCATATAAGCTGCAGTACTTACAGATAGATCAATGGTGATATCAGGCTTGTTTGGATCAATTGCTCTCCTGTCAATGTTCCAAGTACACAGGGCAGACTGTCAAAGGAATGATCACATCAGTTGACAAACACAGAATGGAATCATTTAAGATCAACTAAGGCCTGGAACTAAGAATTGCTCCTGCCCCAATGATTCAATGACCCCGGCCTCGAGAAATGGTTGCATTGTATGACAAAGAACAACAGGAATCTGTGAAGATCACTCTCGTATTCAATCTTCAGTTTGTTTAGAGCTATTTTTCTACAATTTAGTAGGTACGTTCATATGTGACATACATGAAGTAAAACACATTTTGTAATCAACATTTACACACCTTATGAGAGCACCAGTGTTCATGATCAAACCTTCCATAGCTAACATTGTGTAGTTAAGTTGAACTTTTATCTTAATCTTGGTTTTAAACACTTGATGCAAAAATGCTGACATGTAGAAAGCCTTCACCATGAATGATAAAATGTAATGGCTTCACAAGTAAACACTAACATAACAAAATTAGTTTGCATGAGGTGAATGGTGGAAGCTAACCAAGTTTTCAAATTTTAATCATATTGCTCTGCACTAAATTTCATACAGTTTTCAACCTGTCCAAGCTGTTTGTCAGTTTTAAGAATGACTAAATATTTCTCTCGGTCATGAGAATTAAACTTAATGTTAAGGATACGAGACAGCGATTACTGAACCAGTGGAATTCCATGACAAGCCAGTAACCTGTAGCTAAAAAGTGGAGCAAAATGAAAAATTATACAATTTTGTCAAGCTTTGGTAAGTTACATCCAATAAATAATTTGACAATACTAATAAAGATTAGCAAATAATTGCAATAAGACTTGAAATTTGTTGCAACACTAGCCCATCTTGATCAGGCTCTTGATTATAGGAGATCAACAATGAAAAGGTCATGAAAAATGATGGATAAAGCCAAGGATAATGTTGCAATTTTGCAGATAACTGCCCTCACTGCTTGTGGTTGTCCTGTTATTCTGTCCATCTCCATTGACTTAGAACCTAAAGCCTATAGTAACTACACATGAGATACTTAGCTAGTTAAACTTTCCAGAATTTTTCACAGATGCTTTAACAATTAAGAACAGAGAGAGTTTCTTTCCATTAGATGAAAATTGGTTACCTCATCTTCAACTAAAGCTGCATTCATCAATGTATGGGCACATGATACAGAGCTGGTTGATTCATCTATGCTCTCTTCATAACCTACAAGGCATTCAGTCCAATGTTACTATCAACACGTAAACTTGTTGGCATGGAACATGAGGAGTTCATCCCTCTTTTTATTGTAACAAATGGCTAACAACATCTCCTCCCCCTTGGATGGTAGTTAGTCCATTGCAAGACACCTACTGGGAGATAGCTAGGATTTTTCAAATGTGGGGGCAGGGGGGGGAGAGTGCAGTGACAAATTTCTGCACCTCTTAAATAAATCTAAAGTAAGTTATGTTGTGATTCTACTTTCTGTATTAGTGTGCTGGTATCCAAGCAATGAGAAGGACTGACAAGTGAAGTATCTAGCATTCAAAAAGATTTATGCCCACATGATTCTATGACTGGCACATTTTTGAAAACACTCAAATTATACATTGATGATTTAAAACACAATTATATCACTATTAGGAAATGTTGTAAGAACCCCAGCACCTGTTTAGCCACGCCCATGACCCCCTTGCGCACAGTCTGTTTCCCAAACTGAGACCATAACCATTAAACTGACAAGTGTTCTGCTACACATCTGGAGTAATTACAAGAAACCACAAAACCCCAGAGCTACCAAAATTAAAGCCTGTAACTTGAAAGAAAAAAAATTTCCCACTTCACCTTTCTCTCTCAGAGTTTCCCATAAAAATTGAACATGTAATGTTAATGTTAATTAACCCGTCAATTCCCATGAGTGACCAAGACGGGATTTCTCCTTACAATATTGAAACAATATTGAGCCCACACGTGATGAGAAGAGAGAAAAATACCAATAATAGGATTATTAGCTAAACTTACACCAAATTCTTCAGACTAACATCATAAGAATTGTGTGGCAGACAGTAAGGATAATCGGAAATTAAATTTAACAGAGTGGTTGCGACTTACCATCAAAAGCATGACTTGTAATGTTGGCTTGTAATTGTCGGCTCACCTCAGGATAGACTCTTAGTATAAAATTAACAAGGCCCTTTAAAAACAGAAGGAAAACAAAATGCAAGAAAATGTAAATGATTAGCATACACAATCCTGCTACAGCGGATGATTTGGTTTCATCAACTGAGTTGATGAATTCAATCTAAATTGGCCACTTTAAAGAGTTTCTACAGTTGATGTTTTAAGTGTTGGACCTAATGGTTGGAGTGAATGAAGTGCGTGGAGCAGACCTCAAACTAGAAAAGTGAACTCCTAGACCTGTTCACGTATAACAATGCACATTTATGGCCTGGATGGGGTATAAACCATAAACCAAAAATTCAAAGAAATTTTGATTGCAATGAGTCAATAATTAATCCAAAAAACAAAAAATGATGTTGCATACTGGATTCTCTTCCTCAACAACAAAGACAAGTTTTCCTTTCTCATCCTCTTCTTCTGTTTGAGTCTAAATTAAACAAATAATGAAGCATATTAAGTATTCAGTCACTGGTTAAATTCACTCATAATATTTAATTGTAATATTTTTCTGATTGGTTATGCACTCCTGCTCTGATGACTTAAACCTTTTTACTCCAAAGACCTGATTAATAATCCCCTTTACTGTCTGCCATACAATTATTACAACATTAATTTGGAGAATTTGGTAATGGATCGACTAGTTATCCTCTAATTGATATTTTCTTTATTCTCATCACTTGTTTGCTCAATATTATTAGGAGAAATTCTGTCTTGGTCACTTATGAGAGTTAAGGGGTAAAGTTTATGAAGGGAGACTGGGATGAAGTGGAAGAAAAGACTAGAAAGAAAGGAACGGGGGGGGGGTGGGCATTGGGAAGGTCTAGGGGGGGGGGAGGGCCAGAAGGGCATGATATGATATCAAACCCAACTAGATTCATATTTCTAGAGGTTGGAATCTCTGGCACTTAGATGTATTTAATTGAACACTGTTTCAATTCACTTTGGCGATTCTAGCATTGTGGCGATCATAAAAGTTAGCTCAGTTCCTCTGTGATTATGTACACACTCAAATAGGAAGTGTCTTCAAGTACCTCTGCATCTACCCGATGGATTGACTGTACGTCTGCCTCATATGTGATAATCTCACTGGTTTGAGCCCCTGCATTTTTGCTAGACCTTTGGAAATGATGTAGATTTTATTTCAATGAATACTTGTCCACTTTGACGATACACAACATCTTGACAACACATTGTTAGTTTACTAATTTTTTTTTTCACTTAATTTTTCACACCAGCTTGATTTCAATTTTAAATTTATCATAAGTGTCTTTTCTTGTAAAAAAAATAATAAAAAAATAAAATAAAACACACACACATCAAAGTACACTCATAACTTGATAAATTAAATTTCAGGTTGATGGTATTTTAAATCCTGGTGTAAATTTCCCGCCAGATAAAACTTAAAATCACTATGTCTCACCTTTCGGTTTTCCACGACGACTTAAATTCTACTGCTTCTTGTGCTTCATCGTTAAACATAGTATTGCGAGGAAAGATTATGCTGTTTACTTCCTCATCAACACACCAATATTTGTTTCTACCAAAAGCTCTTTCTGTGTCCAAAATTAGAAGTTGTTTTTTGACGATCCAATATGGCGTCTGATCTGTTTACCAAATTTGGAAGTGGCAACAGAGCGCTATTTATCACTGGTAGCTATAGTAACCGCTTTAGGAACAGTCCTCAGAGGAAAGAAGTCAAAATGGCTGCGAGTAAAACAGCTTCGAGTTTCCACAGTATGCCGCATAGAAACGGCACTTATGTGGCCAGCCATGGAGGTAATTCTCCTGCAGATGTTACCCCAGACCTACATCTTAAGATGTCGAAGAAGATCGCTCAACTTACTAAAGTTATTTACGCGCTCAACACCAAAAATGACGAACACGAAAATGTTTTGGAAAACATGAAAACGGCCCATGAAGAAGAGATGCAGAAGCTTATGGCGGAAACGAAAGAAAGGGTTAACTATTTTAAAACCAGGTTAAATGCTGTTTCTGAACAAAGACAGAAGATCGACATGTTAGAGTCGCATTTGTCGAAGGAACGGCTCCAGCGAGAAGAGGCGATGTCGGAATTTGAGAGTTTCAAGCGCCGAACAAATGATGAAGAAGCTCGTTTGAAATCAGAGTTTTCTGATAGGATTTTGACCATGTCCAAGGAATTATTAACTTCTAAAAAGGAGTTCGAAGAACGCCTGAAGGATTTTCAGGCTACTAGGAAACTGTTAGAGGAAAATAGAGACAAAGCTGTGGAGGAGTTGACAAGCAAACATCACGACGAGATCGACCAGCTCATGAAAGCTCATCGTGTGCGCTACGATGAAGTTGTGAAGGAAAAACAGAAACTTGAAAAAGAATTTCAGGAAAAGCTTTCTCGGGTAGAAACTTCTAGCGATGCTGTGGCGGAGGAAAGACATAGAATTGAATCTGAGTATCAAGAAAAATTGGACAAACTGAAAGCATTTTACGAAAAAGAATTGGCTGCTTCGCGAACTTTGCAAGAAAATTCCAAAGAATTGCAATTGAAAGAGTGGGAAAAAAGAGAGAAGGCTCTTAAAACCGAATGGAATAGACAAGAACGAATCTTTAAGGACAGGATTTCAGAGTTACTAAATCAATTAAGTGACGGAGAGCAACATATGTCCATTTTGAAAACGCAACTAAACGAACTGGAATCCAAACTCGAAGGTAAAGAAGGAGATTCAACAAACTTAGCGAAACAACTCGAGGAAGCGAGGCAAGAGGGATCCAAAGCCCTGAAGAGTTTAAGGGAGACGGAAAGTGACTTAACTGTGTCGAAAAAACGGTGTGAGGAGCAAGAGGCCGAGATCGCTCGTCAATCGAGTAAGTACCGTAGTTCACATATAACATTCATTACTTCAAGGGTTTCTTACGAACCAACATTATGACCAGCTCCCAGTTTGGCTCTTTAGCTCAGTTTGTAGAGCACTCCACCGGTATCGCAGAGGTCATAGACTCAAATACCGTACAAGCCTGAATTTTTTTTTAGACCTTAATTTTACTACTGCTTAAGTTGTGTTCGTTACTGCGAAGATCGCTATCATATCCATTTCTTAAACCGCAATTCACAAGTATGATTTTCATATGATTTCACAGTAAAGTAAAGTGATTTTGTATGTTTATAATACAAACAAAATTTCGTTTTATGTGATTATAGAATTATTTAATGTTCTTTGTTGAAATTAATCGGTTTTACAGCGTTCCTTCTGTAATTTTTATTCTTTTGATATTATTTTCAGGTAATATTATTCCCTATTGATTATTTTTCGGAAATCAAGTTTGATCATTGATCGAATATTTAGTTTTCCTGTGAAGAATTAATTTATTTGTTTTGTTAACAAGTGATTCATTATGGAAAGTGTGTATAATGTTATTCAATACAATACTAGGACAGGTGGACATATTCAAACTCAAAAAGCTACACAATGGGGTACTTTTGTGACATTTATTTTTATTCATGTACTTATTATCTTGTGGGAAAAACTTTTTAGCAGCCACACGTTAGGTTTTTCCATGAAACATTTAATATCTATTGGGGAGTTTTGATCTTTGTCTGGCTCTCCTGTTGAAAACTTTTTATTAAATCTCTAAGTTAGTGTGTTCACTATGATTGGTCAGTTCATCAGGCTATGTTTTACCGTATGACCTGCTAGATTCAAAAGTTTGTTTGAACTGAAAACTTCCTGATCTCTTTGAATCCAGAGATATCAAATAATTAATTTACTAACCTTGTTTTCTATGTCAAACCTTAAACTCAGTTAGTATTAAAAGTACACTGTATTTACAGGCTCTACATTCAATCCATGAATGGACTTTAAAAGTCTTTAGTGGAGGATGCTTGAGAAATATTTCCTTGAGTTTCATAATTTTTCCATGACACAATGTTAGTGGTTAAACTATTTTTTTTATTTCTATGAAACAGATGGTTACAAATCTGCATCTATAGATATTGCCATTGCTGGTTTAAAAGTAGCAAACTGTGAGTTCAATCATCTGGCTGCATTCCACTTGCAACTCACTCACTTATCACCAAAAAACTTTTCATCATTTATCACCAAATTCCACTTGCAAGTCAATCACTTGTCACTTATTCATGTTATATATTAACCCCTTTGCACCCTTACATCAATATGCATATTCTCCATACTGTTCTCTATACATCTCTGAAGGTGCTGACAATGGGAATTTGTGTAAGAATCAAGAGTTTTTTATTTAGTGATCATTTTCTTTATTCCTGTGAGCTTAATGTGTGATTCAGGGGTGATATTGTAAGGAGAAATAGATGTTAGTCACTCCTAAGGGTCAAAAGGTTAGATGTTAAGGAATTATTCTATGTTAACATATGAAAATTGTTTGAAACAGTGCAAATCAGCAAACTTGATGCAACCAAGTTGTCTCAGGAAACGACGATCAAGGAACTGAAAGCAAATATTACAAGCCTACAAAGTAAGCTGAATAAGATGGAGTCTGAACATGATGATCTTGGAAAGAAGTTCAGTTCACACACAATGCAAACTGACTCAAAGATCAAGCATCTTCAACAGGTTCGGTTACACTTTCCATTCTTTCTGTATTGTTTATGGCCTTGCATAGCTCCGAACAGATTAAAAAGCTCTCACACTTCTATTCACAGAGAAAAGTGAAATAAAAATTAAAAAATTAAGTAATCCACAGCTAATGCTTGGTCATTCTTGAACATGCTGTGTTTGTCATAAAACTATCAAGCTGTCATAACAAAGACATAGTTAAAACGAAGTTAAGTTGACCATGTATGCCGTTAGATAATTATAAGTATCAGCTTGATGATCCCAATTTTTAAAAAAATTGGTTACAAGTAATTTGTTATTTATAAAGAGTTTAAAAACAATCACTGTAGGGGGTTTGCAGCCACTTTCTGTTTTGCAATACTTACAGAAAATCAATGAATTAACATTTTTAAGCCATACAGCTTGACATAATTACCACAAGTTGTTTGACTCAAGATGTTGTAACTATTAAGGTACTGTTATGGTAGAGTTGCATTATTTTGTAAATTGATTCTAAATGGCACTTCCTGTATTTTCAAATGACAACAATCATGCATAGACCTATTTCTTGCCCTCAACCATAGCTTAAGACTACTACACTCGCAGCTATCAGAAGAAATCCCTTACTTTGATAACTTTGAATGAAATCAAGATTTTAAGAACAATTGCAAAAGCTGACAAAGTTGCCAGATGCGTGGAAAGTATTGCAAGACCAGTGATTCAATTATCCTATTTACCTGTGTATAGCACACACTTTTTCATAAAAATAAACATAATTGCTACCCCTATCTTTATTCACATATTCTTGAATTCAGATATTTAAGAAAATGAACGACATGTTTTCAGAATTCAATTACTTTTTAATGCCTTTAAGTTTGTAATTTATCATTTGGTTGAATTTGTTTTGTACAGGAAATTGAGAAACTTTTAAGGGAGAAGGAAGACTTGGAATCAAAATACAATGCTGAATTAAAAAGAGCCGGTGAACAATCTACTAACAAGGAGTTGTCACTGAGAAAAGAACTTGAAGATGTCACAGCAAAGTTAAAGAGAGATCATAGCAAAGAACTTGAGGATATGAAGACAAAACTTGGTATCGATCATAATAACCACGTAATGAATTTACAGCAAGAATTTCAAGATAACTTGTCTCAGAAGGAGAGAAAACTTTTGGAGAATTCGGAGCAAGAACTTGAGAGGTTACGGATAGAGAAAAATGAGGTTATTGCTGAGTTTGAGAATCACTGCAGTGACTTGAAAAATAAGTTGAGGTCGTCTGAAGATGAAGTTGAGAGATTGGAGAAGCTGGTTCATGATAGTGAAAAAGGACTGGGATCTGCATCATCGCATATTGACAGCTTGAAAACAGCCCTTAGTCAGACTAAGGAGGAATTACAAAAGACAAAGACTGACTTGCAAGAGGCTGAAAACAAGTATGCAAAGTCAATGGTAAGATCTCTCTTGCTTGTGAAAAGTAAAACACCCATAAAAATCATGTTGACTCATCAGTATTGTCAGTTGCTGTCATTGATGATTCATTAATAAAAGTCTTACTGGCCTTCTGTCATAATTATAGCTTGTATTAGGTCTCTTTGAAGGAATTTTGCACCATAGAATTATTGCATGGCAATCAATGTCCAATAACACTAAATAAAATACATGAACACTTCTCTGAAAAAAGCCAGGTCCACACAGCTGTTAGGGCCAACATGAGGAACTTATACATATGTCTTTTTTTTAATGTTTTGTCTAAACAAAGCAATAACAGGTTAGGAAGATACCTCCTTTAAGAGACTTTGAAGGAACCCTTGTATTTGCTAGTGGATGTGTTGTACACTGTTGTTAGTGGACATAAATCTTAATAATTTTAAGCTAGTTTAATCTGCATTTTTTGTAGTTCCATGTAAATTGCCAAAGCTCAAAAATAGAGAAAACAACAAATTAATCAAGATTAATATTGTTTTACCTGTAATTCCATCTTAACTTACAACAGATATCTTGAGAATATCATTGATTGTACTTCTTGGTAGATATTCTTGTCTTGAAAATGTCTCATGATAATTAAAAATAAAAACTCTAATTTTAATCAGGATGAGATGTACAAGCTAGAAATGCTCCATGACAAGGCTCTAAAGGATGCAAAATTAGACTCAGACGCCCGACTAGCGTCACTTACCAATGAGTTGGACACTAAATGGAGTGAAAAATTAAGGTAAGTATTTTGGGTTGACTCAGAGAGAGTAGTTGATGCACTAAATATCACTGTCATATCAAACATGCTTTGAAAGCACTTGTGAATCAGTAAATGACACAAGTAAAATTCCAATTGTGTATTAACCTTGTGGGAATGTTGTTGAGTGAGTAATTTTTTTTTTCCAAAGAACAGAATACAGGTACAGTACAACTCAGAAATAAGCAGCCACAAAAATGAGCAGTAAATTTTCAGCATATAATTTATTTCCTGGTAACTTTCAGGGATGAATGCAGTAAACTGCGCTCACAGCTGAATGAACAGCACAGAGAGGAAAATCGTGTGTCACTGGAGCAACTAACAAAGATAAAAGATTTGCAGAGAGAAGAACTGAAAGGAGAGCTGCAAAGTAAAATTGATGCTTTAAAAAAGACTGTAAGTACACAGACAGTATCATCAAATGAATGTATTTATGCTTTAAGGCAACCTTTCTGTAGATTAAGTCATGAACTCCTTCACCCTTTAGAGTGACTAAATTCTTATTTCTCCTTACAATATCTTGTCTGAATCACACATAAAGGACACAAGAATAAAGGAAATGAAGACCAACTAAAGAAGCTCTCGATTGTTAAACAAATTCTCCTTGTCAGCATCTTTAGAAATGTATAATGAACAGTACTGAGAATATACATACTGATATTAGTTTCAAATGCCTTAGAATGAGCATATTTCAGACAATTTCTATACTGAGTTTAGAGAACACATTTGAATATTCAATAGATTTTGATCTCAACTTTTTAATCAAAACTGGATGAATTTTAAAACCAACTTGATTTTGGTTCTTTGTAAACAGGTTGCGCATCTTGCAATTGCTAAGAAATGCATTCTTGAACACTCCAAGAAGTTTGTTAGTACCACTGTCTTGACATATTAGAAACTTGCACTGTGATATTTGATATGATTATGTAATTTTCAATATAACACCTTTCTTACTGTTACAGTAAAGGGTTGTATGATTTGTCACATAATAATGTTTATCACAGACTATAACTTGATGTGAGGTGATTGTATAGTCTGAGCCATTTTGTTTGCAAAAATTGACTACTTACCTTTAAACACCTCAGTCTATATTTAAATAATTCCACTCGACACTTCGGGTTAAAATTCCCCACCACAGTCCATACCCCCCAGGGCGAAGATGACAGTCCAGTGCCTGTGGATTGCCTGAAGGAATGTTGAAGCCTGGAATTGATTGATGCTTAATGGCTATTGTTTTGACAACCTTAATGGAAGTTGTGGTCAGTGTCTTACTTGGCTTTGATGACAATATCCATCGAGGTTGTCAAAGTGTCAGTCACTGCTATCATCAGTTCTTAACAGTCTCTTACCTGGACAGTCAACTGTTACCTCTGGATTTTAACCATCTACTGAAATTTTTTTAAGTGTCAATGAGTACATTTTATTTAACAATTCTGACTGAGCTCACTGTGCCTAAACTTAATAAGCTTTCTCCTCTTTTAGATCGCTGAAACTCGAGGTGATTTGGAAAAGGCAAACCGGAATGCTAAGACAGCTGAGCTTGACCTTCGCAAAGAACTTGACTTACAGAGGAAACGCATGGAGGAAGAAATATCTGCCTTGTCTCTACAACACAACAAAAGGCTGGAAGAGTTGATAGAAAAACACAAGGAAGAGCTTAAGAAGCTGGAAGGTCTCAAAGATGAAGAAATAAAGGTATATGCTGGATTATTTCAGGCTTTTTAATTAATAGGTGAATGTTCACACAGTGTTTGGTATCAGGTTTGAAGTTTGCAGCAATATGTATCAATCTCTAATTACCTAAGTATAAGTTGAGTAACTTTTTTTCTGCAAGAAAACATGACAAGTGGCTGATTTGTCCTCTTTTTCAAGGTACTAATTTCTAACATGTGAATGCTAGTCGTGAATTTTTCTTTCACATTTTCTCTCAGGAATGTGAGAGTGCCCTACAGAAGAGTCACAGAGATGAGATCACATCTCAACTGCAGGCAAATAAACTCATGATAGATGCCATCAAATCCCAAGCTGAGCAAGAACGTATGAAAGACATCGAAGAAATAAAAATCAATCATGAAAATGATCAAGGTTAGACTTTTATGAAAGGTTTTCATACAGCATCAGTTGTTGCAAGCCATAAATAGTATTGTGTTTTTTCCCTTTTTTTGTTAATCCTTTAACTCCCAGATCAAATATGTAATTCTCCTTACTGTCAACCATACAATTGTTATAATGTTAGTTCAGAGAATTTAGTATTGGATCAAATAATTATTCCCTAATTGATATTTTTCTTTATACTCATCACTTGTCTGCTTGATATTGTATTGATATTGTAAGGAGAAATTGTTTCTTGGTCACTCATGGGAGTTAAAGGGTTAACTAAAGTTAAACATGTTTTTAAAAAGTTTTTTAAAGTGCACATACCACCATTTCCACAGGACAATTCCATTTTGCTGTTTATAGTGATTGCATTGAGACTAAAAGCAACTCCAGCTTTGTTGTCAAAATTGTTTATTTTTCACACCAGCTTTAAATGGTCAGATTATTTCATTGTTGTAAAGGGGAAATGGAAATTATGCTTTTTATTCATGCCTTGCATGACTTGCTTGAAAAACATCTTTTTTTGCAGTAACTGCATATTTTTTCCTTGTGATGTTTTTACTTTTTCTTTTTCAATCTCTTTTTGTCCTTTGTAATTAGCGTTTCTTATTTCTTTTTATAGAAAATATGAGAAGTGAGCTTTTGCGTGTCCAACAGGAGGAAATGCAAAGATTGCATAGAGAATTTGAGGTTCAATTAGCAGCTGTGAAACTCCAACTTCAGCGTACCAATGAGATGCACTCCAAGGATGTAAGTTACCAACTGTAATTCAAAATATTTGAGTTTCAAAAACTCTGTTCTCATCAACAAATGGATCCACAGGTAGGCATTTACTGCCTTTTCACCACTACCTTGAATGAGTAAATCTCACTTATTACTATATCATTTACAACTGTTACTGTTAGTAATACTCTGAGTGACTTTTGGCCTTGAGAGGAAAGTTAATTCTCAATGTCTGCTCCTAATTTGCCACTCAGGAAACTGAACATCAGAATCAGATAGAAGAGCTAAGACGAGAGATTGAAGAGAGAGAGTGCCATCTCAAAGAACTGGATGAGGAAATCGGTGAGGTGAAAAGCAATGTGGAACAACTTCAACGTGAACTGCAAGCCAAAGGGCAGGAGATACTCAGTGTCAGACGGGAGGCTAATTCACAAATGAGGTTTGAATAGTATTGCATTGTATAGCATAATAATCCATATTTTTACAGTATATTGTATCTGCCTTAAGTATCAATGTTAAGGTTTTGTTTGTACTTTTTTTATGAACACCCATCAGATGAAATCCTAGTAAAATCACTGCCTTATAGTTTGTATTTCTTTCATAATCTGGTTGTCAGTCAGGCATTTAGATTGGAGACGGAACTTTCTGCCAACCTACAGTATTCATAATTCTGGTACTGGATTGTAGACTTAGTTGTTTTTAGTCATACTATTTTCTTTCTTGTACACTTCCAATTGAAAATTGTGTATCATTACTAAACATTTTACCTCTTTTTTTCAGAAAACGAGAAGAAGACCTTGCTAGATCACATCAGAAAGAGGTGGACTCCATAGCAGCAGATCATCTGCGTGAGACTCAGTCCTTGCTTTCAGAGTTTAATAGATCCAAGGAACTCCTTTGTGACAAGATTTCTGCTTTACAATTAATGTGAGTCTATAGAGCTCCATGAAGGTGCTCTATCTCGAAATTTTAACATTCATGTAACCCACTTCAAGGAAATAATACAAGGTAGTTCAAAATTAAATGCAATTTTTTGTTGTCAACAGGCTGGAGGAGGCTGAAGAAAAATTCAGGAGCCGACAGTCACGACCAGAAGACTTGGAAGTTATTGAACAGCTTAAGAGGGCCCTTGCTGAACGGGAGCTGGATATGAAGAGACTTGTGGTCAGTTTGAATATTTCATTTAGTTTTCAGCATTTCCTTTGATTTTTCTTTAACCATTATTTTTAATTAGAAGGTCCTTGCTCCCTGAAGAACTACTATGATCCCTTTCACTAAATGTAACTGGACTTGTATCAGTTCGGTCATCTTTTGCTTCATGTGAATGTCCATCAGATATTTAGTCCCAAAGGTTAAATTTTGATCACAACTACTTCTCAGTTTTTAGTCAAGCTCAAATGTGGAGCTCCATTTTGCATGTCCACTTAACCATGTGCATTCCCTTGCATTGTACATGTGAACAATATAGGGCCTGTTACCCATGTGAAAATTGCAGATTTGTACACAGGGGTTGGCAATCAAGTTGTATTATTTTACAATACTTTTGTATTAATGCTGTCTCCTTATTTGGGTTCATAGGATGAGAAGAGATATTTCCAATTGGAACTTCTCAACAGGGAAACAAACTTCAACAAAGTTTTCAAAGCAGCACCAAATATTGGCATCATCAACCCACTGCAGGCCAAAACAAAACCAGGGAAAGAAGGGGCACGGCAAAGCAGTTCTCTCGTCATGAGCTCGTCACGGCTAGATCCTATCCCTAACATGCCTGTTCATGAGAAAAGAATTAATAACAGTCGGCCTCTGCCTCCAACTCCACCAAAAGAACCCCCACCTCATAGAAAGACAACCGTTTACTAATAAATTAAAATACTAGATTGTGTTCTGACTAGTTGCATACATTGAACCAATATTGGTATACCTTTACCTCTTTGTCATGTCATGGATTTTCTAAGACAAAGTACTCACACTTTTTATGTCTTAAGCTGTAAAAATACAGTAATGGAGTAATTATTAAACAGCTTCTAATAGGAGTGAGATGCTTGTATATCTCAAAGTTGTTGCCTTGTTCTTACTAGCAGCCATCATTAGAAAAAATTTGATGAATATGTTTTCAACCTTGATCATTCCACTTATATTAAGTATAGTGTACAGCAGAATGTAAATATTAGAACTGTATCAAATATTGCAATGGAAAATTGCTTGTATATAATGCATGGTTGTAATAAAAAGACTTGGAAAAGTTGTTCATATCTAGCTGCAAATAATTGTCATATTGTTGTGGAAGGAAATTAGGTCAATTGTTGTTTTGGAAGATTTTACTGAGTATGTGTTCTAGGATTGGATGAATAATATCCTAAGTTGCAAGTGTGCTTCTGTAAAGATCATTTGGCTGATGATTAGGAGGGCTCTGTCTATAAGGGACTGTCTGAGGATTGTTCTCACAAATGAGGGTCTTTCAAAGGCTACAGGTAACTAACAGGGTAGAATTTCATTTGTCAAGAGTTGAAGGAGGGTTGGTTAAAAAAACAAAAACATTTCATTATTGAATACCCCTTCCCGCATCCCACCATGTTAAGGTAAGTGGTTTGACTTTTCTCACCTATTTCTAAAAGGTGGGCTTTATTTTAGTTTCTTAATCACAATATTTTCATTTTCTGACATGTGCCCTAGCTTTCATTTGAGGTGGAGAGCACCTAGCTAAAGGAAAGTGCAAACGAAAGCGATCTGAGGAGGGCCAGCTAAGAATGGAATAATTCTGCTCCTTTCAATCATTTTGTGCAGATTATTGAGTTTAGGACAGGCACCCAAAGTGTCATTGTCCCAAAATGTTTCACAAAGCCACAAGGAAAATAAGCCGCAGATTCCGTAATTCCTTATTCATTCCGTTTCAATTTGTTTAGTGGCGAAAAAGAGATTAACGCCTCTTTGTTTTCTTTAGATATCTCGCGTAATATTCTACAAATTCCACGAAGTCCCTGAGGGTCGGGAGAGTGGGGACGGCTTACAGCCCCTATTGGTCGGCGAGATAAAGATCAAGACACGAGTGATTTTATGAATGAATTATAATTTTATTTTTTTTGGTAAAAATAATGAAAACGGTACACCCCTTATAAGAACATGAACTATGTTATGCGAGCAAAAGACCAAATCTACATAAAGCTTAAAACTGGCTGTTTAAAAATATGCGTTTTGCCAACCTTGTCTGAAAACACACGTATTAAACTAAAAAGTAGTTTTAATTAATCTAGTCTGAAATGCAACAAGGAGGTTCAAACTTACTGCCCCCGTAACCGACGCGAGCCACTACAAGCATGAAACCTTTGAATTACGATGGGATTAATGTTGAGAATGATAAAAACAACATGGCCGGCCGTCTGGAGGGGTTCATGAAAACAATGAAAATGGCAGGTGAAAGTCGCACAAAGAAACCGTGTGAATGCTTCAGAATAATGCTGAAAACTTATGCAATTTTCAACATGTGTCAAACTTTATAAATGTAGGTTATCGATGCGAATGTTTAGGGCTTTCCTCACGGGAATCAAACCTCCACAGATGTACCATTTTGTTCCGTGGTCGTTGCTCCACTATCCACTGCGCTCTTGGTAGCTTTCTTTGATGGTGTTCGTTTCTTTTTAGGCAGTTCTTCTGTCGTTTGAAGCTTAATCCCAGCTCTTTGATTCGCTACACGACTGCTCACTCTTTCCGGGGCTTGTCTTCTTTTCTTTTCCGTCTTCGGTTTCTTGGCGGCTGGTTCGCTGCTTTCGGTCTTCTTTGGTCTTCCACGTTGTCTTTTGGAAGGTTGTTCGTCATTCGATTTCTCTTCTGCTTCTCCTTCTTCTTTAGATGGTTCTTGGTCGCCATGTGCTTTCTCTACCTCCGTGACCTCGGCTCGCTCCGTCGATTCCTTGTCCGTATTATCAACGACCGCCGTTTCAGTGGCACTAGGCTCACCCGTTTCTTCGACTATAGTTTTCTCTTCTGTCATGGCGGTCTATTTTCCTTTATTTCCTCGATCTTTCGTCGATCTATTGACCATTCCGAGCGATCCAACTCTATTGCCCACAAAGCGATCACACTCCAATGCACACAAACAGGATGTTCTTCATTCGGTGAAAACCACTAAAACCGGTTTTGAACCGGTTTTGTATGACAGTTAGCGATCTATTAATAATCCTCTAGCATTTGATTGACAGTAGCAAATTTTAATTGTCACAAGCTCTTGACATCACAGCAGCGTAAGGTCTTATCCAGATGTTATGTCATGTATGTCATTACTTCTCTATTTATGGATAGGGGTGAAAGCTAATTCTCGTGATGGCTGCTTGACTAGTTAATGAACTGTAGAGAAATAATTCGACTGCTTCAAGACGTGCGGGGTTTTCCCTAACACTAGCCGACTTCATGTAAGAGTCATCATAGTATCCATAAAGCTCTCTTTTACGAAACATGTACTGACTACTCCCCTTTTTTTCAGTACATATCATTCCCATCAATAAAAATTAAAGTTACAAATGAAGATAGTTATTCCATCATCTCACAAGCCACAGTCATAGGTGTTTGAAATTCCCTGAGCTTTGCCTGACAAATGTAAAATTTCCCTGACCGACTAAATAGGCCATTTTTGACATATTAAAATTCCAGCATGCTTCTGAGGCTAAGGGTAATAAAACAAAAAAAATTAATCATTCATCCCTCAAACTCAATGTGACTTCTTTTGTTTTATTTCCCCAAGCTTTGGTATCTCTAAGTTGAATTTTTAATATATCAAAAATGGCATATTGACAATTTCACAAACAAATCATGATCATATCTTCCAACCACACCCTCAAAGCTATCTTCTCCATCCATAAAATAATGCCTTCAGCAAGCCAAATATAGTTTACATCAATTGATACATCCTTAAGGAGACGTGGAAAATTGATCAATTTTTCTGGAAACTTGAAATCAGCTTGTTGATCAATTTAATCAAACAATATTAGATCACTCCAACCCCTTTCATTTCTCTGAAATGTACCAAAGAATTAGAATATTAGAAAATGAAAATTGGTGAAAAAGAAATCCATGATTTCATTCACAAACCATCTTGAACTTGCATTACAGAGGAAAAGGATATCACTACATGTAAGTGGATCAAGAGTCTGTGAACTGCATAAAACAATGTGCCTGAGAAACATTTACATGACAAAGAAAAACGCCCTGCCATGTTAAATCATGCAGACGGCCATGACAAGATAAAAAACATGATATTGTCCTTCAAATTTCACTTCTCCCCAATTTCTTCCAGAGCTGTAAATTTTCCCTGAATCAAACTGAAATTCCCTGACTTTTCCCTAACCTTAAAGAAATTTATTTTATTCTGTGACTTTTTCCTGAACTGTGGCAACCATGTCTCAGTACCAAAACCTTGGCTAGGAAGCTTGATTTCACCATGGTGGTAACTTAAGAGAAAAATTACCTTAACAGACCAAAACAAGGGCAAACATTTTATTGTAACAGTTACAGTTACTGTACACACTACTTCTCAAGGTAACACACTGTAATTATTTTTCACAGGTTAGACCTCTCTTAGTGAGAAAAAATAATGAGTCACATGATCGTGTTGTGATAAACATCAACAGTTTAAGTTGTAATAACAGCTCTGTGCAAAGTGCTAAGGGCTGTTTCTTAGCTCACTAAGTCAGCCTCATCTTGGTTAAAACTTTCCAGGTCTGCACACATCTCTGATCCCTCTATACATTAGATCAGAAACACAGCTACCAACAGCAGATGTTGTGGAGCAACTTGGGTTTACTAGTATAAAAATTAAGTTCCAGAAGTTGATGGAGGCAAAATGAAAAATTGATCTAAGCTTCTCTTTTCAAGTCAGCTGTTCTCAAGGGGTGTTGAAATCCAAGTTGGTTCGTACCACAGGCGACATACTTGTTTCATGGTCGACACTTATATTTCCAAGTGATAATTCTTGGGTGAAGGCATCTGCACTCTCTCTGGCACCATCTCCACTGGACCGGCTGTTGGAAATTTGGCGAAGCAGTCCTTTGCCCTCTTCTCTACCCTAAGGAAACGAGAAAAGTTCATATACTGAAGGAGATGAGAAATAAAATGGAATGGGCAATTGAAGGAAATTGATAAAAGAAGGCAGGGGGGAGAAACACTTAAAAAAAGGAACACAGATAGGAAATAATAGGGGGGTTGGAGAAAGAAGGTAAATGAAAGAAGGGAAAGGAGGAAAGAAATGGCAAAAGAAAGCAATGAAGGGATAGATAAAAAGGAGGGATGGAGGAGGGCGGAAAGAAGGGAGGGATAGGGTGGACAGGAGGGAGGAGGGTGGTTAGGAAGTAGGAAGCAGGATGGAAAGGAGGGGGAGCAGGGTGGAAAGGAAGGGTGAAGAGCAGGGTGGGAAGAAAGGATGGAGGAGGGTAGCTAAGAGGGAGAAGCAGGGTGGAAAGAAAGGATGGAGGGTACTTGGGAGGGAGAAGCAGGATGGAAAGGAAGGATGGAGGAAGGTGGTTTGCTGGTAGGAAACAGGGTGGAAAGGAGGGAGGGAGAAGCAGGGTGAAAAGGAAGGATGGAGGAGGGTAGTTAGGATGGAGAGCAGGGTGAAAAGGAAGGATGAAGGAGGCTGGTTAGGAGGGAGAAGCAGGATGGAAAGGAAGGATGGAGAAGGGTGGTTAGGAGGTAGGAGGCAGGGTGGAAAAGAGGGGGAAGGAGGGTGGTTAGGGGGTAGGAAGCAGGGTGGAAAGGAGGGAGGGAAAGTAGGGTGGAAAGGAGGGAGGGAGAGTAGGGTGGAAAGGAAGGAGGTAGAGCAGGATGGCAAAGAAGGATGGAGAAGAATGGTTAGGTGGGTAGAACAGAGTGGAAAGGAAAAAAGAGGAGGCTGGTTAGGAGTAGAAAGCATGGTGGAAAAGAAGGGATAAAGGAGGGTGGAAAGAAGAGAGGGGTAGGGTGGTAAGGAGGGGGGTGCAGGGTGAAAAGGAGGGGAGAGCAGCATGGACAAGAAGGATGGAGAAGAGCAGTTTGGAGGGGAAAAGCAGGGTGGAAAGGAAGGATGGAGGAGGGTGGTTAGGAAGGAGAAGCAGGGTGTAATAGGAAGCAGGGTGGAGAGGGAGGGAGAGCAGGGTGCAAAGGAAGGATGGAGAACAGGTTGGAAAGGAAGGATGAAGGAGGGTGGTTAGGAGGGAGAAGGAAGGAAAGCAAGGATTGAGGAGGGCAGTTAGGAGGGAGAAGCAGGGTGTAAAGGAGGGATGGAAGAGAGGGTACTTAGGAGGAAGGAAGCAGGGTGGAAAGGAGGGAGAGAGAGCAGGGTGAAAAGGAGGGGAAAGCAAGGTGGAAAGGAAGGACATAGAGCAGGGTGCAAAAGAAGGATGGAGAGGGGTGGTTAGGAGGGAGGAGCAGGGTGAAAGGAAAGAATTGAGGAGTGTAGTTAGGAGGTAGAAAGCATGGTGGAAAGGGGGAGGGAAAGCAGGGTGGAAAGGAGGGGGAGCAAGGTGGAAAGGAGGGATGAAGGGCATGGTGGAAAGGAAGGATGGAGGAGGGTAGTTAGGAAGAAGGAGCAGGGTGGAAAGGAAGAATGGAGGAAGGTGGCTAAGAGGTAGCAAGCAGGGTGGAAAGGAGGGAGGGAGCGGGGTGGAAAGGAAGGGGAGCAGGGTGGAAAGGAAGGGGAGCAAGGTAAAAAGGAGGAAGCAGGGTGGAAAGCAGAAAGGATAAAAGCAGAAAGGAGGGAGGGAGCAGGGTGTAAGGAAGGTTGGAGAGTAGGATGGAAAGGAAGAATGGAGTAGGGTGGTTAAGAGGTAGAAAGCAGGGTGGAAAGGAGGTAGGAAATAGGGTGGAAAGGAAGGGAAAGCAGAATGGAATGAGGAAGCAGGATGGAAAAGGAGGGAGGAAGCAGAGTGCAAAGAGGAGAGGGAGGGTGCTGGGTAGAGAGGAGGGAGGGAGCAGGGTAGAAAGGGGGGAACAGGGTGGTTTGGAGGTAGGAAGCAGTGTGGAAAGGAGGGAGCAGGGTAGAAAGGAGAAAGGGAGCAAGGTGGAAAGAAAGATCTGGAGATCTGGGTGGAAAGGAAGGATGGAGGAGGGTGGTTAGCTAGTAGGAAGCAGGGTGGAAAGGAAGGATGGAGGAGGGTGGTTAGGAGAGAGAAGCAGGGTGGAAAGGAAGGATGGAGGAGGGTGGTTAGCTAGTAGGAAGCAGGGTGGAAAGGAGGGAGGGAACAGATTAAAAAGGAGGAGGGGAGCAGGCTGGAAGGGAGGGAATAGGGTGGAAAGGAGGAAGGAGCAAGGAAGGAGAACAGAAAGGAGGAAGAAAGCAGGGAATAAAAGGGAGGTCTAGGGGAGGAGGAGGAATGTGAAGGAGTGAGTGTGAGAAGAAAGGAGAAAGGAAAGGATTGAGAAAGGTAGGAAGGAGGAGAGGAAGGAATGAACGGACAAAAGACAAAATGACAGTTAAACAAATGGATTGTTTGATGGGGAAAGGAGAACTAAAACAAACTAATTTACCTCATTAAATTCACAACACTTGTGTGCATACATCTCTGCAGCTTCTAGATTTCTATTCTTCAGATTGTATCTTGCCAAAAACACATATGCAGAACACAAATCAGCCACAGACATTACCTGTGAAAAAAAAAAATATATATATATATATATACATCAACAACATTCATTTTTATAAATCTAATAAATCATTGGCTGGTTTCATGGTCTAATATACACTTACTCCAACAACTTCTGTCTGTTCTACATAACGGTTGTATTGAGTGGCAGCGTCATTATCCTCATTAAGATGTTCATGTAATCTAACAAAAACAGAAAATCATTTCAGAAAACATGGTAAGCTACAAGTTAAGTCAACATATTAGTATTCATTACACATAAAAGCAATTTGTAAATTATAATACCTTGCTAGCTTTATCACAGCCATCCCTTCAAGATCCCCAACTGACATCGCCCTAAAATAACACTGAAAAAAATTTTTTTTCGATCATCCAGCCAACTTTGATGGACTGCTAAATGTCATTTTACACAATTGGAGACAAAAGACAAAAGTTGTAAGAACTACAGAAAACAAAAACTCACTTTTTTAGCTTGCTGCATACTGTTTAACTTTTCATAGCTTTCACCCAAAGCAACTAACATCCTTGAGTCATTTGGTCTGCAAAACAATGCATCAGAAAGTTTTATTGGCCGCACTTTTTCCCATACAAACTTTAATCTTCACAGTCAAAATCAGCTGGTAAGAGATCATGGTAAATACCTGAATTTGTGAGCCTGTCTATAGTAATACAAGCAATAGAATGGCATTTTCAGAATTTCATATGTTTGTCCTAATCCATACCATGCTCTGTAGTCTCGATAATTGACTTCTAGAAAGCAATAATGAATTCTAGTTCAGTATAATGATTGAGATTAGCTTCACAAGGTTTAAATTACTTGCCCCCTGAGCCTCTGGTGGTTTTTGCTTTTTCTTGTATGAAGTGCTTGTCTACACATCTATTCTGTCCTAGACTCAAGTGACCTGTCTAGCCTGAGCTTATTCCAACTTCCATAGCATGAGGTGACTGGGAGTATCACTGCTACCCCCTACATGAGATACCAGTCCAGTCCCCCACCCTGCAACTCATCAGGCTTCCCAGACAATTTTTTTGGTACCCATTCCTAATCCTACCTTGTATGTGGAGAGAGGAACTGCAAAAGTCAAGTGTCTTGCCCAAGAAAACAACACTATAACCCAGCCAGGTCTCAAGCCAAACCACCAACCCCAGTCCAGCACATAAAGATGTTCTTGTCCACACACCAGCAGTTTAAAACCATTTTTACATGACTTTCATTTTAACCTACAACATAGCCACCTTGAACAATAAGTGTTTTCAGGATTATACCACTTCTTGCATGTGAAAGTGCCCAAAAAAATTCATTATAATAATATTGCAACTAGCAAAAAAGACCTCATCTTTACACAACAGTTTACCGATGGCTTTCCTGTAGGCTTCTATAGCAGCTGAAGTATTCTTCCTCTCCATAAACTCATGCCCCATAAGAGTCCAAGCAGATGTGTACTGTGGGTTTAGTTTCAGAGCACGTTGAAAGTATGTCACTGCCTTTTCATGCTGGTCATGGAGGCTGTAATAATTTCCTAAAAGATCATTCCAAGCAATTTCTGTAATTTATACATGTGGAATCAGATTCAAAAACCATTTATTCGATAAATTCAGTTTAAAAAAAAAGTTGGTTTAACAACAACTTTTGTGAGCCACAGAGAACTTTTAGTCAAGAGCAATACTAACCTATGACACAGCATGTTTCCTCTCTGTACCTATCAATACTATTTGTGTGGTGTGCTAAGTAACTTAGTTCTGGTTTCATTTCCTGCAAGATTTAAATCAATGTTCCTCTATTTAATAGCCAGTTCAATAAAGTTATATCAGTGTTACTTTGTTCACTTAGTTAAGAGAAGAAGGATGGCAGATGGTTCTTCTTGTTTCAATCTGCCTATCAACGCTAAAAAAAATATCAAACTGCCCTAAAACATTTTAACACTTACCTTTACATAAAGAATATTGGAGTAAGTGTCCATGTGCTCTAGGGAACATGGATCTTGTTCTCTGACTTGTTTGAACAGTTTACATGCAGCATCAAAATCTGCAACCAACAGATAAACCATAGCCAATACATAATGTGTAAAATTTAGTTCAATATCATTAGCTCTCTGACTTCACAGATGGCATGTGCATTCTCCCTTGACAGCCCTTATCTCAGCTACAACCTTCTGTAGTTCTGTAACTTTGGAAACTCAACCAGATGCATTATAAGATGTTATAATTATATCTTCAATCAAGATTATATAAATCCTGGTCAATTAAACCATTGCATTACAATACAGTGGAAAGCCAGAAGCCCTTTTTTGCCCTGTATTTCAGGGGATCATTTTTTATTTTAGCCTACCAAATACTAAATTTGTAGAAATTTGAGCCTGAAATCCTGAAAATCAAATATGCGAGCAAAAGTAAAAGGAATAAAAAATAATTGCTCAAAGACTCCTAAACTTTAGCAAAAGAATCTGTGGCATCACTGCTCTTCAATTTCAATTAAGTATGACCATAGAGGTAGGTGGAACAACAAGAGATTATGAGAGATTGACCACACTCAGATAATCTTGACAGACTTGTACCTCTGGCATGGTACTGTGCTAGAGCTGTTTGCAGTAAGACATATTTGTTGTCAGCAAATCCAGCTTGGCTCAGTTTTGTATATCTCTCCAGTCCTTCCTCATTCAACTGAAGATCAATTGCGACATGAGCTTGGAAAAACTGAGCCATCCAGTGGGAAGGAAGGGTCAATGACTGTAGCTAAACATAAAGAACACAGCATAATTTAACTGAGCCATCCAATGGGAGGGGAGGGTCACTGATAGAGTCTAACAAAGAACACAACGTAACTTTAACTGAGCCACCAAATGGGAGGGGAGGGTCACCGACAGATTCTAACAAAGAAATCACATCAGGACTAAGTGAGCCATCCGATGGGAGGGGAGGGTCACTGACAGAGTCTAACAAAGAAATCACATCAGGACTATTTGAGCCATCAAATGGGAGGGGAGGGTCACTGACAGAGTCTAACAAAGAAATCACATCAGGACTAAGTAAGCCATCAAATGGGAGGGGAGGGTCACTGATAGAGTCTAACAAAGAAAACACATCAGGGCCCAGTTGTTTGAAGGCCGATTAGTGCTAACCCAGGGTTAGATTTTAATCTGGGTTTCTTTATTCCTTTACTCTAAAGCCTTTTTGGGAAAATTTTCAGTGTCCTTTTTAAAGCATCAAATATTCATACTCTAGACAAAAAGAATTCGACTGAATTTTCTTTTAAAGCTTTTAGATCTGAAATCGGATTTCACACTAACCCTGGGTTATCTTAACCCAGCTTTGAACAACCCAGCCCAGGACTCAGTGAGCCATCAAATGGGAGGGGAGGGTCACTGACAGAGTCTAACAAAGAAAACACAAGAGGACTAAGTGAGCCATCAAATGGGAGGGGAGGGTCACTAACAGAGTCTAACAAAGAAAACACATCAGGACTCAGTAAGCCATCAAATGGGACTTTTACTTTTCTTGTATGTGTATGCAGATTACAAACCTTCTTGGTATTGTTTTTGAGTTTAAATTGTCTTTTTTTTTTATCATATTGTCAAGGTCAGAAAATGAATAAACAGAACAGCAATTATGCCTGCTTTTCATGAAAGAGGTCTGTGTCTAAAAACTAATGTTCCAGGTTTGATGATAGGAAACTCCTTTTCTCTACTTGAATCTGAAAATAAAACATTATACATGACACCAACTGACTCAGATGACAGCATCTACAAAGGGGTGTCACAATATCAGTCACTACTGCCGACAACAGTCCTTCTCAAGAACACTCCCACCTACAGGATTGCAGGATCAAATATCATTCACTCCTGCATTCAAACCATTTATGGCAAGTGCTAATTCAGTGATGCTTTCATGAAAGAATGGCACAGCCTCTGTCTCCAATATTTAATCAAGAGCAGCATGGAATCATTCAAGTAAATACATAAGTAATAAACAACTCATACCATTTCCTTGTCCGTACAGAGAGATGACAGCTCCAGCCAACTGCCCCAATGTAGAGGCTCCTTCTTCACAGCTTCTAGCATCACCTCAAGTGCTTCTTCTCTTAGATCAAGTTTTTTAAGTATAACACCCAATCTATTATTTAAAATCAAATGGAAAATTAAAAAAAAAACTAATTTGCTTGACAATCACAGAGCAAAAACTGTGCTATGGAGTTAATAATTTACAAAACATCAATATACCTCCTATTTAATGACCTTCCAGGTATTTTGCATGAATGGATATTGCTTAGGGTTAGGGTATATGTTACCAGTAATCACTTCTGGGGTTAAAGAGTGTGGTAACTAAATGCAAACTTATTTTAACAGGATGGAAAAGACACAACATAGCAAACCCAACTCAGAGAATCAACTCTTACAAGAAGAGACAGAATCCATCCAGTTTTTCACGTCTTGCACAGAGTCCAGATCTCAGCCAAGTCAGATGCTCATTTTTCACATTTTCTTGAGGACCTTTCAAGAGTCAATGACACTTACGATGAATTTTAAATCCATGAAGTTCTAAACAGCAATCATTAAGTGTTCTATTGGTTACATAACCTGTTAATTCCCAAGATTAGATTGTTAATTCTCTCCTCTGGTCACTGCAAACTTCCTTTTATTTTAGCACCAAGAATTTAGTGTAAGATTGAAACAGTAACTTCTACCTGACAAGTTTGAGTATTCTCTTTACCCGTTTGGTGGATAATGCATGGAGGTTATGCAGAGAAGTTAAATGTTTATCATTTCTGGGAGTTTAACGGTCAAGTCAGGAATGAAGCCAAGTGGCTCATTTGGTCGAAACTTATTGCAGTCTCCATAGCATAAAATTGTTATGAGCATCACTCCTTTCCCAGGATGACATGCTAGTCTATCATAGGTTGCCCCCTACCAGTATTGAATCAAGTTTTTCGCAACAGTTCAGCAGTAACCATTGATACTCTTGGGTAGAGAGAGGTTATGTGTCTTGTCCAAGAACTGAACACAATCCCACTAATTGACAGGCCACCGCATCACCCCAATAATTAACAGTTATTTACCACACCAACAGCCCAAATTTCTGACAGAGAATATTGTTCATGTTATATAATATGTAGTAGCATAAGAGTATTATTAGATTGTTCATGACATGACATTACCTAAAACATCCATCATTTTATCATTCTTGTGCTTCTCGCCATCCTAATAATAGTGTAATAAATAAAAGTAATTTACATGGAATGCAATGTAGTACACCAATTCAGATGAAAAATAAAACAGTTGAAATCTATATTGGTGTTTAATGTACTGGCAATCTATAGAGTGTTTGTAAAGTCATTTCTACCCTTTGAAAGGTAAATATTGATTTTCAACCCAACCTAAAATACATTGCATGAAATTTCACTCTGATAATTTAGCTGTGAACTTTTCCTGAGCACTTATGAAAGGTTGTAGATTTAAAAATTTTGCCAGCTTCTACAGTGAAAAAATGCACACCCACCTCACTTAAGAGGGGGAGGGGGGGGAGGGAGAGGAGGGGAGGGGAGGTAAAAAAATGAAAATATCACATTCCAAGTGAGATTTAACCCTTTACAACCTAAGGTCAGTATGCATATTCTCCATACTGTTCTCAGTACATTTTCTAAGGTGCTGACAAGGAGAATCAAGAGCTTCCTTAGCTGGTGATCATTTCCTCTACTCTTGTAACTTTTATGTGTGATTCAAGGATGATATTGTAAGGAGAAATTGGATGCTAGTCACTCTTAGGGGTTAAAGGGTTAATAAAGCCCGAGGTTTACAACATTAAACATGTAGCCTACCACCAAGATATTGCTTCTTACCAAATAATGTGAATACATAAGTAAGAAGTATCCTTTGTGACTTGTACAATCCTCCAAGAAGAAAGCTGCTCTCTTAAACTCTTTCAGGTCAAAATATGCCTTCCCCAAGGTATATTTATCAAAATCTTTCAAAAATTCGGGATCCCGATAATCAGTCACAGGAAGATGTTCAGGTGTTGCAAAGGATGGAATGGAAAATGCCAACTCAGCTGCCCTACGTGCAGAAGAGAAAATTTATATGAGCTGACTGATATACAAATATTTCATAGTTTTTTTTAATGATTTTTTGACACGCACCTTCATTAGATTTTGTAGCTTACCGATCGATATAAATAGGGATACACGTTCCACTACTCATCTGCAGCCTCACAGCTAAGGTTAGCAGAATTGTGTCAAGTTTAACAAAGAATGTTAAAGTGTTCTTCACATAAGAAATAAGAAAAGTAATCAACAGGTCTATCGGTGGAGACGCAAAAACGCAACAAAGCAGAACTGCAGGAAAAAAAATATACGAATGCAATGGAGCAAATAAAATAACTCTGCCCTTGATCATTAGTTGCAGAACGTCGAAGGTTTTCGTCTTTTGTGCAGCCAAAATGTTTCATCTTCGTAAATTCAGTAAAGCATAAAATCTCTTTAATTATCTGGCTCTTACCACTTAGCACTGTGAAGCAAGCCTCTCTCTGAGCATTCTTTAAAAGCGTAAAGAAGATCCCTCTTGATTTCCGGCAAAGAAACATTCGACACAGCCGCCATCTTTCAAAAGCCCGCGCACAACGACGGAGGGGGAATGGTTCGAGGGTTACCAGTGTTTTCTCGGCTTCTGGGGATGATTTCTCGAAGGCATTCTATCGAGATTAACGACGTTGCAGTGAGTTGTCAGCTTGTCTTAGGTTCTCAAAGAGGTTAAGCGTTAGTTGTAAAACGGCCAACAAATTTGACTGTTAGGTGTAAAAGTTGAAAAATTTTAGCCGTAGTCGTAAAAAGAGTTAACCATAAAATGTTTTTCTTCTGATAACAAAGGAAGGAAGTTAACCGTTAGCCGTAAAATAGCAAAAATTTTAACTGTTAGCGGTAAAAGCCATCACCCCATTGAGACCCTCCTATCTCAGTGACAATGAGACACACATTTTTCTTGGCTTTCCTTGCAATACCAGCAACAATATATATATGTGGAAAATATCCCAAATTGCGATATGGCAGGAGCCCATTACTTCAAGTAAAAAACTTCCTACCGAGTGAAATCTTGTAGCCTCAATCGATGCAGGTTTTACTGCTAAAAAGTGGAGGGTGATATATTCCACACTTTCCTAGTTTCTATTCTGTTATCAAACAGAACTCATACCTTGGAATTACGCCTTTCAGAGGGTGACGTCGCTGAAATATACACAAGACAATTAAGCAACAAAAGTGCAATCACTGAGGTGCTCAGAAATTGCATTGCAGTGGACCCGGCGCAAACTGAGGCTCAATGTGTTCTTATGGCAGTAACTTTCCCTCCTTCAGTGGGACGACTTCGACAGTGTCGTTTCGGAAACCTTCCTTTGCACTAGGCACGATGAGACACGACAGGTCAATATCTGTATCTTTAAAAATATTTATTTTAAGCAGTCAACCCAAGATTATGATAATCCTTTATAATGATCGAAACTAGTATCAAGTCTTCTTACTAGCTTTTATTACTAAGACAGCACAGTTTGGTTAGCTTTCGCTACATAGCATTTTTTAACATCCCAACACCTTACAGAAACTAAACAATGCTTTTTCTTTGTATTCAACTACAGTTTGTTTCTATCGCACCATCACCCAAATTGGTTTGTTCAGATAACAGTAGCCCGCGATACACTTGGTACCACGCGCGCGGCGGTCGTCGGAAGTGACGTAGTTGTTTGAGACTTCGGCACTATGCCACATGTCAATCCACTTGTCTGTGCCTTAATGAGCTTCAGATATTCCATGTTTTGAATAGAAGTGCAGCCTGGATATTGTGACAAAACCAGAAGAGGGATATCTCTTATTGTAATCTGCCGGGCTGTACTTGTAAAACCCGTGGACGTTCCTTATCTCGTTGAAAGTTGTCCCCATCAAGAACTTGTCGAAGTCTGTTTTGTCCTTATTTGGAGCGCCCGCCTTCCTGTTGTAAATAACCCGGATGGTACTGACGTCATTGAACCGGAACATGACTTCATTCCAGTCCCCTGCGTCAGGATGAATGTGACTCGCTGCATCTGCGTCTGTGGTTTTTGCTGCTGATGCTGAAAATGCTGTTTTGATAAAGTGGAAGTTTGGGGACACCTTTGTTGCAACTAGTGTCCAACCTCCGCTCTCAGTCTCCATGTCACAAAAAGCCTGGAACGAGACACCCGTTGAGCCTCCATTTGGATCGATCCAATAAAGTCCGCTACCACGACTGCCACCTTAAACAGACCATTAAGATCATTTGAGATCACCTGATCATTTGAGGTGACCCGATATTTTTTTAAACTCAATTATTTTCCAAACCGTTTAGAATCAGTCCCACCGGATTTTTGGATATCCATACAGTGACGGCCAGGTCTACTGACCACGTGACCTTTCCTTTCAGTAACTAATGGCAACCAAGCATTGCCATCGCAGAGTTGCAAGGCTTTTTGGGAGACATTGTAGCGAACCGTGCCAGCAGTTCGCAGAGTATATTTCTCAGCGGTGTCACGGAACTTGACGGCACCTTGAGGTGATTTACCAGCCGGACCGGTTTCGCCTTTTTGACCCTGACAAATAAAAATTAAAAGTGTTTATTTCATGATTAAATAAAGAAAACGAAATACATCGTAGAAATAGAGTTAGAAGATATTTGAGAAATGGCCACAAAACTCTTTGGTAGTGGTGCGACAGTAGGTACAGAATTTTAATTGCAACTAAGTCATGACAAGGCTTTTAAATGGTCACGGCTCACCAACCCTTACAGCTTAACCTTCAACCAGAGGATTACTTTTTTTTCTTTTTTTTTCTTTTTTCTGGAAGGCCTAATGACTTTCCTTAACTTATGGACAGCTTTTCTTTTGCTGTTTTGTTGTTTGGCAGGTAAGTTAACTTAGATTTTCCTGAAAAACCTCATGAAGTCGAACTAAGGTTTCTTAAGAAAAAGCATCGACTTACCTTTGTTCCATTTATTCCATCTTTCCCATGAAAGCCCTGCTCCCCTTTGACTCCCTAAGTATTGAAAAAGAAATATTATATCACAATCATACTTCTTGTTGCTTCTACGAATAAGTTTTTTTATTTTGCCCTTTTTGTGGTTTTGAAGTCAAATTAGTAGGAAATTTAAACACAAACCTTTAAGCCGTTCATTCCGTCGTTTCCCTTCGGTCCTCGTTCTCCTTCATCTCCCTGAAAAGAAGAAACTTTTCGCTAAAACTTGCGACTGAAATGATAATTACTGATCAATGATACAAAAAAATTGTGAGCTTTGGTGATAAAAATCAAGTGAGTCACGCACCTTGACAGCATTTTTTCCTCCACTTTCTTTATAGAGACCTTGTTCGCCTTTCTCACCCTGAAATATGATTAACAAAAGTATCTTTTCAATACTCTACATGTACTAGGTGCCGCTTGAATTTGAGGTTTTAGACACTTTCCTTTACTGTCGCTTTTGATCTATAGAAAAGAATTCAACACGAGGACAGAGAATCGTCAAAATATTCAGGATTTGTATTTGTAATACTCAGCAATCTTTGTAACTCGCGATGAGTCTGTGTTCCAGTCTGTACAATTAAAATTTAGCTCATCGGTAAATTTGCCCAAAACATGCATGTGATTCAACTCGAACGCGGTTATATACTTCAGAATTCTGCAAACAATATTCCTTTAGTCAGAAAGCGGTTTGTTATTTGAAAGAACATTCTCTTCGTTTTTCTTTCCTTTTTTTCCGTTTTCGCTTGTGGCGTTTTCTCTTCATTTCTTTGTTCACATCTTTACACCAACCTTTGTTCCCATTTTCCCGTCGCGTCCATAGCGGCCATCTTTTCCTTCAATCAAAGACAAGAAAATTTTTGCTAAATATTTGCTGGTATTTTATTTTCGAGAGACATTTTAACATTCCAACTATCCTTTTGGAAATATCTAGTCGTTTACAAGCGGACTCTGTTCTTAACAATGCATTGCTGGCAGAACTTTCTTACCCTGTTATGGCTGTTAAATTGATTGATTCTGATTCAGTGTTAATTACAAAGAACCTTTTAATTGCAACTTAGCTACTCCATACCGTTTTGACCATCTCTGCCGTCTCTACCTGAAAAAAAACAAGAGTGAAAAAGGGTCGTTTATGTAAAATAAAAAAATGAAATATCAAGAAATAGCAAATTCCACTCGGGCGCAATATGAAACTCAGCAAGTTTTAATACGTTCATACTGTCGCGGCCGGAACAACTGTCCTTAGAAACAGACTTTCCACACTGACTTTGCTGTATTCCATTCTTCGAATCCTAAAAAGGGAGGTTCTCGATCAACGTGGTACGATTCTAAACGGTGTAGAGCACGAGTTTAAGTAATAAACTTGCCGAGTTCAGCATAAATATTTAAGAACATTTATTCGTTTACAAAGAGACGATATACCTTGGTATTTACTGACAAAAATGCCTGCTTACCGATTGCTTCTTCGAGACTACAAAGGTACCCAGAATAAAAACGAAGCTAAGGGCTAGAAATAATCGGAACATCTTAGCTTCCTCTTCTTTTCCTGAAAGTTTCTTTAGAATAAATGCAGAGTTTCAAGACACGAGCATTTTGAATGCAAATTTAGTTGAATATTTACATTTCATCAGTACGAGGAAAAACGGCATGAGAGCTGTTCAGACAATTTGTTATGATCGTTTTTTGGTTTTTTTGTTTTAAAGGTCTGCTTTTTCGCTTGTCATACACCAAACCTCTGCTTTTGAATGGCGCATTTGACTGGCGATACCTCTCAAAGCCAATTTGGTTCAGTATATTTCCACAACAAATCCGATGAGAAAAAAAGCCAAACCAACAAAAACACACGATATACAATACTGTTTGTATAAATATTTACAAAGCTTATGTCCCCGGTGCTACCGAAGGAATACAGTGACTGATGCAGTGACTGACTGACAGTTTTTAATGAGCATAGCGTAACGCACAGGTCACACTGGTTCATTTAGAATCAATTTGCCGGCATCCAGGCGGTGTGCGCACTCCTAGTGCGTAGGATTGTGGTAGCCTCATTTTCAATATGGCGGTGAAAGCAGCCATATTCGGCAGATTTTGACTGAACATTCCGTAACAGTTAGGCCGTTCCTTTTTCCTTTCACCATAGGCAAATGTAATCTGATTTATTCTGAATGTGTAAAAGTATTTTTTGTACGTATTTGTCGCGCATTCTATGGTTCTCAAGGAGAAACGCAATCCCTGTTTTTTAGTATGTAATTTGAGATCGGTTTTAGAGAAGGTAAAATTTGATGTACGTCGTAGTTTGGAGCCTTTCAAAGATTTGGATGGCCGCTTTGATCCTTCTTTAACAGCTCTTACCAAATGCTCTAAGTAAAAGGAAATTCACCAATGGCGAGTGTTGTATGGTAAATCTACTATGTCGATCATTGAATGAAGGACAGCATAGTCAGAGCAATGAAAGGAGTCACTTGACCAATGAATGACTCCACAATGCACGCGGCGACACACTGGGTAGGCCGGAAAGCAAAAGGCAGTCGATCGTTGAAAGGTGTTGATAGGCTTGTGCGACTCCTGCCATTCGCTTGCGCTTTTAAATCTTCTGACCTGAAAGCTTAGCTGTTATGAGGATATCTCTCAATAGCTTTCGTTTGCGATGTGATCAATATATAAGGGTTAGTTTTGTAAGGTGTCATTTCCCCATCTGTACGTTCTTGAGGTTTGGCAAAGCCGGATGAGATTGTGCTGCAAAAATGTGCCCGCTATTTTTTTGTTGTTGTTTTCTTCAAGTATGCTGTCTCTCCCACAGAAAATAACTACAGAGAAGCTTTTCTTAAAAACCCTTTTTTAGGAGTTCTCTATTCTTTAAGCATATTTGAAACTCTGTACGTTTTTTAATTAAACGTTGGGCGCGACGAATTTGGTCTAAGGAGGTGTAAGACTTCTTTCGCGAATCCCGTGTTTACGCCTTCAAGTGTAAGACATGAACAATAGTTCGTGTGTTAGAGGGTCGTTGTCTCTTTTTAATGTGTTTGCATGTCAAGGGTCGATTCTCCGTTTAGATATTATTTACACAGCCATCGGCTGTGAGCGTAACTGCTGCCAAATGAATAGATTCTTGGGCAAGGCTGCAGTTTCGATTCTTTTTGAACCTCCTCAGTTGCCTCCGAACAACGAATTTGTCACGGAGGAATAACAGGAGTCGCACAGGCCCGCAAACACTTTTTAACTTTCGAAGGAACGGCAACAGACAATGAATTCCCGTTACATTCCACGTTTATTCACGGCTGTCTCGCTGCCACCAGATCAACACCAGAGATATTTAGTCGATCGCGACAGGATGCAAATGACTCGCTTTTCGTTTTACGACCATGATGCAAGGCAATCAGAATGCGCGCACCGCGTGGCGACTAATGTATATAACAAATTTTTGTAACGTTTTGTTTCCTTCGTTTGCACGTGTTTACGGTGAGTGGTTTTGTTTGTTTCAGTAATTCTGCCTATGTGTGCGCTCAGTCGGGAGTCTCTTTTCCAGGTTACGGATTCGTACAAGTAATGCATTTAGAGAATTTTAAAACTTTTTTTTTCCTATGTTCGCTCGGGCGTTGTTCTCCTTATCTGACTTGGGAATACAAGGGACCCAACATCAGAATCGAGGTCAGGCTAAAGGCAAAGAACGTTTTTGCACTCTAGCTTTAACCACACCTGTTATAATATTTCCGGTTCATGCTAAGAGTGTAAATGATTATTGCAACTGAGATTTTTAAGAAGTCCAGTTTCAGTGGACTAGGACTAAAGGTTTCGCTTTCCTTTTAATCTCTACAGTTTCATTGAATGATTATAGACATCTAAAACATCCACTGATTCTCGCCTATGACAGAACAACAAAGAGGACTTTGCAGAGGCTTGACAGCCCAGCATGGCCTGTAAGTGGTAAACTTATTGCCATGTGACTTGTTGAGGCCTGATGTAGTAGAACGTGTGCGCAAAATTGAAAGTTGACGCAAGTGGCAAAGTTCCATGAGGGAGTCACATCCAAAGTATCTCTTTCGGTTTCCGAAATTTTCACGATAGATATCAAACTAGCTCTTCTTCAACGATAGATTAATGCTGGGAAAATCTGCACAAATGGCTTGGAAACGTCACCCTCGGTTTAAAAACCTTTGCATATTGAGAAGACACTTGCTTACGGAAACGTAGGCTTCAATCCGCTGAGTTCCCCTCATACGAAACAGAGCCGCATTTCGCGGCCTCTTGCCATGAGTGTTAAGGAAAGCGGGTTTTCTGCACAGGGCACCTAAAACTTATGACTCGAGGACACGAATGCATCATTTTTCATGTCAGTGCTTTCATGTACTCTTAAGTTTAAAGAAAGCGACAAAACTTTTGAGTCTGTAAAACATGTTTCGACAGAAACTTCTGTCATCTTCAGTTAATTACAAAGCGTTGAAAGTTGAATTCTATAGTAAGTAGAACAATGCTGATTAAGATGAATAGTGACAACAAGAAGAGAGGTAAAGCATGAAAGTGTGAGAATTAAAAGGATAGTTTTAGATTTACATGGTGTAATTGCTGATTCAAAGATGGTTGTTCTCTTTGAATATGTATAGCCTCTTTTATCTTAGGTTGAGAGCCGGTAGAGGCGTGATCTAAAACATGGAAGTTATCTGCTGAACACAAAGCGTGACAGTGTGGAGAGTCTTTCCGATGCCTAAAAATGTGAGAGGTACTGTCACTGTCATTGAAGTGCTCTCTAAGACGGGTGGAAAAATGCCGGCAGACTTCACCGACGTAACAGGCCTTGCAGCTAGCACATACAAACTTATAAACCACACGTGAACGGAGCCAGTCACGTCATGTCCTCGCTTTCATTCACATGTACAAAAGAAGCCTTTCTGAGGAGAAAAACCAAATTTTTTTGACAAAATTTCAAATTCATCTTAAAAGGAAACCGTAAACAATAAAAACTGTGTTTAAAATATTACAATAAAAGACAATTAACAACTCGTTAAAAAAAAGGGCCTCTTTCCAAAAAGTTGTCAGACACTGATTGGGCGATAAATCAAACACTATGCGTACCCCTTCATCTAAGTGGTGTTTTAGCTATAAAATCTATTCACGAATATGATTTTAAAGTGGCCGATCAGAAAACCTCTTATTTTTCCCGTCCCTTTCATTAACGTTTTCTCTATTTCGGCTTCAGGAAAGTGTGAAACTTTATTCTTGGACTCAGTTTTTAGAAGACTGAGACATGATATTTTGTAAACGCGTTATCAACTGATAACAGTTAAAGGAAAACAATTCCCATCTTGAAATGTATATAACAAAAAGAAAAAACCGAATGTGAATAAAAATGGACTAAAGTCGATCTTTGTTAGACACAAGGAAATGTTTCAACAGTATTTATTTTCCTTATCCAATTACCAAGCTTACATTGTCCAGTACCGTTTTCAAACTGTTTCATAACTCTTGTTACAACTACAACAAAGCTTTTCTGTCGTTACATCATTTTTTTGTCATCCCAACACCTTACAGAAACTTAACAGCGCCTTTTCAACTACAGTTTGTTTCTATCGCACCATCACCCAGATTGGTTTGTTCAGATAACAGTAACCCGCGATACACTTGGTACCACGCGCGCGGCGGTCGTCGGAAGTGACGTAGTTGTTTGAGCCCTCAGCAACTTTCCACATGTCAATCCACTTGTCTGTGCCTCCATGATATTCAGATATTCCGTCTTTTGAATAGAAGAACAGCCTAGATATTGTGGCAAAACCAGAAGAGGGATTCCTCTTATTGTGATCTGCCGGGCTGTACTTGTAAAACCCGTGGATGTTCCTGATCGTATTGTAAGTTTTCCCCATTAAGAACTTGTCGAAGTCTGTTTTGTCCTTGTTTGGAGCGCTCGCCTTCCTGTTGTAAATAACCCGGATGGTATTGACGTCATTGAACCGGAACATGACCTCCTCCCAGTCCCCCATGTTCGGGTGGATGTGACTCGCTGCATCGGCGTCTGTGGTTTTTGCCGCTGACAATGAGAATGCTGTTTTGATGATTAGGAAGCTTGGTGACACCTTTGTGGCTACTAGTGTCCAACCTCCACCCTCAGTCTCCATGTCGCAAAAAGCCTGGAACGAGTCACCCGTCGAGCCTCCGTTTGGATCGATCCAGTACAGTCCGCTATCACGACTGCCACCTTAAACAGAGCATTAAGATGATTTGGGTTTTTTTTAGCTCAAGCATTTTTCAAACCTTTAAAAAACAATAATCTCACCTGATTTTAGGATATCCATACAGTGAAGGCCAGGTCTATTGGCCACGTGACCTTTCCCTCCGATTACCAATGGCAACCAAGCACTTCCATCGCAGAGTTGTAAGGCTTTTTGGGAGACATTGTAACGAACCGTGCCAGAAGTTCGCAGAGTACATTTCTCAGCGGTGTCACCAAACTTGACGGCACCTTGAGGTGATTTACCCGCCGGACCGGTTTCGCCTTTTTGACCCTGAAAAAATAGAAATTAAAAGTGTCTCATGATTAAAAATTAAAAACAAAGTACATCTTACAAATCGATGCGGAAGATATTTGAGCAATGGCCAGAGAACTCTGTGGTAGAGTTGCGACAGTAGGTACAGAATTTTACTTTCACCTAAGTCGGTGATAATGCTTTCAAATGGCCACGGTTTACCAAGTGAGGTTTTTTTTTCTTTAATGCCTAATAACTTCCCTTAACAAGGGGACTGCTTTTTTTCCTTCTTTCTCCTTTTTTTTTCTTTTACTGTTTTGTTGTTTGGCAGATAAGTTAAGTTAGATTTTCATAAAAAACCTTAAAAACTCGAAGTGAGGTTTCTTAGGAAAAATCATCGACCGACCTTTGTTCCATTTATTCCATCTTTCCCAGGAAAGCCCTGCTCTCCTTTGACTCCCTAAGTATAATATTCAAAAAGAAATATTACATCACAATCATAATTGTTGTTGCTTCCATGAATAAGTTTTATTATTTGCCTTTTTTGTGGTTTTGAAGTTAAGTTGGTAAGAAATTTTAACACCAACCTTTAAACCGTTCATTCCATCGTTTCCCGTCGGTCCTCGTTCTCCTCTGTCTCCCTGAAAAGAAGAAACTTTTCGTTAAAGCTTGTGACTGAGATGATAATTACTAGTCAATAATACAAAAAGATTGCGAGCTTTGGTGATAAAAATCAAGTGAGGTCGCTTTTCTCACCCTGAAATAAAATTTTAAAAAAGTAGCTTTTGAATACCCTACATACAATAGGTGCCGCTTTAAGAAAGTTTGAAGTTTTAGACGCTTTCACTTACTGTCGTCTTTGATCTGAAGAAAATCATACGACATGAGGACAGAGAATCGTCAAAATATTCAGGATTTTTATTTGTAATACTCAGCAATCTTTGTAACTCGCGATGAGTCTGTGTTCCAGTCTGTACAATTAAAATTTAGCTCATCGGTAAATTTGCCCAAAATATACATATGATTCAACTCCAACGCGGTTATTTAATTCAGAATTCTTTAAACAATATTCCCTTAGTTTGAGAGCGGTTTGTGATTTGAAAGAACATCCTCTACATCTTTCTTTTCTTTTCTTCCGTTTTCGCTTGTGGCGTTTGTCCTTCAGTACTTTGTTCATTTCTTCACACCAACCTTTGTTCCTATCTTCCCGTCGCGTCCATCGCGGCCATCTTTTCCTTCAATCAAAGACAAATAAATATTTGCTGTGAGGGAATTTCATGAAGCAAAAGATATTTTCGAGAGACATTTTAGTATTTCAACTATCCTTTCGCAGAAACGTAATCGTCTACAAGCACACTTTGTTCTTAACTATACATTGCTGGCAGAACACTCTCACCCAATTATAGGTGTTAAAGTGATTCAGTGTTTATTACAAAAAAAAACCCTTTAAAGTGCGACTTAACTATCCAAGACTTTTGTTAGTTATTCCATACCGTTTTGGCCATCTCTGCCGTCTCTGCCTGAAAAAACAAGGGTGAAAAAGGGTCGTTAATGTAAAAGAAAACATAAAATATCAAGAAATTGCAAATTCCATTTGGGCAAAATATCAAACTCAGCAAGTTGTGATAAGTTCATACCGTCGCGGCAGGAACAACTGTCCTTCGAAACGGACTTTCCGCACTGACTTTGCTGTGTTCCATTCTTCGAACCCTGAAAAAAAAAGGGAGATCTAGCTCGAACAACGTGGTACGACTCTAAACTGTGTAGCGTTCAGCATGAATATTTAAGAACGTTTATTCATCTACAAAGAGACGATATGTCTTGGTATTTACTGACAAAAAATTCCCACTGACAAATTGGTTCTTTGAGACTGCAAAGGTACTCAGGATAAAAACGAAGCTTAGTGCAAATAATAATCGGAACATCTTGGCTTCCTCTTCTTTTCCTGAAAGTTTCTTCGGAATAAAAACAGAGTTTCAAGACGTGACCATTTTAATGCAAAGTTAGTTGAATATTTGCATTTCATCAGAACGAGAAAAAAAGGCATGAGAGCGGTTCAGACAATTTGTTATGATCTTTTTTCTTTGTGTGGATTTTTTGCTTTTCGCCTTTCATACACCAAACCTTTCCTTTTGAATGGCGTATTTGACTGGCGATATCTACCAAAGCCAATTTCGTTCCGTCAGTGTATTTCACAAAAACACACGATATACATTATTGTTTGTATAAATATATGCAGAGCTCATATCCCCGGTGTCACTGAAGGAATACAATAATTTATGCTATAAGACAGTTTTTGATAAGGATAGCGTGACGTACAGGTCACGCTGGTTCATTTAGAATCGATCTGCCGGCATCAGTCTTTTTAGAATTAATGAGTCTTCGTTGCGCGCGAGGCTCTTAAAGCATAGAAACGCCTCGCACCACTTTTTAAATAGCTGCTTACTGGTGACTTTCGTTCTTGAACTCTTATAATTGGCTCATCTATTCCAATTCGAGGATGGCGGCTTCAGATCACGGTTTATTGTGGAGCCCAAACATTTCTGTAACTTGACAAGTGAACATAATTCCCGTTGAAAAAGGTTAATTTTCTTCTATCGCTACTCTCTAGAGTTTCTCCTCGCAGCATAATTTTTTAGCTTTAGAGATTTCCTTGAAGTCGGTTTCACAGATACATCGGCGCGGCCGCCATTTTGTTAACTCAACCCAGATCTTTTCTTCCGTCGCTTTTGGCCTTTAATTAGTTTGGGTTGCATTTGTGTGATCAACTGGATTCAGAGATTTCTTCCCCGCTTCCTCCTTCTTTGAGGGTTTTTTTCCCCACAGAGTGGTATGTTGCTCGTTTTAATCAGATTGCCGCATTGGTGTATTCTTGCACCAATCAGAAAGCCGCATTAGTGTATTCTTGCACCAATCACAGTGTCAGGGTATTGCCCCTCATGCCAATCATGCCATACAATGACTGAGTTGCCAGTAAAACATCTTTGGCTGTCTTCAGATTTCAAATAAATAACCGATAATAAGGATAAATAAGATTAAATTACCCTCAAAGGGCAATAGATCACATTTGAAAGGAAATAGATCTTGACTGTTTTTGCCCACTGACATTGTTTGAAAGGGGCGTGGTATTATTTTTGTTCTATGCGTAAACATAGCGACTAATGTATTTAGCAAATTTTTGAAACGTTTGTTTTCTCGGTTTGCGTGTGTGTACGGTGCGTGCGTTTACACTGCTGTGAGTTCCTTTTGCAGTTTCCGAAATTGTCCTCGAAGATTAAGACCAGGATAAGTTCAAACCCCATGTCATTCCCTATATCTCCTTAACTGGCTCGGGAAGACGAAGGACCCTACATTAGGAACGAGTTGAGGCTAAGGACAAAGAACATTTTTGCACGCTAGCTTTAACCAAAAAGGCAAATTTAATGTACAAATGCGTTAATAAGCTCGCCCCAAATTATCTTTGTAACATGTTCACTCCGAGAACTCTTCCCTTTGATCTTCGTGACGCAAGTCAAAAATTGTACTTGCTGAAACCAAGAACTGACTACCTGAGGCGTAGCTTCAGTTATAGCGGAACTTCTCTTTGGAACGATCTTCCCGAGGATATCCGCACTACAAAATCTCTACGCAACTTCAAGAGAAGAATTGATAAATGGCTCTCTGTATCGGACTCCCACACGGCAAATATGTAAACCAGTTAATAGAAAATTTACTTAAGATAAGTTTCTCCTTTGTTTTCTATTGTCATACTGATATTTTTACCGTGTTTTAAATAAAGTTTTCATCATCATCATCATCAACCACACCTGTTATAATATTTCCGGTGAATGCTTAGAGTGTACATTATCATCCCAATTGAGATTATTAAGAAGTCCAGTTTCAGTGGACTGAGCGTTTTGCTTTCCTTTTATTTCTACAGTTTCACTGAATGATTATAGACATCTGAAACATCCACTGATTCTTGCCAAACGCTCATGACAGAACGACAAAGAGGACTTTGCAGAGGCTTGACAGCCCAGCATGGCCCGGGAAAAACAATTCATTGCTAATCACGTAGTTTGAGAGATTTAAGTGGTAAACACATATTGCCTGGTGACTTGTTGAGGCTTGATGTTGTCGTACGTGCGGGCAAAATTGGAAGTTAACGCGAGTGGAAAAGTTCCGTGGGGGAGTCACATCCAAATTATCTTTTTCAGTTTTCGAACTTTTCACGATAGATATCGAACTCTTCTTCAACGATTAATAATGGGAAAATCTGCGCAAATGACTTGGAAACTTCTTCCTCTGTAACAATACTCTTGTATACTGAGGAGGCATTTGCTTACGGAGTTGTAGGCTTCAATCCGCTGGGTCTCTATCTCACAAAACAGCGACGCCTATGGCGACCTCTTGCCATGAGTTAAGGACAGCGGGTTTTCTGCACAGGGAACCCAAAACTTACGACCCGTGGATACGAATGCATTATTTTTCATGTCAGTGCTTTCATGTACTCGCTTACATTCACATGTACAAAAGAAACTTTTCTGAGGAGAAGTTTACTTAGACACACCAAATTTTTTGACAAAATTTCAAATATACCTTAATAGGAAACCGTTAACAGTAAAAACTGTGTTTAAAATGTCACAATACAAGACAATAACCACTAGCCTTATGCATGAAATAAAGCATTTGGTAGAATGTCCTTCATTTTCACCGTTACTCAAAACTCGTAACACATATGGGCCTCTGCCCAAAAAGTTGCCAGGCACTGATTGGGCGATAAATGAAATACTATGCATACCTCTTTCATGTAAGTGGTGGTTTAGCTATAAATGCTAGTCACGAATATAACTTTAAAGTGGCCGATCAGCCTATCATTTTCCCCGTCTCTTTTATCAACGTTCTCTTTATTTCGGCTTCCAGAAAGTGTGAAACTTTTACCCTGAACTCAGTTTTCATAAGACTGAGACATGATAAATCCTACACGCGTTATCAACCGATTTGCAATGCCGAAAGGAACAGGAACTCTGTGGAGATATCCACCCATCTATGTGCGTCCATGATTTGGGCTCATGACTTATAGTCGGACTTTGCAAAAGATTGTAAAATCCACTTCAACAGTGTCAACTTCGGGTTCGATTTAACGAAACAGTTAAAGACAAAAGATCTCCTATTAAAACGCACATGATCAGATAGGACCCCCAAAAAAACCGAATGTGAATAGAAATGGACTAATGTTGATTTATGTTAGACACAAGGAAATGTTTCAACAGTATTTATTCTCCTTATCCAATCACCAAGCTCATACACTATCCAATACCGTTTTCAAACTGTTTCATAACTCTTGTACAACTACAACAAAGCTTTTCTGTCTTTACATAGTTTTCTTGTCATCCCAACACCTTACAGAAACTTAACAGCGCCTTTTCAACCACAGTTTGTTTCTATCGCACCATCACCCAAATTGGTTTGTTTAGATAACAGTAACCCGCGATACACTTGGTGCCGCGCGCGCGGCGGTCGTCGGATGTGACGTAGTTGTTTGAGCTGTCAGCAACATTCCACATGTCAATCCACTTGTCTATGCCCCTATGCTCTTCAGATATTCCGTTTTTTGAATAGAAGTGCAGGCGAGATATTGTGGCAAAACCAGAAGAGGGATTCCTCTTATTGTGATCTGCCTGGCTGTACTTGTAAAACCCGTGGATGTTCTTGATCTTATTGTAAGAACTATTAAGAACTTGTCAAAGTCTGTTTTGTCCTTATCTGGAGCGCCTGCCTTCCTGTTGTAAATGACCCTGATGGTATTGACGTCATTGAACCGGAACATGACCTCCTCCCAGTCCCCCATGTTCGGGTGGATGTGACTCGCTGCATCTGTATCTGTGGATTTTGCTGCTGATGCTGAAAATGTTGTTTTTATAGAGATGAAGCTTGGGGAAACCTTGGTGGCTACTAGTGTCCAACCTCCACCCTCAGTCTCCATGTCGCAAAAAGCCTGGAACGAGTCACCTATCGAGCCTCCGTTTGGATCGATCCAGTACAGTCCGCTATCACGACTGCCACCTTAAACAGAGCATTAAGATGATTTGGGATTTTTTTTAACTCAAGCATTTTTCAAACCCTTTAAAAAATAAAAATCTCACCTGATTTTAGGATATCCATACAGTGAAGGCCAGGTCTATTGGCCACATGACCTTTCCCTCCGATCACCAATGGCAACCAAGCACTTCCATCGCAGAGTTGCAAGGCTTTTTGGGAGACATTGTAACGAACCGTGCCAGCAGTTCGCAGAGTACATTTCTCAGCGGTGTCACCAAACTTGATGGCACCTTGAGGTGATTTACCCGCCGGACTGGTTTCGCCTTTTTGACCCTGAAAAAATAGAAATTAAAAGTGTTCATTTCATGATTAAAAATTAAAAACAAAGTATATCTTACAAATCGATGCGGAAGATATTTGAGCAATGGCCAGAGAACTCTGTGGTAGAGTTGCGACAGTAGGTACAGAATTTTACTTTCGCTTAAGTCGGTGATAATGCTTTCAAATGGCCACGGTTTATCAGGTGAGGGTTTTTTTTCTGGTTTCCCTTAAACTTCCCTTAACAAGGGGACTGCTTTTTTTCCTTCTTTCTCCTTTTTTTTTCTTTTACTGTTTTGTTGTTTGGCAGATAAGTTAAGTTAGATTTTCATAAAAAACCTTAAAAACTCGAAGTGAGGTTTCTTAGGAAAAATCATCGACCGACCTTTGTTCCATTTATTCCATCTTTCCCATGAAAGCCCTGCTCTCCTTTGACTCCCTAAGTGTAATATTCAAAAGGAAATATTACATCACAATCATACTTGTTGTTGCTTCCATGAATAAGTTTTATTATTTGCCCTTTTTGTGGTTTTGAAGTTAAGTTGGTAAGAAATTTTAACACCAACCTTTAAACCGTTCATTCCATCGTTTCCCGTCGGTCCTCGTTCTCCTCTGTCTCCCTGAAAAGAAGAAACCTTTCGTTAAAGATTGTGACTGAGATGATAACGACAAAAAGATTGCGAGCTTTGGTAATAAAAATCAAGTGAGTTCGCTTTTCTCACCCTGAAATAAAATTTTAAAAAAGTAGCTTTTAAATACCCTACATACAATAGGTGCCGCTTTAAGAAAGTTTGAAGTTTTAGACGCTTTCACTTACTGTCCTCTTTGATCTGAAGAAAATCATACGACATGAGGACAGAGAATCGTCAAAATATTCAGTGTATTTATTATACTCAGCGATCTTATAACTTCACTACTAAGCTCAAATGACGCCGACCTATGTAACTCGTGAGGAGTCTGTCAGTCTCTAAAAATAAAATTTAACTCATCGGTAAATTTGCCCAAAATATACATATGATTCAACTCTAACGCGGTTATTTAATTCAGAATTTTGTAAACAATATTCCCTTAGTTTGAGAGCGGTTTGTGATTTGAAAGAACATCCTCTACATCTTTCTTTTCTTTTCTTCCGTTTTCGCCTGTGGCGTTTGTCCTTCAGTACTTTGTTCATTTCTTCACACCAACCTTTGTTCCTATCTTCCCGTCGCATCCATCGCGGCCATCTTTTCCTTCAATCAAAGACAAATAAATATTTGCTGTGAGGGAATTTCATGAAGCAAAAGATATTTCGAGAGACATTTTAGTATTTCAAGTATCCTTTCGGAGAAACGTAGTCGTCTACAAGCACACTTTGTTCTTAACTATACATTGCTGGCAGAACGCTCTCACCCAATTATGGGTGTTAAAGTGATTCAGTGTTTATTACAAAAAAAACCTTTAAAGTGCGACTTAACTATCCAAGACTTTTGTTGGTTATTCCATACCGTTTTGGCCATCTCTGCCGTCTCTGCCTGAAAAAACAAGGGTGAAAAAGGGTCGTTAATGTACAAGAAAACATAAAATATCAAGAAATTGCAAATTCCATTTGGGCAAAATATCAAACTCAGCAAGTTGTGATAAGTTCATACCGTCGCGGCAGGAACAACTGTCCTTCGAAACGGACTTTCCGCACTGACTTTGCTGTGTTCCATTCTTCGAACCCTGAAAAAAAAAGGGAGATCTAGCTCGAACAACGTGGTACGACTCTAAACTGTGTAGCGTTTAGCATGAATATTTAAGAACGTTTATTCATCTACAAAGAGACGATATGTCTTGGTATTTACTGACAAAAAATTCCCACTGACAAATTGGTTCTTTGAGACTGCAAAGGTACTCAGGATAAAAACGAAGCTTAGTGCAAATAATAATCGGAACATCTTGGCTTCCTCTTCTTTTCCTGAAAGTTTCTTCGGAATAAAAACAGAGTTTCAAGACGTGACCATTTTAATGCAAAGTTAGTTGAATATTTGCATTTCATCAGAACGAGAAAAAAAGGCATGAGAGCGGTTCAGACAATTTGTTATGATCTTTTTTCTTTGTGTGGATTTTTTGCTTTTCGCCCTTCATACACCAAACCTTTCCTTTTGAATGGCATATTTGACTGGCGATATCTACCAAAGCCAATTTCGTTCCGTCAGAGTATTTCACAAAAACACACGATACACATTATTGTTTGTATAAATATATGCAGAGCTTGTACCCCGGTGTCACTGAAGGATTACAATGATTTATGCTATAAGACAGTTTTTGATAAGGATAGCGTGACGTGCAGGTCACGCTGGTTCATTTAGAATCGATCTGCCGGCATCAGTCTTTTTAGAATTAACGAGTCTTCGTTGCGCGCGAGGCTCTTAAAGCATAGCAACCGCCTCGCACCACTTTTTAAATAGCTGCTTACTGGTGACTTTCGTTCTTGAACTGTTATAATTGGCTCATCTATTCTTATTCGAGGATGGCGTCTTTAGATCACGGTTTATCGTGGAACCCCAATATTTCTGTGATTTCAAGTGAACATAATTCCCGCTGAAAAAGGTCAATTTTCTTCTATCGCTACTCTTTAGAGATTCTCCTCGCAGCAGTATTTTTTAGCTTTAGAGATATCCCTGAAGTCGGTTTCAAATATACATCGGCGAGGCCGCCATTTTGTTAACTCAACCCAGATCTTCTCTTCCGTCGCTTTTAGCCTTTAATTAATTTGGGTTGCATTTGTGTAATCAACTGGATACAGAGATTTCTTCCCAGCTTCCTCCTTCTTTGAGGTTTTTTCCCCCACAGAGTGGTATGTTGCTCGTTCGAATCAGATTGCTCATTAGAGTATGTCTCTTGCATAAATCAGATTGCCGCATCGGTGTATTCTTGCACCAATCAGATTGCCGCATCGGTGTATTCTTGCACCAATCAGATTGCTGCTTTCGAGTATGTCTCTAGCACCAAACAGATTGCCGCATTGGTGTATTCTTGCACCAATCAGAATGCCGCATTAGTGTATTCTTGCAAAAATCACAGTGTCAGGGAATTGCCCCTCATACCAATCATGCCATACAATGACCAAGTTGCCAGTATAATATGATTGTCTTCAGATTTCAAATGAATAAACGTTATTGGAAATATTTTTTTCTCAACGTTAAAGCTGTTGTATGCTGAGAAAATGTGTGCCTACAGAAATATAGCACATCCTCAATTTTCATGAGACTTTGTCATGACATTTTGTAAACTTGTTATTAATCGATTCGCAATACCAAAAAATGAAAAAGGAACTCTTTGGAGGCATTCAGCTCTTCCTGTAGGAATATAATTCGAGTTCATTAAAGTTGAAGTCGGGTTCTATTCAACTAAATTGAGAAAAACAAGAGAATCCCTGAAACAATTGTGTTTTCCCTGATTTGGTTTAATGAAATGGGACATAACTTGACCGGTATATGATTTAAAACGTAATACCGCCGAAAATTTGGTTAAAGCCGAGAAATTTTTCAACAGTATTTATCCTCTTTATCCAATCACCAACCTTACATTATCCAATACAATTTAGCTCTTGATACAACAACAACAAAGCTTTGCTGTCTTACATAGTTACCCTTCTATCCCAACACCTTACAGAAACTTGACAGCGCCTTCTATTGGTTTTCAACTACAGTTTGTTTCTATCGCACCATCACCCAGATTGGTTTGTTCAGATAACAGTAGCCTGCGATACACTTGGTACCACGCGCAAGGCGGTCGTCGGAAGTGACGAAGTTGTTTGAGCTTTGGGCACTGTGCCACATGTTAATCCACTTGTCTGTGCCATCATGAACTTCAGATATTCCGTATTTTGAATAGAAGTGCAGCTTGGATATTGTGGCAAAACCAGAAGAGGGATTCCTGTTATTGTGATCTGCCGGGCTGTACTTGTAAAACCCGTGGATGTTGTTGTTTTTATTGTAAGTTGTTCCCGTTAAGAACTTTTCGAAGTCTGTTTTGTCGTTATTGTTTGGAGCGCTCGCCTTTCTGCTGTAAATAACCCGGATGGTACTGACGTCACTGAACCGGAACATGACCTCTTCCCAGTCCCCCATGTTCGGGTGGATGTGACTTGCTGCATCGGCGTCTGTAGTTTTTGCTGCTGATGCTGAGAACGTTGTTTTGATGAAGATGAAGCTTGAGGAGACTTTGGTGGAAATTAGTGTCCAGCCTCCGCCCTCGGTTTCCATGTCGCAAAAAGCTTGGAATGAGTCATCTGTCGAGCCTCCGTTTGGATCGATCCAATAAAGTCCGTTACCACGACCGTGACCTGGAAGAATAAAAAGTGATTAAACGAGAAATCGATTTCCCTCCGGAATAAATCATATGATGCAATTTGCCTGACTGATTATTGTTCCAGTACTGAAGATTAGATGACAAACGGCACTTGTATATGGGGCGTCTACATTCAATCACAGGCCAGATTGGAAGCTCTTTTTTTCAGCTGCCAGACTGCAAAGGTTTTCCAGCCCGTATCCCTCCCACGAACTGTGGCATGTGTGTGATAATTGACATATATCCAAATTAAATCATTACTATATGCTATTACTTTATTGAGGTGCAGACATGTTTTCATGTGAGTGAACCCTTCAGAAAGAAAGCCTAAATAAATCCCTGTTACACCTTACAGTTTAAATTAGACTCTTCTTGAGTCGAGGATTACGCCGCAAGTCTGCCCCGACCTTTGCTGGAAATAAATTAGGATTTCTAGATTTCACGTAAGTTGATTTAGTTGCTCACAAATAATCGGCAACGAGAGTTCCCAGAGACCTATTGGTTTCCTCTTGTATTTCCAGAAAACAGAGCGTACATCGGCGGTTTATTTATTTTAAGCGGGCAGGAAGCATAAATCAGCTTAAAACCTAGACTAAACTATAAATGTGTCACAATGAAGGGAAAAATTCGTAGTTCTCTATTTTCTCTTTACAAGGACGCTTTATCTCAAACTCACCTGACTTCAAAATATCTAGACAGTGACGTCCCGGTTGATTAGCAGCGAGACCTTTCCCGCCAATCACCACCGGTAGCCAAACTTTACCATTGCACCATTCCAAAGCATTTTGGGAAGCATTATAGCGAACAGCGCCAGCGATACTCCTTGCACATATTCCAGCGGTGTTAGCACGTTCAGCTGAGACACAAGACTCACCTTTTTCACCCTCAAAGCAAAAACGTGCTAACAACAGTTTCGTAAAGTTAAATTTATGTCGACAAAAATTATGGTTCATGACAAAGAGTCGTAAACGGCCATGAAAACGGATGCTTGGCCTCAACAATATCCCTCTCCCCAAAAAAAAAAAGATGCTGATTCACTTAAATTATGAGATATGAAATATAATTACTATAGATCTTGATTTCACATGATATTCTACGCAAGAGCTTAGACTCTCACTCAAACCAAATGTTCAGACGTTCTTTCTCTCTCTTCTTTCCTTTCTTCATTTTAATAATTATTATTTTTTTACCAACCTTCGCTCCGTTTCTCCCGTCTCTTCCGTCGCGGCCATCTTTACCTTGGACGCCTTGCGGGCCTTGAATACCTTGGATGCCTCGAATACCTTGTATACCTTAGTAACAGAGGAAAAAGGATGGTGCGATGCTGATTTTTTTAGAATATCCTTGGTTGTCAGCCGGGTAGAACTAGTTCTAGAACAGGGATGAGTTCGACTGAAATAAAATAATATTATCGGCATAGCTCCGTTCACACTGACGTGTGATTGGCCAGACATAGGATAACGGGTTGACTTACAGCCTGTGTCGCCGATCTTCGACATCTTTTTTGCGAGAAAAAGAGATAGGACAAAATACGTTGGAACTGAGCTTAGGTTATCCATGTCTTCTGGCCAAACACTATCCGTACGACCTTACCTTTTCATTCAGTTATAAACTTCTTAATCATGATAGGAAAATAGAAAAAAAATCATTTACTGTCCGATTAAAAAAAACATTCTTGTACCATTGTGACCATCCCGACCATCTCTACCTGAAAGATAAAATTTAAAAAAATCTTATCAATCAGAAGTGACCTGGAAGTGAAGAAATTCGTAGACGATGGAACCTCTATTAAAGGAATACCCTCAGGACCTGGGCATGCGTCTTATGCAAAAAAATTGATAAGAGGGGTTTATTAATAATTAATCATCACAAAAAGACAACATCACCTTTTACTATCCTGTCTTGGAATCCTCTAGAGTCTTTATTGAAAGCAGTTATAATATATATATACATATTTTACGAAACAGGCTTGTAGGGATGAAAGTATAGTCTCTCTGTTTTTTCCCCCTATCGCAACATATATATATATATATATATATATATATATATATAACATAATTAACATAATTAACTGACTCTGCGATACTGTGGATATTTTATTTGAATATATCTCCTATAGCGACACAAATACTTTGGTTAAATGGCTTAAATTAAAAATTTAAGGAACTGCTTTTAACAAACTTAAATAAAGCCAAAGTGGCAGACTATTTCTGCCCCCGATGCACTCATTTCTAACTCATGAATTGAAACTAATTTGGCTCAGAAATTTGACTCCAGAAGAAATGATCAGCAAAGTTAACCTTTGGCAATTAATCAGTCCATAGATGTCATCAAATGCTATACGGTATGAAGAAGGTTATTTTTTGAAAGTTGTCATCATTGTGAAAACCGACTTTTCATTTCAATGTTGTATTGGTCCGTTATCTGTTCAATAATTACCGTCGCGACAGCAACAGCATTCCTTTGAATCAGACTTTCCACAGTGGTTTTGTTGTGCATCGTTTCCCGTGTCCTGCGGTAATCAACATAAACAATTAAAATGCACTATTCAGAATTCTCGATCGATTTAACTATAAGGTGTTACATGAAAAGAACCCTAAATTCCAATCCACACGTAAGATGCAAACCAAGCTGTTTAATATATGAGGAGAAGAATTGCGAAATCAGTCATTAATCCTTAAAATTGAAAGAAAAAACATTTAGCTCTGCAGTCCTAATATATTGCACAACTTAATCAAACCTACCAATTTATTCTGTGGGGTTGAACAAGAGCTCAGGGCAACAACAGAGGTCAATACAATTAGTAATCGAAACATTTTAGCTTTCCTGATCTACCATCCCCGGCCACTGCTTGTTTCGTAGTATGTCGTTCAAAGAAAAACCTGTCCCAGCAAAGACTGATCACATCTATCATCTATCGTTAGTAATGTATACCTAATAATGGTTAACTGCGTGATGTATTGTTTACGTTCTGGTCAACAGCTAGGTTAAACTAAATACGGGTATGTGTGTAACATGACATTGAAGAGCTATTTTTGGTCACGCACTATTTCTACAAAGGTAACTACAATTAATTATACTGTAATCCGAAATTTGCTGGCTCAAAAGCCATCTGAATGAATAATTTTCCCTATCTTTCCCTAATATTTCGTTGCATCACATGATTTTCAACATCTGAATAAAATAGCTGATTCTTTTCGAACGCTCATGGGAAGATAAATAAGATTAAATTACCCTCAAAGGGAAACAGATCATATCTAAAAGGAAATAGATCTTGACTGTTTTTGCCCGCCGGCATTGTTCGAAAGGGGCGTGGCATTATTTTTGCCTTATGCGTAAACATAGTGACGAATGCATTTAGCAAAATTTTGGAACGTTTTGTTTTCTTCGTTTGCGTGTATGTACGGTGCGTGGGTTGCACTGTTGTGAGTTCCTTTTGCAGTTCCCAAAAGTGTCCGCGAAGATTAAGATTAGGATAAGTTCAAATTCTAAGTCATTCCCTATATCTCCTTAACTGGCTCGGGATGACGAGGGACCATACACTAGCAACGAGGTCAGGCTAAAGGCAAAGAACATTTTTGCATTCAAGCTTTAACGACACCTTTTATAATATTTCCGGTTCATGCTGAGAGTGTAAATGATTATCCCAATTGAGATTATTAAGGAGTCAAGCCTCAGAAGGCTGAGCGTTTTGCTTTCCTTTTCCTTTTAGTTTCATTGAATGATTATAAACATCTGAAACATGCGCTGATTCTCGCCAAAAGCCCTTGACAGAACGGCAGAGAGGACTTTGCAGAAGCGTAATCACGTAGTTTGAGAGATTTAAGTGGTAAACACATATTGCCATGTAACTAGCTGAGGCTTGATGTTGTCGTACGTGCGCGCAAAAATTGAAAGTTAACGCGAGTGGCAAAGTTCCATGGTGGAATCACATCCAAAGTATCTTTTTCGGTTTTCGAACTTTTCACGACAGATATCGAACTCTTCTTCAGCGATAGATTAATGCCGGGAAAATCTGCGCAAATGGCTTGGAAACTTCCTCTTCTTTTTAAAAACCTTTGCATTCCGAGGAGACATTTGCTCAAGGAAATGTAGGCTTCAATCCGCTGAGTTTCCCTCAAACGAAACAGAGCCGCATTTCGTGGCCTCGTGCCATGAGTGTTAAGGAAAGCGGGTTTTCTGCACAGGGCACCCAAAACTTATGACCCGTGGATACGAATGCATTATTTTTCTTGCCAGTGCTTTCATGTACTTGCTTACATCCATATGTACAAAAGAAACCTTTCTGAGCAGAAGTTTACTCAGACAAACCAAATTTTTGACAAAATTTCAATTATATGTTGAAAGGAAACCGTAAACAGTAAAAACTCTGTTTAAAATTTTACAATACAAGAAAATAACCACTAGCCTTAAGCTTGAAACAAGGCATTTGGGAGACTATCATTCATTTTCACCGCTACTTAAAACTCGTTACAAATATGGGCCTTTGCCCGAAAAGTCGTCAGACACTGATTGGGGGATGAATCAAATACTATGCGTACCCCTTTCATCTAAGTGGTGTTTTAGCTACAAATGCCAGGCACGAATATGATTTTAAAGTGGTCGATCAGAAAACCTCTTATTTTAATAACGTTCTCTCTATTTCGGCTTCTGGAAAGTGTGAAACTTTATTCCTGGACTCCGTAAGACTACTAGAGACATGATATTTTGTAAACGCGTTATCAACCGATAACAGTTAAAGGCAAAAAATCCCATATTGAAATGCACATAATCGAAAAAAAGCGAATATGAATAAAAATGGACTGAAGTTGATCTTTGTTAAAATCAAGGAAATGTTTCAACAGTATTTATTCTCCTTATCCAATCACCAAGCTTACAATATCCAATACCGTTTCATAACACTTGGTACAATTACAGCAAAGCTTGACTGTCTTTACATATTTTTTTTTAAATCCCTACACCTTACAGAAACTTAACAGCGCCTTTCCTTTGTTTTCAACTACAGTTTGTTCCTATCGCACCATTACCCAGATTGGTTTGTTCAGATAACAGTAGCCCGCGATACACTTGGTACCACGCGCGCGGCTGTCGTCGGAAGTGACGTAGTTGTTTGAGCTGTCAGCACTATACCACATGTCAATCCACTTGTCTGAGCCAGAGTGAGTTTCAGATACTCCGTATTTTGAATAGATGACCAGCTGGGATATTGTGGCAAAACCAGAAGAGGGATTTCTCTTATTGTGATCTGTCGGGCTGTACTTGTAAAACCCGTAGATCTTCTTATTTATAGCGGTAGTCGTCCCCATCAGGAACTTGTCGAAGTCTGTTTTGTCCTTATTTGGAGCGCCTGCCTTCCTGTTATAAATTACTCGGATAGTATTGAAGTCATGAAACCGGAACAAGACCTCTTCCCAGTCCCCCATATCAGGGTGAATGTGACTCGCTGCATCTGCGTCTGTGGTTTTTGCCGCTGACGCTGAGAATGCTGTTGTGATAAAGAGGAAGCTTGGGGACATCTTCGTGGCAACTAGTGTCCAACCTCCACTATCAGTCTCCATGTCGCAAAAAGCCTGGAACGAGTCACTTGACGAACCTCCGTTTGGATCGATCCAGTAAAGTCCGCTACCATCACTGCTACCTGAAAAAAGACCATTAATATTATTTGAGATGGTCTCTTAATGTCTTTCAAAGCTCAATCAGCTTCGAAACCTCAAAGAATCATGATTTTACCTGATTTTAGGATCTCCATACAGTGACGGCCAGGTCTGCTAGCCACGTGACCTTTCTTTCCAGTCACAAGTGGCAACCAAGCGCTTCCATCGCAGAGCTGCAAAGCATTTTGGGAAGCATTGTAACGAACGGTGCCAGCAGTCCGCAGAGTACATTTCTCAGCGGTGTCACCAAACTTGATGGCACCTTGTGGTGATTTACCAGCCGGACCGGTTTCACCTTTTTGACCCTGAAAAAATAGAAACTCAAAGTGTTCAATTCATGAATAAAAAAAAATAAAAAAATTGGTACACTGTAGAAATCGATTTAGTAGATATTTGAGCGATGGCCACAGACTCTTTCGTAGTGGTGCGACAGTGGGTACAGAATTTTACTTGCAACTAAGTAACGACAATGCTTTTAAATGGCCACGGTTTACCAAACCTTATAGCTAAACCTTTAACCAGAGGACTGTCTTTTCTTTTGCCATTTTTCAGTTGGTTTTTTTTTGTGGAACACCTAATGAGTTCCCCCAACTAAGGGACTGCTTTTTTCCTTCTTTCTCCATTTTTTTAAAAAAATTTTTTCGTTGTTTTGTTGTTTTGCAGATAAGTTAACTTAGATTTTCATAAAAAAAAACCTCAAGAACTCGTTCTGAGGTTTCTTAGGAAAAATCATCAACTGTCCTTTGTTCCATTTATTCCATCTTTCCCATGAAAGCCCGGCTCCCCTTTGATTCCCTTAGTATTGAACAAGAAATATTACATCACAATCATACTTCTTGTTGCTTCTACAAATAAGTTTTATTATTTTGCCCTTTTGTGGTTTTGAAGTTAAGTTTGTAAGAAATTTAAACACCAACCTTTAAGCCGTTCATCCCGTCATTTCCCTTCGGTCCTCGTTGTCCTTTATCTCCCTGAAAAGAAGAAACTTTTCGTTAAAAAACTTGTGACTGAGATAATAATTACTAATCAATGATACAAAAAAATTATGAGCTTTGGAGATAAAAATCAAGTGAGTCACGCACCTTGACAGCATTTTTTCCTACACTTTCTTTACAGAGACCTTGTTCGCCTTTTTCACCGCAAAATATATTATTCAAAAAGGTATATTTAAAATGCTATACATGTACTAGGTGACGCTTTAAGAAAATTGAAGTTTAGACACTTTTCTTACTGTCGCTTTTGATTCGTAGAAAATCATTCAACACGAGGAGAGAGGATCGTCAAAATTTTAAGGATATATATTTATAATACTCAGCAGTCTTATTACTTCACTTTTAGCTCAAATAACGTCTATGTAACTCGTGAGGAGTCTGTTTCAGTCTCTACAAATAAAATTAAGCTCATTGGTAAATTTGCCCAAAATATACATATGATTCAACTCGAATTCGGAATTCTGTAAACAATATTCCTTTAGTTTGAAAGCGGTTTGTGATTTGATAGAACATTCTCTTCATCTTTCTTTCATTTTTTTTCCGTTTTGGGTTGTGGCGTTTGTCATTCATTTCTTTGTTCATATCTTTACACCAACCTTTGTTTCTATTTTCCCGTCGCGTCCATCGCGGCCATCTTTTCCTTCAGTCAAAGACAAGAAAATATTTGCTATGAGTGACTTTCATGAAGCATAAGATATTTTCATGAGACATTTTAGCTTTCCAACTATCCTTATGGAGATACTTAGCCGTTTACAAGCGCACTCTGTTCTTGACTATGTATTGCTGGCAGAACTCTCTCACCCAGTTATGGCTGTTAAAGTGATTCAGTGTTTATTACAAAAAAAACTTTGAAGTGCGACTTAATTATCCAATATTTTTCTCAGTTATTCCATACCGTTTTGGCCATCTCTGCCGTCTCTCCCTGAAAAAAAAGAAGGGTGAAAAAAGGTGTTAATGTAAAAGAAAAATATGAAATATCAAGAAATAGCAAATTTCACTTGAGCACAATATCAAACTCAGCAAGTTGTGATACGTTCATACCGTCGCGACAGGAACAACTGTCCTTCGAAACAGATTTAGCACACTGACTTTGCTGAGTTCCATTCTTCGAGCCCTAAAAAGGGAGGTTCTCGATCAAAGTGGTACGATTACAAACTGTGTAGCGCACGAGTTTAAGAAATAAACTTGCCGGGTTCAGCATAAATATTTAAGGACATTGATTCATCCACAAAGAGACGATACGACTTCGTATTTACTGACAAAATATTCCCACTTACCGTTTGGTTCTTTGAGACTGCAAAAGTACCCAGGATAAAAATGCAGCTTAAGGCAAGAAATAATCGGAACATCTTGGCTTCCTCTTCTTTTGTTGAAAGTTTCTTTGGAATAAAAGCAGAGTTTCAAGACACGAGCATTTTGAATGCAAAGTTAGTTGAATATTTGCATCTCATCAGAACGCGAAAAAACGGCATGAGAGCGGTTCAGACAATTTGTTATGATCGTTTCTTGTTTGTTTGTTTTAGAGGTCTGCTTTTTCCCTTTTCACACTCCAAACCTCTGCTTTCAAATGGCGCACTTGACCGGCGATATCTCTCAAAGCCAATTTGGTTCAGCATATTTCCACGACGAGGAAATATATCTTCCGATGAGAAAAGAATTAAAACCAACAAAAACACACGATATACATTACTGTTTGTATAAATATTTACAAAGCTTATGTCTCCGGTGCCACTGAAGGAATACAATGATTGATGCTATGCGACAGTTTTTGATAAGGATAGCGTGACGCATAGGTCACGCATGTACGCAGGCGGTGTGCGCCCTCCGATTGCGTTGCATTGTGGTAGCTCCATTTTCAGTATGGGGGTGAAAGCAGCAGAAATCGGCAGATTTTGACCGAACATTCCGTAACAGTTAGGCCGTTCATTTTTCTTTTTACCATATGCAAATATAATCTGATTTATTCTAAATGAGTGAAAGTATTTTTTGTACGTATTTGTCGCGTATTCTATGGTTCTCAAGGAGAAATACAATCACGGCTTTTTTAGTATGCAATTTGAGACCGGTTTTCGAGAAGGTCAAATTCAATGTAAGTCGTAGTTTGGAGCCTTTCAGAGATTTGGATGGCCGCCTTGATCCTTCTTTGACAGCTCTGAACAAACTCTCCAACGGTGCACGTGTTTCTCGTATTTTAAGTGCTAGTGTTTGAGACCGATTATGGCCGAGAAAAGGTCTATTGTTACATTACTCAGCGTTACTATCGTATACTCAATTGTAATGTAAATCTACTTTCCTAGTATAAGCAAACTAACTAATCCCGAGTGTTGTATGGTAAAGTTGCTATCTTGATCGTTGAATGAAGGACAGTTGAACTAGAGCAATGAAAGGAGTCCGCACTTGACCAATGAATAACTCTAAAATGCACACGGCGACACGCCGGGTAAGTCGGAAAGCAAAAGGCAGTCGATCGTTAAAGGGTGTTGATAGGCTTGTGTGACTCCTGCCATTCGCTTGCGCTTTTAAATCTTCTGACCTGAAAGCTTAGCTGTTATTAGGATATCTTTTAATGAATTTCGTTTGCGATGTGATAATTAGGGTTAGTTTTAAGGTGTCATTTCCCCATCAGTATGTTCTTTAGGTTTGGCTAAGCTGGATGAGACTGTGTTACAAAAGGTAATATTTTCATATATGCGCGCGATTTTGTTTTTTTTTTTTTTTCAAGTATACTGTCTCTCTCGCAGAAAATAACTCTTGAGATGCGTTTCTCAAAACCTCATTCTAGGTATTACCTATTCTTTAAGCATATTTGACACTCTATACGTTTTTTATCAAACGTTGAGCGTGACGAATTTGGTCGAATTCGGAGGCAAAAATCTTCTCCGGAGATGTTCACTCGACCGCGACAGGATGCAAATGACTCGCTTTTTGTTTTACGACCATGATGCAACACAATCAGAGTGCGCACACCGCCTGGCCGGCATCTGTACTTTTAGAATTAACGAGTCGTCGTTGCGTGTAAGGGCTCTTAAAGTGGTAGCATAGAAACGCCTCGCAACCCTTTTTAAATGGCTGCCTACTGGTGCCTTTCGTTCTTGAACTCTTATACTTGGCTCATCTTTTCTAATTCGAGGATGGGGGCTTGAGATCACGGTTCATCGTGGAACCCCAACATTGCTGTGACTCACTTGGCAAGTGAACATAATTCCCGCTGAAAAAAATCACTTATCTTCTATCACTTCTTTTTTAGAGATTCTACTTGCAGCAGTATTATTTAGCTTTAGAGATTAACTTAAAGTCGGTTTCAAATATACATCTACGCGGCCGCCATTTTGTTAACTCAACCCAGGTCTTCCCTTCCGTCGCTTTTGGCCTTTAATTGGTTTGGGTTGCATTCATGTGATCAACTGCATTTAGAGATTTCTTACCAGCTGCCTCCTTTTTTTCAGTTTTTTCCCTCACGAGTGGTATGTTGCTCGCGCGCATCAGATTGCTCATTACAGTATGTCTCTCGCACCAACCAGATTGCTTACTAGAGCATGTCTATCGCACCAATCAGATCACATCACTGTTGTAGTCCTGCACCAATCAGAGTTTTAGGGAATTGTCCCTCATGCCAATTATGTCATACAATGAATTAGTTGCCAATAAAATATCCTTGGCTGTTTTCAGACTTTAAATGAATAAACGTTAAAGACTAAAACTTAGCAACTGGCTTATCTGAGTTTCTTTCTCAACGTTAAAACTGTTGTATGCCGAGAAGATGAATGCTTTCAGAAATGAGAACACCCTCAATTTTTATGAGACTTTGTCATGGTATTTTGTAAACTCGTTATCAATCGATTCACAGTACCAAAAAGTAAAAAAGGAACGCTTTGGAGGCATTCAATTCTTTCTGTAGGATTATGATTCGGGTTCATTAAAGTTGAAGTTGGGTTCGACTTAACCAAATTGAAAAAAAAAACAAACAAACAAAGGAATCCCTGAAAGAACTGCGTTTTTTTGAGTTAGCTCTTGATACAACTACAACAAAGCTTTGTTGTCTGTTTTTTGTAGAAACTTGACAGCGCGTTCTATCGCACCATCACCCAGATTGGTTTGTTCAGATAACAGTAGCCTGCGATACACTTGGTACCACGCGCAAGGCGGTCGTCGGAAGTGACGAAGTTGTTTGAGCTTTGGGCACTATACCACATGTTAATCCACTTGTCTGTGCCATCATGGACTTCAGATATTCCGTATTTTGAATAAAAGTATAGCTTGGATATTGTGGCAAAACCAGAAGAGGGATTCCTCTTATTTTGATCTGCCAGACTGTACTTGTAAAACCCGTGGATGTTCTTGATCGTATTGTAAGTTGTTCCCATTAAGAACTTTTCGAAGTCTGTTTTGTCCTTATTTGGAACGCCTGCCTTCCTGTTGTAAATAACCCGGATGGTATTGACGATCGATTTAACTATAAGGTGTTACATGAAAAGAACCCTAAATTCCAATCCACACGTAAGATGCAAACCAAACTGTTTAATATGTGAGGAGAAAAGTTGCGAAATCAGTCATTAATACATAAAATTGAAAGAAAAAACATTTTATGCTCTGCAATCCTAATATATTGCACAACTTAATCAAACTTACCAATTTATTCTGTGGGGTTGAACAAGAGCTCAGGGCAACAACAGAGGTCAATATAATTAGTAATCGGAACATTTTAGCTTTCCTGATCTACTATCCCCGGCCACTGCTTGTTTCATAGTACGTCGTTCAAAGAAAAACCTTTCCCAGCAAAGACTGATCACATCTATCATCTATCGTTAGTAATGTATACCTAATAATGGTTAACTACGTGATGTATTGTTTACGTTCTGGTCAACAGCTAGTTCAAACTAAATACGGGTATGTGTGTAACATGACATTGAAGAGCTATTTTTGGTCACGCACTATTTCTACAAAGGTAACTACAATTAATTATACTGTTATCCGAAATTTGCTAACACAGAAGCCATCTGAATGAATAATTTTCCTCATCTTTCTAATATTTCGTTTTCGTTGTATCACATGATTTTCAACATCTGAGTAAAATAGTTGATTCTTTTCGAACGCTCACGAGAGGATAAATAAGATTAAATTACCCTCAAAGGGCAACAGATCATATTTAAAAGGAAATAGATCTTGACTGCTTTTGCCCACCGGCATTGTTCGAAAGGGGCGTGGCATTAATTTTTGCCTCAGGCGTAAACATAGCGACGAATGTATCTAGCAAATTTTTGAAACGTTTTGTTTTTTCCGTTTGCGTGTGTGTACGGTGCGTGGGTTTCACTGTTGAGAGTCCCTTTTGTAGTTCCCGAAAGTGTCCTCGAAGATTTAGATTAGGATAAGTTCAAACCCTAAGTCATTCCCTATATCTCTTTAACTGGCTCGGGATGACGAGGGACCATACACTAGCAACGAGGTTAGGCCAAACGCAAAGAACATCTTTGCACTCTAGCTTTAACCACACCTTTTATAATATTTCCGGTTCATGCTGAGAGAGTAAATCATTATCCCAATTGAGATTATTAAGAAGTCCAGTTTCAGTGGACTGAGCGTTTTGCTTTCATTTAATCTCTACAGTTTCACTGAATGATTATAGACATCTGAAACATGCACTGATTCTCGCCAAACGCCCTTGACAGAACGACAAAGAGGACTTTACAGAAGCTTAACAGTCCAGCATGACCCGGAGAAAACAATTCATTGCTAATCACGTAGTTAGAGAGATTTAAGTGGTAAACACATATTGCCATGTGACTAGTTGAGGCTTGATGTTGTCGTACGTGATCGCAAAATTGAAAGTTAACGCGAGTGGCAAAGTTCCATGGTGGAATCACATCCAAAGTATCTTTTTCGGTTTTCGAACTTTTCACGATAGATATCGAACTCTTCTTCAGCGATAGATTAATGCTGGGAAAATCTGCGCAAATGGCTTGAAAACTTCCTCTTCTGTTTAAAAACCTTTGCATACCGAGGAGACATTTGCTCAAGGAAATGTAGGCTTCAATCCGCTGAGTTTCCCTCACACGAAACAGAGCCGCATTTCGTGGCCTCGTGCCATGAGTGTTAAGGAAAGCGGGTTTTCTGCACAGGGCACCCAAAACTTATGATCCGTAGATACGAATGCATTATTTTTCTTGTCAGTGCTTTCATGTACTTGCTTACATCCACATGTACAAAAGAAACCTTTCTGAGCAGAAGTTTACTCAGACAAACCAAATTTTTGACAAAATTTCAATTATATGTTGAAAAGAAACCGTAAACAGTAAAAACTGTGTTTAAAATGTTACAATACAAGAAATAACCACTAGGTCACCAGCCTTAAGCATGAAACAAGGCATTTGGGAGACTATCATTCATTTTCACCGCTGCTTAAAACTCGTTACAAATATGGGCCTCTGCCCGAAAAGTTGTCAGACACTGATCGGGCGATGAATCAAATACTATGCGTACCCCTTTCATCTAAGTGGTGTTTTAGCTATATATGCCAGGCACGAATATGATTTTAAAGTGGTCGATCGAAAAACCTCTTATTTTATTAACGTTCTCTCTATTTCGGCTTCTGGAAAGTGTGAAACTTTATTCCTGGACTCAGTTTCCATAAGACTGAAAAAAGATATTTTGTAAATGCGTTATCAACAGATAACAGTTAAAGGAAAAAAATCCCATATTGAAATGCACATAATCGAAAAAAAGCCCAATATGAATACAAATGGACTGAAGTTGATCTTTGTTAGAATCAAGGAAATGTTTCAACAGTATTTATTCTCCTTATCCAATCACCAAGCTTACAATATCCGATACCGTTTCATAACGCTTGGTACAACTACAACAAAGCTTGACTGTCTTTACATAGTTTTTTTTTAAATCCCTACACCTTACATAAACTTAACAGCGCCTTTCCTTTGTTTTCAACTACAGTTTGTTTCTATCGCACCATCACCCAGATTGGTTTGTTCAGATAACAGTAGCCTGCGATACACTTGGTACCACGCGCGCGGCTGTCGTCGGAAGTGACGTAGTTGTTTGAGCCGTCAGCACTATTCCACATGTCAATCCACTTGTCTGAGCCAGGGTGAGTTTCAGATATTCCGTGTCTAGAATAGAAGACCAGCTTGGATATTGTGGCAAAACCAGAAGAGGGATTCCTCTTATTTTGATCTGCCGGGCTGTACTTGTAAAACCCGTGGATGTTCTTGTGTGTATTATAAGTTGTCCCCATCAAGAACTTGTCAAAGTCTGTTTTGTCCTTATTTGGAGCGCCTGCCTTCCTGTTATAAATTACTCGGATAGTATTGAGGTCATGAAACCGGAACAAGACCTCCTCCCAGTCCCCCATGTCAGGGTGAATGTGACTTGCTGCATCTGCGTCTGTGGTTTTTGCCGCTGACGCTGAGAATACTGTTGTGACGAAGACGAAGCTTGGGGACACCTTCGTGGCAACTAGTGTCCAACCTCCACTATCAGTCTCCATGTCGCAAAAAGCCTGGAAAGAGTCACTTGACGAACCTCCGTTTGGATCGATCCAGTAAAGTCCGCTACCATCACTGCTACCTGAAAAAAAGACCATTAATATTATTTGAGATGGTCTCTTAATGTCTTTCAAAGCTCAATCAGCTTCGAAACTTCAAAGAATCATGATTTAACCTGATTTTAGGATCTCCATACAGTGACGGCCAGGTCTGCTAGCCACGTGACCTTTCTTTCCAGTCACAAGTGGCAACCAAGCGCTTCCATCGCAGAGCTGCAAAGCATTTTGGGAAGCATTGTAACGAACGGTGCCAGCAGTTCGCATAGTACATTTTTCAGCGGTGTCACCAAACTTGATGGCACCTTGTGGTGATTTACCCGCTGGACCGGTTTCACCTTTTTGACCCTGACAAAATAGAAACTCAAAGTGTTCAATTCATGAATAAAAAAAAAAAAAATTAGTTCACTGTAGAAATCTATTTAGTAGATATTTGAGCGATGGCCACAGAACTCTTTGGTAGTGGTGCGACAGTAGGCACAGAATTTTACTTGCAACTAAGTAACGACAATGCTTTTAAATGGCCACGGTTTACCAAACCTTATAGCTAAACCTTTAACCAGAGGACTGTTTTTTTCTTTTGCCATTTTTCAGTTGGTTTTTTTTTTGTGGAACGCCTAATGAGTTCCCCCAACTAAGGAACTGCTTTTTTCCTTCTTTCTCAATTTTTTAAAAATTTTTTTTACGCTTTTTTGTCGTTTGGCAGATAAGTTAACTTTGAGTGTTATTTAAAAAAAAAAAAAAAAAAAAAGAGAGAGAACTCGTACTAAGGTTTCTTAGGAAAAATCATCGACTGTCCTTTGTTCCATTTATTCCATCTTTCCCATGAAAGCCCTGCTCCCCTTTGATTCCCTAAGTATTGAACAAGAAATATTACATCACAATCATACTTCTTGTTGCTTCTACAAATAAGTTCTATTATTTTGTCCTTTTTGTGGTTTTGAAGTTAAGTTTGTAAGAAATTTAAACACCAACCTTTAAGCCGTTCATCCCGTCATTTCCCTTCGGTCCTCGTTGTCCTTTATCTCCCTGAAAAGAAGAAACTTTTCGTTAAAACTTGTGACTGAGATAATAATTACTAATCAATGATACAAAAAAATTGTCAGCTTTGGAGATAAAAATCAAGTGAGTCACGCAACTTGACAGCATTTTTCCTACACTTTCTTTACAGAGACCTTGTTGGCCTTTTTCATCCCAAAATATATTATTAAAAAAGGTATATTTAAAATGCTATACATGTACTAGGTGACGCTTTAAGAAAATTGAAGTTTAGACACTTTTCTTACTGTCGCTTTTGATTTGTAGAAAATAATTCAACACGAGGACAGAGAATCGTCAAAATTTCAAGGATATGTATTTATAATACTCAGCAATCTTATTACTTCACTTTTAGCTCAAATAACGTCTATGTAACTCGTGAGGAGTCTGTTTCAGTCTCTACAAATAAAATTAAGCTCACCGGTAAATTTGCCCAAAATATGCATATGATTCAACTCGAATTCGGAATTCTGTAAACAATATTCCTTTAGTTTGAAAGTGGTTTGTGATTTGAAAGAACATTCTCTTTATCTGTCTTTCCTTTTTTTCTATTTTGGGTTGTGGCGTTTGTCATTCATTTCTTTGGTCATATCTTTACACCAACCTTTATTCCCATTTTCCCGTCGCGTCCATCGCGGCCATCTTTTCCTTCAATCAAAGACAAGAAAATACGAGTGACTTTCATGAAGCATAAGATATTTTCGAGGGACATTTTAGCATTTCAACCATCCTTTTGGAGATATCTAGCCGTTTACAAGCGCACTCTGTTCTTGACTATGCATTGCTGGCAGAACGCTCTCACCCAGTTATTTAGTGTTTATTACAAAAAAAAACTTTAAAGTGCGACTTAACTATCCAATATTTTTCTCGGTTATTCCATACCGTTTTGACCATCTCTGCCGTCTCTCCCTGAAAAGACAAGCGTGAAAAAGGGTCGTTAATGTAAAAGAAAAATATGAAATATAAAGAAATAGAAAGTTCCACTTGGGCACAATATCAAACTCAGCAAGTTGTGATACGTTCATACCGTCGCGGCAGGAACAACTGTCCTTCAAAACAGACTTTCCACACTGAATTTGCTGTGTTCCATTCTTCGAGCCCTGAAAAAAGGGAGATCTCGAATACCGTGGTACGACTCTAAACTGTGTAGCGCACGAGTTTAAGCAATAAACTTGCCGGGTTCAGCATGAATATTTAATAACATGTGTTCATCCACAAAGGACGATATGCCTTCGTATTCACTAACAAAAAATTCCCACTTACAAATTGGTTCTTTGAGACTGCAAAGGTACCCAGGATAAAAACGAAGCTTAGGGCACGAAATAATCGAAACATCTTGGCTTCCTCTTCTTTTCCTGAAAGTTTCTTTTGAATAAAAACAGAGTTTCAAGACACGAGCATTTTAAGTTAGTTGAATATTTGCATTTCATCAGAACGAGAAAAAACGGCATGAGAGCGGTTCAGACAATTTGTTATGATCGTTTCTTGCTTGTTTGTTTTCGTGGTCTGCTTTTTCGCTTGTCATACACCAACCTCTTATTTTGAACGGCGCATTTTATCGGCGATATCTCTCAAAGCCAATTTGGTTTTGTCAGTATATTTCCACAAAAACTCACGATGTACATTACTGTTTGCATAAATGTATGAAGAGCTCATGCCCCTGGTGTCACTGAAGGAAGGATTTGTGCTATTCGACAGTTTTTGATAAGGATAGCGTGACGTACAGGTCACGCTAGTTCATTTAGAATCGATTTGCCGGCATCAGTCCCTCTAGAATTGACGAGTCACCGTTGCGCGCAAGGGCTCTTAGGGCAGTAACATAGAAACGCCTCGCAACACTTTTTAAATGGCAGCGTACTGGTGCCTTTCGTTCTCGAACTCTTATAATTGCCTTATCTTTTCTAATTCGAGGATGGGGGTCTTAGATCACGGTTTATCGTGGAACATTAACATTGCTGTGACTTGTCACGTGAACACAATTCCCGCTGAAAAGTGTCATTTTTCTTCTATCACTACTCTTTAGAGATTCTCCTCGCAGTAGTATTATTTAGCTTTAGAGATTTACTTGAAGTCGGTTTCAATTATACATCGCCTCAGCCGCCATTTTGTTAACTCAACCCAGATTTTCTCTTCCGTCGCTTTTGGCCTTTAATTGGTTTGGGTTGCACTCAGCCGCCATTTTGCTAACTCAACCCAGATTTTCTCTTCCGTCGCTTTTGGCCTTTAATTGGTTTGGGTTGCATTCATATGATCAACTGGATTCAGAGACTTCTTCCCAGCTGCCATCTTCTTTAAGATTTTTTTCCCACAGAGTGGTATATTGCTCGCGCGAATCAGATTGCTTACTAAAGTATATCTCTCGCACCAATCAGATTGTTCTTTAGAGTGTGTCTCTCGCACTAATCAGATCACAGCATTGCTGTATTCCTGCACCAATCAGTGTTTTAGGGAATTGTCCCTCATGCCAATCATTTCATACTATGAATGAGTTGCCAATAAAATATCTTTGGCTATTTTCAGACTTTAAATAAACAAACGTTAAAGACTAAAACTTAGCAACTGGCTTTCTAAGTTTCATGACGCGATATCACTCGGTCGGGAAAAAGGTGGAACAAAACAGAAACAGAAGTATAACGAATAAGTATTTTCGCTCAATTACAAACAAGAAAAGGGCAACAACATAAAATTGAGGTTAGCGAAGTGCTGTGCATTTCCACAACTTATCAAGAGGGTTAAAGATACCGAGAATGTTAAAATCAGAAGGCACTTTACGAGAGACAGAAGATATAAGCTAATAGAGAACGCAATTAAAAAGACAACCCGTATATCTGTATCTTTAAAAATATTTATTCGAAGCAGCCACACCGAGATTATGGTAATCCTTTATAATGATCGACATTAGTATCAAGTCTTCTGATTAGCTCTTATTAATAAGACAACGCAGTTTAGTTAGCTTTCGCAAAACAGCATTTTTTCTTAAATCCCTACACCTTAAAGAAACTAAACAGCACCTTTTCTTTGTTTTCAACAATAGTTTGTTCCTATCGCACCATTACCCAGATTGGTTTGTTCAGATAACAGTAGCCCGCGATACACTTGGTACCACGCGCGCGGCTGTCGTCGGAAGTGACGTAGTTGTTTGAGCTTTCGGCACTATGCCACATGTCAATCCACTTGTCTGAGCCGACATGACCTTCAGATATTCCGCCACTTAAATAGTAGTACAAGTTGGATATTGTGGCAAAACCAGAAGAGGGATTCCTCTTATTGTGATCTGCCGGGCTGTACTTGTAAAACCCGTGGATGTTCTTGACCGTATTGTAAGTTGTCCCCATTAAGAACTTGTCAAAGTCTGTTTTGTCCTTATTTGGAGCGCCCGCCTTCCTGTTGTAAATAACCCGGATGGTACTGACGTCACTGAACCGGAACATGACCTCTTCCCAGTCCCCCATGTCAGGATGAATGTGACTCGCTGCATCTGCGTCTGTGGTTTTTGCTGCTGATGCTGAAAATACTGTTTTGATAAAGCGGAAGCTTGGGGACACCTTTGTTGCAACTAGTGTCCAACCTCCGCTCTCAGTCTCCATGTCGCAATAAGCCTGGAACGAGTCATCCGTCGAACCTCCGTTTGGATCGATCCAGTAAAGTCCGCTACCACGACTGCCACCTTAAACAGACCATGAAGATGGTTTGAAATCGTCTCCTAATGTCTTTTAAAGGTCAATCAGCTTCGAAACTTCCAGGAATTATAATCTTACCTGATTCTAGGATATCCAAACAATGACGGCCAGGTCTGCTAGACACGTGCCCTTTTCCTCCAGTCACCAATGGCAACCAATTGCTTCCATCGCAGAGTTGTAAAGCATTTTGGGAAGCATTGTAACGAACAGTACCTGCACTTTGTAGAGCACATTTTGCAGCGGTGTCACCAAACTTGATTGCACCTTGAGGTGATTTACCTGCCGGACCGGGTTCGCCTTTTTGACCCTGACAAAATAGAAATTCCAAATGTTCATCTCATTATGTGATGAAGTTGTGCATCGTAAGTTCAACCTGAATGATTTATCAGCAATGGAACTTTTTTTTGACGTATACAATAACAGTAAGCTCAGATGAGATGAGTATCATTGAATGGAACAGGCCTTGCTTTACAATTCTAACGACGCGGTTTAACTTAAGTCATTCTTTCCTCTATTTTTGTCACTTTTTCTGGACCCAGAAAACGAAATATTTCACCAACCTTGGCTCCGTTTCTTCCGTCTCGACCGTTGCAACCATCTTTGCCTCGGACGCCTGGTGGACCTTGAATGCCCTGGACGCCTGGTGGACCTTGAATGCCCTGAACGCCTTGCGGACCTTGGATACCTCAATAAAGAAAGAGGAAAAAATATTTTTTTTGCGAGTCCTTAGTCTTCGATAAAATATTTCTTGGGCAAGGACTGAGTCCGTGGAAATTGATAATTGTTTTTGTTGCCTTTGAATAACTACCTAAGCACCACGAAACATATTGGAGTATTGTACAATTGAAAGATTTATGTCTTTAAAATATATCAGAATCGTGAGTGATAAACTGATAAATTATCTTGCACCATTTTGACCATCCCGACCGTCTCTATCCTGAAGATGAAGGAAAAAATATTTCGCCAACATTTAAACTTCATATCAGCGTATAAAATGTGTAAAACACCAGAAAAAAATTGATTCGTGAAAAACTTTCAATCGCTTTCGACCATACCGTCGCGACAGTAGCGACATTTCTTTGGATCCGTCTTTCCACACTTGTTTTGTTGGGTTCCGTTCGCAGAATCCTGAAAAAAAAATCACATCGATCAACTTCTGAAATTTACGATTTCCATGCCGATCTAGAACTGCTAGTCGTCGACATGAATCAAACGAAACAGTGTCGGCTTGGAAAATTCTCTCAATCTACGAAACGAAATGTGCTTTCGTGATATCGAATAACAAAAACAGAGGCAAACTTACCGACTTGGCCAGGGCAGTTGCACTACGATTCACGGCAAAAACGAAACTAAAAATCATATCGATCAACTTCTGAATTCACGATTTCCCTATCGATCTAGAACTGCTAGTCGTCGACGTGAATCAAACGAAACAATGTCGGCTTGGAAAATTCTCTCAATCTACGAAACGGAATGTGCTTCCGTGATATCGATTAACAAAAACAGAGGCAAACTTACCGACTTGGCCAGGGCAGTTGTACTATAATTCACGGCAAAAACGAAAATAAACGCAAAAAGTAAGCGGAACATGTTTAGTTGCTTCTTCTTCTCAGAAATGTGTCGTTATTACTAAATAAAACGAAATGAAATGAACACTTTGAATGCAAAATGTTTGTTTATTGTTGACATGAACGAGAAAAAACAGCAAAACCTACCGCTTAGCTAGATTATTTGGTTTTTCAGTTTACTTTTTGGTTTTCTTTCCCTTCCACAGAAACCTTTACTGTATTTAGATGAATAAGTAAAGGTCCGCGAAATCTTAAATCTAGCCATAAGTATTGAAATTATAAGAATTTTAGTCGTTCACAAAAAAACGAGACGTCACCCCAAGTTTTGATCATAACTCAATATAAGTATATTTACCTGTTTGCTTGATTTGCTTTGTGAGGTTACATGAAAACCCAAGATGAAAACGCAAATCAATGCAAAAAGTAATCGGAACATTTTACTTCCTTTTCTTTATTCATTGAATGCCTGAACAGATTTAAAAGAGAACGTATTAAATACAAAATTATTTGTTTACGCCTCAGCCAAACGAGAAAAGGGCAAGACACGGAAGATTAAACAACTTATGTTAATGATAATTTGTCAAGAACTTATTCCACAAGGAAGTCTTTCATCTCATACAGAGACGTTGTCCATTTCTGAATGACATTTAAACTGACAATATTTTTTCAAAACGAATGGTAGTACAATTTCGAAATGAAATCATGCATCTATAAATGACGACGATAGTATGAGACAAACGCACTGATGCCTCTTTTTGCGCGCTGCTTTCGAATGACCTCACGCTAATGATTCCTGAGCATATTTTTAGTAACGATATCTCTGTGCCGGAGGGAAGATAAATAATTTATTCAATCTCTAATTTTCTTTATTATTTTCATCAAGTGTGCTCGCTCAATTATGTCTCTCAGTTAAACCGTATTAAACACTGATTTCTTTGCTTGACATGTGGAAGAACTTATAAATTACAACTAACAAATTTGCCACAGCAACCACGTTATTGAAAAGATTCAAACTCTCATGATGGTAAATATATCGTTCAATTCAGGAGCCACATTAAATGTGGGGTGAAAAGGAACCGTTTTGAAAAAGGCCGATAACGCCACTCATTTCAGAAGTCTTTCGACCTGAACCAATGTTCAAGGCCGGTAGTGATAGAGAAATGGGCTCCGATTTCGATTTTTCTCATGATCTTCGTCTCAGGACGGATCATTCGCACCCTAAAATTAGTGGGCATATTCTCCATACTGTTTCGATTACATTTTTTGATAATCAAGAACTACTTCTTATCTGAACTTCGTAATGGGCCCCTCTCACCGTAGTCTCTGTGGCTCAATTCAGAGCTCTGAGGTTCGCTTCCTCATAGGAATTCAGAATTTTTCTTTGTCCCACTGTCGTGTCATGGCGAAAAACATATTTCTCCAAGGACTACTCTTGTTGGTGACCATTACCTTTATTCTCGTGACCTTTATGCTTAATTGATGGGTGCTAAAGAGAGTGTAGACACTAGTCACTCTCAGAGACTAAAGGGTTACTCGAAGCTTCTACTTTTCATTGTATTCGAAGAGACAGTTAAATGTCATTGCAATGTTCTCTATACTTGTTACAACTATACTGGGGGTGCTAATAGGGCACAGTTCAGAAAGCGATGGGGGAGCTTTTCTGAACGAATATACCTCAGTGTAGAGGAAAACCATTTTGTGGGAAGGGAGGGTAGGACCGTTCGCATATGACTGAGCCCGTAAGAGAGGAAGCTTAGCCTATGATAGGCACTGTCGGGATTGGTAAAGAGACGGAGGGGGGGGGGGAAGGGAAGAAGGGGGGAGGTGTTTGGCCATGATAACTTTTCTCTTCTAAAATCAAATCATTATAATTGGGAGAAACCCTGTGCTAATATATCATTTTATTTAAAGAGACAAGTTAAAACGAAAATAATGAAAGAATTTTATCGTCTTTTTTCAGCGTTTTCTTTTCTTCAGGTTTAATAACTCTTTGTAATTCCTTTGTACAATGATCTACATTTTCATAATTTCTATATGTTAGTATGGCCTTCTATACCAGTCCACGTTATGTCATATCATTGGAATCTTCTCAATACTGGGTATCACATCGACTTTGTAAAGCACAGGCGATGAATCGAAATGCCAGATACTAGAATTCTTGCTCATGCGCCGTAGACGCCGGCAGTAGAGCAATATGGCGGCTAAGACTGTGATGCTACACACGAGGAGAATTATGCGGAATTGAAGGTCACTGGCGTAACTCCAGAAAGCGTGGTAAGAGCTCTTGTACTGCGAGTGTAACTGGACTTCCCTGTAAATTTAAAACAAAACGGTGTTATAATGAAACCACTGTGGACGAAAGCAATTTCCAAAGGAGTGTCGGAAGCAATTTGAGATTGAAATCGTTTCGCTCTACTTCGATCTGTGATTGGTCAAGAAGCTCGCGCCACATTCTAACCTATCAAATGATAAACCAATCAACTGCAACTTGGTAGCACGCGTTTTCCCTCGCTTGTAGCGAGTCGTTAGTCACTTCGAATATTCATCTATTGGCCACTGAAATTACTTTGGTTGTAATTTGAAGACAACTTGCGGAAAAGCGTTCCAGTCATGAACGTAGCTACAAAATACTGCAAAATAAAGTTAGAACTCTATTCCCTGATTTATTGATTATTTATCAGCCGTTCGTTTAGTCAACAGATCATGAGCGACATTACCGAATGGCTAAAAACTAACAAACTTTCAAACTGAGCGGAACTTTGTTGCCTTACCTTAGAGGGAGAAATCTTGTCCGATAAAGTATAGCACCGAGTGTCCATTGCACCTCTTTACCGCGAATGTAGAAGGCAGAACGTAAATTGCTGTAGTTTTGAGGAAACTTAAAGCCTTCGTGAAGAACTGTGGTCATCCAAGCTGCTTTGAAACACTGAAACCTTAACAAAAAAACAGTTCATCATCATCAAATTAACTGCTCAAAGAAAGTAACGCTCATTTATATTATAATCAGTCTATAAAAATATTCGACTTAATTCTGCACAGCCTCAAGTAAACTGAGGCTACTGAAACTATGGTAGCTGATCAAGAGGTGTATGATATCGGGCGCCTAAAGGCGTGCAGTTGGTTTGTAGTTAATCCGGGATTGTTCTTTGAGTCTCTTCGTGATTGGTCCAGAAAAACCACATCACCATATAAACCAATTAAATGCAAAACCGATGGCGCCTTAGTCGCTTTCATTTTCCGCGCTTACGGCGCAGGTCTAAGCCTTGAGTTCTCATTGGCTTCATGTTTTATTTTCTGTTGTTCTGATTGACCCTTGCGATTACTTGGGTTTTTTTTTACGAATTACGGCAAGTTGAATCCCGAACGTTGCAAATAAACTGTCTTACTTGAGCCTGTGGTCATCTGCAAAGGGGTAGAGGCCTTTAGAATGGCGTGATACGAGAGTAGACCAACGTGTACTGCAGAATTCCTGAAATGGTATCGGAAAAAGTCAGTTTTATAGTCGACAAGCTTTGTGGTAAGAACTGTAATGAAGACTCTAACACACTGTTCCCTATTTTACAGCTGAGTATAAAAGCTCTCAGAAATTGGTACGGTAAACGAAACACAGCGGTTGTACGGACTACTGAGGTAATGTCGGTAACGTGCTTCACGGTGTCAGAACCGAATTGTCTCACACGAGATAAAAACAACCGCACAAGAAAGTAAGTCACCGTGTTTTAGAAGCGCAAAAACGGTTTTTGTAAGGCTCCAAACAGAATGGTAAATTAACAGGTTACTCGTACTTGAATGAACTTTATCTTCGAACAGTCTTGAGCTTTCCTTTTACAGATTTCTAGGAACGTATCAATCTTCTTCCATTTATTTTGCGAGACAGCGGTTGTTTCTCATTTTAAGCTTTGAAATTTTGCGCGGGAAATTGGCGCGCGGCCGGCTAGAATTAATCACCTCGCGCATGCCCAACATATGACCGCTGTGTTGTGTCGGTAGACGTTTAGGATTTGCTAAGAATCGAAAATCTCACCTCTACAGCTTGCCTCATGCTACTCGCACTGTACTGTCCCCCGATTCTCAAGACATCATGCATTGAATACCAATACTCGGAGAATCCGTAAAATTCTACGGTCTCGTAATCAATACGAGGCTGATAGACAGCGTTAAACGAACAGGGCTTTTTTGGGCAGGGTCTGGTACGGTTCAGTAGTGGAAGAATCAGTTCTTTACATTTGATATATTCTCCTGTTCCAAGGAAGTTGTATTTCTTTCCCTTGTAAGTTCCTTGCTCTGTGCATTCAGCGGGTAAACATGGATCGAGATACGCACCAGATGTGCTGTGTATGCAAAGAGAATAATGATGTGGTACATGTGATACATGAAATGCAAGAGAGACGCATTAAATCAAAACTTTTTTTGGCGCGTCACTTGAGAAAAAGTCTCTGTGAAGTGAGGGTTTGGAAAACGTTTTGCATCAGGTTGGAAAAAGAACAAAACACTGAATAAAGATAGGCAAGGTTTGTTTTAACCATTAGTCGTGAAAGAATTAACCGTCCATATTCTTTTCTTGAACATTAGCAGTAAGTAGTAAGAATTTAAACTACTGTAAAAAGCAAAAATGACTTATACAAGTCTCAGAGCTTCCACTGATCCACAATATCGTCAGGGATCTGAGTAGGTGAAAGCTTGCAGACTTGTTTTCAATTTGCTTATTAAATGCCTCGTAAGAAACCATTGTACCATTTTAAGATGCTACTTAAGGACAACATGAAACGATTACTTTCCTCGTTTACTTTGTCTCTTGGAATAATTACTTACTCATCAATGCTCAATGTTCTATTCTTGGTGATGACAAGCTTTGTGAATCTGTCTCTAGCAGCATTGCCGCCAAACCCAAGGAACGTAGCAACATAGAGATGATAATTGTGTGTAGTTTTGTGGGAGTCACAACCCAGGTTGACTTGTGCACTTAACTCTGATGGAACCCATACCTAAAACACAGAGGAATGTTATACGCTGGTTTCCTTATCTTGCCTCTTCAATCGAATCAACTTAATAGTCCACAATTATTTACAAAGCATATCTTAAGTCATTTTAGTGAGTTCGTGCGTGAATCATGAAAATTTTCTTAGAAGTGAATTTAGTTACCTCTTCCATTATCTTCATCAAATCTTTTATTTTTTACTCCTTTCACACTTTTTTAATTCCATTTTCAGATTATCAATATTACATTGACTGGCTTGCAAACAGCCATAGCTAGTTTGAGGCAGGTCAGTCACTCAACCCTTTAACTCTCAGATCAAATTTGTAATTCTCCATACTGTCAACCATACAATTCTTACAATATCAGTTCAAGGAATTTAGTATTGGATAAACTAACTATCCCCAAATTGATATTTTTCTTTATTCTCATCACTTATCTGGATGTTATTGTATTCACATTGTTTGGAGAAATTCTGTCTTGGTCACTTATGGGAGTTAAAGGGTTAACTAGGAATGAGATAACTAACTAAACTATCACTAATATCATTATTGTCATGTTGTTATCCTTTGGGTACTTACAGACTTCCCAACTTCAAACGCAATTTGTGCAGAGCCTCCACCCATGTCAAGAGACCCCACTGTACTTTTACGGCTAACTTCTGATACACTGTTGTTCAGTGGTGACTCTGTTAAATTAAAATCATAATATAAAATTACAAAGTTTACAAAATATGCTCACTTTAACAAATAATTTCTGCTCCTTACATCACAGTTAGTAGCGAGTTTGTTTCCTGGTTAGGACACTCAACAGATTTCTTACAAATTTTCAGTCCATTTTTGGACCTAACTATGCACAATTGATCACTGCAAACAGACGAGTGGAGACATACCTCAAATTTATTCAAACATGATATGCAATCACAACAACAAAATATTGTGCGCAGTCAGAAATCCCAAACCTATTTACTGAGACATGGTTGTCATCATCTTCAATTTCTTCCAGCTTTTCTTTGAGTGTCCTGACACCACCACTAACCATGGTTATATAATTCAATGAAAACACCTCTGTTCTTAAGCACTAGACCTCTATGATAGAAACTTCAATTACCAAGGCTAATTTGATCCCTTTGTTTCACATTACAGTGTATCATTATCCCTTAAAAACCCTAAGAGTGACCAAAATCTTATTTCTTTTCATAGTAACACTGCTGAATCATGCATTAAGATCGAGAGAATAAAGGAAATGATTACTATTATCTTGGAAGCATTGACTTTTAAATGAATTACTCCCTATCAGTACACAAGGAAATTTATAGAGAGGAGTAAGGAGAAAATAAACACTGATACTGGGATATAAAGAGTTATTGAAATTTCTCATGAGGTCATTACTCATTCATCTAGCCATAGATTTAATTTGTTGGAAATAAAAACCTGAAAAAATTACGCCATGTACAGAACTGGTAAGTAAAATACCTTGACTATCATGTGAATGATCAAATCTTCCCAACTCAAAGTTGACTCCAATCCATGAATAAATTCCTGTGAAATAAGATATGCAGTACCTCAAAGCATTATTCAATAACCAAAAACTGATGACTAGCTCATCTTTCACACATAAGCATGATTTTTTACACTGTGGTTTAGAGAAGAGTTGAATGTAACTAAAGTCTTCCAATTCAAAATCAAAATTTGCTTTTCAAGTTGTCCACACTAGAAAATTTCATCAAGTTTTGCCATGAAAAGGTCGTTTTTTATCAAGGTGACTGAAGAAAAGACTAGTCATGTTAAACCTAAACTGGTGTGGAAAATGTTGTTCAGAGAATGATCTTGTGCAACACTAATGTAGCTTAATGCACTAAATCCACTACAAAAGACTACACAGCAAAAGACCAACTCATTTCATACATTGGGAAGCTATCAATTACTGTTGGGGTTTGATCTCGCTAGAGCAGATTGTCAAGACCCTCCAGAGGACTAAGCTTGTAACTTGGTTACCATTCCCCCCAATAATTTTTTAAAGATACTATAATAATGGGTTATAATTTTGTAATTGCTTTGTTCTAGATAGGTTTGGAAAACCATTTTGGCAGATTATGTTTGCACTAGACCAGTAATTCAGTGTACAATAGCATGCAAGATGAACTTTGTACATTACTGACAACAAAACAATTACAAAATTCATTAAGTACAGCATTATTTGACTAAATATACATCCTCATGTACCTTCTTGCTTTCCTGTAATGACCTCAACATGAGATGATGTGAAATGGAAATTGTATTTCAAAGGAACATCCACTCTTAAGTCATCTAAAATAGCTTCTTGATCAGCAACAGAAAGCATTCGCATGCCAGCAGTAGCCAGGATATAAAGAGGTGTTTCTTTGTGCTTGTGTTCAGGGATTTGTTGTGCAGCAAATGAGAGAAGAGGATCAATGTAGGATGATGCATCTGACGGCCGATGAACTTGACTAGAGATCCCTGAAATCAAAGTTTTAAAGAGTCCATAAGTAACAGCAGCATAAATTGAACCTTAAACTCTCATGAGTGACCAAGATAGAATTTCTCCTTACAATATCAATACAATGTCAAACAGACAAGTGATGAGAATAAAAAGGAAAAACTAACTGGTCCAATGACCATTATTGGGTATCAATGAGAAGGGTACATGCTTTTGCATTACATTTTTCACCCCTAAGTAACTTGCATCTTGTACTGACACAATGAATTGGTAATCAGACTTTGTGTCACATAATTCAGGGGTGATTTGCTCATAATTTCAGATCAGCCTTGTGTTACTTGCTCAGCCAATATGAAATAATAATTTGCTCAATTACGACCTCAGTTTCTCTCCACTTGGTCCTAATACCATTTCTTTTTACTGGGCTCAGGGAAGGGTACATCTAAATACCAACAGGCATGGAGAGCTAATACTGCAGATGTAATTCAGAGAATCAGTCCTGAAGATTATACCTGGTTTGATTTTCATTCTGACTGGATTTCCCCTGGTATCTTTCATTTGTTTAATTTGTAGCAACTCATCTGGATTACCATTGTGAGGTGGCCAGTAATAAATAAACACACGAGATCCACTACTTCCGCAGTCAATGACAATGCCATAATGATGGTGAGAATCAGCTCCATGTTCATAAAAATCTGTTGACGCAAAGCGTCTAGTTCTGTTACCATACCAATTCACATTACCAACAAGAAAAAGAGTTCCTAGTAAAACAATGATAAAAATAACAGCTAGAAAAATAAAAGTTCGCAGTGAGTCTTTTTGTAGTCCACACATGTGAGAGAATAGTCTTCTTGTAGAAGAACATGTACTGTCTGAGGAGGATGATATTATTCCTGGTCTAAGAAAAGAAGGAAGACTGGTCCATCGTATTGAGATCCTAATGAACAAAAAAGAACAAAATTGTTTATACTGTATCTTATCAGATGAATAAAAAGTTATTGTGACAAGGGAAATGATTCTGTAATTACAAGATAATGTAGTGTTCTCAATTGAGTTGATAATGTTAATAGGCCACCGTAAAGAGTTTCTTAAGCTAATAATGGTTTTTGGGCTCTAACCCTTTGTGTTATGCTCTGACAAAAAGCTGGGTTTTGAAACATTGGCTTTAGAAACTCCTAATGGAGGCCAATTTACATCATGTTGATAAAACCAAATTATCTTGTAATTCTTCTCCCCCCTTCCAACACAAAAGCACCACAAACATTAAGTACCTATCAACTTAAAGCTCCAAAAATATTCTAGAATATTTCAGTCTGAGAGGGGACCTTTGTGATTTTTCAAATGCGTGTCAAATGCCCAAAGAAAGGAAAAATGTACTTGGTTAATTTTCTCTCCACTTTAAAATCAATTTATCTTCACAATCATCTCATCCACCTCGACATTTAATTCATACAACAACCCAAAATGAGATTTCTCTAGGTAATATTTCTTTCCTTTCTGTTTTGTATTTTGACACTTGATTGGAGGTCTTCAAAGAAAACACGAAATCCAACGAATTGGAATTTCGTGATTTTTGTGATCAAAAAAGTTTGAGTGATCAGGAGTGGTAGTATAAAGCTACCTCAATATATATACCGAATGCACGCTACAAGCACATGGACGTACAGAATTTTTTTTCTTAAGCATACAAACAGAATTCACGCCAGAAAGGATATAAAATTATCGATAGAGGAAGCCACATCCTCTCTAACCTCAAACATGGCTGAATCGCACTACCGAACTTCCCTTACATGGATATTGTTATCAATAATACTCTGTAATAAGCTCAAAATATTGTATCTAAAGGTACAAAAAATTAACTTACCGGCCGACCATTCTGTATTTTTGTCCTTATCGGGGATATTACAGAACGATTGCCGCAATAACAAGAGCTATTTACGAAGCTAGGTGAGTAAACACACCTGGGCTCCTTCATGACTCCCAACAAGACCTGATTGCGAACATAATTTGCTTGTAAATGAAATGCTTATCAACAATCAAAACACCGGCGAACTGAGGAAGCGCCACGTCTGTTTTCACTCACGCAATATTGTCTGCGGCTGATCAAATGAACAAGACATCGTTTGTATAAGAAGTAGGAATTTTTAGCAAACGAGCCGTGCGATCAGCGGGTTTCTTAATTCATTATGCGCTTAATCTGAAACAAAAATAATTATCTGCGCAGCTGTTTTGGAGCCATCGCCTGACAAGAAACATGATGGTAAGATACACATTAACATCTTTTTCCATCTTGAGTAGTAAAGCCAAGTATAAGGATTACATTTATGATACGAGAAGGGGAAAGACGCATCTTTCACTTCACAAACATTTTATTTAGATGCGCAGCACTGAATCAAAACTACTCAGCTCACATGTTTGACATGTATTATTTTGACAGCAACCGGGTATAATTTTGCTCAAGGAGGGAACAGACGCCTCGCAGGGTGTTCCTCAACTCATCAGCAATATAAACGCTTGTCAGTTTATTGCTGATGCAGTTCGGACAACTTTAGGGCCAAGAGGAATGGATAAACTAATTGTAAATAGTCAAGGTAGGTCTACAGTACAGTACACTCCCGTCGTTCAGAGCATGTACACTTCTGAAGAGACAGTAGTACTTCATCTTACTTTATTTTCTTCTTGATCTCTGTGTAGGGAAAGCCACGATTTCCAACGACGGTGCTACAATTATAAGTCTCTTAGATGTCGTCCATCCTGCGGCAAAAACTCTTGTAGATATTTCAAAGTCGCAAGACGCGGAGGTGTGTGTAATTTGCTCAAGGGTTATATTTATGTAGTATTTCTTATGGTTCAATTGTAAATGTAGTCAGAATGTCAGTGATCGACGTTGTTGACTTGCGTTTACAAAGGGGATCCATACATACTTAGCCGCATGTATTAAATACACCGTATGCCCGTACCATCCCACCCTTCGTTGGAAAATCCTGTCTGCAATCATATCTTCTTGATCATTAATTTTCCCTGAAGAAGGAACTTTAGATCTTTCTCAGTGTGGCTTTTTCTTATTTTGTTGTATGTCTGGCGATATGTCATAAATATTTCTCTGTGCCACCAAAGGTTGCCATTTCGACCATTATTTCCATCAGGTGCCATTACACTAAAGATTTATCTACTGTAGAGATAGTCTAACTGCCGATAAATTTTCAGTGTACTTATGTAATTAAAACGCCCAAAACTAGTTGTTTTTTTATTATGTATGTTGGGTATCTTAAAACCTAAATACTGCATTACAACTAGAGTTATTTCCATATTGAAATAAAATCTCGAGAACATTTAGGGTTTGCAAGAAGAGAAGAACAAAAACCAAGGGTACATCCCTTAGAAAAGAGTTGAAAATGAATGGGAGGAAGATTAGATGATGTTTCCTTCTGAAAAACAAACAAATACCTTAATTAGCTTGAAATTTTTAAACCCTAAGGAGTGACCAGCATCTAATTTCTCCTTAAGGCAATATCATTAAACAAGTTCTCCTTGTCAGTATAAGAGAAATTTGTGGAGGAGAGTAAGGTGAATGTGGATACTGATGTTAGGGTAAAAAGGGTTAAAAAGTTACTTGCTGACAGATTGAGAAGTTCATTTTGTATAATCAATGTATAGGTTGGTGATGGAACAACGACTGTCACTCTTCTTGCCAGTGAATTTCTAAAGCAAGTCAAACCATTTATAGAAGAAGGAGTTCATGCTCAGATTGCTGTGAAGAGCTTTAGGAAGGCTGCAAATTTAGTGAGTAAAACTGTACAATTCTTTTCTCCTGTTGCACGGTAAACCTCAGCATGGTTAGATTTTTATATAAATGATTAAATTTTGATCTCTCTCTTTATCTTGGTTTTCAGGCAATTAGTAAAATTAAGGAGATTGCTGTCAAAATCAAGAAAGATGACCCCAAGTAAGTAGAAGATGTCAGTGGAAATTTTGGCTACTTTAAAAAGTTAATGATGTTATCATTTAAAATATATAGTAAGTAAATAAAGTAAAGCCTTTATATGAGCCCAAGTGGCCCATGGGGCTGGTGATTAACTCCAGTTTCTCAGCATGAAGCGGTTAGGAGTATTGCTACTCCCCTCTGGATGGGATGCTAGTCCATCACAGGGTTACCCCCAGCACATTTGCTGGTACCCATTTGTACACCTGGGTGAAGAGAAGCACTGTGAGAGTAAAGTGTCTTGCCTAAGAACACAGCACAATGACCCTGGCCAGGGCTCAAACCCGGACGGCCCATCTGGAATCAAGCGCACTAACCATGAGACCACCATGCCTCCACTTAAAATATATACCTTCACTCATTCTTAAAATTTTATTTTTACTATATTAAAATTGTTTCATAGTCTTGTAAAACATAGTATCCCTTTCTTCCAGCAGTCAACTATCCTAATTCTCACCACTTTGAGGATTTTGTTATCGACATGGTTAACTTTCTGATCTTGCAGAGAAATGCGAGTATTGTTGGAAAGATGTGCAGCAACTTCACTAAACTCCAAACTAGTAGCTGCTCATAAAGACTTCTTCTCCAAGATGGTAGTTGATGCTGTAATGCTTCTAGATGATCTTCTTCCACTGAACATGATTGGCATGAAGAAGGTGAAAGGTGGAGCCTTAGAAGATTCACGCCTCATTGCTGGTGTGGCCTTCAAGAAGACATTTTCCTATGCTGGATTTGAAATGCAACCCAAAAAGTACAAGAATCCCAAGATTGCAATGCTAAATGTAGAGCTTGAACTGAAGGCAGAAAAGGAAAATGCAGAGATTAGACTCGACAATGTGAAGGTAATGACACAGAACGTAAAGTGTAGTGCTGCCATGATATTTTAAGAGCATGAAAATACTCTCTGGATCTGTAAACTTGTTCAGGAGCACCAGCACCTTGTATAGTCCAGATTGTAATGATCAATTCTCGGTTTAAGATTAACCCTCATGATATTATGGTGGTATTAGAAATCACTTGCTTAACCCTTTCTCTCTCATTATCTTGATAGAAGTTCTCCTTACTGTGTGCTATACACTCTTTAGAAAGTTTGCTGTGAGAATTTGGTGTTGGATCAAATGATAATCCCCTAGTTAATAATTTTTGCTATTCTCGTCACTTTTCTGCTAGATATTGTATTGGTACTGCAAGAAGAAATTGTGTCTTAGTCATGGTTAATACACACTTCTGGATATGATGATTTACTCTGCATAAAGGTTTATATTCACTTCACCATTCGAAAGTTACTTCTCAGTTCTGAGAAGTGAAAACACTGATGGTAGAGTATTTCCTTTTTCTGAAAAAAAATTGGGAGAGTCCTTATCATAGAAGAGGAGCCTCCACTTTTTAAGGGTTCTCTCCTATAGAAACTATGCACAGAATTATGCACATCAGAAGTGCACGAGGCTTACTATTGATCTGATGATTTTCTCTCTTCCACAGGAGTATCAGCAGATTGTGGATGCTGAGTGGGAGATCCTTTATGACAAACTGGACAAGATAGTTAAGAGTGGTGCAAAGGTTGTTCTCTCAAAGCTCCCCATTGGAGATGTCGCCACACAATATTTTGCTGATAGGTTAGACTTTCTTTTATCATATTTCCTCTCTGAAATGCATCCCTCAAATACACCCTGCTCTCGATCAATCCTTTTCACTTTAATATCAGTATGCATATTCTCCATACTGTTCTCTGTACATTTCTTAAGGAGCATTCTCCTGACCTTCAAGTTTGATTTAGAGGTGATAATGTAACCAGAAATTTGATGCTAGGTACTCCTAAGGGTCAAAGGTTTACTTGCAGCAGACTGAGCCAGAATGACCATTGAATGCAACCCTTGAACTAAAGCTGCACCCAATCAGAAGAATGTGGCATTTATTTGTTGACTATTAGGAACTAAAGTTTGGTGAAACTCTGAAAATACCAATCCTTCATTTCTTAGTATAACATATCAAAAACCATACAGTTGTGATGCTACCTTGCCAGAAAAATGTCTTGTTGAAACTTGAGCCAGGCTTCTCTATAAAGTGCTATTTACAGAGGATTCACTCTAAATACTGGGAAATATCTGCTGATATTCCCCAAATTTGTTTTAGCCTTGCATCAATTGTGATAAAAATTGGCCTTGACAAGAACATTCAAATTTGGAGAGGGTCTTATATGAAGGCAATTTCATGACAAGGATTGGTTTGTTTTCAGGGACATGTTCTGTGCTGGTCGCGTTGTGGAAGAAGACTTGAAGAGAACTATGAAGGCCTGTGGTGGTGCCATTCAAACAACAGTCAATAACATGACAGACGAAGTTCTAGGCATGTGTGAACTGTTTGAAGAAGAGCAGATTGGTGGAGAGAGGTATGCAGTAATATTAGGACACTGTATAAAAATCATTTCGCTAATTAGGTAAAATTTACCACTTTATAACATGGGAACCATCTTCGATGTTGTAATTAAAGAAACTAAAGAATTTGAGGGGGTGGAATTTGACGGAAACAGGGAAGTGATGTGTTTAAGTTTAAGTGGTATCTAGTCGTTTCATAACAATACACGTTTCGTACTCAGTCGATTCGTACCCAAATTCAGACGATTCGCACCTGGTTTGTGTCGGTTCGTACCTGCTCCAACATTTAGTGACGTTCACAACCCAGGAGATACTACGAAATACCCCATGCTCGAACGCGTGAGCAGATGTCGATGTTTGCCTACGACAAGTTATTAGAGAGTTAAGCGAGTAAGGGACAAATTTTAAAAGTTCTGTTTATGAATACTTGTGACCTTCTAGACAATAACAAGATCAGACTGTGCATGTTTGGTTCCAAGCCTTACATTTGGTGGTCGCGTTTGTAAAATACAAATGTGAAATGGTGCGATGAATTTTGTTTTCTATGGCTTCGTCATTCTGAAAGTTTTAGTTAACCTCTATGAATTGGTTATCTCTAGTGTTGCTATTTCCTGAGGGTGACCACTTCACAGAGGTTTGACAGTACCGATTTCTACTCGTATTTCAGATATAACATCTTTACTGGTTGCCCTGAGGCCAAGACGTGCACTGTCATTTTACGAGGTGGAGCTGAACAATTCATCGAAGAAACAGAAAGATCTCTGCACGACGCCATCATGATCGTACGACGAGCGATCAAAAATGATGCAGTGGTAGCAGGAGGGGGAGCGATCGAAATGGAACTAAGCAAATACCTGAGAGATTTTTCTCGGTCGATCGCAGGAAAGGAACAGCTTCTTATTGGATCCATGGCCCGAGCTCTGGAGATCATTCCCAGACAGCTGTGCGACAATGCGGGATTTGATGCTACTAATATCTTGAATAAACTACGACAGAAACACTTTCAAGGTAAGAGGATCGACACTTCGTCTGGATTTTTCGTAGGGCGAATAAAACTGTACACCGGGTTAATCTTATTCGGCGGATAGCGCGGTACCTCTTTTGAACACTCAACCGCCGGATAGTTTTTTATCCGATGGATAGCTATATTTTTGGACAACTGGACGCTGTACGTTACATCGAACCTGTAAATAAAGGTTTCCCAAGGTCTAGAAGAGGGACCGTGTATCAAAATAGCGTTCAAACGGGGCATTGAACTCTTTACAAAGTAAGGAAAGCGCGTACAAACCATATATTTGTTAATCTGCTATGGCTGCTGAATACCGGGCGGGGTCTTGTAAGGTGGCTGAATTTCTGTACAATCACGATGGATGAAATTTCACACTTACGCAATTTTCGAACGTTTGATGTTGATGCACAAAGTTGCACACCCACTATTCCACTCAGGCCATGTAATTTGACTCAAAATATTACGTGAGGAATATGAAAAAGATAAAGAAGTTATCAGTTTTGCACACTGTGCGTGAGAACCCTCTAGGAATAACTCCAATCGACATGGTGCTGGAAGAGGGATGGGTCGGGGGGGCATGGACAATGGGGAGTTGTTTGAACATCTTCCTCAGATGTAAAGTCAGCTTCCAAAGACTTTTCGAATTTTAGTGTCGACTCGCAGTAAAAAGAAGGAAACCCCACGCTACATCCGCTGTACAAACGAGAATTAACTTTATTCCTTTTTTAACTCGTGGATTGCGCGAATGCGCAAGAGCGAGTTGTAAATACGATGTGGGGAATAGCGCTCGCTCGATTAGTCGATTCCTGTAAACTTTTTTTCGATTTTAGGCTTTTGAGTGCATCTGATAGTTTTTGGCGAGCAATAAACGAACGAAATGGCGACCTTTGTTGCTAAGAATAGTGTTGGGGTGAAAAAGAAGCCAATGATAATTTAAAAGAGTTTTTTTTTTCGTTTTAGTTTCAACAAGAGGCGCCAGCGACTGGCAGGCATGCAAGGATTCACACTGAAATAACAGAACAACCTTCGTTTTTCATAAAATTGTAATTTACAATCCTTGAACTTGAAAACAATCCGAAGGTTCATTGAAAATATCACTTACTGCGAAGCGCTCGGAGTTTACAGATGTTCAAAATCTTTTTCTGTTGGCGTGAGATTGAGGACAAAATCGATATACTAAAATGCGAAAGTTATACACCACAAAATTGATAAATAGGCCTGAAATGAAATGCTATCTTGTTATTGATTATACGTTGCCTAGCACGTGACTAAAATCTGCCCAGGCGGAGATTCTAAATGACGGTGGCAGTCTTTGATTTCGTTTGATAAAGAGGGAATCGTTAATGTTTTCATTAAGACAGTATTGCCTTGATTTTCCAATATTTACAATGATAGACAGTAAATTTCACTTTTCACCCACATTTACTTCCAACCTTTTCTTTTGAACCAGAAACAAAAATTATATACGTTTAAAACACGACATCATCCACCCTTGTCAAATGTAATAGTATGATCATTTCAATTGAAATGCCTTCTTATCCCAACGTTACTTTGTTTCTTTGCTACATTAGCGAACACTGAACTACTGCTCGTACTCTAGATATGACAATCAACCATAAAATTCCCAAAACCAGATAACATTAAACATAATCCAAAAAATCATGTGTCAATTCACGAGTTTGCTCACAGAGAACTTTGATTTTTTTTCTTCTTTGTTTAGGTGGCATGTGGTATGGGGTGGATATAAACAACGAAGACATCGCCGATAACTTCGAGGCGTGTGTCTGGGAGCCAGCCATTGTGAAAATCAACGCCATCACGGCTGCTACGGAAGCAGCTTGTCTGATCCTGTCGGTGGACGAAACAGTAAAAAACCCTAAGTCAGGGGGTGATGGACCCCCTGCACCCGCTGGAAGAGGGCGCGGTCGTCCAAGATGAGAATTGGACCCGTGGTTGTGACTTAAGAAATTTCACTGATTGGTAATAATATATTGGACATCTTGTGCGGCGCTTGAGGACATAACAAGCCTTATGCCCTCGGCATAACTGTACTCTGAGTTGTTCCGAGAACGTGATTTGTTCGGACAGCGTATTTGAAAAAGGAACTGTTACCGAACTGAAAGAGCAGCTAGGCATTATTGAAGAATAAAGAACCGCTGTTATGTTGGAAGTTGTGATCCTGTGGAGGATTTTGTGTGTACTCAGTAATATTTTGAGGCGTACGATATACTGTTAAAAATTTGTTGAGAAAAAATAAGTGCCCAAATTGTTTGGGTTGTGAAATTCGTTGTCCCTGTCATGGCAAGATCTTTTTGAATTCGATTCGTTTTACAAGTTCACTCAGAATCTCCACCAATGACGTATTGATTTCAGGGCTTTTTAATCAGCCCTCAGATCCACTGCCTTTGGTCATTCTTAGCGTAGAACTGGAAGTTGAAGAAGCATCGTTATCCTCTCTTTCCTTTCCCCCCCCCTCCCATCCCCTTCTCCTATTGAGCCGATAAACTAAGATCTCCAACAAAAGAATCGCATGAACAACCTTTGAGATTTCTCTCTTTCTAGGCAACTGGTCATTATTCATCGCCTGGGGGCCGGGAAGGAGGGTCGGGGTCGGATGATTTTGGGGGGTATCATTGTTTTCCAGGGGGAACGAACGAAGGGGAGATCAGTCGTTGCTAACAGAGTATAAAGGGGGACTTACCCCTTAGAGATAAGTCTAGCGATATTTCATTAAACGCCCCTGAGCCACGCGTTCTCAGTGTTACGTGCAAATTATTTTATCAGTTTGCATTCGACGCGAGTGAAAAAAACAAATCTAATTGCAAGAAAGACTTCAAACCTTTATTTCATCATAACTTTTATAAAACGTTTATAATCACAAGCAATTCTGAGCTTAAGCGAACGTGAGTGATCCCTTTTCGAAGAGCAGTTGTAATGCTGTAGGTCCGTTAACTACAAGCAGAAACTTAGGGATGTCGATTGTAATGGGACTTTTCGGAGTTATTTCAAAATAAGTTTACTTAAGTTCGCGTTGATGGTTAATCTCGGTGTCGCTCATTTTCGCCTAATTTGAAGGTAAGAAAATTCTGATAAGAAGGGATTAAAAAAATGGGAAGGTTCACGGTTAACAGTTGTTACATTTGCCCATACGTGACTAGGATGGGTGCCATAACTGGCGACAGGTTTCGCGCATCGGAGCTTGCCTTTTCAGACTACCTCTTAGTTAAAGTGTAGAGAGTTTCTTCAGGTTTATATCGACTAAAATTTCAAACACATCTTTCAACACCGCTTTCATTAGGTCAGTGTCTGTTGCACATGTCACGTGCAAATACATGTGCTTGTCAGCGGGTTTCTTGGACAAAAACAACTCCCGGATGTAATTTAAACCTATCTCGGGGTCTGGACCTCCTGCAAGCAAGAATATAATATATCAATATGCTGTCATGTAGAAATTGTTTTCTTTAAAAATAAAATGATCTTTTTTAACCACTCTTCCTCCAAAAACAATGCGAGGAGGAAATCAGCGTACCCGTCCTCTTTTAAAGTGCGATTCCAAGAAGCAATTTGAACGGGGCGATGGGGACGACGGGGCACTGCCCCAGGGGTGACTATGTCATGGATCGTATGTACGGAGGTTTTGCCCTAGGGAGTTTCTTAAAACGAGTCGGAGAAGAGGATTTCAAGAGAGGGTAAAGGAGGAGTGCGGTGTGGAATTTTATCCTAAGTAAGTAAAATAGATAGCTTTTGGACCAAAACTGACATTTGAAAGGTAAGGGTGCAGGTCTCAAGTTGGAATAAAACGTACAAAGCCTTAACCCCCTCCCCCCCTCCCCCTCCAGCCAATCTTGCACCGTTCAGAATGTTGGAGGGTGGAGGATTTGCGAGCCCAATGATGCTACTGCTCCTATACAGAAAGTAAAGTTTTATCAATCTCGTTCTTAGCACAACGGATTGTATAAGGCCCAGCCAATCAAATATCAGGAAACATTTTATTTTCGATCGTGGTCAAGAGTTTTTCTGGCCAGAAAAAGCATGAGCTTGCCCGGGAGAATACTAAGGAATTACGCGTGCGCGCAACGGTAAGCTTCCCTCTCGACAGAAGCAAGGCTTCCCGTTCGCTGAGCCTATCAAGCAATCTCAGCTTTGAACGTCGTCCACTTACCGTCGTAGTCGGGAAAGCACGCAGACAGATTTGAAGTCTTCAGCTTCTCCACGAATAAGTCATGCTTGTTAAGAAAGAGAATAAATTCCGTCTTCTCAAGGAAAGCATTTTGACTGATTTCTTCAAATAACTCCAGGCTGTCATGCATAGCATTCTGCGACCCAATAAAGAACGAAAAAAAAATGGAAATTTATTTTTAATTATACATTTCAACGTCTAAATGAAAAAATTAAACTCAAAGGGTTTTTTATGTCTGTATCTTGATAAGCTGCAGCTTTATATCGGATACTTTGCTCATTTTCGAATGAAAAATGGAGACATTCAAAGGACTCTGGAATCTTGATTTGGTGTTCTTTTTTAAAAATATGACAACTTCGGAAATCTTCGTGAACATTCGGAAACACTGAACAATAGCAGAGCGACTTACCGAATTTTCGTCCTCCTCGACGAATTCGTCGAAGCTACTCAATGACACAAAGAACACAACGGCTGTTACACCTTCAAAGAAATGAATCCACTTTTTGCGTTGACTTTTTTGTCCTCCAACATCTATAACTCTGTTAACAACAAAGAAAATAAGTAGAAAATAAGGTGACAGCGATGAGATCTACAGAGCTTTGGAAGTAGCTCATAAGTGTGTTGAGACATAGCCTTTAAATTTCTAAGGTGCTGACAAGGAGAATTCTTGTAACAATCAAGAGCTAGCTGATGATCATTTCTTTTTTTCTCATAACTTTTTTTGTATGATTTAGGGGTGACATTGTTATGAGAAATTAGATGCCAGTCACCCTTAGGGTCAAGAGTTAAGCCTCGTAATGATCTTTTTAAAAGTAATCTGAATATTCTTAAATATCTTTACCACCTTACCTGTAATTGTAACTGTTTACTGAAATTTTTCTTTCTTGAACACCTTGAGTTTGTTGCCTAGCGTGCAGAATATCCTCGTGTGTTGGGATGTAATCGGGATGTGATAGCCTTTCGAGATTCTCAAAAAAACTGATTAAAAAACAATAATGGGCGCAATAAGTCACAGGTTACACAGGCTACGAATGGCCTGTAAACGCCTTCATTATCAGCGCTGCAGGACGCACTTTTCTCCGTGCGTGGGAAGATTTGAGAGGAGTCGAGGATAGGTTTTGCACTAATAATCAGTGCAGACATCTCGCAAGTGAAGAGACTCTCGCGCCTACGCGTCGATAATGAAGGCCTTGCTCGCAGGCAACAACTTTCATTGTAAAGACAAGCGTACTATACGTTACTCTTGTAAATAAGATACCTATGAGGAAGAAAGAGCGTACGATAGCTCTACATTATGTCTGATTGCTCAATATACCAGACATTACTAGCTTATTAATATTTAACGCTACAGTACGAAAGCAACATCAAGAAAACCACCTTCAGTTATCCGAAATCTTTCTGTACATTCACACTTAAGTAGGTCTGTCAAAGTATATTACCCGCAAACCATGCAGCTATCGCGCGAGTATGTCGCAGTAATCACGCCAAGAGAGGCTGAGGTCGCGCTAAAAACGCTCTAAAAGCGCGTTCCGATACTAATTCTTTCTGTTTTCTCTTACAATAATCAATGGTAACCGATATTTTTATAGTTTTACTTACTATTTAGCGGAATCGTCGATGTAAAACAAATTTCTTTGGCCAAAGCAAGTCTGTACTGAGGAGTCGTTCCAGAATTTTGTCAGCAACGGAACTCTGTCTGCCAGCGAAAAGTTGTTATTTTCACTGTCTTCTGAGTCGGCATGTTCTAGTAGCTCCTGATGGAGGTCCTGGGTGAATAAATAATAATTTTGGATTTAAAATTTAGGTATACAGCTGTTTCGAGAGAGGCTGTCGGAAAAAAGGACAAAAGTATATGCGCTAATCTGGAAAGGTAATCTGTCTAGCTGATCGGGGTATCCGGTAATCAGAGAATGTTAATAAGTCAAATAAATAAATTCATGAAACCCGCGATACTTCATCTTAACAGTTTCCTTGAGGTCGAAGAACCGTGACCTTAGAACCACACACAATACCTTTAGGGGTTGTTGCGGGCACTTGACGCTTTTTTTCTTTTCCGCCTACCTTTCTCAAAATAGCTGCATGCAACCCAAGGGGCTTATGCTCTGCGGCGCTCAGCACCTGATCGAGATCAAAAAAAGTGGAATGTGCGGAAGAAACATGCCCAAATTTGATCCGATTCAATTATGGCTGATCGCGCCTTAATTCCTTGTGCTAAACTTAAAAGGCAAAAAACGGAAAATGAATGAAATCCCGCAAAATTTCCGCCAAAAGAAATTGAAATTTTCATGGGTATTAATATCCGGAAACATATGAAGGGAAACGGAGAACTTGAAACTCCCAATTATTTGTTTTTATGAAATAATTCGATGCATGTCACCGCCCATTTACGGTTTCAACTTGAGCAAATGCACGAATAGAAGGCGTCGCGTGACAAGAATCTTTGATTTATGTTCGAATTTGTTCTGCCACTGACACAATATTTGCATGAGCAAAAACCAAGACTTAAACGAGGTTGCCCCAGACTGTTTACTGGTAGAGAAGCAATCGAATAACAAAGTGTCTTGTATAGAAACACCTCACGTCGGACCTTGCCAAAGCTTAAATGAGCTCCTGATCAGGAGGAGGGCGCATTAACAAAAAGGGCCCCTGCATCTCTTATATTGCTTTCAGAGAGAGCGTCGTTTTTTTTGCACTTCCAGGCGAACAGAGTCATGATGAAATTTGCGTTCCTTCGCGCGTGTTTTGCGCGCTCCTTGTATTCGCCTCGCACTTGCCTTCGTTTGCCTGAAAGCGCCACTAAAAACCCCTCTCTTTTGCAGGTTATCTCCCACAACATTGTATTACCTTGGTGCTCAACTCTTCGTTGGTAAAAGTAAGCCCTATCTCTTCCATTGCTTCGAGAATTCGAATCATGGCTCTTCGGACATTTCCATATATAACTGGCTTGAATTCTTTCCGCTCTTTCTCCGTATAACCATCCCCGTATAGAATTCGCAGCTGTTTGAGAAAAGTGGTTTTCCCAGAACAACCCGATCCTAATACAAAATAAAAATGAAAATGAAACAAGCTCAAGTAAAAAGGAGAAAAGCTAACAAAGGAAATTAGGCAGCAGAAATCGAACAGAGCTTCATTAAAAAAAAAATAAATCCAACAGGTCAAAAGAGAATGTACAAAAAGGAATGTGCGATTGCTCCAAACCAAGAGATTATAGACTCTTGTCCATACACATAAAATACGAAAAACTAAAGTAGAATTAAAATGATGAACACGACGCAAGACGGTATTTGCAATTTATAACAAAAGAGGTTCTTGGCTGTGACCTCCACAGTTCAGGAGGACAACAAGACAAGACAAGAGTAGAGGGGTAGGGATAGCGAGGGGGAGGGGGTGAAATAATCATGACCTATATACCTATCGAACGAACCATCGACACGTATATGCAAAAATATCTATGATTTTTTTTGGTTTATGTCAAAAACCATTGTGAAATTATAATGGACCATATGTTTGAAGCCTCTAAACGGAAATTGACTTTCAGTTTCTCAGCAGTCAATAAAAGGAAATAAATATATTTCATTCAGTCAATAACTTCGGTGTTCACAATTTTGTAATTTCTTTCAACAACAGAAGTTGAAAATAAACAATATTCACTGGATTTTATAATCTATTTTTAATCGTTCCTGATGAAAAATTTATTCGTGTTTTTCTTTGTGGCCATAATGTCAGATGTCTACATGATAATTAATTTCACATCCAATTTGCCAAGCTGTCTCAAAATAGTGAAAGATGTTTTGTCACGAAAGTGGAACAAAGAAAAAAACTCTAAGTCCCCATGAGGGATCGAACTTCAGATCTTCGCCTCAAAATGTTCAGCTAAATACTAAGTTCGAATTCTTGTTTCATGAAAATGAATTAATGATTTCATCAACAGGCCGGTACAATTACTTCGGATTACATGCGTGCGAATATTTTGGCGGTCACATTTTGATTCATATTTTATGATATAGGTAAAATTTGAATTTGCTGAAAGTACGTAAGTTTGAAGTGTTCAAATTTACGTATGTAGGTCCAATATTTCTTCCATTTCCTCAAATGTCGTTTGTTTGTCTAGAAGGTAAAGTGCTTTTATATTCGTTTCTTTCTTTTCCAAGAGCTTGAAGAACCCCGCGTGAGGGATTATATTTAGCACAAGTCATAAGTCTTAATTATCATATCTGCATCTTCGATAGTGAAACACAATCTTCATAATACCGTCAAGTTTTTCAGGATTATATATGTTTGATTGCGTATTTACGGACTATCTTTCGGCGGCGAATTTGATTATCTAAGAGGGTTTTATTTGCCATAGAGAAATTTTTGGGTTGTTGTTTATTTAAGAACGTAAGGAAAAATTAAAAACATTTTAGCAAATGTACACAGAGAGTTAGGGATTTTTACTTCCTAAGGTGGACAATTCTTGGTGTAGTGGCCGCGGCGAACGTGTTTTGATTCGCTGGTTTGGCAAAATACGAACGAGGGTTGTATGCTTGAAAAATTCTAGAAATAAATATTCATCCCGCTCTATATGAGGCCGAAATGGCAACCCAGGAATTTGTAAGATCTGCGGTATTCTTACCCAAAATCAACAGCTGTACTTCTTTCTCTTTCAATTCTCTTTCCTTGTCCAACAGCGCATCGATGTCCCGGCTTCGCTTGAATGCCGCCTTCAGTTCGCTCGGCTTGAGATTAGAATCGACTCGCTGCAGTTCCTCGGCCATGTTTGAGTCGCACGGAAACGGAATGTCACTCGGTTAACGTATTCATTTCAAGCTGTTTTTCCGATGAATTTACTCACGACTCGCGAGCAGGGTACAGTGCTTATAAAGTAGCAACAGTCAGACTGCGCCTGCTCCCGAAAGTGCCTTTATACGCAAAAACCAATACGAGTCCAATATCTGTGACTTGGTTGAGTTGAAAAAATCTCGAAGTACTTTGCAAAAGAGGCAATTTGCAACGATTGAGGTTCGTTTTTTTGGCGTTATTAATTCATTACTCGTACGAAAAGCAAAGCGACAAGCGTTTAAGCTCATGATTTGAATAACAAAGTAACTCGCGATGAGATGTCCAATCAGCTTTAGAGTAAAAGCTACAATAAATGGTCGGTTTTGTTTTACTAAGACCAGCCGAACTTCATTAACAAATGTTTGCGAGAGATAAGAACAGTCCATTCACGGGTCTTACAGACAATTTGTAATGTTATTTAAAGGAAGTGTACGGGTCTCAGAATTGCAGTTGGAATTTGGATATCTTGAGCTCTTCGCTTCCACGACTTTAAATTCCGACCCAGTATTTCGCATATTTTTTTTCTTGTGGAACAAGTGATATTAACCTGTAAATGCCACTGAGTGTTTCTTATTTTTGACCAGAAAATTTTAATGCGTGCCACGTTTGTTTAAACGTGCCCGCCTTTACCGAACCCGTTTGTGTAACCAATGGATCCACCTTAGATCTTTATCAATTTCTAACTTCCTTCTGGTACGTAAGTTCTGATGACGCAAAAGTGATGTTCCTCAGGACAACTATGAAAAGATCTTTCAAACCAACAACAGGCATATGAAACAGTATCTCGAATATTTGTTTACATCCTTTGATATTGAAGACGTCGCATAAATATGAATCGATAATAAAACCTTTAATATATCATGTAACTGATAGGTTCAAAACGGGTTCACAGTCGTCAGAAAAGCCTGATTGCAATTAACTTGTAAATTAAACCTTTGTAACCTCTTTTTTTATTATCACCGGAAAAAATCATTGATCACAGGTGTTTTTATTATTAATTCTTCCAGTATTGTAAAACTTAAGTAGCCTTTGTCGCGCATGAAAATAGAGGGGACAATAATATGAGATAAAATTATAATTTATAGTAATCGTTCATCAGTATTAAACGTTTTAAAGATTAAAATTTATGAACTTAAATTAGCGCACGCGACCAGCTGTGCTTCTCTTGGGGTAAGAAAAAAATCGCTCCTTTTAATTTTTAAAACAATTTTTTTTTCAGTCAAGGAAATTGGAGCTGACGCACGTAGTTTCCTCGCTGCTGGCAAAACCTGAATTCTGCAGGAAGTTCACCTCCGGATATTTTTTTCCACGCATTCTAATTCTGTGATGAAAGATTTACAAGTTCTTTCTTAATAAAATAAGTTTTGGATTATTCGAGAGTTGTTTACACCCTAAAATATACATAGATATTATTATCAACAATAATATCTTACTTCTTACGTTTCTTTGTTTTCCAAATGTTTATTTCCATTTTTTTTTGGTTTGGTTTTTATCTCTTCTTTTCATGTCTGCATTTCAACATCATGTTATACTTGGTTGGTGTTCCCTTTTATCATATTTCTATATACTTTCTGTTGTCAACCGTTAACTGCTACGTTTTGAGTACAGGTATGATTAAATCGTTTTTATTCAGTTCTGGAAATTGTTAAAGATTCTGTTCCTACGTAGTTTACATGTAGTCTTGTATATGTGTCTTCAAACATAAACAAATACAGTTGAAGGAAAATAATTATACAAAATCCGATAGCATTTACCTGCGTTTTTCATGTTTGCTTTCTCTAGAAAACGACGGCTTAAATTAACTTTACTGAGTCGTGCGAAATCCAGGTTTAGATTTAAGGGAATTAACAGAAACCCCACAATAATCCCTGAATCAAATTAAAGGAAAAAAATGTCGCTCTGTCTTGGTTCACTTTCACGAAACCTTATTTCTTTGTGTTGCATAAGGACAATTTTCTAGTGCCCGTAGATGGTTACTTGACAGGGGTACATACCATTTGTCGTCTTGTTTACCATGCCACTAATTAAAAGTCCAGACGATAGACCTTTCATCATCGCGTATAAATGGCACCTAATTTATAAGCTTACACCCAAAAACATAATATCACCTTAAGAACCCCGAGGAGGAGGGGGTACTTGGGTTAATTTTTGCTCAGCATTTGCCGCTGACCTCTCAGTACCCCTTGTCACTCTTGGACATATGTAATTTTCGCTGATCCATCTTGGTCACTTTCTTCACTAATAGTGCGCGAACATTCTGACGCTCGCATGTCCGGAAGTTAAACAAAAGGGTTCCCTTTTTTAAATCCCTATACGTACCAAATTTTTCACAACCCAAAATCCCCAAAAATGAATGCGGCCATCATATTCTGGTGACTCTATCAAAGATGCAGCCCATTACAATCAATCCAGTCGTGAAAATGTGACACCATTCAGCGACCCAACCCCGTGGCCTGTTGTTAAGAAGTACAGTCGAATTTCGATAACTTGAACCTTCAGTGGAAATTGAAAAGGGTACGAGTTATCGAGAGTGAAAGAAAAGGACCAGAAATAAGGGGAAAAAAACTAGTGTTTATTGTTTTTTCTATTCACACAATAAACAATTTAATTAAATTTAATAGGGGAGAGAAGTCAGGCTGAAAATGGAACTCTAAACTACTGCAGAAATCACAAGGTAACGTAAATGTTTTGTACTGTATTACATTGTCTGTTTTGTTTCAGTCACGTATTGACAGAGGAGGTTGGACGTGGTTCGAGTTATCGAGGGTAATATATGAAGAGAACATCCCCTGAAAGGATACGAAAATTGCTTCGATTTCACGGGAAGTTCGAGTTGTCGAGGGTAAATTTTCAGTAAATGTATGACGGGCGAATCGGCTTTGGTTCGAGTTAGCAAGAGGTTCGAGATAGCGAGGGTTCGAGTCATTCGACTGTACCCCTTCTAATTCTATGGCTGGTGACATAAGATTGCGTGACTATTATTTTGACACTGACCAAAAGTAAAGCAGGCTCCTGTCCATTGTCACATGACATGCTGCGGTCTTCGAAGGTCTGGCCCAAAGCGTCATGTCGTGAAAGTTATCGTTTTTTCGTTCGCAAACTTAATAGAACGATGTTAATTTCCCAACTAGTCGTAGAAAACAGAAGAGATGGTTAGTCATCGTAATGAGCGATTGTGCATACCCAAGTGCCAGGTCAAGAACGGCAACGCGAAACTTGCGAAGATACCATGTGCTTCGGTAGGCGTCTCTTTGATGATTCACGTTCGGTAATTTCATAGCTTGTTACGTGCATTTTTCCATTAATTTTCCCTCTTCTTTAATAGTTATGCTTCCTGAGGTTTGAATTCATTACTGTGTTTTCATCTTTTTGATTCTGTGTAGTGATCTGCGTTGAAATGGCTGAAGATGCTAAACGAAGTAAACTGGACGCTCTCGGCAGTTGGCAAAGGTATGGTCTCCAAATATGAAAGAATTTTGCTACATCTGAACCATCAGTAAAACTGTATCATCCGACCTTTCGAAATCTAGCTTGTTAAGTGTCTCAAAACCTTTTACAAGATGAGCACTCCCCTTTTTGAGGGTCCAAAGTGCGTAGGTGTATTTTTACTCGACTGGTATGCATGCAAACCAATTTGCACATTCCGCCTTTACAACTAATGGGTAGACATTTTCATGGCAAAGCTAAATAGCGAAATGCTATTTAATAAAGCGGGCTCAAGCGCTCGAGGCTATAAATTCAGCAAAATTTGCAGAGAAAGAAGGAGCTGGTATTTGCCTCACATGACAATGTATCTATTCATAATCAGTAGAAAATTTCCTATCAATTAGTTTAACTTATTATGGGATGTATATTATATGATGACGTCACAACATGCATAATCAGTATAATTATTGGAAATTTTGAGCGGGATTAATTGAAAGAATCCTGTGACGAATATATTTTAGAACTATTAGTTTTAAACAAAAATCGTGAACTTCAAACATTGAAAATATCATTTTAAAGGTTAATAACACTTCTCTGCACACAAATTTGAGTAATTAATGTTATTGCAAGGGCAGGAATTATCTTATGAGGAACAAAATCTTGAATTATTATCTTTGAGAAAGTCTTAGAGTTAGTCACTCTCGTTGTCTTGTATATCACTTTGCCTTGGTTACTTCACTTCCACCTTTATGTTTGTCTTTACATGTTCAATTTTGAAGAATTCCTCCTCTTCCTCTGGTGCAACTCTTCCTCTTCCTTCTTTCCGATGTCAGGGGCCTTCACTATCTTCATCACTGAAATAGTAGTCTTTCAATGCGTGATATCTGAGAAAACAGGGCTCCAGGCACATGTGTACTCCACACACTGCACAGTTGTAAAAGGTATCTACATGTTGTAGGTGAACCTTGCAAGTGGATCTGTTGTCACTGCTTTTGCCAAGGTGGTGAAAGTGTTCTTGATTAAATCAAATGTCAGAAGTAGATGGCTGCTGCATTTGAGTGTCCCTCCTGAAGGATTTTCCTTCAATCAAGTCACTTATCAATGACTTTCTGAAGGCTAAAGTGGTTGTGGTGGTATGATTTGGAGATTTTCTTTCCAAAATGTGCGCATTTGAAATACATACTTCTATGAGATAGAATAAAAATCTTGTAATACTGTGCAGCACCTCTCATTAGCCTTGCATATGAGCTAATTCTCCGATCAGAGACATCAACACCACCCATGTAAGCATTATACAGGCTAACTATACCATAGTGCGCAAAGTTTTGCTTCACCCAGTGGCCATTTACTTTCATGGATCTTTCCACAACACCAGAATCATCTTTACATGTGGGTACAGTGCCTAAGAAACTGATAGGCTTTCTGTCATGCCATGTCATGCAAGTCAAAGTATCTTTCTGTCTATAAAGGGACTCTCCCCTTCTGGACTACATTGGCTTCCTTTTGAGTGTATGTGTTGCTCCCTACAACATAGCCATTGGTTGATTCAGCCATTGTAAAGGCCTTGATTCCAAACCTACTTGGTTTTATGGGAACGAATTGCCCTAAATGAACTTTCCCTTTTTAATTTGATCAAGGTTTCATCGACAGCAAGTTGCCTTTCAGGACTGTAAACTGCCCTAAACCTTGGTATGATCAAATCCAGCAGATGCAGAATTTTGTACAACTTGTTGAAATTTGGTGAATCAGGTCTAGGAGCTAAGGAATTATCAGCAAAGTGAAGATAATGTAGAACCTAAAGAAACCTTGTTCTTGACATTGTGGTACCAAAGAATGGG